CAATGTTCATTTTAGTCTATAAAGGCTCATAAATAATAGGAAAAAGCGAAGAAATTCTTAAGTTGTTGTTTATCTAATTTATCTTTGAAAATGTCGTATTAAAGTGTTTATAGAGATGTTTTATAAAAAAAGATTTTTAATAGAGACTCTCTAAACTTCTTACGTTTTCTTTTATAAAGTCTGCACTTTTGACGATAAACAACTGGATGAAATACCAAAAATTTCTTTCTCTTTTTTTTTTGTTATCATAAAAAAATATGATCTGCAAGAAAATTATAATAAAAAAAAATTGGAGTAAATTTGAGAGAGTATGCTTCCTAAAGATAGAAACACAACAAAAAACGCACACAAAACTATAAAATATAATAGATGAGTTTGCTTTTAAAATAGAGGCACTTTTGATGTTATTTCCGTTGTTTGTACAACGTATAAGCTAGAATTTAGGCACGTAAAGATGGCATTAATTCTATCACATTTATCAAATTTAAACGTCTTTGACGTTCTTTTAAGAAGACAAAATAAAAAATATAATTAAATCTTTTAAATCAGTAGAAAATAAAAAACTAAATAGTTAATCAACTGCAACAGATACTGTAAAGTAACAAGGAAAATATCAAGAAATAGAATTTAATCAAACTTAAAGCTAAATTTAAAAAAATTCTCTCTCAAGAAGTTTAAAATTACGTGTACCTTTATCATAAATTAAAAGTATTGGTTATCTCTCTCTCTCTCTCTTTCTCTCTCTCTAATATCCACATTAATTAGTTTTCTTGTTGTTACTGCTGCAACGTATATGAAAGACGTTTATTGAAAATCGAGAAGATTTTAATAATTTGATATCCTTTTGTTTTCAATAATATTAGCCATCTTAATACAAGCAACAAATAGAAACTTTACAACTAGCAAAAAGTTAACTTTTATCGATTTTTGTTATAGAAATGTGTTTAGCAAAATTTTCCTTTTTAGTCAAAATAAAATATAAGAAAAGGAAATATAAACGTGACTGGAGTAAGATCATAATGATCACAGTGGTACTTTGTATAAATCTGTATAAAATTACTTTTAAATTCTACTGATTAAGGAAGAAGAGAAATGTATATACATAAAAAAATTTACGTCAAATGTATATTACATATATCTATATATATATATATATTATTTTATTAATAAGTTATACCTATATATAATAATATATAGATAGATATTTAATATAAATAGCTGCTAATATAGCATATTTACTGTATACAGTACATATCCTATATTTGAAATATAGAGAATTTGTTGTTAATAGCGACAACTACGACAATCCTAATTTATCTCTTACTCACAAAAATAACAATAAAATATATAAAGAAGGGTAATTATGGAAATAAGGGATTTGAAAGTAAGATAAGGTCTTGATATAAATAGTTGTAAAACTATTTTTGTAGTCATCAGCAATTAACAGATATTTCAAACAGTACGTTTAAATCCCTTATGACTTTTTATTTGTTGTACATATTCATATATTAATATTTATATTATTCTTATAATCTAAATACAATATGCTATATTCGTATACACATAAACAAGCTTGTACATACAATATATAGGCGTATATATACATATATATTAATATATATTAATATAGCTATTGTATATACTGTGGACGTGCATTCATACATATATACAACACAAAAAGCTTTTTAAATAGATTTTTGACATTTTACCGGATAACTTGTGCAGTATTTAACAAAAAGTTCTAGCTGTTAAAGTATAAAGAGGGTTGGTGGTAAGGTGATCGAACGCCTTTTTACGCTAATCGCACTGTAAGTATTGAGAGTAAACCTTTAGCCCAGACTATTTTTTTCACTTTTTCTTTTACTTTTTTGGTTTTGCAGTATCTGGTCAAATCTCTCTCATATAATTAAGGCAATCAGGATTCAGTGAAGCATCACTGAAATTGTTACTGTAAAGCTGTATTTATCTTGGATTGGTTAATACTATGAGGGAGGAATATGATTGGTTTTTAGTGCTTAATAATAGAGGAATAACCAGTAAATGCTCTGCTAGGTCTGTTCTATAATTTTTCATACAATTCGAAAAGTATTACAAAAAGAAAAGTACAAATTATAACGTTACACCTAATAGAAAACTCTATTGAATATGAACTGAATCCGCACGCTATTTACTCTATAATCCAACTAAAGGAAAAATAAAAAGACATGGGTTTATGGCCAAGTTAGGATAAAAAAGCGTACGAACCTGGGGCAAACTGAAAAATATACTGGTAGCCCATGCTACTCCTATCATAGTTTTAGCTCTTCGGGGTGCTTTGTTTCTTCTCAATGGATCCAAAATGGCTAACATCCTATCTATGCTGATAACCACTACACTATAAGTAGAGGCGTACAGAAAGCTGCTTTGAAGCGTCTTGAGTAGCTTGCAGCTAATAAAGTCCGCGTACCATTGAACGGTAAAATTCCAAATGAAATCGGCTAACATACAGAAAACAGTAATTCCAAGGTCGGCAAAGACCAAATTTAATATCAAAGTATTTACAACAGACCGCCTCTTCCTCTCTTTAAAAACCTAAGGACAAGAAAATAATAGCTAACAATAATCAACAGAAAATGATTAATATTACATCTAATTACAACTTATAATCAAATCATGTAGTTAGCCGATTGTTCATATAAGTTCGAAGATGCTTATATAGTTATTAAATATTTTTACCTGAAAGAGAGTTATTGAATTGGCGGTTAACGAGAGGGGACATATTATTCCTAGACCTATTAGATTAAAAACATTCCTTTCCGGTAAAAAAGTCACATTTGACAGATTTGTAGGATGAGGAGGAGTTGTGTAGTACATGTCTCCTGTGGAAACTGTTGATGTAGTTTTAGCGGTAGTTGGTCGAAATCAGAATAAAAATATTTTCTCCCAACTTAAAAGAAGAATAGATAGAGAGGAAGATAAATATATTTTAAGACAGGCAAATAGTGAGATGAATAGATAGACGAACTGGACGAGATGAAGTTCGAGAGGAGAGAGTATGAGACAGGCTTATAGACCAATAGGGGAAGAATGAGGAAAAAAGCTTCACTTTATTAATTATTCACTATAGATGGCGTTGTCGATGTTGAGATAGTACAGGAAGTCTATAATTCCTATTGACGACTCGTAACAGACGACCCGTAACGGAAATTTACAAACAATTCTTCGCAAGCTTTCGTTATCAATCAAAGAAAGCATCTACCACAAAATTTTGGCAGTACTTCGTTAAACATGCGTACAAACTTTTCAAACGAGGCCTATTACTATAATTTTTCCTAGAAGCCGTTGAAAATAGCTATTGTTTCCCGACTATCAATTTTCCCATTTCTTTGTTTCCGATATAGAAAGGACGATGGAGAATGTAAAATATAAAGCATAGGATACAGATGAGAATCTAGTAAGCAATTCTTCAGCAGTAGATTTCTTGCTCGGGGAAGCTCTAAAAGCAGAAATTGGATTGACCGCTCTTTCTTTCATCAGGTCAAAAAAAAAAAGAAATACATACGCATGTACATAAATATATATACTACTATATATATATATATATATATATATTAGTATATTTACTGTATTTATTTATATATTACAACGAAGCGTTTCAGTGCGGAACGTCACCAAATATTTGTAAGAGATTTATTATCGTTGCGTACTGCGTTAATTTCCATACTTTTTCCCCCGTTTCACCCGAATATTCATTAGAAAAACTCGTCTCGTTAAAAGAAAGAAAAAAAAAGGAGGAAAAAAACCGAAATCTTTAAGAGAAATTCTTTCAGCGCACCCGCCATCCTCTTATAAGGGGCTTTTTCCTTTAGTTTTACATTAGGCGAAGAAAATGAGCTTAAAAAAGATACACGGAATATATTGTATATTCAACAGATGACATTAAAATAAACTCTACTTAAGTTAAAACGCTATTAAGAAAAAAACTAGGTTAAAAAAATACGATAAAGCAAAGATTTTCAAAATCAACATTTTCATATACAGTATACTGTATTAGTTGTATATTTGTATATTGTATATAATTATTTAATTATTTACAATATCTCAATAGAAAGAAACAAAATATATGTAGTAAAAGTCTAAATAGCCCTCTTTATACTTCAGAAGATATAGATAATAGTATATAATTACGTAATATGGAAAAAGTTTCATCTGTATTACAGAAAGATGTCATATTTTGCTATCTTCGCAATTATAAAAAAAGTTAGTTTTTTAAAAGAATTACGTAAAGTAAATAAATATCTCTTTTAAATATTGTTAATAGTTTACAGCAGAAATGAAATAACAGATAAACATAAGAATCAAACTGACATTAAGAATAAACTAAAAATTAAATAGACAAAGTAAGAAACAAAACAAACTATAGTCTATAAAAGGATTTTAAATGTAAAGGTTAAACAAGTTTCTCTTGTATAAAAGAGTTCAAAATGGCCTTTTGATATTTTCACAAATACTACCCTTTCTAATTATGTCGTAATGTTGTCGTTCTTCTAGTTAAACACTCTTGTGACATTAAACATTAAAATTTACATTCCCTTGAATATGCAGGTTTCATCATTTCTTCTACTAAATTCTCAAAAATTACCAGAGCAATTAGACAGAAAATGAAAAATTTACAATTTCAATCTTTAATCTATACAAAAGTTACGAAAATATCCTTTTTTCCATCCTTTAAAATTAATAACAGCCTCATAGCCTAACTTTAAATAAAAGATAAGAAATACATTGAAAATAGTCTTTGAAGTAATTTCTCTTAACCTTAAATCAGTAATGAGACGACGAGAAAATAACTAGAGGCTTCTGTGGAAGAATGAAGAAGAAATTTCTTACGGCAAGCTGCCCTTTTCTCTTTTCCTACGTTACCGACTTTGAACTGCTTCAAACAGCAAAAGTTCCGATCTATTTATAAAAACTTCCGGAAATGTTTACGTATTTGCCCTCTTACCCTATTGGTTGCCATATATTTCTGAATAATTTCAAGGTTAATTAATTACATCATCTCTATTTCCAATTAATCTTTTATTTATATAAAAAAAAATACCAGTCTAATCAAACTAATGTTGCACTTAATTTATAAATAAACACGTACCACGGGATACTGTATAATGTTATATATCGTGTATATATTGTATAAATACTGTATGTAGCATACATACTTTTTATAGTAATACACAAAAAAAAAATAAAATATGGATTTGGTTCAAGTATGACAAGTGACAAAAAAAATAAACAGTTTTCATAATAAAAGGTGCTCAAGGGTGAAGAAAATATGGGATAAAACCAATATTTTCTTGCTAACGTTGAGAATGAGATGCTGGCTTAAAACCTTTTGGCATTGGATGAAGTGAGAGAGGCACGTCTACTGGAACCCTTGACTCCTTTGGAGGTGGATTTGGTTCAAGGTAACCTTCGTCTTCATATGGTAATTTATTTTTTGGCCACCTAATAGAATCTATTCCTCCTCTCAATCTATTAGCTATCCGACCAATCATCGTACCGACAGGCTTATCTTTTGGCAGTGAAAATTTAGAGCGTCTCTCTTTTTTGGACTTTTTCTCATTTTTTGTAAAACGTAGTGGTGGTACCGGTGGTGGTATATCTGTAGACGTTGGCTGTTCATTAAGAGGAGAAGGTACAGTTTGATTCTCTAATGATTGTGCATTCGATTCCGCTGCTTCAAATTGATTGATATCATATACTATTTCAGATTCAGTATCTCCCGTACTCGACTCTGCTTTCTTATCTTTCTTCTTCTTTGGTCTTAGACATAAGAATAATAATAGAACAAGCAAAACTATAAGGATACTGGCTCCCGCGGTACTTGATATTATTACTAGTATCGAAACTTCATCATCCTCGTCAGTATGAACTCTTGTCGAGGGGGTATTACTAATTTTTTCGAAAAATTTCATATCAGTTATTCTTGAAAAATAATCTTGCGTCAATTCATCGATGGTTGATCCATTAAAGATCCTATAGACCAACTTTTCAGTGAATGTAGAGAAGAATACGTGTGTTTTGGATGCAGTCAAGCTAATAATTCCCTTTTGAAAAGTAAAGTAATTTTCTATGCTTTTAGTTGTAAAATTCATCCTCATTATTTGATTATCTTTAGAGAAGAATATCTAGAAATATAAAAAGAGATTTATTGTAGTATGCTCATTTGAAAGTCGGAGGATCAAAAACAAATGGGTTGGAAGGGAAAAACACCAGTATATTTAGAATAGTGTGGGCATGTGCGCTCGATCTATTTACTATTATCTGTTTAGATTATACCACCTGTTAATATCGAATCTTTGATAAGGTGTTGCAGTAATGCTTGTAAAGTTTAGAAGCCCTTTCCTACTCTGGTCAGCTGAAATTCCTCATTAATTTAATAGACGCAGGAGGTCTTCTAAATGACCTTAGGGAGATTCGCCTTCATCAACCGCTAATCTTAAAGTACCTTAAAACTCAAATATTCAGTCATTTCGATTACCTAGCTCAGTCGGAGCTTAAGCAAATTCAAATAAAATATCACAAGAGGATGCCGTAATCTTTGTGATATTCTGATATTATTAAATTATCAATAATTTACAAACTTAGATTTCTTTTTGTCAAATAAAATGCACACTCGTAAGATTAATCATTTTTAACTCACTTCGTCATCCAAAATGGAGATGGCGTTGCAAGAATCTTCAAAATAGATTGTTTCAATTTGAAAAGTGTTCTTCTCCTTGTTAGCAACATGTAAACCTCTTGAGTCGGTGAAAAATAAGCCATTATTATTTATAGCCATATCCTTTCCACTTGATATATTTGATATAACAATCGATAATTTGTCACCTTCAAGACGACTTATCTCGTTCTTGAAAAGGACATAAATTTCAGAGCGGTAGGTTCTTACTTTTAGAGGTTTTCTGATATCATTTAAAATTAGGTTTACCCGCGTAGGTTTCATAAAATTTGCTAAATACAATTTAGAAACTGAAAGAGGATGAGAGTCTATCCACACTAATGATCCTACTTCCGGATCCATGTCGAATGTGTGTGGGAAATCAGGTAAATGTTTAGTCCCTGTTATACTAACATTTCCGTTGCTTTGAATTGAAGCTTGATAAAATTGCTTATGATATGGATCGGTAAATAATAAAAATTGTGAAGTTTTCATACCGCCAGCTGTAGAGAAAAAAATGTTCGTTATAATTGGAATATCAAAAACACTTGCATATGCAATACAAATTTGAAAATAAATCGGACAGATACCTGGCTTGCACGTTTTGTAATCCTTGTCCAGTTGAAATCCTATTCCACATGAACAAACGTTTCCCTGATTTAATTGATGACAAAGAGAATTCGACTTCGACTTTGGTTGCATATAATTACTGAAGAGTATGCTGTCTTCTGCTTTTCCATTTAAATCTTGCTTGCTTATTTTCTGCTGTCTGAGACTCTCACCCAATTCTCCTCTACCAACTCTTAGGTTGCTATTGTCCGCCGTCCATATCCAAACATCCCCAAAGGAGCTTAATCCACCTATGCTAGAACTCTGAGTTGCTGGTTTTTTAAAAAAATATTCTCCTTTAGCGTTTAAACATCCAATTTTCCAAGGATAGCAAGAAAAGCACAATCTATTCTCCCTGGAATCAAATATAATATTCTTTATTTGATATTCAGATTCGTATATTTTTTTCAAATTCTTATTTGCCAAATCAACAGAATGAATTTCCTTTTCAGTTGAGATGAATAATGTTGGAACTTTGGTAAAAAAGTTTATTCCCACTGCATCAATAGCCATCGAAGTTATTCTTTCCATTCCTTTTGCCTCAAAGAAAACGGACGGATATCTAGCATCTAGTTTCGCTGTCATTATTCTTTTGGAAAACCAATCTGACCAGTATAGTTGACCGGAAATCCAATCTACAATACTTCCGCTAGCATCTCTAGTATTCACTAACATTTCAAACATTCTACTTCCATCGACCTGTCAAACAACCCAAAAAAAGTGAATAAAAAAAAATAGAACAAAACATTAGAAGCAATTTGTAGTTGAAGTATTACGCAATTTTTCAAAAGAAACAAAAAAGATGGAACAATAAATGTGAATGAATCTATTTCATTAATTAATTACGTATATTGCAAGCTTAGTACAAGTAATTCTGTATTGTTTAAATGACTTAGATAAAATATTATCTTCTTCTTACAAGACAGCAACACGATCGTTTGACAAGCCTTCAACATGTAAAATTATGATCCTATATTTTATAAATATTAGCTATCTTTCCCTATCAGTCTAATTCTTTTTTGCAATCTACTCATCTATCTCCTCTGACATTAATAGTCTACTTATAAGTAAGAAATAAATTGCTATTACCTTGCTACTATACATTATTTGTGACCCAGTGTCTGATAGAAAGAGTAAGTCTTCTTCATTGTAGTAAGCTATGCTCTCAAGGTGAACGAAATCAACTCCAAATGGAATAGGATTGATGTAAACTTCCTCATTTACGCTTGGTGGTATTCGAAAAGATGACCAATAGACTTGATTTGTCATTGAGAACACAATTTTTGGATTGTGAGGAATACAGTTTCTCTTATCTAATTCCAAAATAGCATTTTGTCGGCATCGGCACCCTTCAACGAAACAGAAATCACTGCATATTTCACACTCTTTACATTCTCCCTTATCTTGTGTTTTAAATGCTAAATGTTCGGTTAAAGCATCCAAAGATATTAACTTAAAAGTAACGCCTCAAAATTAATAATTTATATATAGTTTTTTATATTCGTTATCCTGCCTAGTTTAGAGCAAATGATAAACATGGGAATTTCTCAATTGGTTGACTTTACCAATATCAAAGGTCAAATTTCATATAAAGTTTCTTAAATAGTAAATTATACCCCATATATAGGTTACATAATAAGAAGCTATATTATACAATAAGACTGTATGTTGGCTTAAATGCTAATACTATAAGAATATTTTGAAGCATTACTTTTTCACGTTGATAAATTGAGAATGTCGTCTTAATGTGTATCTCCATATCCAACGTGTTTTCATCAACCAGAATTATTTTATCATCGAAGACTGAGAAGGTATTCCTCACTGTATTAGTATTTTCAAAAATATGATATTTTCTAGCTTGACCGTCAAATTGTAAACTAAAGACGTCATAAGATGTTTTACGCCTTTCTAGAACAAAAATACGATTGTCGTGAATTGCTAAATTGGCTCCTATGATTGCATTGCTTGAAAAATTATAAATTATTTCTCTGTCGTTGCCAGATTTTGATGATTTCTCTATTGTTCCCCTGCCAATATCCGACCAAAAGATGTAGCTTAAAATAACAATAGGAGAAATTAGTGATAAAATCAAATAATGTTAATTAATATTCATGAATGATTGATAACTATAGAAACGAGAAAACAATATCTCATTGAATGTCAAATAAGATGCCTAGAGCCATCTGTAAACATGCGACTTTTCACATTCGCTCTCGAACTTTTGAATAGTTTTCATAGAATTGAGGGTTTTGGTAAAATAGAAAGAAAAGAGATATAGAGATAATATATACTTTATATTGTATATAAATATATATATATATATATCTTTAATATCTTTTTATCTTAATTGTACTTTTTACCAGGCTCTTCATTCTGTAATAACTATTCTATCGTTTTCAAACGATGAGCAAACTAAAATAAAAAATGGATAAAAATGACTTGACTACAAAATATATACCTAATATAAGCGTTAAATAAACAAGATCTGCTTTTATCTACCTACAGGTAAAGTAGAGTTTATTTACTAAATTTTAGCTTTTCAACAAAAAAATAGACATATGCTGTATATTTAGTCAGTTAAAATGTTGAAATAAACTCATATATATAAACTCTTTTTTATTACAAAAAAAAGATGAATGATGACATTTTCAAATAGAAATATACATAATAATTTTCATATACTGAATAAATAATATCAGTTATATATATGCAAAAAATATATATATACATACAGTATATACAGTTTATATATATATATATATATTGTTTTTTTTCCCTGTATTCATTTGAATAACAATAATTTGACCTTTTTGAATGAAAAAACTATGATGAGACAATAAAAAAATAGTTTCTCTCTTAGTCAGCGAAATAAAGTACCTTATTTTTTATAATATTTCAACTATTTAAACTTATAGCCTAAATATATATATATATTCTCTATGATATTGTCAAGAGATCTAAACAACATTACTAAAATACTGAAGGATCGACTTACTTATCTTGAACAACAATACTTGTTGGCGTTTCAACCTGTTCAGTGAACAGTGCTTTCCAAATATCTTTTACATGTCCATACTTTGATAGTCCAATACCTATTATACCTTTTGAGGTCCAATAAAATTGATTATTTTCATCATCAAAACTGATAGAAGTAGCAGTTGGCATATTGTCAATCATTAGATCGTTTCTTTTGGCAATGCTCATTAGACTACCATTGTTTAACGACGTTATCCACCTCTGATTACAATTATCGTATGTAATACCGATCTGCTGGGATTTAAAGTGTGGATAACTATCAAATAAACGAGATTTATCATAATTCTGTTCGGTATCAACAAAGCGAACTCTGGTCCAACTATGCTCATTTTGTGTCCAAGCAATAATCTTTGGATATGCTAAATAAAAGTAAGAATATATAAATAGAAGACTTTTTCAATGTAGTCAAAGAACAGAGAAGAAAAATTACCAACACGGATCTATTAGAAAGAGCTCAGTCAGCCAATGATCTCTCTTTAAATATCTATTAAATACTTTACAACTAAGCAATTAATTTTATCTTACTGTAAAATTATAGGAAAGACATTTAATCATTAGTCCTATTAAGTATTGTCTTCATTATAATATCTAGCTTTACCAGATTATCCAACATATATAATATTTGGCTGACTAAGTGTCGTTTAAGATTATCTTATCTTATTCTCTCCCTTCATCAATCATGTTAAGTATATTTTAGAATTAATAATAAACCTTACCAATTTCAAAACAGGATAAAATAACAAGAAAATAGTAAAGAGAATATTCGACCATGGCTGTGATCGTGCTTGTACAATATTCTATCAAGTCTTCAACATCCGATTACTAATATACAAAACTATTTAAATAGGGTAAAATAGAGGGCGCTTTCAACACGACTTTGTTAAAACATTCAGATTTCTAGCCTTTCAAAAGTGCCCCAATAATTTTTCAGTCTGTATCGTAGGGAATCGTGATATGACGAAAATAAAAATTGAACACCTTAAATTACAATCTATAGATATTATATATTTTTGCAAAAGGGAAAGATAGTAAAATATAAAATAAAAATATAGAGCTTTATAAATATTTAATGCAAATTATTTAGCCTAACATAGGAAGGATGATTTATCACAATTACTCATAGCAGAGATGAATTAACAAAATAACATTTGACAAAATATTTTCCCTTAAACTAACTTTATTTCTTTCTTAAAAGTGAAATTCAATTGTAAAAATAGATCACGATTCAAGCCAAAAATAAATTAATTCAATTAAACCGTATTTATACAAAAAAAACACCAATGTTAGATTTGTAATTTATTTACAATTAGAAATATTAGAGCTATAAGTAATTTGTAATTAAGAACATAAGCGTCTATTCTTTTGTTTATAGGAAGAATTTCTTCAAATTATTGTTGTCTATATATCTTATGTATTCATGTATGTGTATATATACTGTAGTTCTTTAATACTTAACTTTCTTTCCTTTTCTATATAAATAAACTTTCTATTTCTTGGGATAGAAATCTTATAATAAATTTATTAATAGGAAGAATTGGAGAAACTAATAAAAAACAAATTTGTAACATTCTAAAATTCAACTACATACAATAAAAAGTCTTTTATAAAATTAACGACAATAACAAAAATTATTGTGATCTTGCCTTTTCCTCAATTGAGAATAAATGATCATCTCCTTGAAGCACATTGAATTGATAATCAGTTTCTAAATGTGTTTTCTTATTCTTTACGGCTACGTATGAACATGCAAAAATTGCTCCTATGAAAACTAATGTCCCAACAACAAGAACTGCAATGGCTAATTGAAAAATAACGGTGTATTACTGTATTTATTGATGTACATGTATATTTATATTTATTTATAATTACCCCATTTAGGCATACTAGACTTGTCAATGCAATTTTCGTCATCTGCCAAAGCTAAATATCGAAATAATTAAAATATTAGAAAGCTGCTTTCCGAAAAGGGAACATGATACAATACGTTTTGCATGGACCCACATTTCTATTGGCGTGTGGCAGTTTTTTGGTAAATCAGTAGTTACCAAGAATTTCCCTTTTGGTTTAACAGCAACACAGGAAAATAATTTATCAACTCTCTTTCCATCAATTATTTCTGAGAAGAAATGTGTATAATTGTCCAATAATATTGAATCATCCCAACGAAGCCTAACTTTAGTACTATCGTGAGAGCAGCTTGGTATCACTTCAATCTTTTTTACAATCAAAATTTCTTTATAATCATTAAATGTCCATGCAAAGTTGCATTGTAAAGATTCATCAGTAGTAGTTAGATTTTTACTACAATGCGTAATACTATAATTTAAATGAGAGCCTTGAGGACATAAACCATGGTCAGATGACTTGCAAGTAGGCAATACTTTAACATTATGTTTGCAATAATTTATTTTTTCACAATTTCCTGTAGATTCATTGAGAAATCCATTGAAAATAAATTTTTCAAATATTCGTATTATATTTAATTAATTACTTACCACAAATACTTGTATTTATTAATAAAATATGTATGATTAACAGTATTACGAATTGAATATTAAGAAATATCATAATTGACCCAATTAATATCTATTATATATTTCTTCTCTGTTCAAATTCTTATATCATTTATTATTAGTAAAAAATTTTATATTAAAAATTGTTATAAATATTGGTCTATAGGCCAAAGTTAAGGTGCAAACGATACTTGAAAAAAACAGGCCTTTTTCCACAGGAGAAAACGTGAACAATGTAAATCATTGGCCTTAACTTTGAATTGAACGATTAACGAAAAGGACAGAATTGTCTGTTCAATATTACTGAAATCTAAAATAAAGTCGGCTTATCCCAATTATATAAATCTTTAATTCTTTTAAGTAAATAATTAAATATTATAATTAAATATATTTTTAATTAACATATAAATAATGAGTTTAGTTTTTGCAAATAACTTCAATTAATTATGAATAAAATATGTAGAATAATCATTTAGTCTTCTCTTAATATACCTCCTATTCGATTTTGATTACTTTACTGATCACAATGTAATAGAATAAGAAATTATTAGCTCTATAACATTATGTATATAGAAATATATATTTGAATATAACTAAGTGTCTTCATTAAAAAGAAAACAAGGCTAAGCTTTTTCCTTCATTCGGCAAAGGGAAACGGCAAAAAAGATATATATACTGTATATAATTTAGGTCATTCGAATAGTATTTATTATATTGGAAATATAGTTTTTTTTATTCATAATGTATATATAGGCGGGGGTGGTTATGTTTGTTTTTATAGGTTTTTAATGTGTAAGGAAAATGTTCGATAATATAAATTTTATTGCATAAATTGTAAAAGAAAGATTGTCATTCATGATTCTCTTATCTCTCAATCCAACATTATATCCCAGAATAAGACAAGTTTAGACAAAACTATAATAAATTCAAGTTTAATATAATACTACGTTAACCCAGCAACTCTTGGAGATTGTAAATTGAACAATACATATTGTATATCTTTAATACTCATATTTATAATAAAGAAAACTAAAAATGCTTTTTAAACTCTTTATAGTGCGCGAATAAAAAGCATAGTTAAATATTCTTATTAAAATTTATTCATTTTCATCTTTATCGTTAAAAGTAATATCATTCCACAGTCTATGAAAGATACATGAAATTTTTTATTTAATGTCGCCATTCTCATATATTTTTCTTGCAATAATCAATATATTAATAATTAAATATATACAAGAAAAGAGTATAATCTAAATAGTATACGGATTTCTTATGCTCCCTTTAATCGACTGCAAAGTATAATTTTTCTTTCTGTCAACCAATTGATGAAAAAAAATTACTGTTGACAATCAATACACAAATGCTATATATTTTATGTGTGTATATACAGTATAAATTAAAAATATAAACACCTATTTTTGTAATTGGCCTAAATAAAAATTAAAATTTTCTTAAGTCAATAAACTCTAATGAAAAAAATATATAAAAAATCATGTTATCATCAAATGAGTTCATGATATAGACAACAACACGAAAATTCCACTTTTTAGACACGACCTTCACCTTTGGGAAACATACACTACCAGTTTTCACAACAAGAATACAAACTTTCGGAATTAAGTTTTTATCATATTACTGATGATATCAACTAATACAAATAGTTTTCAACAATTAATCAAATATTTATAATCTAATAAACATGAAAACAGAACATTTCAAATATTTTAATAAACTGTTTAAATGAATAATAAATAAACATGTATGGATATACTGTATATTCTCTTTGTTGCAGGGAGTTTGTTTTTCCGTTTTCCTATTGACTTTTTATAATAAATAATAAATAGCAAAAATAACCATTTGTAAATAATATTCATAAATAATATAATATCAATGTCTAGTATAGAATTGTTAGCGAAAAAAAAGTATATTTCTAGCCAAAATAGAACAGAGATGCAAATCATTTTGATTTGTAGTTTAAGAACAAAAGAATAAATAATAATTTAACAAAAAAAGAAAAAAAACACATACACACTCACACTCACCTAAACACACACAAAAACTTTACCTAACATGGTTTTTTAGTAATAAAACAATAATAAATAAGTATTTTTTGATAGAAATTGTAATAAATAACTTATAATTTAATGATCAATATTGATAATTAAATTGTTTATCTCTATTCTGTTTATTTTCAAAGAAATGATTGACAACGATCATTCATTGTAAAGTTTGCTTTTTACGCGTAAGAAGTTGTGTGCTGAGTTTTTAGTTAAAATGGAAAATTTATATTTATATTATAGGCCTACCAAAGGAATATTGCTTATATTGTTTATAATTTATATTTAATCATTTTGTTTGAAAAAATAACTGTTAAGTTGACTTTTCTTTTAATATATTTTTAGAAGAAGCCGAGAAGTACTTTATTATTCAAGATGAATATTTATGAATAAGTGTATCGCGCATGCGCAGATTTCCGGAAAAAGATCAAAATGGCTGACGATAATGCGAATACTATCGAGGTTTGCTAAATTTCTATCTCAATTAGTAATCTTGAGTCTTTTTCTATTCGGATATGTAATTTCATAAATTTATCTACAAATTGATAGTTTTCTGGATTGTTTTCTCTTCTGAATTCATACCCAATTATTCATTTTAACTTGCGCGTGGCTCCATGATTCTACAGTTGTATTATGTAGCTTCAATGTTTTTATGATTAAGTTAAGAAAAAACTAGAAAAAAGTCTCATATTGACAAGTAAAATTTACTATAGAAAGGATCAAAGTAGTTCTTTGTCTTACATTCTAAAAAAAATTTGATATCGACTTTCCTTAAAATTTAGCGCGCTTTTATCTACCGAACTACTATAAATTATTTCTTTTCAAACATCAAATATTGTGATAATCTGAATTAATTTTAATTTCGAAAGACATTTTTAGTAGCATTTAATCATTTTTGTTCCTTGATGAACAAGGTATTATGAGAAGATAAATTGAGAATGAGAAAAACTACAGAAAATTTCCATTTTTGCTTTTCATAAAACTAGAACGTTTTTAAAAGGCCTTTAAAATTTTCTTTTATGCGTAAAATAGAATAAAACACGTTCTTCTCCAAATATTAATAATTGATAGGCGTCGAATATTGATCATATCTTGAATGTCTATAGAAATATGACCAATTACTTCCCGTCCCAAAGCTGTATTCTGGTCGGTTATTACAGAATTTTGGTTATTTTAATTCTGATGTCATCTTATTATAAAAAAATACTTATTTATCTTACAGAATATGGTGAAATCCTTTAGAGTTTCGGAACTCCAAGTTCTATTGGGATATGCAGGTCGAAACAAAAGTGGAAGGAAAAATGAACTGTTAGCAAGAGCTTTACAATTAGTTCAGAAAAATTGCTCAGCCTCCATTGAAATGAGAGTTCATGATTTATACAAGTAAACAACATATTTTCTATTCCTTAGTTCATCGTAATAGTCTATAAACTTAGGGAGATAGCTTCAAATATTTAGAGGTCACACTCACTTAGTATTTCGAGTTTCATATACATGTATATTAAAGCCTACATTGAACTTGTATTGAAAAAGATCAGGGTTTTTATACTATTTTCACTTCTAGTATGAGTAACTAAATCCCTTGTTTTAAGAATAAAAAACGTAAATGGACACATAGTTCTATATACATAAATGCATATATGTATATATGCTATATATATACCAATATATATACTATATACAGTATATGTATGTATAAGTGCGTAGTCTACCTAAGGGGCACAAAATCTTGCAGTTAAAATATTTTAATTTATAAAACGATTTATTATAAACCTATTAAAAAGATTACAAATCTTTGTGTCAATCGAATTAATAAAAGTCATACCTGTTTATTTCTTATTGAATCTGTTACCACTTTAATGTTTATAAATTATCTTGTCATTTATTTATATAAAAATAACTTTTTTCTACAAAATACTTAAACAGAAAATTTGAATCGAACAGACGACGATTTCCGAGTAATGCAGCAAAAAACGGTACTTCCGGCTTGGTTGACATGAAAACAAATTTGACCGGTAGGTTGCCCTTTCTCAAATTATTAGCCTTACAACGTACATGGAAAATAATTTAGCTTTTTATTAATTTTTGTTATAATTTTCTATTCATTTCTTTGCCTTTCGTTTGAGTATAAGCGTTTACATTTATTTCCTTCATTATCTTATTTTATCACTCATTCGCCAATTTTCCCTTTCACCTTGAATTGTGATTGACCTATTTTCACACGGATATTCTACTGAAGTTATGGATTTTGAGCTTTCAAATAATTCACTTCTCAAATAATTCTTGAAAGATAGGATATTCTACTTCTGTAGATAAGAACTGATTTCCTTTTTAACCATTGCTTTTAAATTTATCACAATATTGATATGACTACAATTTCTGGTATACTATTTTTTATTGTCTGTTTTAATATTGGTTAACTTGTACAATCTTCTACTTGAATAATGGAAATAATAATCAATTCAACTTTGTTATTGTAGGTTATTCAAGTTTTCCACATAGTTTGCTGGGTAAGCTGAAGTCTGTTGTTTTACTAGAAATAGTTTAAATAAATATAATTTTGCACACCGAAATTCTTGAATGTCTCTTGCTTCTTAGAAATTAGTATTTGCCTCTTGTTTTTAAACCAGTCTTACTTTTCCTTACTTCTCTTTAAAAGGAGTTTATATTATGTATGTTTAATTTTTAACTTTTAATTAACATATCTACTCGTTTTACTTTATTAATGGTTTGATTTTCCTTTTAAAATATGAATAACACTAATATTTGAAAGTTTCAGTTCTATTTTTAATGTGTTTTTCTTTCAGCTCCTCATGTTATGGATTTCTTAGGGGAAACTCCATCATCAACATCTACACAGAGCCATCCAATTCCATGTGATGTTACACTAAAGCCATTACCTTTTTACGACCATCTGGAAAATATATTACCTCCGGTCAGTTTAAGTAAGTAACATCATTTTCTCTATTCTTCATATAGTTTTCATATTATAAAAACTATCTATTTTTTTCAGCGCCACGAGGTACGTCTAGAAATCAGGAGGCTGCCTTTACTTTCCATCTCACACCACACCAAACTCAACTGATAACACAATGCCGGTAGGTATCAGATGTTGTAAAATACATTCAATTTCTTATCAGTTACAAAAACTAATGCTTTGACAATGTGTTTTTAGGGACCCAAGCTTGAGTGGTGGCATAGAATATCCGGTACAAGTACAACTCAGATTTTGCCTACTTGAAAGAACCAGTGAACAAAAAGATGACTTTCCATCTAGTTGTTCAGTCCGTATTAATCATCGAACAGTAACTTTACCAGTATGTATTACTATCGAATTATATAAAAATTTATATAATTATAATGAATAATGCTTTCGACTGCAGAATCCCATACCAACAAACAAGCCTGACGTAGAGCCAAAACGTCCTAGTAGGCCTGTAAATATAACACATTATTGTAAATTATCTTCCAGTTCTACACACTCAATGGTTGTTGGTTGGACAACAACATTTCAAAAAGTAAACCTACCAATAGTTGAATTATTGATGTTATCTAACAAAGATGTTTATTTCTTTTTAGAATTTTTGTGTATCAATTTATCTCGTTAGACAACAAACATCAGATGTATTGATGCAAAAACTTAAGCAAAAAGGGCATCGGCATCCCGATCATACAAAAGCCTTAAGTACGTACATTTTATCGTATAAATACGTTGTTTTAAGCTCCATGTTAAATTACTTAACCTTTTCTAATTCGTTTAACAGTTAAAGAAAAGTTAACAACAGATCGTGATAGTGAAATTGCAATTTCCAGTTTATGGGTTAGCCTACAATGCCCAGTTAGTTTTGTTTTTAAAACATTAGTCAGTAAATATGTATTTTTCTAATAATCTCTCTTAATCAGCTCGGTAAAATGAGAATCAACATCCCATGTCGATGCCTAACCTGCCAACATTTACAATGCTTCGATGCCTCTTCGTTTATAAGAATGAATGAAAGAAAGCCAACTTGGCAATGTCCCGTATGTTTTAAGCCAGCTGATTACAGAGATTTAATTATTGATGGGTAAAATTTAATATTCATTTCATAATTGATGATTTATAAAAAACTAATATCTTATTTTTCATTTCAAAATGAATAGATATTTTGTTGAAATATTAAATGAATGTCCCCTTGAAAATGAGGAGATACAGTTTTTTGAAGATGGCACTTGGCAGCCAATGAAGCCAAAGAAGAGTCTTAAACGCTCTGACTCGTGTAGTAGTTTTGAAGAAAACAATAAAGTATCGCCTGCTAAAATATGCACTGTTATTGATGGTTTGTTAACAGTTTCTAATTTTATTGATTTGATTTTAATTTATTTATTTCTTAGATGGTGATAGTTCTGATGTAACGAGAGAAAGAGAGAAAGAAACATGTAATAATTCAAAGAAATTTATTGATTGCATTGACTTAACAGAAACTGATGATGAAATTCAAACATTTGAGCCGGAAACAGTGACTTGCTTCAGTACGGACAGCCGAAGTGGAGGATCTCCCGTCCGATATACTTCCTCGTCAGAAGATGATGATGAAACAGATTCATTGGAGGGTATAATATCTGCTGCTCAACAGTTAGAAAAGGACAGTTCGGAATTAAATTCTGAGAATTCAGCTACAGCAATTCCTAATCCTTTGGATATGACCACAACTCCGAACCGCCCTTCTCGACCTTCTTGTTCACAGCGAGATTCCCCGCTTGAATTCCTCTACCCTCCCATTACACCTCCGTCTTCCAGTTACCAACAGCAACAGCCTGTATTTCCTGGAGTTTCTTCCTCCTCTTCAGCTGTATATAGAGGGAGAAATACCTCTACCTCCTTAGCTCCTCCACCCGCCCATTCTAACACATCATCAAATAGATACAACCCTTATCCATCAGTCCACTCCACATCATTTGACTCTGCTTATTATTTGCCTCATTCCGTTACGGATTACTCTAGATTATTTAATTTGGATTATAATACCAACATGCAACCAGCAATGAACAGCTTCAGTTTCAGTCAGGATTTGGTGGGGCGATTCTTTAGTTCCAATTCGGATAATGAATATTAACTGATTTTCTTTCTTATTAACTGACTCTCGATTTTACCACTATGCTATATTAATCTTGTTGTTATGGTTAATTCAGAGACCGTTGTATTGTATATAATAATTTTTTTAATACAATCTTCGTGTTGCAGGATCTGGTGTGTGGAGTGTTCAGAATGATGTTCTTGTATTGGAAGAGACTTAATAGCATTTCTATTAAAATTTAAGTACAGAATTTAGAAATGTCAACCGGTAGAGAATTACGCATGCAGCAGTCAAAAGATTTTTTAGTAATATGATTTTATATGGAAAAAGTTATTGTTTTTAATAAGATATTTTAATTTTTTATATTCTACACGATATATTGATAAACGTGTATAAACTAATCGAAATTTCGTTGAGAGGCACTGCTAAAAGAGACTATTAAAATTTAAGACTAACCTCTTAAGCATTAAATTAAGCTACATAGTGTATTACTAATTAAGTAATACAAAATAATAAACAGTATAATGGGAGTATTTAAAACAATAACCATAATTTTTATTATGTTTAGCCATTTTAACTTTTTTTTACAAAATAAACTACTAATACAGTATATTTAACATTTAGAAAGTTTTAAATATTCACTTTTAGCCGCTCTTTTTCATACGGAATAGTCAGGTTCCACGTCCTGTACAAACTCTATTTTTTGCTCAAATTTTCGCCCCCTTTTTAGAATCGAAAATGTTGAAACTTGGTTATGCGCACAAAATCGAAAATCTTCATACGGTCGCCATTTTCCAGAAGTATATTTTCAGTACTGTAAATTGTGCTCGTAATCTGAATAATTCTTTAAATACAAATTAATGGCTCTTAAAAGAATAAATAAAGTTAGTAGATGATATATTGTATCAAATTATTTTCTCATCGTTTGTCATAGAGTATTTCGATAAGATGTTCAATAAGAGTCATGGCGTTCGTTGGTAACGACGTGATTCAATATTATTCGCGTTTTTTTAAATATTTATAATGATAAACTGTTTTAAAAAGGAATTACAAGATTTAGGACGCGATCCGCCAGCGCAATGTTCAGCAGGTCCAGTCGGAGATGACCGTGAGTGTATTTGCATATTTTAATCAAAACAATGAAAGTAACAATTTTTTTCTCTTTTAAGTATTTCACTGGCAGGCAACAATTATGGGCCCGGTAAGCATATCAATTCCAGCAACTTAAAAATTTACTCATAAAAATTATTTTTTTTCTGCTAAAACAGCCTGACAGTCCTTACACGGGCGGCGTTTTTTTTCTGACGATTCACTTTCCTACAGATTATCCCTTTAAACCGCCAAAAGTAAGTAAAAACAATTTGTCCTAGAACATTCCGCGCATGCGCTGTAAAAGCAACATGGCACGTGTATATCTATGATGTATTACGCAAAAGAATGACTTATAGAAATATCCAGAACGATAAGTGTCACCGTTGTAATTTCTCATGGTAGGAAGAGTCTGCCGGAGATACTCTTTCAACAGCAATCTGACTTCTTCATATGATTATTCAGTCTACTTTCTTGTTTAGTTTCTATACCTAGTAGGCGTTTTCAGGTCAAACAATTTATTATTAAAAATAATAAGAAATCTAAGAGGAATTATAAAAGTAACCTTCAGTGGAGATTAAAATGAAAATAATTTCTCTCAAATTGTTCATTTTTTAAAAGACAGTGATTTGTCTAAATTCCACGATTTTATTTGTCATTAACCACGGTTTTTTTCCTGGCCAACCTTGTAATCTAGAAAATGTGCTAATTGTTGCTGAAAAAAATTGAAAAATTTCCCTACATTTTATATTGCAAATATTACAGTTACTTTGAGCTGAAGAAACACATTACAATACTCATAATGTATTTTAAATTGTTATTCTTTTTTATGTATTTTTAACGAACTTTAGAATCTGAAAATAGCGATATAAAAAAATAAATTTTTTGATTAATCGAAAACACACAACTACTTCATTTTAAGCGAAAATATAAATAATAAATAATCTGTCTAAAAAGTTATTCGTAATTTTTTTTAATATGATCAGAGGCGACACTGAGAAAGGTTGAAAGATTTAGTGTAATTTCACCGCTTAAAACTCTAAAGGATGGATAAAGTTACTACCAAAAAAACAATTTTTCTAACTAAAGTTACTTTTCTAAAAGTGAAATTCTATTTCTAAACAGGTGGCTTTCACGACGAAAATTTATCACCCGAACATCAACAGTAATGGGAGTATATGTTTAGACATACTTAGGTCTCAATGGTCGCCCGCCCTGACTATTTCGAAAGTTCTACTCTCTATTTGTTCGTTGTTGTGCGATCCGAATCCAGATGATCCTCTAGTACCGGATATCGCCAGAATTTATAAGACGGACAGAGAAAGGTACAATGATTTGGCAAAGGAATGGACTAGAAAGTATGCCATGTAAAAAAAAAAGAAAAAAAAAGAAAAAAAAGTGAGAAGAGTTAAATGTTTATGGAACTTTTCTTCACGATTTTACGATTACTCCATTAACTTGTGTATTTTCGTACGTTTTTTCATCCGTACATTAAAAGTATATTGTAAAGGAAAAACCGGCGGAAAAGTGTATTCAAGTTGTAAATTGTTTTTTCTATTTAATGCTAGGAAAGTTTTTTGCTGACGGGAAAACGGCTTGAATATTCTTGAACGATTTTTTCTTATAGTAAAGTCATTTTCCTCGAATACATTTGAGGTTTTATTTTGATAAACGGCATTAAACTAAACTTTTTCAGTGCGACCATATACTGCATTTATCGTAACATCATACTTGAATGCAGCATATTTTTATTTGTCCTAAACCTTGTAGGCAACCAAAACCGGAATGAGAAAAAAGGCGACATTCAAATGACCTCAACAAAATGATTGTATTACGAATGTTGATCAGGATACGCCTTGCATATTACCATTTTATTGCACATAAAAATAATAATGCTCATTAAGAGTTATGTTAATATAAAATATAATTACTTTCAAAGCCCAGAATATATTATGTAATTTCTGATGTTAAAAAGAAAAGACGGTAAGTAATTTATTACCACGTGATCAATAACAAGGTCGTACAAGATGGAATAATTTTGAAATCGATTGGAAATAATAAAAGGGAATTACAACATTGCGATTTCGTAACAGCTATATACTTTGCCATAGCTGAATTATTAATATAGAAAAACGAATGTTAACCGGTTACCTATTCGACCGGTTAATTATTAACCGGTTTGGGGTAAACCTATATTTTAATAAGAAAAAAATTGAGAAATGTAATATACTCTTGTTTGCAATAGTGAACAAAACCTTAATAAAATCAAATCAAATTAATGTTTTTTATTCAATATTTGGCTTTAATAAATAGCTATTATCTTTAAAAATAGCCCCTATAAATATAGAAAAATATCCAAGTACTATAGAACAAGTTGACTGATTGGTTTTTTAAGTGGCTTATTAGAAATCAATTTAAAAATCGATAATGTTTTGCTATATAACATGTTTAATATCGATGAACTTTCAAAACCTTTCAAGGAAAAAAGAAACACAATTGCAAACAATTTGTTCAATTCTTATTTGAACTTTCTTTTATATCAGTTATATCTATTAAAATTAACATCTGTCTTCCTAATGCCACCGATACTTTGTAGTTTCTTAATCTTTTCAGTTCTAAATTTCACTGATTTAGGTGTCTTTGGTCTGAGGGGAATATCCTCCAATTCGGTTATAAACGTTGCCGTCGGTATCCTTCCAGTTGATCTCAATAATCTTTTAACGGTTGACGGTAAACTATCGTTTGAGACTGAAGTAGCTTTAGAACTAGGCCTAGAAGGAGTAGCATTAAATCTCGGTCTATATGATTCTTCTAATTTCTCCTTTTCTTTTTCAGTTAGAATAACGTTACTTAACGTTTCGTATTTAATTTCTTCCGCCTGCCAAACATTAGCTTTTCGACTAGTTTTTCTGACAACCATGTCAATAGTTTTAAGTGTTGATGGAGTTTTTTGCCTACTTTCAGTGGGTAACATATAATGCGGTCTTCGTTTTACGCTAGGTGTTCTAGGATGTTCAAGAAGTAGAATAGGTTCCGGTTCTTGTTGTTTCTTTGTAAGAAATGAATTTTTCTCCTGTTTCAGATGAGTATTATGCTTTTTAATTTGTTTTTCAAGCTTCTTTAGTTTAGTTTCTAACAATCTGAAAAATGATAAAAAAAAAGCATGAAAAGTTTATAAAAAAAAAGTATAGAGAAGGAATATTTCAATCGCACGACTAAATGTTTCATTGAAAACAATATATAGTTAGTTATATATTGATAATAAAGAAAACATAGATAGAAAGAGTTGGAGAGAAAGAGATAGAGAGATTATTTAATAAAAATTGAAATAGTAGCTTTCTATATGTATTGTTTTCATTAAACCTAAAATAATTATGTTCATTATGAAGACAAAGTGTTATTCTGAAAGCAAAGTCTATCTTTCTTTTTTTCTCATTTATCAATTTACCTTTCTTCTTTTTTGTTGGTTCGAAGTAGTGTTACTCCTAGCGCTGAATCCTTGGCATTAAAGACGCTGTGTAACGCCTTTTCCATACCAAGCATAGATAATCTATTTTGTCGTCTCATATCTTTAGTTTCTTTAGTTTTTTTCTGTTGTTAAGTTAGAGTTTTCTTTTTTGTTGTTAACACCACCTGTCGGATGATTACTGAATTAATCCGATTAAGTTCAACACTTATTGATTCGTTAATATGACCTGCTATTTACATTATTGAGCGTTTTACACATTTTCCCCTTTTATGTTATTTAGTTGACTAATTAGTCATTTGGGGGGAAAAAGTGTAAAGTATTACAAAACGTGCATATCTATAATCTCTGTAGCTCTTCTCTCTCTCTCTCTCTCTCTCTCTCTCTCTCTCTCTCTCTCGTTCTATATATAGTATATACAGTATGTATGTATTAAATAAAGAAGATACAATTTTAGGCCTATTAGTATATACTATAATGATTTTTCATGTTACTACTAAACATGTATATTGAATAGAAGAATACTAGCAGTTTCGTATTACTATTGTTTTTTTTTTTTTTTTTTTTGTCATCCAGATTGTAATATCAGATGATTAGTCGGTCGCCATTTATACATATGAAAACAACAAGATGTTTTTTTTCATGTATATCTTTCTAATTAGAGGAAATTAATGAAGAATAAATTAAAATAATAATATAAATATACAAAGAAATAACGAAACTAAAGGAAAAAGTTATGACGGGTAAATGCTTCGGACGTATAAATGAAGTATTTGTTATAACGATGACCTTTGCCTTCATTGTCTCTGGTATTCTGATATTTTCGACGTCCGTTTATTTATCGTCTGCATCTACTGTTTATAAAGTTTTTGAAGAGTCGTCGAAGGCTGTTGGGGTATATACTGTATTGGCTAATCGATTAGTTCATCACGGCTTATCTAGTGGTAAATAGGATTTTTGTGATAATTCTTTATTGCTACAGTTATTCTCCTAATTTGAATATTTAAATTTGTTTATTTACTTTTTACGTTACTTTCTTGTTTTATTCGATTAAGGTCTATTCTTGATATTATCTGGATTATGTGGGATTCTAGGCTTATGCTTAAACAATCGTCTCTTACTGATTTCTTTTTCGGCCTATGCTGGATTTGTTATAGCTCTGGTAATTGCTGTAATAGTTTTTGTTGAATTATACCCTTTTGAAGTTACTAATGCACAATTAATGAGAATGGAAGAACACTTGAGAACTTCGTACTTGAAAGATGAACAAGTAAAACAGGTTGCTGACTTAGCCCAACAAAACTTCAAGTGCTGCGGAGTAAATGGCACGGGAGACTATTTGTACAGTTACTTTTATAATAAGACTGGTTACATCGTACCGCAAAGCTGCTGTCGGAAGTATAATCTAACTGGATGGAATGAAACTCAGTATGAAGTAAGGAAATAAATCAAAATGTCTGCTTAAAACTTAAATATATCCATATCCTATCTATTTTCAGCATTGCCGAATGGGTGTTGAATCATTCCTGGTGAAAAATTCCACTTCAACAGAATTATTCTATTCCCATGGCTGTTATGAAAATATCCTTCTTTCACTTAAGACAGTTAAAACGGCTGCTATTATTACTTTAGCTGTCGTACTAATACTTGAACTAAGTCTCATACTAGCGATAATTTACCTCATTCGAAATGATCCAAATTTTAAAGATGATAGTTACGACGTGGAGGAAAGTTCACCCGACTATTTTGTAGGACGAAGAAAACAATTGCAATCATCTATACCCGAAAAGACTGCGTCAGAAGAGTCGGAGAAAATGTCATTAAACTCTCCTAGTTCCCATTCAGTGACAAACTACGATACATTTAGAGAAACACCGTCAATCTAACTAATTAATCAATATTTAATCTTAATTAACTAGGTTTGAAAAAAAAGATAAACAAAAGAGTATGCAAGTAGTAATAGAAGAATTTCTCTATGTCAATCATGCTATATTTACTTTCGTTTTCTTTTCTTTTTTCTCCGTACTCCTTTCATTTACCTACTATCTTTCTTTCTGTCTGTGTGTCTGACTCTCTCTCTCTCTCTCTTGATCTCTTGTCTTCCTTTCCTACTTCATCTCTAGACATATCTATTCTCTAATTTGTGCACACACACACATACACACACACACAAAGACTTTCTCTTTCTCATCATTTCACACAAATCTTGCCATCTCTTCAATTCAGTATACAATTTCTATGAAATTTTTACTTATAACTTATAAAATAATATTAGAAGGAAAATAAATAGTTTTTTTTTTAATAAAAAAAAGAAAAAAAAAGAAATCTAATAAAAATATTCAATACCATTATCGATTGTTTATACAGTTGCTTGCTATGTAATACTAAACAGCTATATAAGTTTTAATATATATGTATATTCTTATATATAAACATATATATTTCTACTTTATGTGATGAAAATAGAAAGAAATAATTTACGCTTTTCTATATTTCGTATATATCCAAATTATAATCTTCTGTGGGAGATTTACTTTTCTTTCAACTCTTTCCACTTCTTTACAAGTTCTTAAGATGAAAATATGATACCATAATTATGTCGGACAAAGACTCTGTATTACTAATTATGACAAAACGATGAACTACAAAAATGCTGAATCATTTTAATCAGAGCTACGACACTGTGAAATTGACTGTCTAATGATGTTAAGCTTGATAATAATGCATCGAATCTACATATTTTATCTGTATAGTTTTTTTTCAGCACATAAATATCCTATCTTCTATTGATAACAATAATATTTTTAAGTATCCACGCCCCATATTTAATAATCTAAGTAATTGGTTCAACTAACAACTAGGTCTTTTTTAAACATTATCAATAAAATACTATACTTTGTAGGCTATCTCTACAGCATATTTCTTCAAAATACTGCAATATATATATAGCGTGCACTGTATAGACTTAAATCTTGTTACAGATTCCGATTGCCTACTTCAATTTCTCAAATTAAACATTCAACTTTATCTTGTTTCTATTTATTAGTGCCTTAAAAAGCTTTTAAGATTGTCTTAAATACAAGGTAGTGCCACCTAGCAACGTTTCTTAACTTCTACGTTATCCCAACACATGTTTCAACGATTAGGCCAACATTTAAGTGGATTATAACTATTAAAAATTAAAGATAATTGTTATATTGAACTTTGATAAAGTTCGTTGAGTATATTTTATTCTGTCGCATCCAACGGTTACGCTTAAAGTTTAACTGGTATAAATTGGATCGGCTTCTTCATTCTGAGTGCAATCGTGAAGGCAGCTACAGCAACATGAGCGTTCGAGAGAGAAATATTGGTTCAAACGGGGACGATGGTGTGTCAATTGCATCATCTAATTCTAAAGTAGGATTGAAGAAAAGAGTTGGATTAGTTGCTGGAATTTCTTTAATTGTTGGAACTATGATAGGTAAAAAAAGGTTTCTTAACATGTTTCTTATCTAGCACGGATTAACGGATTTTTAAAACCTATTAGGATCGGGAATTTTCATCTCCCCCAAGGGAGTAACTAGGGGATCTGGATCAGTAGGATTGTCTCTTATATCTTGGTCTATCTGTGGAATAATATCAATGTTTGGAGCACTTTCACTAGCCGAACTTGGAACTATGATTCCAAAGTCGGGATGCGAATATGCATATTTACTAGAATGCTATGGAGGAAAAGAGAAATATAGATCAATTGGTAGAATACCGGCATTTCTTTTTAATTGGGTTTCAATGTTGTTAATAAAGCCGTCATCGATTGCTATCATATCTCTAACTTGCGCCGAATACGTAATGGTACCATTTTTTGACGACGGTTGCGGTGAGCCTCCAACTCCAAATAAGAAAATCATGGCTGCTCTAGTTATAAGTAATCGCTATAAATATTATTTACAGCAAACTATACGTAATATTAATTTAAAAAATAGTTCTTCTTACTGCTGTCAACTGCTTTTCCGTCAAGTTAGCAGCAAGAATTCAAGTTGTCTTTACAGTTGCAAAACTAATAGCCATCGCTGTAATTATTATTGGAGGAATTGTAAGACTTGGCCAAGGTTTGACTATTAATTAAAACAGTATTGAAAATCTTAATTTTTTCATTCTCTAATCAGGTCAAACAGCTATTTTGGCGACTGGATTTACGGGTACAAATAAACAAGTGGGTAAAATTGCTATTGGTATTTACAACGGCATGTGGGCCTACGATGGATGGAATAATTTAAATTACGTAACAGAAGAGATTATTAATCCAAACGTGTAAGTAGATAAATTTTACAACAACTGGGACAAGTTTATAAAACAAAATTAATCTTGACCGTTAATCTCAGTAATCTACCTCGTTCAATCTTAATTGGTATTCCGTTGGTTACTGTATGTTATCTTTTGGTAAATATTAGTTACTTTACTGTAATGACTCCGGCTCAACTACTGGATTCAACGGCTGTTGCTATTGTAAGTATACATTTCTAATGTAATAAATATTATGTTGGGCGGTTAGTTAGACTGTTAGAAATTAAACAGACATGGGCGGAAGCAGTTATTAGACCGGTAAAATGGATGATACCAATCTTCGTAGCCTTTTCAACATTTGGTGCCGCCAACGGTACAATGTTTTCATCTAGCAGGTACATAATACGTTTTAAAACAAGCTTATCTTCAAATCTCACGCTTCAGGATGATGAAATATTACAGATTGCTTTCCCGTATTTTTTTTGATAAGATGCTTCTATATTTGATTATTTCTTTGCTTTAATTGTTGTTGATTATGTTAATTTTCCCATTGGAAAATTAACGCTCCAAGATATTTTCTTAATTTTTATAATTTGTGATTTTAATGATTTACTTTTAGGATTTTCTAAAAACTTTCGAAGGAGAAATCAGATATAAAATGGTCTTAATAAGTCTACTCATTGCCGCTTCCGCTTTTGGTTCAATAAATGGTTCCATGTTTGCAGCCGGAAGGTTTAATGATTCTTTAATTGATTCTATTTGATAATGATTATTAAAGAATTGGCTAACTAGGGGAATTTAAAAATCGAATCCTTTTTCTCTCCTGTATAGACTCTTCTATGTTGCTGGAAGAGAGGGACACATGGTAGAAGTGATGGGAATGGTTCACGTTAAAAGAAATACGCCAATCCCATCTTTAGTCTTTGTCTCTTTTATCGCACTTCTTATGATAATACCAGCTGATATTGAATCGTTAATTGATTTCTTTAATTTCTCGGCCTGGATTTTTTACGGGCTAACAATGTCTGCACTTATTGTAATGAGATTTACTAGAAAAAATGAACCAAGACCATATAAGGTGAATTGAAAATGAAACGAAATCAAGCTAATTCTACAATAATAACGCTAATATATACTTTTTTCTTTTAAAACAAACTAGGTCCCAATAATCATTCCAATCATCGTTCTGATAGCATCTTGCTATCTTGTTGTTGCTCCAATTATTGATGACCCAAGAATGGAATTTTTATACGCTTCAATATTTATAGTTGGTGGTTTGTTCTTCTACTTTCCTTTAGTATATTTCCATAAAATACCACCATTTATGGGTAAGTTTATGAAAATTGATTAATTTAACAATTTTAATCATTTTCTATCTTTGAAAAAATAGCAACGGTAACCGCATACCTTCAACTCTTTTTCGAGATTATCTCACCAGAAGCTGAGGCAAACGATTAGATAAATTAATAAATGAAAAAGAAGAGGAATAACCGTTTACATAAAAAAAATTCTCGACTTTAACTTTTAAAGAAAAACCAAAAATGACAAACTTAAAACAAAAACAGAAAAAAAAGAAACAATCCAAAAACAACCAAGCAAACGTCTAATTTAATTTGTCTCTCTCAATTGTTGTGTTGTATTAACATTTATTTTTCTTTAAACAATTATTGTAAAATAATAAGTTATAAAATGTTTATCTCATTGATAAATTAAAGTTTTATGTTTTTTTATACCAATTGATAAGATTACGTTCACGCACATACACACCTACACACACAAACATACATACATACATACATACATATACTAATATCTTATCAATTTCTTTAAATCGTGATGTATCATTTATTTAAAGTAAACTTCCATTTTCTCTCAAGTGCCATTTTGATCATATTGATATATTGTAAATAGAATAAGAGTATACAATTTGTAATGTATTGTATAAGATAATGATATATATCTATATATTAATTTTTCTTCTGTATTTATACAAAATAAGGAAGTATTTATCAAAATATTGTAACATTCATTATTATTAATAATAATAAAGTTATGTATAGAAATAATAATATATACGATTTCATGGTAAAGTTATTCTTATCAAATCGGCATTTTTTAAGAGAATACTAACATTCTAGTTGATTTTATTAAATTGTATAAGGTGTTTACAAATTCAAAATTTGTTTCTTCAATTCTGGTTCTTGCTTCAGCAGTGGCTAATTGTTTACCAAGATGATAAATATTTGACTGGGCCTAAATTCAGAGAGTTAACCTTGTTATTCTATTATTTTTATACGAAGATAATCGAATAGAAGAGTATTTCTTTTACCTCAGTTCCAGGTGCTATTTCGGCGGAAAATTCTTCATCAAATTCTGTCATTTTCAGCTTTGTTGTTCGCTTTTTCGTAACGGCGAATAAGGACCAGTCTTCCTATTATTTTAATATCGTTAATATTAGTAATAATATAATTCAAGTTGTGAATATAAAGAATTGATAAAGTTACTTCAAGAAGCGCTTCGTCTTCCATATGTTCAGCGGCTTGAATGATAATTTGTTCGCTATCCTTAACTTGATTATTCCACTTTGACCAGCTAAATGCAAAAGCCGATGATACCAAAGCCATATGTTGATACAGTCTATCTTCAGTAATTGGGTTCTAATAAAAATGAAAGAAAAAATAAATAAATCCCATTTAATGATAAACTCGACAAAAAGGTGTTTTTTTTGACAAACAAACAAACAAAACAAAACAAATAAAAAAAAACCAATACACTCTTCTGAATAAACAAAATATAAATAATAAAGTAAAAAACTAATATGAAAAGTCAAAAAACAAACAAAACAAACAAACAAACAAAACCACAAATTATTCAAATATATCCAACAGTTGTTTGTATAAAAGGAAAAAAAATGGTGCAGTTGTTTGTGCAAAAAAAAAATATAGTGTTTTCTTTATATTAATGATAGAAAATTCTTATATCAGCAATTTTTTAGTTATTAAATAGTCATTTATATTTTCAAAGAAAAAATTCATTAATGATTTATACAATATCCTCCTTGTTCTTGTTCTTCTTGTTCTTCTTGTTCTTCTTGTTCTTCTTCTTAATATAGAATTGTTAATAGATTAGTATAATAGTTCGCTTTTGGGCAAATTCATATTGTATATAGATACATTGCAGATGTTCTAATATATATGCAATAGAGTTATTTACCAAGAAGAAGGATATTGTATTTTATCATAAATATTCTATAAATAAATTTCTGGAATAAATTGCTGATAATTCAATTTTTTATTTAGAAGATAAAAGTTTATAGAGTATAGAATATTCGTTGCCAACTTACTACTCTTGAGCCTCCCTATATGAGGCACAATTGCATTATTAAAACTAAATAAAATATACTTTATAGGCCTATAACTTGTATAATATTTAGTAATGATGATAATAGTAATAAGGTATATAGGTTGTATTTAATATTTTCCTATTAAAAACTTAAAAAGAAATAGTTACTAACCTTATCTGGTACGCTTACATACTTATATGAATCGCTCTCTGGGAAAAGATTTAAACCGGCTGCCTTCATTCTCTATTGATATATTAATATTTTAAATTCTCGTTAATCTGTTAAATAATTTACCGTTATAAATTGATCAACTGGTAGGAATTTTCCTATTAATTCTTGAAGCTCCTCTTTATCGGAGGGTGCTATTAATGCGCAACAGTCGTTCTTTACTTCAATTTCTACTTCTATAATAGCTGCTATAACAGTTATGAGAACGTGATTAACATCTCTTGGCCTAATTTCCCAAGTTTGAAATGGCATATTTATATGAGCATCCTGAACTAATGAGAAAGTACCAAATGACAAACTCTTAAAAGTTAATCTTCTCTCCTCTATTAATGAAAGATAGAAAGTTTTTAACAATTCAATATTCATTAGATTCGAATATTTGTTACCTTCTTCGAAATTATGCTCGTAAAAACCATCAACGGACCATTCTTTATCTTTTTCATTCCATCTAGCAACTTGAGGTTCTTCGCAGAAATAGACGTTCTTCGGTAAACTTAAAAGGAAACGAAGAGCAGAGTTCTTATTATGTAAATTAGCAATAGTCTTTATATATCTAATAAAATATATAAATTTCCTTAACTATTCCTTATACGGAATAAATATAGCTACCAATCTGCTACTGTTACATCTTAACCTTTAAGGACTAAGATTATTGTGAGAATTTAAATGAAACTCTTGATAAGTGATAATTATAATTACGTTAATGTTATAAGTAATGGAAGTTTTTCATCTTTCTTCTGCTCTTCCAATTCTACTCCGTTCTTTTTCTTTTCTTCTCCGTTCTCTTCCTTTGGCTCTTCGTAATGAGCTTTATACGGTACGTAGACCAACTCCTCAGGATTGGACACTAAAATTTAAATACTTGCTCATCAAATATTTAATTGTAATTCATTAATTATAACCTTTCGTTAGAGTACAGTTTTGCAGTGCTCTTGGTTGCGGTGGTAGTTGGCAGAGATTAAAGTGATAAATTCCACCAAGAATTTGAAAAGCTCTCAAATCTATAACGTCTTCGGCACCGTCAAATTCTTCGAAATCAGGAATATCAGGGGTGGGAATTTGTAATGGCTCTTCTTCCATATCGTCTTCTTTGTCTTTTTCCTCTTCCTCCTCCTTTTCTTCATCTTTATTCTCACCTTCTCCCGATTCTAAATCTTTTAATGCTTGATCCAAATCCTTGGCGAGATAATTTATTATTGTATTACATATTGTTATAATACAATAAAATGAATATTAAAATCAATTTACCAAAGTTTCCTCCCTATCAACTTTTTGTTCATTTTCGTCATCTGCTTTCGCCTCACCTTCCTCCTTCTCATCCGATTCATCTTCCTTCTTTTCTTCTTCTTCAATTATCGTCGCTATAGAATTAATGTAAATAAAAATAGTCTATTATAAAGCGTGAATGAATAATTTACGTTCAGCTTTCGGTTTAATTCTTGGATAAAAAGTTTTACAGTGATGGGAGTAATGATCGTAATTTGTTACTAGAATTCTTATTCCCCAATCTGCATTATCATCCAATTTCAATTTAGGAATATCAAATTGAAATCCAATTTCTTCGAAATTATAAGATTTTATCCTAAAAGATTGTTTTAAATTTCAATGAAAACTTAATAATAAAAGAAGATTATTAATTATACCTTGCATTCTTAGCTAAATTCCCCCAGCAAGCAAGCGTTAAATTATTATTTTCAATAACTCTCTCGAGATTCAACGAAGAGGAATCAATAAACTTATAAGATTCTAGGAATACGTTGTATGTTGCTTTTTCTAGTTTTTCCATTAATATCTCTTCTAATTCAACGATAGTCTGATTATATTGCTCCTTTTGCTCTTCTATAATCTCGTTTTCTGGTGTAACTCTTAAAATAGTGTGTAATTCTTCAATTAACTGTTGAGAACGTAATCATTAAAGAAAAAAAATGGTTGTATTTATAGATAACATACATTTAAACATTTTTTGTTATCTGCTAACACTGTATCAATATTGCTTGATGATTTATCCTCTCTCCAAAGATTTATGTAAGTGTTGATCTCGGGTAATAAAGTTGGGTCGGGCCATTCACAGGACATATATCTTTGCCATTTTGCTTTTGACCTAGCTATTCTTGCAAATTCTTCTAGATTTTGAACATTTCTGTCCCAAACTTCTGCTAATTCCTCCAATTGCCATTTTCTTCTTTTTCTTTCCTAATAATTTTGTTATTTAGTCTCAAAATTGGAAAAGAGAAAAAGTTTCTCTTTTGTTGTTATAATGACTAAATAATTATAAATATATATATATATAGACTTTACCTCGTTCTCTTCCTTTTTTCTTTCAATAGCTTCCAAAGCTTCCCGTTCTTTTCTTTCTGCCTCTTCCTTTTCAGCCAGAAGTTTTTGTTCCTCTAGAAAGAAAAGAAAGTACAATTGATATTGTTCCTTCTTCAAATCTAATTAGTAGTCTTCAAACCTTCTTCTTTAGCTTTTCTTTCAGCTTCTTCCTTCTTTAGTTTTTCTTTTTCGGCTTTAGAAAGTTTCTTGCCGCCTTTAGGCTAAATTTTCAAAAACAACTCTCTTTAAATTAGATAATACATGTTGTTAAATCTATTTCTAAGATTATAAATTTAGCTCGTTGCTATCTATGGAATGCTGTTTCATGCATGACATTGCATATTATTTAGTGCACTTGAACTTGCCTCTGAACTTCTAGACGATTCAGCCTTGGTGATAATACAGATTTAAGGAACATAACAAAAATCAGAACATTTATTTAAATATACACCTAATACGTATAAGTTAAATCAATAATGAACTTGTTGTTCATTTTGAAGTGTGAAGATAATAACTTTTGGAAAAAATTCCCTACCATACTTGTTTGTTGTTCTCAAAAAAATAGCTGGAAAACTATATTGAACTTATCAAAGAATCGTAACTAAGCAACGATCAAGCAGACAGCTGTTATGGCTTCTTGATAACTTCCGTATCCTGTATAGACTTTGTTTTCATGTCTGCTTAATAATATTGAAAACTCTACTATCCTTTTTATGAACTAATCATCAGCTGTAGCAGCTCAAATGACTGGCAAATATCGATCTCAAGTGATTCAATTATATAAAAATGTATGCAAAAAGTATCTTGGATAATGAGGTGTTAAACTGATTTCATATGATATATTTTTCTTACAGTTACTTTATCTTGGACGAGATTATCCACAGGGTAGTGATTTTTTTAGAGAAAGACTGAAAAAAGCCTTTATAAAAAATAAAGATGTGACTGATGGAATTGAAATAGAGAAACTAATTGCAAGAGGGAATTATATTATTAAAGAATTGGAAAGTCTTTATATGCTAAAAAAATATAGAACTTTAAAAAGACGGTATTATAAAGATGAATAAACCGTTATTCATAAGCATACATGATATCGATAATGTGTATACAGTCAAAATTTTGCTTTATTCTTAGCATTTAACTAGAGTATTACATTTCTTAACTCAATAAAGAAAAATATACAGTTAACTCGAGATATATAGTTTTGACACTGAGCAGCGACTTTAAATTTTCACTAAAAGAGAATACTGAGTGAAGATAAATTTAACTATAAATTATAATATCATAAGCTGGGCATCATGAAAAGCGTGATTTAAAAACAAATCAGAAAAATTGACCAATTGTCCACTTATTTCTTCTTATGCTCATTTAAGCAGATATTCCAGACTTCTCTTACATCAGACGGGTCAGCAAACTGATGACTCGCTATCATAGTCCTTAACACCCGAGGATCATAGCTTCTAGAGTAGAAGATGAACCGATTGCTATGCTTTAATGGCACTCTCAGTTTGTGAGCCACTATTCCAATATAAGCATCATCTACGCGGAAGAACTTTGTATATCTCATACCAATTGCTAGGCGAACAACGTACTTTGTTGAAAAAATATACGATCCTCCTAAGATAATAGCAATAATTCACAATATCTAATTATATATATTAGGCTATTTATAGTATTAAATAGATAATTTACTTACCAGTAAAGTACGGAGGATAGTGCTGAAAGGGATACTCCCTTAGTGTAACCTGCCACGCTGATAAAGCCTTTCTATTGCAAGGATTTCTTTCTCTTAAATATCCAATAGATAAATGATTAAAATTATATCGTGATGACTTTTGTATATAGTCAAACAAAGCCAAACTGCAAACAAAGCAATCGTCATCAGCAAAAAAAGTATGCTTGGTTTCACTGCAATTAGCCGCAACCCACTCATATTCACCAAAAACTTTATATATGTTGTTCCAATAACGATCCTTAAATGAAAATAATACTATGTCTTTGTGAATTGATGACTCATGTAGGACTTTCCTGTTGTGCACTTCATTGTCGGAAGATGCAACGATAAATATTGTCTTAATATTTAAATTATACGATCCCGAAAATTTAGAACTACCCCAAGTACTTCTTATAACTTGCCTACGATCTTCGTTATTAAATGCCGACTTCACAACAAAAAGAAGGTCAATGTCAGAAGAGCACTTTTCCGGAGATGCTTTGAGACCTAGGTCATCGTATCTGTTTAGGATCTCCACATCAGGATCATTTTTTTCCAAAACATTATTTACAACATCAACGAGATCTACATCTAATGGCCAATTGAATTTGTATAGTGGTTCGGCTATCCAGAAGGTTGTATATCCCCACGCTAAATAATCAATGACTTCGAAAATCAATATAGAACAAAGTAAACATGAAACACCAAGAGGACGACAGCAGCTCCGACGGCGTTTAATTTTCATGAAGTGCATTCTTTTGTACAATAACTTTTAATATGACGAATTGCTATAACATGGTTCAGCTTACACGAAGAATTATTTAGATCATGTGAGAATTTGATAAGGGGAGTACTAAATTCCAAATATCTTCATACAGCACTCACTTACAGTCATTCCAGGAAGATGGTATGCTCCCTTTAACGAACAGTGAATGAAACAGTATTGAAATCAGAGCAATGACCGTGTAAGATCTCAACAGACAAAATTTTTCTGATGACACATAGTCACGATTAGAATGCCAGCGATGTATGATCCTTAGACACAGATATAAACGTAATAATAATCGTGAGGTGGGCTTTGGTTACCTTCAACTGAAGAAAATAGGCATTCAGAATTTGGAAAAAGAGACGGTTTCCCTCTCAATCAGAATAAAGAACCAACCACGCAATAATTAACTGAAACCGGAAGTTGTAGTTGTAACAGTTTTCAATATTTTCAATATTAAATAAGAAACCTTGACATACTATATATATATTAATAAAAAAATATTAGTCACAGATGTAATTTTACTTTCAACAAACGTGACATAAAAATTTTATCTTGAATATAAAATGAAAAGTTATAATCACTTTTAAAAAAAAAGACTCATAAATTCAATTTCAAGATTCTTTAGTTAATGAAAAGACTTTGATTACCTGAAGAAAAAATTTTCTTTATCGCTTAGTACAAACGAATTTTTCGAGTGTAGCATGCTTCTGGGTAGAATGACTTCGACTCTTAGAAAAAAATTACATTTACGATACATGACTTGCAACAGTTTGCTTGAAAAACATCTAGACTTACTTATTAAAATAAAATTTTTTATACTTTATATACAATGATTTTTTTCTAATAAAAGGATACACTTATTTAATTCTTAAATATATTATACGAAACCTTTTATCACGTGATTGACCTTGACCACTGAAACGCGGGAAACCAGCGCGTCTGCTGATTAGTGTAATTGCTGAGTTTTCTTGAAATTTAGTAGTTTGAATTATTAAAAGGTAAGACTAATCCAAGTTTCTATAATCATTATATATATAGAAGTACAAAAGCGTCTGATTTCGTTTTGAGATTAAATAAAATTAACTATTTAATTTATCGCTCAACTTTAGCATGTCAACTCCAAGGAAATCACGTCGAAGAGCAGGCTCAGAAGCTTCGAGCGAATTATCGACAGTAGAGCAGAGTCCTAGAAAAACTCGTATGTTCTTTAATTAAATTGACTAAGATATGAACTTCTTTTATTAACCTGCAGCCAGACGCTCAGCCAAAAAGAAAACTCCTTGTAAGTGATAACTATTGACTAAATTTATTAGCCTAACTAGACATTCGTGTATACAATAGTGAAGAATGTTACTAATTCTGAAGGAGAAAGACCACTGTTTTCCAGTGAACCTGACCGACAAAGCATCGGTATGTATATCATTCCTATGAAATGATTATAATCTAAAATTTTCATTTCAAAAGGACCAACAAGCGAACTCGACGAGGCAAGCTCTCCATTGCAATATGGAACACCGTCATCTGTTAGAACCCCAAGAACTCCTATGAGTGTGAGAACCCCAATGAGAGGACGTCCAGATGTATCAACTCCAGATTTGCGTTTAATTAATGTTCGCAAAGAGGGTGATCAGGCCTCTCAGAGTCAAGATATTGAACACGAACAGGTAGTCTGGGGAACAGACATAAATCTTAATCATCTTAAGATGAAATTTCAACAATTTTTACAACGTTTCGTCGTTGACGAAGCTGTTGAAAATGCTGATGACGCTATGGATATATCACGTCCATTTTATATTGAAAAAATAAATCAGGTAATGATTAAAATTAAAACTAATTTAGTTGCCTGAATTCTATAAAAACCTTTCGCTGCAGATTGCTATAACAGGTGATCCAGTCGTAAATCTTAACTGCGACCATCTTAAAACATTTGATGAACAATTACATCGTCAACTTGTTCACTATCCAGGAGTAAGTAAAATGAAGTTGATCAAATACTCACTAAAATGTATTTTATATTTCAGGAAGTTATTCCCGTCTTTGATAATATTGTTAATGAAATGTTTTTCGAGAAGTACACTGATATAACTCTGGAGCACGAAGTTCAAGTACGACCATATAACGCTGGTGATAGTAAAAATATGAGATCGTTGAATCCTGAAGGTTCGAATAAAAAATTTACAACGGAAAACATTAAATTATCAATTGAAATTGTTTAGATATTGACAAATTAATCACTATATCTGGGATGGTAATTCGAACATCATCTCTCATTCCTGAAATGAGAGCTGCCCTCTTCAGATGTATATCATGCCAGAATACAGTTACATCAGAGTTGGAAAGAGGACGTATTACTGAACCAACTGTTTGCAGAAATTGCAATGCATCTCACTCGTATCAATTGGTTCACAACCGTTGTTTTTTCACAGATAAACAAATGGTTAAACTTCAAGAAGCTCCAGGTTTTTTAATTGTTTTTACGTTAATTCGTTGACTTAACTTTCATCTTACGTACAGAGGAAATGCCTGCTGGTCATACTCCACATACCTGTGTTATGTTCTCTTATATGGATCAAGTAGATAAAGTTCAACCGGGTGATCGTGTCTTTGTAACTGGAATTTACAGAGCCCAACCAATTAGGGCAAATCCGACTCAAAGGAATGTAAAGAGTGTATATAAAACTTATATCGACGTTGTACATTACGCGAAATCAGACGCTAGAAAGATAGGCGACAGCGGAGTTGAAGATGGCGATAGGTAATTTTATTAATTGAATAATATAATTTTTAATAGCTTAAGCTAATCTTTCAAATTAGCGTAATCAAATTATCGGAGGAAAGAATCAAATTTCTTCAAGATTTATCTAAAAAACCAGATATTTATACTCGACTTGCAAAAGCCTTAGGTATTTTTATCATAGACTTGTTAATAATCTATTTGTAAATACATATTGCCGTTTTGCAGCTCCAAGCATCTACGAAAATGATGATATCAAAAAAGGAATTCTTCTGCAATTGTTTGGAGGTGCTAGAAAGAATTTTGCTTCCTCCGGAAGGAATCATTTTAGGTATTTATTATCTTTTTCGAAATGTTTTGTTTTACATAATCAAGATTGTTAAATTTAAAGATCGGAACTGAATATCTTACTTTGCGGTGATCCTGGTACTTCAAAATCTCAATTACTGCAATACGTGTATCACCTTGTGCCTCGCGGCCAATACACTTCTGGAAAAGGTTCAAGTGCTGTTGGTCTTACGGCCTATATAACAAAAGATCCAGAAACGAAACAATTAGTACTGCAAACGTAATATTATTAAATTGAAAATAGATATTTAGTTAATTCATATGTGTGTTATATTTTAGCGGCGCACTCGTTTTAGCCGATAATGGTGTATGCTGTATTGACGAGTTTGACAAGATGAATGATTCTACTCGTTCTGTCCTACATGAAGTTATGGTTTGTGCATTCAAAGAAATCTAGACATATAGTATAAATAAGTATAAACATACTTTATCTTTAGGAACAGCAAACTCTTTCTATTGCCAAAGCTGGAATTATCTGCTCCCTGAACGCAAGAGCATCAATTCTGGCTGCAGCAAATCCAGTGGGATCACAATGGAATAAAGATAAAACAATTATTGAAAATATTCAATTATCACATACTCTGTTGTCAAGGTTTGTTCAGAAATATCATATTATTTCATATTCTTGGTTTATCCTTAATATGTATTCTAGATTCGATCTTATTTTCTTGATATTGGATCCGAACGATGAAACTTATGATAGGCGTTTAGCTTTACATTTAGTCTCATTGTATTACAGATCGGAAGATCAAGTAGAGGATGAACATTTGGTAAATATTTACACATTTATCTCTTTACATCTTTATATAATGAATGTTATTTTTTCTAGGATTTAAGTATCTTGAAGGATTATATATCTTATGCGCGTAATAGTTACCATCCAAAATTGACTGAACCAGCTTCCGAATGTTTAATCGAAGCTTATGTGGATATGCGTAAATTAGGATCTGGTAGAGGCCAAGTGTCCGCTTATCCCAGACAACTGGAGTCGCTTATTCGATTAGCCGAAGCTCACGCTAGAATGAGACTTTCCAGTTCCGTCGATGTCGTTGACGTTGAAGAAGCTAAAAGGTTTATAAATAATATAAAATTGATAATAACGAACTATATATCTACTATATTCAAAATATGTATTCCAGACTGCATAGAGAGGCTCTCAAACAATCTGCAATAGATCCGGCAACAGGTAGAATAGACGTATCAATCCTAACAACTGGTCTTTCAGGCGCAGCAAGACAAAAACGTGTAGAAAACGTTCGCGCACTAAATAAGTATATTACGGATAAATGTAAAACAGCAACGATCAACTATCAGAAATTATTCGAAGAGTTCCGTGAAAATTTAGAAGCGGTAAGTAACTTTGCTTTATCAATTGCATACTCTATTCTATTAATGATATTTATTATTTATTCAATAGTTTTTACCGAGAGAACAGTTTGACGAAGCGCTAAGAGATTTACAAGAAGATGGAAGAATCGTTAGAACCTCTAACGTTATTAGAATTTTATCCTAAAGACAGAAAATATCACCAAATCCTACTTATGATAAACTGTCTGTTTTAGTTTTAGTACTTTCTATTAGGACTTTAGTTATAACCATTTTTTGAAAACCTCCAAAAAAGACGGCTATCATTTCTATATCTTTATTAATATACATTTAAATATATGCTATTTCGTATATGTATAAGTGTAGATCCCTAAGAAAGTGTTCAAACTTTGCATTTATCTCGTAAAAAACAATTTTCTTTTTTATTTCCTATATTTACACTTTGTACTATAATAATAAAGAAATAAAAACAATGAATAACTTACTTGTTTACTGTATTATCTAATAATTCTTAGATATATCATATTGATTTGTTCTAGTTTTGATATACATAGACATTGCTAATCTAACTTTCACAGTTCTTATCATCATTTACAGGTATATTTCATGATAGCAGCAGACGCCCATAAACATACTCTATAAATATATTGAGTTAATCATTATTTACAGTACATAGCTAAATATAAACAATTACAATACTTGTTCTTATTCTAAGAGAAGCAAATTATGAGAGCTGTAATTTTTCTTTTACTTTCTTCTTTCGCCTTAACTGCAGCTAGGCAACGTTATGAAGCAAACTGGGAATCTCTGGATAAAAGACCTCTACCAACGTGGTTTGATAAAGGAAAAATTGGTATCTTTCTTCATTGGGGAGTGTTCTCTGTACCATCTTTTGCTTCTGAATGGTTTTGGAATTGTTGGAATTCGGGCAACCCAAGTTGTGTTAATTTTATAAAAAATAATTATCGACCTAATTGGACTTATGCTGATTTTGCAAGAGATTTTACTGCTGAATTCTACAATGCCACTGAATGGGCTAAACTATTTGAAGACGCTGGGGCCTCTTACGTTGTCTTTGTCTCAAAACATCACGAAGGCTTCTGCAATTGGCCTTCTAACGTTTCATTCAATTGGAATTCAATGGCTGTTGGTCCAAGGAAAGATTTGGTTGGTGAACTTGCCAACGCCATTAGAAAACATACTAAAATTCATTTTGGAGTATACCATTCCATGTTTGAATGGTACAATCCGTTGTATATGAGAGATAAAGCAAATGGATTTCGAACTCAAGATTTCGTAAATAGAAAAGCTCTACCTGAGCTTTATGAACTGGTAAAGACTTATAAGCCCGATGTTATATGGTCCGATGGTGAATGGGAAGCCTCATCTCAGTACTGGAAAAGTCCAGAATTTATTGCTTGGCTCTATAATGATTCTCCTGTCAGAGATACTGTTGTTGTAAATGATCGTTGGGGAAATGAAACCAGATGCAAGCACGGAGGTTTCTTGGACTGCACTGATGCGTATAATCCTGGAACATTGCAGAAACGTAAATGGGAAAACAGCTTTCCTATTGATTCTAGTTCTTGGGGCTACAGAAGAACAATGACAATTGACCAAATTCATTCAATAGAGTCGATGCTGACCCTTCTTGCCAGAACAATTAGTTGCGGTGGAAACCTTTTAATAAATGTCGGTCCAACGAAATCGGGCAGAATTATACCAGTGTTCGAAGAAAGATTACGACAATTTGGATCTTGGATGAAGGTCAACGGCGAAGCTGTATATGAAACGTTTCCATGGAAACATCAAAATGATTCAGTAAATCCGGACTTATGGTATGTAGCTAGAAAACTTGATGGAAAGACTAACGTCTACGCTTTTGTGTTAAAATGGCCAGCAGAGGGACAGCTCATAATGGCAGATCTTAAAGGTTCACCTCGACTAAAACTATCAATGCTTGGTTACACTGGCAAAAAGCCTTTTACTTGGAAAAGTCGACCTCAGGGTGGTGTAATAGCTGCGCTACCTCCCCTTTCGCCTTCCGAAATTCCATGTAATTGGGCATGGGTGCTAAAGCTGGAAAATACTCTTGAATAGAAGACAACAATAATTAAGAAGCGTTCATAATAAATTAACTTTATTCTTAATGACTTTGATATATTAATATATATTTTTGTTTTCAAATTAATACTAATATAATAACCTAAACAAAAGAATGAAATCTCTACAAATAGAAAGAATAGATAATTTCTCATTTCAAAAATCTTTAATGCACAAGTGTTTTTTTTCTATGGATGGCACTCACGTTTTGAACAAAATAAATTTATCCCAAAACTGTCATCATTTTTTTTACATAAAAATATGAAAGATATGATAACTTTTTGTAAACCTTGCGAATAATGAAAATATACTATTAATAATGAATTTTGTTTATGTGTTTGTTTATTATTTTTGTCAGCTTTCTAATTTTTCCTTCAAATTGATTAGTGTAATTTCTTTCCCCTCCTTGTATTTCGTCCTTTAGCATATCTTGACTTCTCATTTCCTCTTTCAATTACTTCTATTAGCTCATTAGCAATCATGGGCTCAATTTCCTATATTGACAGTGTAGTATATTTAGGGAGTTATGTAGAAAAAAAGTCACAAATTTAACAAACTACTTACTTGACCATCTCTGCTTATTTTTACATTCTTATTATCGTTCCATGGGTTATTCAAATGGTTTACTTCGTGGAAATGAACTTCTCGTCTGTTAGAAGAATCAGTAAAAATATATAAAGTGACTCTATAAAGTATAGTTTACGCCAAACATTTACCTTTTCAACCACTCAATTCCAAATTTCGTTTTTCCTTGATCATTATGGGATATCGAAATCATTCTGGCGTAACCTTGAAAGTGTCCACTTCCTTGAACAGAAATAAAGAGAATCACCGAGCCAGTGCTCTAAATTGAGTGATATTAAGTATATTATTACTAAAGCCACAATTGTATAATATAAAATTATCTCACTTTATAGGCATTATCTAAAACCCTTTTAGTGCCATGGGATGCAGACCAAAATCCCGTAACTATTGAAGCATCAATCACTTGTCCATCTGCAGGCTTTAAAACAAAATATCTAACGGATTGTCCGATGGTGGCCATATCAGGCGTTAAGCAAGGACTACTTGAAATTGAGCTTCTACTAGAGCTGCCCCCTATTCCTGGTGTGGAACTGTTTCTCTCTTCCGAACTAGATGAGCTTTCATTTCTATCTGATCTAAAGTTTGATTTTCTACCAGGTGGTAATAACTTCATTCTTGATTGAAAATTTGACATATTCAAGGCAGCTTGATCTTCTGAGCAAAGTGCTTGAACAATTGTTTGAACAACGATCTATTTTTGTATTACAAAATATTAATTAAACGAGTTATTATTAGACAGATAGCTGATGCTTACATCATCTCCATGGAGAGAAGATTTTCCACAGGTTTTAAGTTTTCTTACAATTAATGCATGTAGTTTTTGTCTCACGTTAACAATTAAGGACGCATTCTGTAAAGAGTATGTTTCATAACAAATATTTCTTAGCTTAATATTCTTACCCCATTGTCCAAATACAAATTTAACCAGTCATCAATTGAAAACCTAAAGTTACTCAGAGGTTTCCAATTATTTCTCTTTTCTTCATCATTAGAACATTCCTCCTCGTCATCCGACTCTTGCTCAGGATCAGCCTCAAAGTGATATTGATGAGGCAAAAGACGACTTGGTCCAGCCATAATAGCAACAGAAAATGAAGTAACTACCGAACAGCCTTTTATCAAAGCCAAAGTATTAAATCTTGTCATTTCATCAAAAATTAACCAGTTGTAGGGTAGACTTTTAACAATATCTTTGTGTGATCTGGAATTTACTTGAGATGCAGAGTTCAAAACAGAAGAGGGATGACACCTCACTCGCTTCTCCAACCTTTTCATAAGCAAAAATTTCTAATGTTATCGACTTAAAATAAAACTTTATCAAACATACCGTGTTGAAATTGTTCCATTAGTTCTATCAACAACAGCTAATTTCGGGAAGAGTGCAGACACCAATACTGCTCTTACAACGGGCCATTTATCAGAATTTACATTCATCTCATTCATATCGGCCTCAGGTCCTAAAAATCCAATTGCGGTTAGATGACGTTTTAAGTGATCTCTTGTTCCTTCTACGATTTGCATAACAGCGTAGGAGAAGCAGTTTTGGTAACAAAATATTCTCTCTTGACGATTTTCTTTTGCATTCATATAACCCTTTAGTGAATGAATGAAGCTTATTCTCAGAATTGAGCGGTAAATATAAAGTGAAATATTCTACCTGATAAAATTCAAGATAAGCAATGTGATCACTAAAAGAGTCTTTGGCAAATTTTTCCTTTATACTAGATAATTTTCTTTTTCCTTCACCGCTCGTTGGTAGAACAACTAATTGCATAGATATTTGAATAAAAAGTAATCAATACATAAAATTAACACGCTACTAACAAGGTTCCTTGTAAGACAAAAATGAAGCAATTGTGAGTATTGGATCCAAACATTTTAGAATAGTCGACATTAAAACCATTTTACCACAGTGGGGTGGTACAGGTAATTCTGCTAAATGACAGCCAAGGTCTGTTAAATCTTCAAATTTGTCGAGAGCATCCATTTGCTTCAATATATTTACTGCATTTTTTATTACCAATTGTGGAGGTGGTTCAACAGCCTTTGACAAGAAATCGGCAATCGAGCTTGTAATCGGTGCAAGTAATTTTGTGTGTAAGCATAGCTCCTCCAAAGGACAACGAAGAATTTCGGCTGTTTGATACTTTTGCATATTTGAAAAGCGAGATCTTGAGAATAATCGATAGCATTCTCCAGGTTTAACACGACCAGCTCTTTAATTGCAGATTAATAGTATAAAATTAATTGAAAAATTTTTTAACATAATCCGATATACCTTCCTTTTCTTTGAACTGCACTTGTCTGAGAAATCCAATTCGTCCTTAAGCAATTAGTATTTGAAACAGCATCGAACAGTTGCTATATAGAGTAAGAAGTAAATAACATATGATATAATGTTTAAAATTTCTTATTAATAATTGTTATAGAAGATAGTTTACCTCCTTCACTTTGCCACTATCTATAACATATGAAACATCACTAATTGTGATACTTGTTTCAGCAATATTCGTTGATAGAATCTGATAAAGTAAAAGTATATATTTAAAATTATTACTTAAGAAATATTAGAATAATGTAAAACCAACAATTTTTCGTATACCATCAGGCATTGTATCAAAAACTCTATTTTGATCGTTCGTTGATATCGAAGAATGTAAAAGAAATATTTTATAACTACAAAGAAAAGAATTTACTGGTTAAACACACAAAATAAATACTTTATTATATATTTCTACAAACGTATTAGAAGGTGGAAAGGTATCGGAACCTTCGATTTTATCTTTCAAGCTTAAGATATCATCGTATCCGGGTAGAAAAATCAAAATAGCTCCAGTTGGTTTCTCACTATGAATTTTGGACGTCAATGAGAGGATAAGGTCTACATCTACTTTATCATCATTAAATGAATAGTGGTAGACTTTTAATAATTTTGCATGTACTTCATCCATAGTAGCAGTATCCAAATCGGATTGGTCATCATCTCCCATTTCAGCGATTCTACTTATGCATTAGTTTTATTATTGAAATTAGATTTAAACATTAAGATGCAAAATTGAAACTAACTCAAAAGCACTTAACCATTCTGCTATTTCAACAGAACGATAATGATGAGCGAAATCTAAAGCTTTCCACCCATTTACTGTCTGGAGGTGAACATCAGCGCCTAATCGAAGAAATTGCTCGACACAGTTCATCCAACCTCTTGCCGCTGCAGTCATTAGCCCGCTCACAGTAGTAAGACTATGCTGATAATCAACAGAGACTTTCTCATCAGTTACCAATGATATAATATCATCAATAGCATCTCGTTTTCCGTGCTGGAAAGCATTTTCAATTAATTCATCCATTTTTGCAGTAGTCTCTGAATCCTCAGAAACTGTTTTTGGTTCAGATTGCGGCAAAAGATCTTCGCACCATTGGGCTAAAGCGTCTCGACTCTCCTTTTGTTTACTCAATCGAACTTCGGCCATTTTCATTAAATCATTCGAATAGGATGTCCAATTTAGAACATCCTCCAGAAAGTACTCTTTTACATCAAACATCCTTCCCGGAACTAATGTCATTATTTAATAAAAAGCGTGTTTATAAATTTTACTTTAAAAATGAAAAGGATAATAAACTCTATACACACCACTTATAACCGGACAATTTCCAAAGTATTCGGTAAATAGAGGTAAGTTCAGGGTTGCACTCATTAATATTAATTTCAGGTGAGATTGTTTGAAAAGTAAATCACGAAGAGCAATTAACAGAAAATCAGTAAATTTATCTCTCTCATGGACTTCATCCTATTTCAGGAGATATCAATTAAATTCAGATAAAGAGTAACAGATTTATACTATTATATAGATATTTACCACAATAATATGAGTTACATGACTAATATCATCTCCACTCATCAATGTTCGAAGTAAAATGCCAGTGGTACAAAAAGTTAGGATAGTGTCTCTACTTAGTCTATTTTGATTGAAATAATAAACTTTTTTAATTCGGTGAAAAGCTTATGCAATTTAAACAAACTTTTGTTCTAATCGGATTTGATAACCAACAGATTTTCCGCAAGTTTCGCTTCTCTCTGTTGAAATTCTTTCAGCTAAGGCGACTGCAGATAAACGTCTTGGTTGTGTAACATATATATTACATTTTTTCTTTTTGGCAGTAAATTCCTCCAAAAGCATTTGTGGAACTTGAGTAGATTTGCCAGACCCAGTGTCTCCTAAGACAAGTACTACTCGATTATCTTCAATTGATTTCAATACATGCTCTTTCATGTGATAGATTGGTAAAGACTGTTTAAAGTATTCAAACGGTGCTGTATTTGCTTCAGGTGGAATCTGCCCTTGAATGTTAGGTTGCTTAAATAATAATTTACGACTTTCTTTAACTGAAACTGTAACGATAGAAACGATTCTCTTAAACCAAAATGTAGGATTAAAAACAAAATGCTACTACAAACCGTCTGCCAGACTTCCTCTCTCTGTTCTTGGAACTAAATCATTTCTTTCTCTATCCATTAACGGTTGATGAGACAATAAGTTATTTATATATTGTTGAGTTTTTGCTTTCAACTTAATTGGTGGCAAATCATGTCCACGATTAACCAATTCCTTTTTAGACATTGTAAGTGAACGATTTGCTCCTTTTCTAAGAATTTTCAATGAAGTAAAAATATCAATATTATAGAATGCTTCATTTACAGTACTCAAAAAAACAACTTACCCATGGCTTTTTGACTTTAAACCGTATTCCTTACATAATTCATGCACAAACTTTCTTTCGAGTTTGGAAAGTGCGGAAGGAAATTCATAGTCTTTGAATAGATATTTACAATGTATATATAATCAATAAAAATAACAACAACAATAATAATAATAATAATCTAACTTTTTTCGTCTTCATTTAAACGAAAGCGTTCAAGCGCAGCTTGCACAGCAATTCTGAAATCCTCACTTATCCCTAGTTGATTTTCACCAGACATGACTATACGATTCTGAAGTAAAAATAAAAAAAATCATATTTGTTAATGTGTCGTAATATTTTCAAGGTTTCTGTTTACTCTCTTAAAAAGCTAATAATTAATTACAGAAAATACCTAATTAGATTAGTAAAAGTGCATTAACAAATATTTTAACTCTTCAAAGTGAACATAGACTTACAGTCTTGAACTGCGGAGAATAAAATGAGTAGAAGAAATGAAACTACCCTAGAAGACTGTTATTTCCGTTTCCGCTCGGCATAACTAAAATTGACTAAAAGTCATGTTAAGCTTTTTTGTGCCTTATCCTCAAATGATTAAATTTTCTTAAAGAAGTGTTTTACACTTATTTTATGAATTTGCGTCATAAAAAATTAATAAGAAAATATGGTGTTTATAATAAACGTCATTTACAATCAAAATTTAATTTTAAAAATAATTTAAGTCTTAAAATAAGATATAGCAACAATGAATAATTCTATTAAATATCTCGTAGCAACTATCATCATTTTAATTTGCGCACTATTTTTGGCAAATTATGTATTTGATGCACATGTTGAGAATACTTGCGTTTATGAATTAGTTCAGGAAACAAAATGCCTCTTTAAAAGGGATACCGAAGCTGATTGTAGATCTGAAAAAAGCCTAACTTTTGTTGAAGGATGGAATGGAACTGATTACGAAAAAGAGAATTTATATATAGGCAGATCAAACTTCTTTATAAGAAGGTGCTTAAGAGGACAAAAAAGAACAGAATGTTGCAATAAATGGATCGTTCGGGATGGTTGCTGCAGCGCAGAAGAGAAAACTGTGGCTCAAAAGATACTAACAAAACAATTCCTTAAAAGACAAATGAAAAAAGATGAGGCTACTCCTTAAATCGTCAAATTTTATACAAATAGAATACTTTTTTTTAAAAAAAAACATTTAAATAAAAACCTTAGGCCTAAACTAATAAAAATTCGTCTTCTTTTCTCCTTAACAAAGAATATAATATATATATAAAATAAATACTTAATAAATCTGATTAAAACTCTCATTCTCTTTCTTTTATTTCTTACTTATTTTATATTAGAGAATACAGGGCGTCCTGATTACTTTTCATTCAGTAAGCACTCAAAATAAGTAGTTGATCTATTTCGAAACTTCCGGTTGAACAGGCATCGTTAGAGAAAGGATCTTTATAAAATGAATAAATTAATTTGTTATTACTTCAATAAATTATTTGCATTTTGAAATCATACCTTCGTGTCACGGTCAAATTGAGCACCGCAATCTTCCTGTATTAAATTGTAGGGTAAAAATATATCTAATCCGTATACATTCGATCTTGTATTTAATACTATTCTATCTTCTCCGATTTCCAAATCTAATGTAGCCGCTGTTTTCTGAAAATTAATCTGGTTTTATTTATTCTCTTTTATAACTTAAATATACTAACAACTTTTGGTAATCGAATCTCCGCAATTAAGTAATTAGGATAACCTTCGGCTGGCTCTTGTACAATAGTATATGGTGGTTCAGGAAGCCTTTTAAGATGTACATAATCAATTAATACAAGATAAACAGTTATACAGCCGGTATTTACTTTTTAACTGACTCCCTCATTGGTGTTTCACTATCTTTACTTATCTCCGATACCATTCGACTTATTCCAGGAACTGCATCATCACCTATATCTTCCACTGGCCTTGATTTCGTCCTTAGATGTTGCTCTTGTAGCGTACCTACACTTTTACGATTTTTCAACATGACCCAATCTAGTTTAAGTACATAAATAATCAAATAAAGATTTAATAACTTAATTATTATCATATGTACTTTTATCTAAAGTAGTAGAATATTTATATTCAATTCCTTCAAGAGTAACAGTCAGAAAGAATACCATGAGCATTTGACTTTTTTGTATTCTTGTTATCATGTCAGGGTGTATTACAACGTCATAAGCAGTGCACCCTTTACCACCTATTTTCGAAAGTATAATAGGTTTATTTGCAGTCAAAGTCAATTGTATGAATAGTTACTTTTGTCAACTTCAGCATGAGGTTCTCCAATACTCATTGGTATTTTAAATCCACGTGGATCGTCAGATTCCAGTAATTCTACAAGTTCACTATCAGTCATATCTTGAGCACATGGTACCTAATAGTTATTTTAAGTAATTTATATAATTTTCAATATATTTCGTTCATCGAATACAAACTTTTGAAGAATGGCATATGTTAACAAAAACTTTGTCTCCTTTTTCGTTCTTCATCTTTACGCAAAAACCTAAATGTTTTTAGGAATAAATTAAATCTTGAAAATATTAACAAAGACATTTAACTTACCAGCTTCGGGGACTATAATCACAAAAGGATAATTTGGTTTACTGAAAGGTTGATTGCTTTCATTGTTATCCGACTGCGTAAGTATAAAAGCGTGTAAAGTGTTTTTGTCATTTTTAGAAGTAATTTATAAAAATACCTTAAAGTTAAGCTTATTTAAGAAGCCACCAGATTCTTCAGCTTCTAATAATTCCCTAGATGCCATATTAATACTCCTTCTTTGAAAAGTAACAAAATAGTAAAGATATATGTTTTAAAAGTCAATTTAGCCAAGTGATGCTGATGTTCCTAGTTTTATATAAGATGAAGATACGATCAATTCAAATTGGTGCATTAAATGTATGTGTTATCGATTAAAGGGAGAAATATAGTTAAAATCGGTAACAAAATAAAAGATTCACTCGAAAATACTCGAAAAAGAGGTATTCAGGAATATTTTGTAAAAAAAAACAAAACATTATAAATACTACCAGTTTCTTTTTATTTTATAGTTACCGCTCTGTTACATTCTACAATTGCCCTTCCCATTGAGAGTGTAACTATTATAAAAGTGTAAGAACATTTTATTACAGAATAAGGGAAATTTCTTGTCTTAGTCCTTATCTTAATGCTTTTGGATTTCAAAGAGATACACATTTTAATAGTTACTTCTTAAAATTACTTTTCTGTTTATATATGTCATAAATTTTTAAGATGAGAAAAAGAAAAAGCTACTTGGCTAATCAGCAAATTATCTTCCATCAACTCTTTCGAAGATTTAAAAATCTACCTAGACCTCTTCAGTTTGCTTTTACTTTAAGCTTAGGTACATCAGCCCTTATCTATGCATCAGTGATGTTGTGGTATTTTTCCAATGATCTAACCAATCCTACTTTTCTTGGTATGGACAAATGTAATGCATGTTATGGAAAAAAGCTTTGTCGATCATTCTTAAGAGGTGATTTTGTTCTAAAGGTAATAACTTTCATTTCAAATACTAATGATTCTCTAACAATTACGACCATTTCTAAATTTTAAGGGAGTGTCTGGAGTTCGGGTATTTGACCATGTCAACATTCAGAACGTTTTTTACGCTGTTGCAAATAATAGCATTCCAGTAGTTCTGAAAAAACTAGCTCATAATTCGGAATTTAGAGACATTGATACAAAAATATGCACATTATCAGGATTAAGATATAACTGTGATCTGGATTTAGCTTTATCCCGTTCTAAACCTTACAATGAGCCTCAACTAACAACTTATTCTTTAGGTTCATTCAAAATAATTTTGTCTATTTACTTGACTGTACATTTTATAAACAGAAAACTATTTTACACGAAGCATGCCATGCATGTCTCAAAGGTTATTGGACTATCTGCAACAACATTACGATGACGATTTAACAGACTTTAGAGTCTATAAGGATGCAAGGAAAAGGTTTATTTATACCTTTTCAGTTAATCCAGAACCTTTAATTATCAAGGTGTGAATAAAAATTTCTTTCTTGTATCATATTCCATATTTTCACTAAAACTACCATTTCATACTAATTCTAGGCGTTCCCGTATACCAAAGGATATCCCTTTCCAAAAGCATACGGTGCCTGCGGAAGATATTTAGTAACAGAAAACGCTGGTACCCGTTTAGCAGACTACTACAATGCACATTGGATTAAAAGAGTATGCTGACTTATATAAATAAATATATTATTTCTATAACTTCTTCATTTTAGATTGATATAGCATGGCAATTAATGAAAATTGCTGATAAATTTACCAAAGGATCAAGTGAGAATTTCAAATTCTACTGGACAGATTGTTCCTACGAGAATATATTTATTAATAACAAAGGAAAGGTTGTTATTGTTGATCTTGAAGATATCATTATAATTGATACAGCAAAGATTGAGAGAGGTAAATAATTAGTTTCATAGTTCAGTTAACATTAATTTATATCTTAATTCCTTATTATTAGAAAAGAAGGCAGGTGATTTTGATACAAAGTATAGTCTAAAATTCACTGAATGTAAATCTGGATATGGAGATTGTGTTGAATATTCAACTGAATCTTTATGTACGCAAAAAGAAGCGGATTTAAATTATTATGTTATTTGTAGAAATCTCTTGTCCTCTTATGCAAATCATCACCTCAAACCACGTGGTTTCTTACACGATCTACCCTCGAATATTGAGCAAGAGTATAAAATCAAAGGATTACTTGAAGATTGCGCTAATCCAACAAAGCCTAATGAAAGATGGATAATCAAAGACAAAATTTTACAAGTGCTAAAGGAAATTAAGGATAAACATGTTTAATTATCTTACGCCAACACAATTTTACGTGAAATACAAAGACAATTCGTATTTTACTCACATTTTCTACACAGTTTTCTTGCATTGTCTTTCCTCTTATGAAATGTTTATTTTTAGCATTTTATTTACTGTGATATTATTACTCACTTTGATAGTATTAAATTGTTTTTGCAAATGAATAGTAGTTTAAATACTGTAAAAGTAACTTTTTTAGTAAAATAAAATATTTGAATGCCGAAAAAGTAAGGCTCCCCGGCATATTGAGCAATTTCAGTTGTCAAATACAGCATGGAACCTCAAATCGTATCTTTTATCAGTTTTCACCAGAGCGAAATTAAACAAAACTACGAAATTCTTTATAACATTTTGTAATCTAAACAGGCAATCGTAAAATGACTGAAAATATGCTATTTAACATTGGAGATCGTCTAGTAGTAGATGAAGAAGTATGTACTGTTCGCTTTTTTGGCATAGTTGAAGGAACTAAGGGTAAAATAATACAATAAAAGTAATATTGAGTTTTTAACTCTTATGCCCTCGATAGGCAATTGGTTGGGCGTTGAGTGGGACAATCCAAAGAGAGGTAAACATTCGGGTGAAAAGGATGGCAAGTTTTATTTTAAAACTCATATTCCAAATGCTGGATCGTTTGTAAGACCAAGGCTGGCTCACACTGGCAATAGTTTAATGACGGCACTAAATGAGCGATACGGTATTGTGGAAAATGGGGGAGTTGATAAAGATCTATCAGTAAGAGGATCTAGGGGAAGAGAAACTGCAGTTGAGATGGTTGGAGCTGAAAAGGTTAACCAAACTATGAGTCACTTGGAAAATCTTGTCCAAATGTCTCTGGAAGGTTTTTATTTGAATAGCGTTGAAAAAAATAGTCCAATTCTGAAAAAGTTAAGAGTATTCGATTTTGGAAGGTGTCTTCTAAAATCTTGGGAAGAGGTAAATACTACCTTAATCGTTTTTAATCCCAAAACTTAATTATTTACTAATAAGGTCTCAAAATTCTTGGAGTTTATGCCAAGTATCAATGAAATATCAGTCTCATCAAATCTTTTAGACCTTCCACCGAATCCTCAAATGTTAAGTGAATTTTTCGAAAAAGTTAAAGTACTTGTTACGAATAGAATGTATTTTCGACAACTTCCTGAAATTAACTACTACACTTGGAATGAAGTTAAAAAATTAGGTCAAATTTGCAGAAACTTGGAAGAGTTATTTGTTTGTTTCAACAATATCACAGAGATTGATGATGTTTCAACGATAACAAACATAAAATATTTAAATTTAGAAGGGAATTCACTTGCAGATTTCAATCAAGTTTTAACTCTTTCCGAATTACCAAAGTTAGTAATAAAAAATTCAAAGAAATCTAGATATATTGTATAAAAATTAATATATTCTCTTTTAAATTTTATCTACAGTTTAACAGTTTTAGTCTTAAACGATACGGGAGTAAAAGAAGTAAAATTCCCTGAAAATTTTAATGGATTTTCAAAGCTATACGATTTATATTTAGATAAAAATCAAATAGCTGATTGGTTTAGTATCACTGAGCTTAGAAGGTTACCTTCATTACAAAAATTAAAGTTTTCAAAAAATCCTCTTCTAACGGAAGAAGTTGAAAAAACTGCCAGGTATTCTTTTACTATTACATATTAAACTATAACATAATATCTGTTAATTATTTCCTTCTTTAATAGGCAAATTATTGTTGCTAAATTAAAAAATTTAATTGACCTTAACCGAACACCTGTTACAAAAGTGGAGAGACGTGGCTCTGAACTAGATTATCTTAAAATCTACGGTAAAGAATGGAGAGCCAGTGGAGGACATCAGGATCCATCTAAAAACAATCCTAGCAAAGAATTTACAACAGAACATCCAAGATATCAAGAATTAATTGATAGTTAGTAATCTTTTTCTATCTAGAGGAAGTAATATATTTATACTTGGCTTTTTTTAAAGCTTATGATGCTCCGGAAGATAGCGAGTTAACGCAAATTTCTACTGCTTTAGAAACACAACTAATAGGTGGGAAAAGTTCGATTCAATCTTTTTAATCATATTGAAAGGCTCATATTTTCTATCTATCTAGAAATTAAGCTGAGATATGAACAGAAGTCGAATGGTGATTGGATAGAAGTTGGAAGTTGTAAGAAAAAAATACCAAGTATATAATCCTAAAATACTGATAAACACTTCATAAGTTAAACCTTGTCTTTGTAGGAAAAATGACGGTTTCCAAACTGAAGCAGTTGGCGGGAAAAGCTTTTCGAATTAGAAAAAGGATACACTTATCGTATTCGAGCGATCAACAACCTGAAAGCATACACGAACTTGATAAGGATAATCAAGAGATTGATTATTTTGCTGTCGATACAAATGATACTGTTCATGTTCGTCCTCTATGATTCAAATTAGTATTATAATATATATACAATTTTTAAAATGACTCATTTGAACGTTCTTCAAAGCTAAAAAGTAACTTTACCTTTTTAGAAATTTAAATAGATAATAATTAGTTATTTTTGAATTATATTACTTTTTCATATTCAATATTGATATGAATAAAAATATTTATCCATCCCAATTCCAAAACACTCTTGCTTGAGAAATTTAAACAAGCTGCTGAATTGACATTTATAATCAACTCCGCCCCGAGTTTAGTGCGAATCGCCGCGTGGACGATAATATGGGAAGATTCTGAATTTGATTGCAATTTGTTAAATTGTTCGTTAAAAATGGATTCAGCGTTGAAAGAAGTTGGAATCCCATCGAGTTCGGACCTCAGGGAAGCTTTGCAAAATTCCAACGACCCGATGCAGGCAATTGAGGACTTTCAGGTAAAGATTTAAAATTTGAAGAGATTATAATAGAGAACGAATAAGTTTTAACATGATTTATTTTTAGAATCAAAATGCTATGGTTTTACCCTCGTTAAGAGCCGCCTTGTCCCTATTGGATTTGCATGGAATTCGCCGTTCGACTTTTCATCAGTGCTTGATAGAAGAACTCAAAGAAAAACTTATTAATAAAATTCGAAATTTAGGGGATAGTGAAGATGAACAAGTATGCAAGCAGTTGCAACAAATTGTAGCTAAATCCTGGCCAATTGTCAGGATCCCTATACTACAACCTATTGTAATGGCAGCGTTAAGGCAACTAGGGTCCCGGACAGAGCCAAAAATTTTAAATGAAATCGTAAACAGTCCCGATTTATATGCTGTCGCTCCTGTGGAGTTAAAACGAGCTGTTTGGACAAAGGACGAAGAAAGATTCGGCGAAGAAATTTATCCTTTACTTTCTTCTTATACTAAATGGTGCGATGAGGTTCTCTCCTCTACTGTTTGTGTGTTAACTCAAAATCCAAAAACAAGAAGAGAGCCGTTAGCTGAAGTTGTTAAAATGTTAGGGGATAATATTCAACTTTATGATCAGGTACGTAATTCATAAAATTTACTACTTCTATTTCATCAATTATAACAAAATGAAATTTATCTTTAAAATAATAATTTATTATTATGCAACAGACTTTAACTCTCTTGAGATCACTTTATGTTCGAACGAAATCACCTCATTATTGTACACTAAGAGGTCAACTTTTAATGGCTTTGCATGACAACGATCGCTCACTCATTGTATCACGCGATCCTTGTCATAAATTTGCATGGTGCGTGGATGCTTGCGTTCGAGAGCGTTATGTTTCGGATAAGAGGTGTGCAGAGTTGATAGCATTTGTTGACTCAGTGAGAAGAGGACACGAAGAAGTTATAGCTGATCTAGCTTTAGTTTTAGCAGATCCGTATTGTTTACACTCTTTAGCTTCAACGGTGTTAACAGTGTTAAATTCTCAGCTACAGTCATGTTCATTACCAAGAGAAGACAATCATATCCTATCTTTAATTAGGTTACTTTTATTGGCAATGAATGCTTGGAGGTAGGTAGCTATCCATTCTTGACTAATCATATTTAATTTCAATATAACAGAGACTCTTTCATTATTTTAAATATCTAACTAATATCCTGCTACTTTGTCCTAGATTATTATCTGAAGAAGAAGCAATGGTAGTTAATCCAGATCCCTCAATAATTGTTCACTTTCTACCAATGATACAAGTTGTATGTGCCGATGACGAATTTCGCCTTTTAAAATCGAAATATCTACATTCTACTGTTAATCCTGACAACATACCAGCTGTTCTAGTCGCGGCAGCCAATGCCGAACCCCTTTGTTCCCTCTTCCTGTTACATTTAGCCGTCTTTCAGGCTGAGAGACAAGATAGTCAGGGAGCAGCAAGGACAGTTTGTATACTCTCAAAATGTGGAAATGACTGCTTCAAAGCCAGCTGGTTACACGTTTTAACTTGTGCCTTAGCAAAAAATAGCGACGTTTTGGCTTGCGAAAGAAGATTCCAACAAATTGTGGAAGATTTTTATTTAGCGAAAAAGGATGCGGGTTCAGAATTTGACCATGTCTTGATGCAGCTATGCTCTTTACTTCTTAAGGTTGGCCACAGGGCACCTTCAGCCAGACTTGCAGAAGTTATCGATATTATCTTATCGAAAGTCAGTGACACTAAAATCAAAGAACAACTTGAGGGTTTAAGATCAAAGATCTCTATAGAAGTAACTGAATCTAAATCTCCTACAGTTTAAAGTTGAACACTACTAGTGAACTTTTTATAAATGTATTTAGTCTGTTATCATTTTACAGGATACATTATAGAAAGATGTGGCTGTATATTTTTATATTTAAATCTTAAAGGTTATTAGTTAACTCAACTAATAAGAAGAAAGACACTTAACTTACGTCCTGTCTGTATATTTTTATATACGGGTTCATCGGATGAAAATATTCATAACTGGACTGTTATGGACTAAAAAATCTACTTTAACATTTAACTAGCGAGTACCATACTATGTTGGCCTCCTACAGCTACCATCGTAACCGTTTTATCTTCTAATTGTTTGCCTCCCATAAGCTCAGGTTTCCACCGGTCGTCATCTTCATCAGTAGAGCCAGTTTGAAGAGATGTGGCAGCTCCCCATGAATAAACTTTTCCATCTTTTGATACAGCCAGTGATACCGTTCCGCTTGCCCAAATATTTTTTACTTTAACATTGTCCTCAAAGGGCACTTCCGTTAAGACTTCTGCGTCATCCTTTGTCCCAAGACCTATCCGAATATTTTAGTTTTAGACAACGAAAAGGCTCAGCAAATACAAATTTTTTTTACCTAATCTTCCATATTCGTTTCTTCCTATTGAATAAACCTTTCCATCGGTATCTAAAACAATTGTATGATGAATTGCCCCAACTATTTCCTGAATGCTAAGATTCCATTTCTCCTCTGTAATACGTTCAGGGAAGAATCTATCTTTGCTATCTGGGAAGCCAAGATGCTTATAAACATTCAAGCCAAATGCGTCTAATCCTTTTCCAGAAAGGTAAGCGAAGGTTCCAAATTGAGCGGGAAATATATTTGTGTATTTCACACGTGAATTGATTTTACGTGGATTAAGAAAAACGTCTTTATGCCTATGGTTGGGAGCCATTCTACTAGAAACTCTACCAAGTTGCCCATTTTCAGCTACACCCATCGTGTAAACAGTTCCGTTCTCTCCTAAGATTGCTAAATGATTATCTCCGCTGCAAATCTTAGCCGCTTTTTGTTCCAAATTTACCTGTAATTAATTGGTGTTGTACATGACTACTTCAAGGCAAACGAAAAAACTGTTACTTTTATGGGTTGTTTTATGATATCTTGTAGATTTAGCATACCAAACCTGCCACTTTGAGCTCTGAACACACCCCATACATATATATCACCAGCATTGGTTAATGCTGCTGAATGGGCATCTCCTGCTGAAACCGAGTGAATTTTGACATCTTCTGGAAACTTAACTTCAAGAGGTAAGTATCCATCATCCTCACTGATATCTCTCCCGAGGGCTCCTTCATCATTACATCCCCAACTAAAAACCTTACCGCTTACGGAAACAGCCAGACTGTGCATACCTCCTGCAGCAATAAATACTATTTCTTCAGGTATATTTACTTTGGCTGGTTTTTTTCTCTCAGTTATTGAATCTCCAACTCCGAGTTGACCAGCATCATTTTGTCCGAGACAATAAACAGTTCCAGGTTCTTTGTAAACTTTTCTGCTACATTTCGGAACCGTCTCGACCTAATTTTGTTTAAAATGATGATTAATTAAAAAAAACTTTGTAACTTATCAATTATTACTTATAAAACTTTTTAAACATATTCACATTCAACAGTCAGGTAAAGGGGAAAAGAAATGAGGGTCTTTCGCGAAAAACGCTTATTTCTATAAGTATATAAGGCGTTTTAAAAATCTTTGCAACTTTAAGGATTATCTACCACTAGAGGCGCTAAAATGAACCTTAGGGTAAGTCCTATAGATGCTAACCCCCTTATAATGGAATATGAGGGAAAGTTAAATGAAAACGAGATAAAAAACAATTCATAAATTTCAAATGTAATCATTAAAACTAACCTGTGCCTTTTTTGATACCTTTGGCTGACGAGTCTTTGCGTTGTTATTTTTTACATCATCCTGAAAAAGTCACATATGTTCAATTTCGATCTTAGCATATTTTTCAATTAGCATACGAACGGCATCACTTAAAGATCGTTTTCTTGTGGCAACTTTGCCTCTTTTAGGCTTTTTAGGTTCCTCTTCCTGTAAATAAATAAAAATATTTGTAAATAAGGTTTTTACGACAATTATAACTTAAGTTTAAGGATCATATCTCATAAATTATAAACCGATCAAGATACATACAGGAACGGTCTCAGCCACAGGACGCTTTGTCGATTTTCTTGGCATTCTTAATTCTCTGCTTAAAAACCTAAGTATTATATATTACATATGTATTGTCAATGTAATATTACTCACTAGTATTCTAAATTCTCAATTCCTACTTGCTTTTTTTTAAATTTTTCTGACCGCGTGGTATCCCTTTCAAATTATAGTGAAGGTTGCGTCGAGGTAAAAGCGGTTCCTGTTCACGTGTAGATTTTTTGTCATTGATAACAGTGGGAATACGTATCCATACCATTATAATTAGCCCGCAGTAAATTTAGGAACGCTCGAAATTCGCTGGTAAATAGGTAACGCGGGAATATTTGGTAAAGTAATTGTTGTATATTTTGTTTAATTAGGCAATAAAATAATAAATTAACAGTGACAAGTACAGCATCTATACAGACTTAAAAGAGTTAATTTTTTCACAAATAGACTAAAATCCAGGAGTAGTATGAGATGACAGTCAAGATCAGGTCATGAGAAAAGCTGCAAGCAGTACTTCAGTGTAACCTTATGGTATTAACTATGCAATCCAAAAACACTCGTAGCAATATATCACAAAATATCTTATGCAAAACGATTTCACTTAGTTGTCAATGTTTTAATTAGTTCTTCAAGTGGCATCAATTCTTTTTCCTCAACCAGGTTGAATTCTTGAACGAAGAAAATAAAATGTTTGAACGAAGTGTTTAAGTGAGGTTCTTCCTTAAGGTTGATGACCTAGTCAAAAGAAAGTTATAGAAAATGTAAAAATGTAATAAATATTGCAAAGTATATTATAAGATATCATGTTACGAAAAAAAAACTACCTGGTTAAAATGTTCGTGATAAATATGTGCATAAACGCGAAACATTCTTTTCAGAATAATCTTTGCAATCGATAGAAAACTTTTAGGAAACGGCACCCCTGAAGTATTTATAAATTTCAATTAACGAGTAATGGGTGTTTTTGTAACAGTACCACTAATTAAGAGAAACTATTTTCTTACCAATTTTGGAGGGGAATACTGCTTCATCGTCAAGCTGGTCTTGAACCCAAGTCATTAGATAATCGATGTACTTTGGCGCTGAACATTTAATAGGTTTCTTTACTGTTAAACCATCAGCCCAGTGATATTCATATTTAGGTCCTGCTCTCATAATTGGGCAAGTTTTATCGGTACAAAATTCAGTCAATGTTCCATACAGCATATTTATTTGATTAAAAAAATCCACAGCTGTACAAAAAGAAGAAAACAAATATATATTAAAAGCATCCGATTTTACATGATTAAATGAGTGAAATGGACATTTTTTACATTAATAATGAGCAGTTGAAGCTATTAAATCAGAGATCGTTAAAAGTTATTTATAGCTTAAACGTTAATCTACGGTAAAAAAAGACGGATTTTTCAAGTGAAATATACTTATTGTAGTTTATATAATCTATTCGATGAAATCAATTGTAAAAGAAATTTCGTGTATAAGATAAGACACGAAGCCTAAATCAAATATATCTCTAAAGAGAAGAGATTATACAGTTTTCTTTCTTTGTAAATGATCTATTTAAGAGAAAGCGAAATATTTCTCAAAATGTTTAATAGGGATAAAGTTTCGAGGAACATACAGTTGTTGGAATATACATAAATTTCGTGACCTATATGTCTTACAAATAATCAAATTTTATTGATCCAAGTTACGAATCGTATGATTATTCTAAAAATAATTTAGAGGTTAAACTTACTGTTAACAGCAACCCATTCATTTATATCTTCACCATCAGGCAATTTTACAGCATCTCTTAAGTTCCCTGAGCCTAAAGTAGAAGCAGCATGTTTCATCAACTCATATTGATGACTTCCTTCCACAATCTTCTTCTTCGGCTTAAATGTCTTATTATTTCTTGAACCACTGTCGAATGAAACGTGCCACATTATTGAAAGTTGAATCAAGAATATTATTAGAGTTTGGTAAATATATGTCTCTGAAGATTGCGCACGTTTTATGACACAAAAATTTTTGTTTATTGTTCATCTCGAGATGTAAACAAACCGAAGTATAGAACACTTACAAAAGGAAGCTCATTCTGTGCAGGACGTTGTTGATTAATCTCGAAAGTTAACTGACAAGCAGCTCTTCTGTTACATGATTTGTAACTGTTGTCCGATTAGTGTTTTCAGCACTCTTATACGAGATAATTGTGGATTTAAGAAGCCTCCTGTTATATATATATAGTGTGGATCCCGTCTCTTTCATTAATAATTTCGCAAACTAATTGCCACTGACCCCCAAACCAGTCGAAAAAAATGTACAACAGTTTTTAGCTTAACTGTACTGGTAAAATATACTGAACACTGACAAACACTGATAAAAAGTGTAATAAATTCTTATCTTTTTAGCAAAGAGGAAGTTTTTATAAAGCAAGCTTTAACTAATACGACGTAAAAAGGAATTACTGTAAATAATTTATGATTTTTCAAAAGATATAGGTCAATTAAAATAACCAATTCTCAAAAATGATTTAAGCTTATATAGCAAAATTACTGTACCAAATTTCCAACTGACTCCACTTGAACTATAAACATTTGGTATAAAATAATCACAACAACGTTCACTTATTACTCACTCAACTGTACTTGATAGTTATTTTTTCATCATAATTTGCCTTATCTTAGTAGGGCAGATCTTCCGGCTATTGTTAAATAAACAATAATAACTTCCTGCTTTCACAAGTTTTCAAGTAAATAATATCAATCATAAATTTCGTAAAGAAAATTCACTGTTAGTAGGTCAACAGCATCACTTAATCCATAGTATTATTTAAATATTAATATTATTTTTTAACTGATTCAAATGTCATATTGTTAAGTTTGTTCTTATGTTTTACAAATTATTATTTATTTACCATTTTCATACACTTTATTATTCATTTATGATAAGATCTCGTAATTCAAATTGATATCTACTCTAATAATTGTAATATAAATATGATACATAACACTTTAAATTGTTCAATTACACTTATTTTACCAAGTTTGTCATGTGAGTAGTTTGTAATGAAAACTGTATTCTTTGAAGATGTTTACAACAAACACTTGAATTTATTCTTGTCTATAAGGGTGGCATAACAATTGATTGTTTGCTGCTTTCTTTCATTCTTTCTCTTAATAATATTTTTAATAATCTGATTAAAAGGTTCATAGTGAAAGAAAACTGCTAATATATGCGTTCAATAAAGTGACGCCTAGGAGTAGATCGAACGGTCTTGAATTAGCACGTCGAATCAAACAGGGTTTTCAAACAGAACACAAAAGAATTTCACTATAGGCCTAATGCAACTGGAATTGTGTTTGATTTTTCATTTATGCTCCTGGCTTCTCCTAGCAACGTTGGATTTAGTTTTAAAAAAAATAGAATCAGCCATTTTACAAGTTGTTTTAAAGTTTAGAAGAAAAATATATTTAGAAGAAATTTTAATAAATTCATAATCTTTTACTTTTATTTCGATATTTTTAACTGGAAAGTTAACAAAGTGAAGGAAATAAATTCTATTAATAGATTCTAATCTTCTTATTGGATTAACATCAGTGTTAATCACTTAACAAAAATATTTAAAGATAATATATTTATCTATTTTTTTATGGTATCTATCATTAAGTTATAAAAGCCATATGTCAAACGCCAGTAGTCTATTCAAAAGAACCATTAGTTCAGATGGAAGTATCTACTCTGCAGTTTTTCCTTACAAAAGTGAGTATATAATAGTTTTTATTTTAATTTATTTATGAATTTATATTGCAAAATGAATGTAAAAATTTATTTGGAACAATTAAAATAAGAGAATGTTTGAGTAAATCGATTGGTTGACCATCTTTGAAGGCAATTACAGCCGGAACTACCAGAAACTGATCGATGACCTTATTTACAAGGGTATTGATACTTTCTCTTCAGTCGATTATGTATTTTTCTTATTTTTCAATGCTCTTCCTCTATTATCAATTCACTTAAGATTCCACCTTTCTAAGGGTAAATATTTTTCAATTAACTTAATCAATAGAAAAGAGATAGATCTTATAATTTATTAACAGACATATAATATAGTAATAGAATCAAACTACAGTTTATCGTTATGTAAAAAATTCATGTGTAAATATTTGTCACCTATGAAAATCAATATATGGAAGTCGGATTAGTTTGCTCTCTACTTTTTCCAGCCAACCTTCTTCCATGGTTACCTTATTTAAATTACTTATCTACCATTTCTGTTTTGATTAGGAAAAAAATACTGTTTACTTTATGGGTAAGATATCTATTTTAATTAAAAGTTCAATTAATAAAGTAGTTTATGATGGTGAATAAATGTTGCAAAGAGCGACTTTGCAGGTAAATTATGGACATAATATATTCTTTTTGTAACGATTTATTAAAAGCAGAGTGTACTTAATTTTTCTTTCATATCTATCATAAGTTTCAGACAATTCTCTTTCAATTTAGTTTTAAATTTCATTTTTATTTAGTGGAGGCAGCCAATCTAAATCAATAGTTATAATTATACTAATTATGTATTATTTCTTAGCTATATTATATACAAATATTTAAAATACTCTTTTAAAACTTATCTAATGATCTTCTATACTAAAGAAGCTAGTGAAAATTTTTTTATACTATTTAATTTCTGAGATTATCCTGTGAGAATCGATCTATTTATATAAAAGAATTGTTAAATAAATTTTATTTTCTTTTTCAAGTTGAGTATTTCAATATTTCAAATATTTTATTATTTAGATTTAGTGAATTTGCTTTCCTGAAGTATTAAACTGTTTATTTTTTAATTTCTAACAGTTTATATTTTTTAAAGAATATATATCTTTTACCAAACGTAACTATGTAAACAACTGTTACATTAGCTTAGTAACAGTCAAAATGTCGATTTTCGTTGATTTACCAGACCCTAATATATTTCAAGAAATATGCAAAGGTTAATTATAAAACAAATAATTGATTTTGATTTGAGTTTCTTATTGCAAATTTTCTAATTTATTTGAAACTTTTCTAATTTAGACATATTATCGCCCTTTCAGAATTTTCCTCACGTAGACCGCCGTTCTATGATTATGAAAAAGAAAGAGAAAATTGTGTGTATAAAAAGTTTGATTCGTCAAAGCACTCTCCTGTCTTTTATGGAAAATTACACGCAAGGGTTGATGGTGATTTTTGCTTAGAAGATGAATTTGATGCATCCGTGTCTCACCCAGCAACGATAGGAGTATCACTTGTAGACGAACCAACACCTCCACCTCCACCTGCTCCTAAGAGCCCTCCTCCTAAAGAAAATTGTACGGCAAGAGATTATTGCCAATATTATATTTTGCCTATACTAATACCTGGAATGGAGAAAATGCTTGAACAAGCAAAAGAGGAGAAATGTTTTGAGGTTTTTCCCACATAAAAACCAATAATAATTGATAAACCTATGTTTTTTTCCTTATACTACAGAGAAAACGAACAAAATTTAACGCTCTTGATTTTCTCACACATTATTTGTATACGTAAGTAAACAAACAACATTGAATTTCAACAGTATATTGAACATTCATTCTTTAACCATTTTTAGGCACAATAAACTCTATACTGACAGAGAGGGAGTTAGCTTTGAGGAAATTCCATTTGTAAAAGAGCATTGGAAAACAAAGTGGGCGAATGCAAATATTATTCAATTTACTTTTTTCAATAAAACTTTAAATATTTCCCTAGTCCTCGTCCTCCTCTCCCATTGTCTTTAATATGGAACGAATCCGAAGCCTCTCTGATCATTCAATCGTGGTTTCGAGGATATAAAATTCGTTGTGAGGAGAAGGTCTCCGAACTGCGGCATTGGCAAAAGGAGTGGAGGGAAGATAACGAAGCCGCTATCAAAGCTAAAGTTCAAAATTTTTGGCAAGAAAGGGGTCAGTCAGATGACGATGAAGTTGAAAGTGTTGGTTTATCAAAACCATCTACCAGACCAAATACCGGAACGAAATCTGTTCACCCTACTGCATACGATCGAATGCACGATCCAACTAAACCAAGACCTGTATTAAGCGCAAAAAAGGATAAAGAGAAGAAATCTAACGAAGTAACGGAAGAAGTTAAAGAGGAACCTGAAGTGGAGGAGAAAGAAGTCGAAGAGGTTGAAAAAGTGGAAGTAGTTTTACCAGAGGTTCCTAAAGAAACTTCACCTAAAGCCAAGAAGAAGAGCGTGGGACGTCGTACACCAGAAAAAGTTAAACATTAGGGAGAAAAGAGAAACGAACATTTTCTTATCAAATTTTTTTTGCTATGAGAATAAACCAATAATAATATTGTAATATTTATAAGGATAGGGATAATTGAAGATTTTTTTTCTCTCTTTTTTTTATAAAGTAAAATAATAATAAAAAGCTTATATTTCCTTTTCATAAATCTCAAATTTAAGACATAAGTTTCTAAGTAAAAGTTCTAAATGATAAGATATTTGCCAAGAAATAATGATCTTCACTTTGCTTAAGAGCTTCTATAAAATTCCTCAATGATTCTGGACCCAATCTCATCAGCAAATGTATAAGCCTATTCACTCTATCATGTCTATTTGCCCGACACTTTATATCCAAAATCATATCTTCAGAAAGAACTTCTGCCTTCTCTAATCTTTGTAATAGGTGAATATCAAGGCGAAGGCAATCTAATAAAGTTCCTGAGCACTCTGACAGAACTTGAGTATATGGTATTGGTGGAGGAGTAGGAGTTCTTTGAGGTTGTATTTCTTCTTCTTCATCCTCTTGCTCTTGCTGTTGTAAGAAGAGCTCTTCGGCTTTGCGTTTCCGTTCCTCAGCCATTTCTCGTATCATTTGTAATTTTCTCCATTGCGAAACTATATGATTGAAAAAATGTTATAGAGCTCTTGCTGCTCTTCCTAAGTAATTAAATAAAACACTCACCTACGCTTTGCCAGTTTTTTATCTTTTCGATCAATTCTTCTTTACCTAGTTCATTTAATGCGCTAAAGAGTGCTTCTACAAAGAGAAAGTTTTCTTTGTTTTCTTTAATCTCAATTATTTCATCGTCCCCTTTCTCTTCATCAGCGGTAGTTTCTTCGGCAATATTTTCAATTTCTTCTTTGGTTTTCTCTTCAGTGATTTCTTCATTTCCTTTCATTTCTTCTTCTAATTCATTCTTTGGCTCAACTTCTTTTTCTCCCTCTTTTTCTTTTTCAGTATCTTCTTCTGATGCTCCTTTTTCTTTTTCTTCTGCACCCTCCTCTGCTTCTGCTTCTTCTTCCTCTTGTCCATCGTCTGCCTTATCGTTTTTTTTATCATTGTCGTCGATGGATATATCCGCTATCTTAATAGAGTTCACCGCATTTTGCCAAAAAGCTTCGCAAACAAAATTAATGTTAGTCTCACTCATTTCGTCCTCAGAAATACCGTCACTGTCAGGTATAAGACCGTCAACTAATTTATCCGCTAACTTTAGTTCGTAGACTACATCTTCAATAACTTTGATCATTTCCTCTTTCAATTCTTGCCGAAGAGTTTCGGTTTGAGCGAAGAGCTCCTCCTCCTCATTTTTTTCTTCTTCCTTTTCTTCTTTATTTTCTTCTTCAGGTACTTCCTCTTGTTGATCTTCTTCTCTGGTTTCGTCCATGTTTTATTTTATTCTTCAGTAGCTAGAAGGTTTGTATTACTTAGCAACAATAGGCTTAAACACTTAGCGGCAGATTACCTGGGGGACTCGATGTCAACGAATAGAATATTTTTCTAATCGAAATATTATTCTTCTTCACTTAAAAATGAAATTAAGGGATCAGATTTAATTTTTTAATTATTCTATCTTAATATTTTAAACGAAAAAAGTATTCCTTTCAAAAAACAGATTGGTAGTCTCTTTTTCTATGATAATTAAGTTCCAAAATAGAATAGCAGGCCTAAAATATTCACACTAGATAATGCTAATACAACCATTCAGTAATGATTTGGGAGTGAGCCAATTTCGTAGCTTTTTACGTTTTGTTGACAATAAAATAAGAATGGCGGGAAAGTTAATACCAAGAAAATAAAAACTAAGGAAAAATGATGCTTATAATAGTTTTATAGTGTTTTCTTTTTTTTTTAATAAAAAAACAGACGTTATAAAACTTTTTTTGAACTTTTTATTAGATTTATATTGAAATAGGTAACTTTTCTCTTTCTTTCCGTGGTTGAATAATAGTAATTGTTGATTATAAACTATAGCTATACAGTTTTTATAGCTTTTCAATTATGGAAATGCATAAATTGATCTATTTGCCATACATACAATATATATATGTATATAGATGTCAATTAGTAAAAACTATCGTTATATTAATGTAATTTGTGATTAAAGTAGTGTTATTATTTAATAAAACCATTCTTTATTTTTTCTTCTGGCCCTATAATCTACGCCTTCCATTGATTAGGCATACAGAACGTGCTTACATTTAACTTTTTTATTTGAGCAAGCATGAGTCAAATATTCAATATAAAGGCCTAACTACACCTACGTACAAGCGTTCGTATATAGTTGCAAGTAACTTTTTCTGTAACTCTATGACGTATTTAATTATCAAAAACTATAGATATAGTTTTACGAAATAACAAGTTAAATAAAATAAAACATTCTAATTGATAAAAGATTTCGATATAGGAACTTGTAATTAAATTCCAATGCAGTGTTTGAATAGTTTGTGTTTGTATTAGAGAGAAAAGGATATGGAGAGCTAAGCGAAAAACGCTTTAAGCTAATTAAAGATGAATTAAATAACGAGAAGTTAAAGTTATGGAGAACGAATTACAATTTTGTTCTAAAGATAAATATTGATTTTTTATAGTCATTGAAAATAGCGGCTGATAAAATTCTTATCTTAGCTTTTTGGCTTCCATTTGTTTCGAAGATGAAGCAATGCCAACTTGTATATCTGCTCCTACTAGTAAAATGTGTCTGTTTGAGCAGGTATGAGAAGATATATTTAAATAATTTCTGCTCAAAAGAATATCAATTCAGGAATAAAAGAAATATTTTATTAGAATTGCATCATCAGCAAATTCTAAATAAAGATGATAATTGTTTAATGATATTAAAAGCTCCAGAGAATATAAAGTTATTGCTAGATATTGTAAACTTTAGGATTGATTGTGAGAAGATAGGATTTAATATGAAAGTTGGAGAGATAAATATGAATTGTCAGAATCTGCAAGAGAATATAAACAGTCATATAATTTCTTCTAATATCTATATCAGTGTAACAAACGGAAGTGATATTAAAGACAATAGGACATTTCAATTTTTAATATATCAAGTTCATCATGACAATTGTAATAAGAAAATTTGCTTGAACATATTTAATGAAAATACTACTTCTTCCCGTAAGAAATTTTTCAACTATTGCTTTTACTGATCAAGTAGATTATCTGTTTGTTGCGTAATAATCGCACTTAAATTCTTTTTAATAATTACAAAATTTTGACTTTTATAGCAAAACGAAATGTACGATTATCGAATGCGGCCACATTGGCATCTATAATATTCTCTTTATTTCTACTCATTATTGGATTGGCAGTTGTTTTTCGCATTTGTAAGAAGAGAAAAAAGAACTCTACTGCTCTCAGAAGTAGCAGTAACTCAGTTCCGCCTTCTCAAATTATTTCAAACGAAAATTTAACGAATGATATAATGGTAAGAAATCTTATTTATTCCGCTATCAGATAATTCTTTCTATATGCTTTCTATTTTCGTCTAGATCTCTCCACCTCCGTATTCGGTGTCATATTCATCGCCGTCCGATTTCGTCATATTCAACGCGCATCCAAACAACTCATACGTAAATAACGAACCACCTCCATCTTATGAACAGGTGATAGCGATGCCTCAAAGATTATAAATTGACTATTCTTATAATTTATAGAAAAATCTCCATATACTCTAATTTATTATAGTACATTATAAAATTTATGTAAAATAGAACGTCTCTTTTAAATATAATTCATTAAATTAATTAACAATTAAACTTCTAAACTCATCGAGTATAAATTTAGGAATATGAACTTCTAAGTATTTCTTCTCTAATCCACCATACTTTGCAAAATCTTCAGTAAATGTTAAACAATTCGTTAAATCGGGAGGCCAATCAAAAACTTTTGCTCTAAATTGATAATAGAAACAAGTATATATAAATAAGTAAATAAATAAATATATATACATATATATACAAATTTATTTACCCTGGCAAAGATTCTATTTGAAAGTTAACGATAGCAGCCATATAAGACAAAAACTTATTCATATTGTCTTTATGAAATTGTTTTAGAATGCTAAATGTACCAATAATAAAGGGCGTTCCATCAATGCTATCAGATAACTTTCGAGAAATTAAGTTACCTATAAAAAAATGATTAAAAGTTTATGAATATTCATATATTTTCATGTATATAGTATTTATAGATTGTATTTACCAGCTGATTTGGAATAAATTAACTTCGGTATGTGATTCAATACGACAAAGAACATAAGTAGCGGAAAATTAATATTAAATTGAGTAGCATTTGTATAAATCTATTGGTTAAATGGTAGTTAAATAATAAATATATTAAAAGCGATAAGAAAAGTATACTTTAGTCAATGGATTACTCATTCCACAATTGTCCAAATAAATTGATAATTCATATAATAATGGATTTTCGTCCTTCGGATATGGTAACGAAGGATCTTGATAATGGCGTTCAATATCGGCTAACAGTCCCCTAAGGAAAGAAATTGATTATTATTTATAAAATAAGTGACAAGTTAAACAAAAACACAAAAAAAGAGAAAGAAATATTTAATAAAACAAACTTATTTAATGTTTCCAAAGCGGACGATAAAAATTTCGATTGAAATTTACAAGTTGTATATAGTTCATGAGTTATTTGACGTCTTAAAATTTGTAATTGTCCAATCTTTAAAATAATATCAAGAAAATACTGCCAAAATTTACTTCCTTTGTAAATGAAACCGTTTAGTTTATTAGTTGGTACTGAAATATAAATATAGTCTTATATTCTATATTGTAGAGATATATTTTAATATATTTACTATTTTTTGATTTAATCATTTGATTTACTTGACTTAATGCTTCAACCAAATTTCTATCGTTTTGAACATTTTTCTATAAACGAAAATATCATTACAGTTATAGAAAAGATAGAATATAAATATATAATATAACAAACTTTTATAAATATCGATATATTTTGCATTTCCTGTACGATCATAAATGAAAAAAACCTATCTAAACCGCCTAAACCCCATGTTCCAACGCTCTTTTGTAATTTTTGAAATAATTTCACATTTATTACTTCTACTTTTGTTTTTGTATCGTACCAAGAATTTGTTTGATCAATATAACTTGTAGTTCTAATGAATAGATTAATTATTAATTAATTTAGCCTTTAAATACTTTAAATATTATATTTTACTTAGCATCGGTCATTCTTAAGATCTCTCTTGCTAATCTTCCAATAAAATTAACGGATTGATCAACAGATCCAAATTTTGGAATAGGAATATCAGTTGATTGAAAGATACTCTGCCAATCTTGTACCTTAGTTCTAAGGAAACTGTTGCATTCCTGCTCAACGTTGTAATTAATAATTCTACTCATTTCTTCTTGCCAAATTTTTAATCCATAAATATTAACATAATCCTGAATATATTCGAAAGATCTCCGATATCCGTCCATTTTTTTAGCAACATGATCCAATTTGATTGTTAGTTCCGGTGTCTACATGAATATTATAGAAAAATAATAATTTTTCTACTTTTATAATAAACAGTAAATCAATTTAATTAAATTTAATACTTTTGCCTTAGGATTAAAAACAAGTCCGGTATGTAGGGCTAATGCAACTTGCTTCACTAATTCTTTTCTAATACCATCCTCCAAGAGTTGTTTTGGGTCGATCTGTGAGTATTTTTATTAGATTTTATTAATTATTAGTCATTAACTATAAATATTAATTAACCTTTATTATTCCAACTAATGTTGTTTTCATCATAAGCATACCCTCGGTAAAAATGGATATAGCGTGAGTAAGACGTGCAACTTCTTGCCTTTCTTCTAATTGGGCAAATTGACGCATTTTGTCTTTATCTAATCTAGTAGGAACCTATTTAAGAAAATAAATAACTATTTATAACTCTTGACAGCAATATCGTTTTTTTAGCAAACCTCTTTTATTTTACTAGTTTGTAAGTCAATAATTCTAGCTAAAAGTCCAAACATTGTCTCTGGAATGATTTGTAGGACTTTCCGAACATATGAAACTAATTCTCCCGAATAATATCGTGAAACGCTTAGGAAATCAGGACTTTCGGATTGATTTATTCTTAAAAGTGGTAAATCTAAGGCGGTTGATAACTGTTGGATAGATTAGATTTATAGATAACCAAAACTGCATACTGTATAATAGATATATTATTTATGCAAACTTTTAAGAATGCAGCCCGAAGTTTTGTTACAAGGAAAGGATCCCTCTTTAAACCATTCTGCATAATTTGGGTATAGTTATCAATGATTATCCACGCATAAGACAGATCTCCAATAATTTGCATATTTATCAAAACTTCCTCTTTTATATTAATTATTCTAATCATTTTGTATAAATAATCTCTAGTATCCGTAAGGAATTGTTTAACTTGCATATTACTTTCTAATTGGTGAAATTCTTGAACCTATATTTTAATTAATTATATTATAAATGAATAATACAATTATCAACTAAACCTCTTCTAAAGCTTGAATAAGTTGAACAATTTTCCTTCCAGCAGCAGTTGAATTATCATAACTCAATGATTCAATTTGTTTAGCCATTTCGTTAAACCAAGTTTTGAGATTATCTTAATAACATTTTGAATTAATTATAATTTTCAATTGTTAAACATTTAAGCCTAATAAAATTTACCATTTTTCTCAATTCTAGTCAAAGGTTTTGTGCCAGAAAAAACTTCACTTAACTCTTCAATTCTTTCTTTAGACTCTTTTTTTGAAAATTCCCATTTAGACTCTTTTTCGTTTAATAGTTTTTTAAACATCTATTAGTAATAAATATTAATAAATACTTAAGCAAGATACAAATTAATTAATAATATTAAGCCTTTGCTAACTAACCTCTTTCAATTTAAATTCTAATTGAGCGGTATTTAACAATAATTTAAATATCATATCAAAATTACACTTTCCTTCAGTCATAACTAGATCTCTAAGTTGTTTACAACGTTTATTCAACTCCATATCTAAAAAAAAATGGCATAAAATATTGAGTTATAGCTTTTCATAAATGAAAAATATCATGTTTTTTTTAATTAAATAACTTACTACTAGTTAAAATATTTGTATGAAGCATCATCCATCTTAAAGTGACATTAGCAACTCGAATAAGATTCAATAGCTTTTGAATTGAATCTAAAACATAATCTTCCCTTAGTACACCTTCTTGTAAACATTTCTTGCATTTTGGTAAAAGTTCTTGCGTAAGTTTTGATTGTTTTGAAGTCTGTTTTAAACCGTGATATTAGTTAGATATTTCTTCAGATTAATTTTGTACTTACAATGTCTTTAACATTTTCTGGTAACAGCGTATTGTTTAAAGCGTACATAGCCGCTTTATACGGTTGCCAAGCGTCAATTAAATTAACAATAATTCCCATATAAACACTTATTACCCAATTATCAGGAAAGTATTTATCAACGATTTCTCTCATCTTGGCGGTATGATTATTAAGAATATCGGGTGAGAAATATAAACAAACATAGAGCATTGAAGCTTGGGTTGCTAAAGCAGTACTTCTATGATCGGGCAAAGGATAGGCGGCAATCTATAAAGGAAAACTTTTTAAACTAGTACCAGAAAAAATTAGAGCCTTACTTGATGATAGATATCATCTGATCTTAGACAGCCTAAAATCATCGTAATAAATGTTGAATTTAATGGTATCCGTCTGAAAAGAGTATGAATAACTATAAAATTTAAATGTTCTACGTTATTATTTGTTAATTTATACTTAAAATAATTTTCGGGATACAGCGGTGGCCTCTTCGCTCCATTAGCCATGGAAAATCCAGTATTTCTTAATAACTGACATACATCATCAACGTTTGACTCGGACGAAGATCTTGCTCCGCTAAAATATATAAAGCTAAAACAAAAAACAAAAGACAAAAAACGATAAGATTACCTATATCTATAATAAGAGACGAGTATCCTTTCTCTAACAATTCCTTCGAATTTCATATCGATAATAAGAAGCATAACTCCATAAAGATATAATGATTCACACTACGTAAAAGAGTAAGATTATTAGTTATAATAATGATAATTATTTCAGTATTAATAATTAATTAACAAACCATCAATTGTTTACCATCGCTATTCAAAAGAACCGATTCTAGTGTTTGTTGTATATAGATTCCATCATCCAAATCTTCGATAAATCTATAAGTTTTGTTTGAATACAAAAATTTCATAAATAAATAAATAAATTGGTTAATTAATTAGACCTTTTTAAATCTGTAACATATTTATGAACACCTTCAAAAGCTCCATAAAATCTCGTCAAAATGTCTATATGATTTTCTTTTAGCTCTTCATCCAAATCTTCTAGACCCTTTTTGAAAATATTTCGCATATTTATTAAGTACATTATTAGAAAAATGAACATCATTTAACTAATTCAAAAATAACTTAACAAATCTATTTAAAAGATTAATAATTGTTAGAGCGATGAGTAGTGGTGGTGGTCAATTTACATCTGAAAGTTTGCTAAATTCAACAAATTCAACGAATATCCCAGACTATAGTAATAATAATAATAGAGCAATAATGTTGACAATGGTAGCATTTGTGCTGTTATATATGTCTTTGGGTGTGTTTATATCAAGTATATTTCATGGTGTAACATTATCAAAGATTTCAATTGATGGTAAGAAATCGAGTGGTAATAATCTAATTAAATTAATATTTAGTATTTATCTATGGCCGTTAATATTCTTTTGGAAAATTGGAATTCTTTTATATTATCCGTTCTTTAAAATATTTACTAAAATATGTAAAAAGTCCAGATATCCTCATTCTACTAGTGATGATGATTTTTTCTCCGAAAGAAACTCACTATATAATTCAAGTAAAAATGATAAATTAATCGTTTATAAAGTTGATAATGATAATAGACCTCTATCTTGTAAAGTAAAACGTTAAGTGATTGTTAATTTAATACTGTAATTTCTAATTGAGTTACTTACTGATTTGCTAATAACTTTATTTTCGAATACTTCTGTAGTTCTTAGATAGCTGAAATCGCATACCAATTCGTTGTATTTCGTTTGTTCAGGCGTTTTGAATACATTTGGTATAAAATCTGATAATCTTAGTAATTCTGCTATTATTGCGTTTCCTCTTGCAACAAGACGAAGAATAGTTTGACCACAATGATTATTTTCAGCCAAAAAGTCCATAATTTCTTAAGGGGTGTAAATAGCAGACGACAAATTTACAAATAAATCTCTCAATATTAAGCTTTTCGCCAGCTTTTGTTGCTCTTATAAGGTTACTCAAATTTGCTTGTTTATTTAATTGCCTTTGTAATTACGAATAATAAATAGCAGCAGTATATTCACAATTTTCCAACTTTCTGCTATTAAGCAATACAAAGCGCCATCTTGGCAATCTGTCATGTGACATATAGTAAAACAGAAGTTAGTAGATATGAAACTGTACTACCACGTGATTTGCGCCATTTTTTCGATTTCATAGTTATATATAACTATGTTAAAGAAAATATGCATCCTTCTTCTACAAGTATTAGAGCAAAATAGCTAAGAACAAAGGATAAATACAACTAATAAACTTTAATAGATTTATTAGGTTACATTCCTGTTCTAATATTTAAATGATAGAGAAAATGATGACAAACTTGATAGACTTATTATCAATTATTAATTATTTTTTGCTAATAAGGTATATTTAATATATGAGTATAATATTTAACGATTAAAATTCTTGTTGGCAAGTTTTAATTAGGTCTATAAAACAGACTTGAGAGAAGTAGTCAGTAACTTGTTTTATTTATATAATTGTAGATTGTGCTCAAAAATATTAAGAAGGTATTAAAACAATGTCTGTATTGTAGGACTAAAAATTTCTAGTAAATATAAAAACTAAGCGAAATTAAAATGTAAAATACAGATTTAAAGAGGAGATTTTAATTGTATTAAAGGCAATGTTATCATATTTTGTTGGTTGATAGTAATAGTACTATTGTAATTTAGTTAAGTAATACAATTTTATATTCTTTGTAGACGCTCTACCTTTAAAAGATTTACAATATATTTTTAAAAACCATATATGAAAATGTACAAGCCAACTAGAAGGGTAACTGTACATAGAGGAGATTGGAAATGTATGTAAGTATTTCGGAAAATAGAATAATTACTAATTTAAAGAGAATTTAAACAAATTCTAGATTCTGTGGTAAGATTAATAAGAGATTTTATAAAATGTGCTTCGGTTGTTCTGTTAACTTGGACACTTGTAAGTTAAGATACGGATACTTGGACGATTGGACCTGCTGGTTTGTATTAACTAATAAACAATTAGGATAACCATATATTCTTTAATATTAAAATAAATTATATACATTAATAGTTGTTGTAACAATTACAATATCTCAACGGATAGATGTCATTCATGTAGTAAAGATAAAACCTCTCAAGATGTTACAATACAAAGTGGTTGTATACTAAGAAACGAAACTGAACAAATGCTTCTTCTAATATCAGATCCTCCGTTTATTATTTATTTTAAAAGGAATATGCACAGAAGTCAACTTCACGATAAAGTAATAATAATTTAACTAATTATTTATCTATTAAAAATATTTATATTATATATACATTAAATTAATTAACAGTAATCCTACAGATTATCCTAAAAGAACTAAGAAAGCTTGGTAAATTTAAGCGCAAACTTGAAAAAAATCAGTAATAAAGCAAACTAGCATTTAATTAAATATTTATACTGAATTGTTGATAATCTCCTGAGATTTTCAGATATATTTTTATAGAATATAGAAAAAAGAAAGAAGGCTTATTGGCTTGTGAAAAATTTCATAAAATATTCGGTTTATTTAATTGTAATAGCATTGATGAAGTTATTGCTTTGGACGAGTTTGAGGAGTTAAGTAAGTTATTTATCTGTTTTTATAGGTGTTTTTTAAATATTTAAACTAATAATGATAATATATACTAATATATATATATATATATACAGCCGCGGTCATAAATATCTATACATGAAAAAAAAAATTTTTTTTTTCTATAAAATAATTTTTTTTTGGATTTCTTCAACAAAATTGTTTGTTCTTTTTTTAAATATTTGTTGAAGAATATGTTATAAACCAGAAAATGGATTTAGTTTACTGAAAAAAATATTCTTATATAAAAAAAAGAATGTTTTTTAATTCTATGTTTATTTATCATTAAAAATAGTCCCAAAAAAAATGGCCAAAAATATTTATATAAATTTAATTACATAGTTTGTCAAGGTTTTTTTTCTAAATTTTTGCGTTTTGTCTCAGTCTAAAAACTACTTTTTAATTCTGTTTCCTTTATTGATAATAACTTGCCAAACTCTCTCCCCGATTCCTCTATATAAATTTTTCACAAAATCTCTATTGCTTGTATTGATTTTGTCCACCTCTTCCTGTATCCTGTCCCATAAATGGTCAAGGGTTTTTGGTGTTTGAATTTCATACACTTTAATTTTTAAATAACCCCACAAATTCTCTATGGGGTTGAGGTCTGGAGAGTATGGAGGCCAATCAAGGACTTGAATTCCATTCTCCTCCAGGATATCCATTGTTACTCTGGCAGTGTGTGGGGGTGCATTATCCTGCTGAAAGGTGAAGTTTTCTCCAAATTTTTCCCTCAAAATTGGGAAAACTGTTCCCTGAAGAAATTCGGCATAAATCTCTCCAGAGATGTTGGAGGGAAGTCTTTGGATAAAAACTTCACCATCTGAGGATATACACCCCCACACCATCACTCCTCCTCCACCAACTGGAAGCTTATCTCTAAAGAGCCTTGGCCTGTCATTGAGCTGCCAGGTTAACAGATGATCGGGACCATCCAGCGAAAACCTGGACTCATCTGTGAAGACCACATTTTTATATTCAACTTGGCTCTGAATCCATCCACCCAGTATATTTAATCATGTGGTTTTTGCTCTTGCTGACAAAGGGCATACCTTCAAAATGGGCAGATACTTTGCTCCATTTTTATTTAGAATCCTTCTAATGGTTCTTTCAGAAAGATCCAGGCTTAAGTTATCCTTAATTTTTTTAGCAGTTGCCAACTCTCTTTTTTCCTGCAATCTTATGCATTCTCTTTTAATTAGTGACTTCAGTCTTTCACTGGCTTTGGATGGTCTTCCCCTTTTGTCAGGTTTTCCTGCTCTTTTGTTCTCACAGATATACTGGAGTGAAGGTTTTGGGATATTTAAGTCCGCCTCAAGTTCTTTATAGGTCATTTCAGCTTTTTTCGCCCTTGCTAGCTCTCTAATTTGAGAATGATATTTCATTTTGACAAAGAAATGTAAGTAATTATCTGAGGAGTCAGATTTGTTCTAAATTCAAATGTTCTAAAAACTATTTAGACAAAAAACATGTTTTTATAGATATTTATGGCCATTTTTAAATTATATAATTTAATTGCAAAAAGCACTTGTTGTCTAAAATTAAAAAAAAAAAGTACTTTTAAAAGCTGAAAAAAACAAATGTTGTATGAAATTACATAAAATACCCTTTAAACAACATCATTCTATTTAAGAAAAATAATTTTATTTCTCAAAATTAGAGAAAAATGAGTTTTTAAAAAAAATATTTTCTTTTTTTTCATGTATAAACATTTTTGACCGCGGCTGTATATTTGTCTATGTTCATTATAGATTAATTAATTTAACCAATTCAACACTCTATTAATAGATGTAGAGCTTAGTAGGACGATTGGGCTCTCAAAAGCTTTAAAGAAAATGTCTGAAATTATAGAATATGTTGAAAGTCAACGAAACGATTTGATAAATAACGAAATTACTAATATACAAGAAAAATTTCCAAATTTGAATCAAAATTCTTTAATAAGAATTTATGATAATCTGATGAAAGATTATCCTAATCTCTTACAATTAGTAAAATCGTTAAATATACCAGAGATTTCTGATATGAATAGAATTGATATAATGATAAATATTATTGAAAATTTCAATAAGAATCGAGTATGTAATATATTTTTTATAATTAATATTTATTACAATGTTACAATATATTACAGTTCAATATTCATCCTATAACTCCAAGAAATAAAGTTGAAGATGGAGAAGTTCTTCAAATTTGTGTATATAGACATTTAACTTTCAATTCTCTCTCCCTTTTCCTTATTAAGGCAGTTAATCAAAACAAAAACTTTCCTTAGGGAAAAGAAGATAAGAAAGAGCTTGATGAAAATAACAGGAAAACTAAAAATATGTCAGTCAGTATTTAAATTCTGTTTCTGTCAGTTGATAACTTAAAATGATTCTTTTTAGAGAAAGAAAGTAAAGAAGAGAAGGAAATCGAAGAAGAAATTTTGTAAAGGTTGCCGTGCGAGATATAAGCTAAAACAGAATCAAGACCATTTATTGCAAATGCAAGCAGTTCGAAATGTTTTAACAAAAAATGCTAAAGCACCTGCTGAAAATTCTCTACAATTGCATAAAGAAAGAAAACGAATTTCATCAGCAAAAGATGATTTGGTTGTAAAGAAAATTAAATTCGAAGAGAAGAAAATGGACAACGACGAGCAGGAAAAGAGTAACAAAAAAAATAGTGATAACGAATTGCAAATGATAAACAATTCTAAAGATGAAGAACGAATAGGTAGATAATAAAATATACCTTAGATATATAGTATAAGTGTATAGGTACTCGGGAAAAGCATTCTAGTTTTATTAGGTCTACAGAACTTTGGTCCATTGTTTTCTAGATAGACTTGATTTGATATACAATACTTAATTGACAGTATCATTAAAGTACAACTTTTATGTTCTATTTTGCTTAACGATATCCTTGCGGTAATTGATTAAAATCATTTATGAAAACAAGTCGACTAAAGTATCGGCTCAATATTGATTGAGTCTATCATGGCAGTAATTTGTAATCATGGTAACACGTGTAGGTTGTATTCATTAAAAATGCTAATAACCTGCGCTGTATTTTTATATCTCTATCATATCTAATTTATCAATTGAAAAAGCTGTGGTTTTTTACAAAAAGCTACACCAAAGTTCAATATTCATTATCTCAATAAAAAAGCGGAAGTGGTTTATTTTTCAAAAACTTCTTGAAATATTCATTAAACAAAATATTAATAATATATACATATATATCTCATCCAATTTCTGCAGATAGAGTTGCGTCTCCTCAAACTACAACTTCCGATTCGACATTCTGTAATGAGCCAGTAACTAGCGACAATGTTAACTTGAAAATAGTCCAGTAAGATCTCTAAAGATCGAAAATGATCTATTTTTATTAAGTATTCTTTAGATATTTTAATAATTGTTTGTTTACTACTTAAGTAATATTTCTACGCAAACGAACAACGCGGATAAAACTAATGATATTAACATTACAGCTTCACTTACGAAACAGGAAGGAGAAACAGAAGTATAAATTAACGTATATTCGCTTTTTCTCTGTATATAATTATAAATCTATTACAGGAGTACTTCGAATTATTAAGGTCATCTATAAACTTATTGGAAATGCTAACAAAACAGAAGAAAGATAAGAAGATGTTGAAAATCTTACATAACAAGCTGAAATCTCATTATTACCTATTTATTGATACTTTAGATTCTTTTCTTAAATCTATCTAAATTATAATTAGTCAGTAAATACTCTATTGTTTTAAATAAAATGTATATAATACTCAAGTTACCGTGTTTTTATTATCCTACATTCGGAACTCTGTTTACTCCCATTGTTATTTAGACCTACCCATATTATATTCAGCCAACAAATAACATATTGCAGCAAGGCCATAACCTATTCCTCAAAATAGTAGTAAAATATTCATTACATTGCTCCTCTATGATTTTCCTACAAAGATATAAATAATTATATACATATTCAGCAATGAATAAGATGATAAAAGTTGTTTTAATAACTGGAGGAGGAACTGGAATTGGTCGGTCGACCGCAGTTGAATTCGCCAAAAAGAACTACAAGGTTGCTATAATTGGCCGAAGAGAAAAAAAACTGAATGAAACTATTGATCATTGCATTCAAGCTGGTGTAAAAGAAGAAAATGTTTGAAATAAATTATGTATTCTAATGATATCTTGTTTAACATTCATTCATAATTCAGATTAAAGCAATAACTTGCGATGTCATGATAGATGATCAAGTGAAGCAGTCAGTGAAACGAACGGTGGATTGTTTTGGTCGGTTGGATGTTCTTGTAAACAATGCTGGCTCTTCCCTAATATCGCTATTAAGTAAAATGTCTCTGGAAAACATGGAATACATGTGGAGACTTCATACAAGAGCACCGTTGTTATACATGCAAGTTTCATTACCTCATCTACAACAGAGTAAGGGAAATATCATCAATGTTAGCAGTTTAGCATCTGACAGTACAGTGGTAAGAAAATATTTCTTTTTCTTTAATATATTAATATGTTGTGTAGAAAGAGAAGTATACATTTAATGAAATTGCATAAAGTTTTATTCATAAATATTAACTTTTACCAATTTTAATTATAAATATATCAACTTAAGTATTCAGGCCTAAGTCCTTATGTTCTTGGGAAATCTGGAATGAATACATTAACAAGATTAGCGGCTCAGGGTTTGTTTATAAAGAATTTTTAAATAGTTACTTTCTTTAATTGTCATTATTTACGCTTGAAATAGAATTTGGCATGAAAGGTGTAAGAGTTAACGCAGTTTTACCCGGGACAGTAAAAACTGATATATTTTTTAATAATGGAGGAAAAATGTTAGATGAAAGTGAGCTAGAAAAGTTTTTAAAAGATGAAGCAAGGAAAACACCTATGGGCATTATTGGTAGAAGTGATCAAATAGCTAAAACTATTATGATGCTAGCCGATGACGAAATAAGTGGATTTACTAATGGAGCAATGATTAGAATTGACGGCGGGAGACATTTATTATCGAAATAACAACGCTATTTTTATTACCAGTTTTTATAAGAAATATCTAAAACACTCATTTGTTTTTAAAGTAGTTCAGTTTTTTCTCTTGTATCGTTCGATATTTTAGTCAGAGCTATGAATGAGTTACTAATAAATCAATACCCAATTAATATAGCTGCACCTATGGTTAGATATTCAAACTTACCATTTAGAATGCTAGTTCGGAAATACAATTGTCATGTTGCTTATTCATCAATGATAATTGCCAGTTCATTTGTAAACTCAACACGTGCTAGAAATCATGAATTTCATACAAACAATGAAGATAGACCATTAGTTGTTCAATTTGCTTCAAACGACCCTGACGAGTTTGCTACAGCCGTTGAAATAGTTCGAAACTATAGTGACGGCGTAGATTTAAATTGTGGTTGCCCTCAAAGATGGGCTATGCAGGAGAATTATGGATCCGCCCTTTTAAAGTACGTTGTTCGTTCTTGTAATTGAAGTGAATTTATATATTATTTTATCATTAGATCGCCGGAAACGGTATGTGATTTAATTAGCACTGCGAGGAGAAGAGTTAATATGGATAATTTTACTATTTCCATTAAAATACGAATTCTTCAAGACATGTCCAAGACGATAGAGTTAGTAAAAAGAGCTGAAAAGGTTGGCGTTTCTTATATTGCAGTTCATGGGAGAACACCGAAGCAAAGAAAAGAGCCAGTTGATATTGAGGCTATCAAAATCATTAAAGAAACTATAGCAATTCCAGTTATTGCTAATGGTGATATTTTCACTTTGGAAGATATTAATAAGATATACGAAGCAACCAGAGTTAATGGGGTAATGGCAGCTAGAGGTTTATTAAGAAATCCAGCAATGTTTACAGGGAAAGCACAAACAACTTCCGAATGCATTAGCGATTTTATAGATTTAAGTATAAATCTTGGTATGTCGTATTCAATTTTTCACCACCATTTAATAGATATGACGGAAAGTTTAATGAGTAGAGAAGATAGGAAATTATTTAACTGTATAAATTCAGTACCAGGAATTTTGAGTTTCTTAAAGTCATTGGAAATTGTACGTTGAACTATTTTATTACAACCAAAACAAAGATAACTGTTTTTTAAATTTTCAAAAACATAATTGCAAGCCTTTTTAAAAAACACATTGAAATGTCTCAAAGGAATATCTCTAGAAAAAGGTGGATAAAAGGTCAAAGGTCCATGTCTTATATCTTAAGTGACAAGCTTGAAATAAGTAATTCGAATTTGTCCAATCAATTGACCAGTAGATATCGAATGATATCCAAGAGCCAATATCGTTCTAAAACTAGAAAGGCTGGATCTCAAATGTCTTTATCACTCGCAAACAACAGGCACACATCTTCCCAATCAACATTTGCCAGTTTTTCTGTGGTCAGTGCTCACGATGCTTTCCAACAGCTTCAAATGTCCATTGGCAAACCAAGAAGTGGGTTACCTTATTACATTCTTAACAAGATAAGGGGAAAGAGAATATATAAAGAAAAAATTGATCATCGTCTAGCTACCAAGTTAAGACTTGCTGGAACTCATACACGAAGGTGTAGAGGTGAAAAATAATATACTCGAGAATTGCTTCAATAGAAATATTTATTAAATTATAAACATTAGATTAACAGTTGTTTCACCTCTACTACCAAGATGTACAGCTGTTTTCGTAGCAAATACGTACGAAGAAGCCGATGTTCCGCCTGATGATAAACGTTACTTGAAAATATTCGAAAATTCGGGTCCTTACGATAGATTACCACCAGATTCTTCTTCTAGCCAAGACAGTTACGTCATTGAAGATTTTTTACCAGATTTTTATAGTGATCTGCCTAGCATAGCCGATGAGAAATCATTTAACTTGAATGAAAGATGGACGCAAAACTACCTAAATTATGTTATAATCATGATATTAGCTGTTTCCGCAATTACACTTGTGATATCCATCGCTAATACTGCCATTGTTCAGGGAGTAGATGTTGATTTATGTCAATAATTTACAATTTTTCATGCTTTTTCAAACTAGAGTGTCATTCAATGAATAGTAAGCATATAACACCACATTTGTATTTAACTTAATTAAACTAATTCTTTTGCTTCAACAATTACAACGCTCAGCACCAATTGTTTACAGTATATTCAATATTAATCCATTTCAAAGTCTTCTTCTTCGTCTTCGTCATCATCATCATCATCCTCAACTTGTTCTCCGAGACTTCTTAACTTTGACCTATAATCTTTCAATCTAGTATCTTGATCAGAACATAGAACTAATAGATCTTCTTGTTCTTTCCTAATTGATTCTAACTCTTCCTTAGATTCTACGAGTTCTTTTTCCACTTCTTCTAGGCGCTTTTTCAATTCTGTATCATTACCAGTAGTCTGTACTTCTGGAACTTCTTTGGAGAGGGCTTCGTATTTTTCCTTATATAAACGAACTTCTTCCTCACGTTGTTCCAATATAACACGATTTGTTTCTAAGTGAGCTTTCAGAGTTTGTATCTCTTCAAGAACGTCTGCCTCAGGATGCTTACCATTTACTTCAACCTTCGGCTCCGATTTCTTAGATATTAGAAAAGATAATTAATTTGTGTCTTAATTAATAATTATGAATTTTGCTGTGAATACTGACCATTTCCTGAATAATTTTATCTTTCTCTTTTAAGGCTAAATTTAACTTTTCAAGTTCAGAATTTAGATCGCTTGTATTACAACTGGCATTTGAAGCTTTCAATAAAGAGTTTTGGTCCGCTAATTCTTGAATTTTGCCTAACAAATTTTCATTTTCTATCCTTAATCTTTCCTCTTCCTTCTTTTTGTCATCTAGTTCTTTAGATAAGTTTTTAATACGCTCCTCTGAAGCTGACTGGCGAGCGAAATCATTATCCATCAATGAACCTCCGCTTAAATTCCGCAAAATTTCATCTAAAGTAAAAACAATACTTTTTACAAACTTTTTTCTTAGTTAATACAAATAGAATATTTACTTTCGAGACGTCTATATAATCTTGTAAATTCGTAGTCAAACATTGCTTCATCCGATGAACGATATGATATTTCTTGCTTTTTAGCCGTTCTAGAATATGTCTCAGTCTTGCAGAGGGCTGTCAATTTTTCTGAAAATGGCTCCACTCCAATTCTACGCTCAATCAATTGTAAAATTTGATGTTTGTTTGCTCCGTCAACATTGTCACTGTTATAAAGCAAACAAGTACCCAAAAGAAAAGCACACAGACCTTGAATAATTGTTTCATATTCATCACCCTCTGAAGCAGATATTTGAGAAATTAGGAAAGAAACAGTGTTAGAAATGTTTAGGAAATGTGTAACTGCTATTGGACAATCAGTTAACCAGTGTGCTAGCATCATGAGCAATCCAGCTTTTGTTTGAATTCCACAGTTCTGTGTAAGGATAACGCAGCACTGCTGCATTAAAGAAACTGGTGGATTGCCAAGACTTGTTGCTAATTGGACCCTAAGCATTTGTTCCTTTTGTTGTGTATTATCTGCAATTGAATGCAACAGTGCAACAGCTGCTAACCAAGTCGAAAGTTGTTCGGCACTAAATAGACCACCACATAACAACTGGCCAGCAGTTATAGAACTAGCATCTGCAGAGCTAGGCAAAAGTGTAGCCACTATTTGAGATTGTCCTATTTCGTTTTTGTTCAAAAAACATTGAAAGCAGTAAAGAACGGCGCATCGAAGTGAAAAGGGTTGCTTTTCATTAACCATTGACATTAGTAGCATAACAATTGCAGGTCTTGGTGGTTCACAAGGTGCTGATACAGTGGCAAACATCTCCTGGTTCGCTTTATTTCCTCTGATAGCTTCAGCCACAGTTTTAATAGTTTCTGTGAGAATTTCAGCTGGTATACCACTAGCCATAAGAATCTTACAAAGTTTATCCAAAAGTCCTGAGTAAAAAAAATTTATACATCAGCAATACATATTTTATTACATGAATCTTTTATATCTAACATACCGCACTGATTCATAGCCTTTTGACAAGAGTTTAATTGGGCTTGAACCGTTCGTGGGGTGACCAACGATCGAACTAGTTGAAGCATAAGTAGAACGTTTGTTACTTTTTGAGCTGACCAGCCACGGTCATTATCAACATTTTCGATATCGAAAAAAGCGGGCAGACGCTTTATATAGCTACCCTCTTGGAAAAATGTCTGATTAGATGGATTATTCTGAAGTAAATTGATCAAGAGTAGAAGACAGTCCTCAACAACTATTCCACCATCACTAAATCCTTCCTCTAGAATAATATCCAAAAGTCTCTCGAAAGCATTTTCGAATGCAACTATTTTTTGAATGTTAGCATTTCCCTTTGTTAATTGACCCAACAAAAGAAGACCCTAAAAAAAGCAAAAACAGAAGGATCCTTAGTGAAAAATTCTGTTAAAATATTCTAAAAGTTCTTAGAAAGACTAAAATTCTGACAATAGAACTGTCATAGTAGATATTATAATATATTTACTAGGTTTAGGTTTAGATAAAGAACTAGATTTTTTTTACATAATCCTGATATGAGAACTAAAAATAATTAAAGCTTTGTTCTAGTTATTTGAGGAAACTTATGCATACATCATTTCGAATCACTTCTCTGGAATCTGACAGAATATCCATTAGTTTTGAAACTCCCATTGGGGCAACAAGAATTACTTCCTGTAATTCCTTGCCTCTATGTTCTAATAATAGTGTTATTAATCGTACACAAGGTCTTCGAACGTGAAAATCGTATTCATCTAGTATCTTTAAAAGAAGTGTAATATTGTCTGCATTTTTTACAAACATCTCACTGAATTGAGATCCCAGCTGATCATTAGAGACGGAAGAGAAATCTCCTTCAACATCTGAATCGGAGAAAATTAGTTCATTTTCATTATATTTAATTTAAGAACTTCTTACCCTCTTCAAATATTTCATTACTCATCACATTACATAATGTGTCTAATGCGTAACTTATAATTTCTGTGTCATTTCTACGAAGATCGAAAAAGTTGATTGAAAGGTTTTCCCTAGTTATCAAGTAAAAGCCGACAACTTACGAATCATTTTGCAAAACATTAATTAGAATGTCCATAGCTTGAGTTCCAACGTCAAGTTGATATTTCTAAAATAAAATTACTTTTAAAGTTAATGTCCACAAGAGAACTATTGCAAACCTTTGATAAAGATTTTAGAGCTCTTACGGCATCGCGTCTATCATCTAACAATGTTGAGGACTGGACTCGATCGCACAGCTTTTCAACCTAGAACAAAACGAAATAATAAGCCGCTTGAAAAAGTGATCATAGCGAAACTTCATTCATAGAAAGTAATCGTTTTTCTGATAGTCTATTTAGTAATAGTTTAGAATATTCTTACGATATCTGCACCAGAAGGAGCTGAAGCGGCCGGCTGTCCTCGAATTAGTTTCCCGATGAAAGTTGCCATTTGGATGAAAATAAGGCGCACCACGAAAATTCGGAACGCATGCGCGTATGACGTGGAATATCTAAGGTGGTGCTAAATTGAACGCGTAGATTAGAGTTGTATTTAAGTTTAAGTTTCCCTAAAGTCATTCTGTATTTTCCTAATTAATAATAATAGAATTCTGATTTTTCTTTCTTTTTAAATAGAAATTATTAGACAATTTAGTTTACACAATCTAAAGCATAATTATTTTAATTTTCTATCATAACTTTAACAATCAAGTTTTGTAACAAAAATATATTAACTAGTTTTAACATTAAAAGTCAAAGCAACAATATTAATAAAAAGACGAAAAGAGCAGTTTTTAAAAAGTTCCGTTCCTAGCAAATAAATAAACAAGAAAGTATTAATGACGTGTAAGCCTATAGATGTATCCTCTTTGACCGAGCCCTTTTAAAATATTTGCTATATTCCTACAATCATCAATTCCGCTGTGATGTCGTCCTTCATGCTTTAATTTTAATTGACGTAACATTGGAATCATTCCCCTTGGCCAAGTGCCCGTTACATCGCTAAAAGACTTAAAAAAGATAAGATATTATTATATTTTGTGTGAAGGAATAAAGAATGGAATACTTACTCTTTTAATATTAATCCAACTATTAAAATAGTTTGGTTTATTACAATTTGATGTTCTACATTGACTAGGAAGCATCGTTTTTAAATCCCAATCTCCACAAGTAACAAATGCAAAACTCTTTTCTTTTTCTAGCAATTCTTCTTTCATCCATATGTCAAAATCCTTAAATGAAATGAAATTGATGTTAACATGTTAGGTTTTTATCGTTATTCCTTGTAGAGATTACCTTGAAAACTTCGATAAAATTATTTTCATTTTCTACCATATCTTGAATAATTCCTGTCAACTGTAATAAAATAATTTAGGTTATTCTATGAAAAATAGCGAATAGTTTGTTTGATCTCACCTCTGTACAAAATGGGGTCAACTGGGGTCGATAAACTGGTTTAACGTATCGATGAAAAACTTTTTCACTTTCAAATGTTTGAGCATTCACCTTAATGCACGGAAATTCAATTATTTCCTGAAATTGAAAAATTGTTAACTGTAATAGTTGATTTCAAGTTAAGAGTGAAAATGATATTTTACTTGAGGCTGTATTGAAACTTTATCATCACATGTTGCTTCAAAATCCAAGACTAGAAAATAATCAAAGGCTTGTTTAACTTTAAAGTTTGATGCCATTTTATCAATGACACTTAAAAATCTGATGGGGTAGTGCTTTAATATATTAGGCGTTGGCATAACAAATTTGATTAAGAAAGGGTAATATTGTGCAATTCTTGTCTTTCCCAACGAGCAGTAATTTCCTTTTTGGGTATCTCTAAACAACGGGAGAAAAGTATTTTTTTTATAATATAATCATATTTTATTAGCTTTAAAATGGGTTAATTTTATGCTATAACATTTAATTCAATCAATTATTTTATAATATTACTTAATTTAAATTTAATTTTGCGATATTTAGGCTGGTGAGAGAACTGGAGAATTTTTATTTCCACTATCACTTTAGATCTACCGTAATAAGTCATGTGTAAACAAGACGGTATATGAATTTCGTTAATTAAGCGGGACACAACTGATTACTATATTTAAGTATGCTCCTGAAAGAATACAGAATTTGCATGCCTCTTTCTGTGAAAGAAGTAAGTAACATTATGATTATTAGAATTTAATTGTATTATTTAAAATGCATTTCATTACAGTACAGGATAGGTCAATTATATATGATTGCAAAACATAGTCTGGAACAGAGTGAAAAAGGTCAAGGTGTAGAAGTAATAGCAAATAAGCCTTGTCATGATCCAAAACACGGAGATGGCCAGTATACGGAGAAAAGAATACATTTATCAAAGTAAGTTCCTATGATTCACACTCTTCTTTGAATTAAATCTAAAACATAAACAGCAAATTGCCAACTTGGATGCAGAGTATGATACCGAAGATATTCTATGTAACTGAAAAGGCTTGGAATTATTATCCTTTTACTGTGACAGAATATTCTGTAATAATTATAATTTTTTTCGTTTCTTTTTCATTTTTTTTTCGTTGCTTTAATGTCGGTCACAAGTGGTCTCTTAAACTTTTATTCCGCTTTATCTGTGACCTTAAGTTCTAAATTTAAAAATAAGTACTAAATGATATTCTACTTCATGATCTAAAGTTGGGTTGCCTTTAGTAACTATATTATTTTTACCTTTACAGTGCTCTTTTTTCCCAAGATTTTCTATTGCCATCGAAACAGCTTATGAAGATAACCCAGGAACAACTGAAAATTGTATAAACTTAGAAGACGACGATCTCGCTAAACGCGAAATAGTTCACATAGATATTGTCCATGATCAATACCCAGATAAACATTACAAAAAAGAAGAAGATCCTAAGAATTTCCAGTCGAAGAAGACTAACCGTGGACCGATTAGTGAGAAAAACTGGAGGGAAACTCATCAGCCCATAATGTGCTCCTATAAGGTTGTTAAGGTCTTTTTCGAAGTTTGGGGTTTTCAGACTCGAGTGGAGCAGTACGTTCATTCATGTATTCAAGAAATACTACTTGTAGGACATAGACAAGCTTATGCTTGGATCGATGAATGGGTCGGAATGACTATGGAAGACTTACGAAAATATGAAAAAGACATGCATGACTGCACAAATCGAAAAGTCTTAGAAGATACTGAAATTGCACCAAATGAAGGAGCAGCGCTCTAATTTGTTTAATATTTTTTCTCGTTCTTTCTCTTTTCGATGTTCTTGAACAATGTAGTTTCGTTGTACATTTACTCAAGCGACAATGCAAATCAATTAAATCAAATACACTTAGACTTGCGTGAGGACTCCTTAGTAGTTCAGTTGTAAGAACCGATTGAGGGAGGAGCCATTGCAGTTAATATTCTCTTGATTTTTAATAAAAACCAGTTAATCCAAAGATAACCGTTAAAGGATCATCTCGAAAGCACTCAGCACTAAAGAACTTGTATTAATTAGTTGGAAGTGATATATAAAGATAAACAAATAGAGATAGATAAAAAATAATGATAAGAAAATTGGTGTGATTAGAATTTTATTTTTTTTAGGACATGCAAAAGGGCAATCAATATAAGGTTCTATGTCTTTTTCATGGAGAAACTATAATCAAACATTATCAAGATATGGATATTCAAGTGAAATAAGTCGTATATTATAGCTCTTCAAATAATCAACAGGCCGAATCAAAAACGGTTTGATATATATTGTTTTAATCAGGGTAGCAAAACCTGGACATTCAAATGGAAGAGCACAAATCAACAATGAAAATGGAAATTTTTGTGGCTGTTCATAATATATATTTTAAGTAAGTTAAGCCTATGAAGCTTCCTCAGCTTGGCTTAGTTTGTGTAACACAAGGGCAAATTACAACATTCAAAAACGATGGAAACTCGAACAAGGCTCTTTAATTCGATGAATAATGTTGCTTGGTCTTTGGATGAGTGCTGGCAGACTCGGGAACGGCATCAGCTGCGGGGAAATTCCAATAGTAATTTGGTGGGCCGGGAGTCCAGCAGTTGTCACTGGATAATTTTTGATTTGCATTTAAGTAATACATGATATAAAAGTTGCACATTTCATCATCCTGTGTCATGCTACAAAAAGAAATATTTCGTTATATATCTTTCAAAATTAATAAAGGGTTAATAGTAAATCTTACCCGATTCTAACAGTTTTATCATTATCCAAGTTTTCCATTGTACATCTTGCAGCCAATACATCTCCTCTCTTAATTGTCATTCTAGGACTTGAAATATTGTAGAACATCTCCTCTTGGCGCGGATCCATACGTCCTATTTCAGTCCAAATGCCATTCCGAATTCGATAACCGGAAACAACTCTACCATGTGTGTGGGCATGGACTCTATAAGCAAAAGGATACATGACAACATTTTCAGGTTCCTTGTATAAGCAAGCGGTCTCCATATAAGTGATAGAATGAGGTTTAATTTCTCCACCTGTACCCATAAGATAGACTCCAGCCAGATGATTTGTTCTAAAGAAGCAATTATATTTTAATTGAAAGTAAAAAAACAATATATATTTATATATAGAATAAAATAATTACGGGACTGGAGAAGCTTCTATTATTATACCGGAATTATCTCCATATTTACCACCTAAATGAACATAATTAAATGAGTTATTAATAAATTCATTATTAAATTATTGTAAGTTTAGTGAACGCTTACTTAAGAATTTTTCAACGCTCTTATAATGAACTTGTAGTACTAAATATTTAGATTCTGTATTTCCACCTACCGCAAAAGAAACATCTGCAAAATATTGAAAAATATGTCATTATTAATTTAAGAAACAATCAAAAAAGTTAAGCAAATATTTACCGTTCGGTAATTTCAAGTCTCCTGCATTCATTGCCCAAGCATATATGATCTTTGATCCCGATTGACAAACGGGAGCCTTGTTGTAATGCGTACTCTTTCTCTGCATCATTTCGCCACAATCCCTAATTTGGACAACATAGGTAAGTTGATATAATTTTTCAAATGAAAATTGCTATTTAATTAGTAAACTTTTATTTTACTAACCAAACTTCTTCATCGCTTCCTGGTTCAATGCAAGAATAGAGTAACATATGGTGAGCGGTAGCTGCCTTAGCATGCGGTCTAAACTTGGCTGATAAAGAATGATAGCACCGAGTAAGAACATTTAAATATTTAATTCTTTTCTAATTCTAATCGAATAAGGAAAAGAGAAAATTTAAATAACGAATATATAATTCAATTATTAAACCGCAAATAGATTTGGAAGCACCCTATCCTGCAACAAGTTACTGATAAACGGGGAAAGGTCGGTCCAATGTGAATCATATAACGTTTACATTAAATTACGTTAACCGCAAAAAAACCATAATTTTTCGCCTAATAATTTTATATATTTATTAGAAAAACACAAAAAAGAAGCGAACAAGATTTTTGCTGTCAGCATATTTTTTGTTTTCGCTTTGGAAACTTTTCTTTTTGTAAGAAAAATATAAAAACGAGGAAAATATGGAAAGAAAGTTCTATTTTTTTTTTATATACTTCCATATTGTTCTAAATTAATATTTCATTTATAAGTGAATCATGAAGAATAAAAATTAGATTGAAACTTACTAATGTACTCGGTTAATTCACCCATTTTTATCTGTTTACACAGATATGTATCTCTCTAGAATTGGAAAAAAAGAAAATTGAAAAATTTAACAATCATTCATTAAAGTTTTTATTAAGGTTTTATTTTTATAATATTAAATACCTCCTGAGGTTTGACATTGGGCATTCGAACATCAAATTCAAACCCCGATGTTAGGCAAACAACAGCAAGAGAGATGAGAATCCACATTTTGCTTTTAGCTGTTGTGGCTATACCACCAACAGTATATTTTATGAAAATGAGACGTTCGTGACGTCTAGATATTGATTAACAAATAAGCGGCCAGATAAATTTCATCGTCGTTTTTTCGTTTATTTTTTATTCTTTTTATTTATTATAATGAAACACGTTTTCCGAAATGTATTTGTTCTTTTGTTCTATAATATATATATACTTATTCATTTTAATCATTATTTTATCTTTAATAAAAATATATAGTAGATTGTCCATATTTAATTATTTTAGTGGACGAACATAGTTTTATATTTAATTTAAACTTGTAAATTTTTCAGTTTGTATAGCCATTTATCAGTGGTATGTTTATTTCTCATCATTATTTACCAAAATAATTGATTGTAAGTTGAATAAGTGAAGTTTTTATCGAATTCTTTAAAAATTTACGTGAATAATTTATATGGATTTAAAGTAAATGGAATAACAGTATAATACTATTAATAATCACTTTAAAATGGAATTTTCCTTAACATTTAATATTAACGATCTATTTATTTCTTAAAAAATTTATATTCTTTATTTCGTTTTCTTTTTTTTAATACTCTCTTTAACAAGTTTATGGAATGCTACAAGAAATGGTAAAACATACAGATAGCCAATAGCTTTTCTGGAATGCGTCACGTGACAGCTGATGGCAATTATCAACATCCGGCGTGTGCCGATTTAGTTTGTTGAATGAATATTTAGAAAATTTGTAAATATTTTACTTAAATTTAAAAAGAAAGCTTTAGAATTTAAAAATGAACATTTGATAAATCGAATTCTTGTATGATCTGAGAATAAAACTTGCTTTCTTCTTTCCTCGCAATACTACGATCTGTTCAGACACGTTGAAATTGTGAGACTTAAGGGATATCACCTCCGAAACTACAAAAATGAAGCTAACAGCAGAAATTCTAGCTTCTTCTGCTATAAAACGGAAAAAACCATGGTCTAAACTAGCTTTTGTTGGAGAGGTAGCATTCTATATATATTTTTTTAATAAAGTTAAAAAGTAGATGTATATATATATTTGACAGAAGAAAGAGAGTATTGTTCTATTGGATAAGCAGAGAGCAAGTATTCTTTTTCTACCTTCGGGAAAAACAAAAAGAAAGTTACCAAAACTGCATTCCCATCTGGAAAAAGCATTATGCTATGGAATTTCCTCAAACGGTGAGTAAAGCTTTAAATACTACATTAGAGAATAGTAAAACAATAATTTTATCCAATGAATCATTAAAAAGTTTGATTAAATCTTGTCAAAGTAAAAAATTCATGCCTTTTTTTCTTGAAACACAAAGACTCTAATAAGAGATTATTAACTAATGCATAATAATTTTTATAGTAATCATAACCATAGAAACAATAGAATTTAGAGTTTTTTTTATGAAAAATAAACAGAAAGAACTATTATATATTTTGCTCATAAATCACCTTCAGGTAAATTTTTAACTTATCTTCTCGTGGGAGGTGATATTCTTATTTGGCACAAAGATACTGACTTATTAAGATGGATTACTCCCCCTAAAGAATCTATTACATTCATTAAGCCAAAATTATACATTTCTAATGACGCAAGAAAATTGGTGCTGATAGATTACGATATCTTATTCCTAATACAAGCTTCACCTCAAGAAAATGTACTAAATGAAGAGAAAACTGTATTATGTTGCAGTTGGACAAAGTTAAAAACTGGTTTAACCAACCTAATCGATAAAAACACCATTTATAATATATCATGTTCCTTCTTTTTTTGTAAAGTAAGAATTTTCTAAATTAAAATTTATAATAAGTTTTTTTATAAGATAAAAAGAAGAAATTTTTTATTCTTTTTCTTCCTCCGATATAGATTAGGGGAGAGTGTTGTTCTATTAATTGGACATATAATTCTCATGATATTGTGAATATTCATACATTTTTTATAACTTGGCATCAATTTTCGGATAAAAGGGAACAATATGATTATAAAATTCATCATTTTGAAAGAAATTTAGATTATTTTAATCTTAAGTTAAATAGGCATAGAGGTGCCTATATTACATCTTGTTCGAAAGATGCTCGTTTCCTAGCAATTGGAGCTAATCAAAAGTCAACGAAAGCTACTAAATTATTATTTTATTGTTGGGAAAATCAAATTGTTCACGAGACGGATTTATTGAATTGCGGTATCGAAAATAATCTAGTTGGCCAGGAATCATCGTATGAATATTATTTTTAATAATTAACTCAATTATAGACAGGTTTATTCTTATAGAAACTTTTGGATTTGTGAATTAGAATGGAATCATGATAATATATATGTCGTTGGTGCTCTAAAGAATGGATCACTGTTTGTTTCTAGTCGATTTGGACGATTAATTAACATTGAAACATCTGGTTGCTCTATAATTATGGGACCAAAGCCATTTTTAGCACTTCATCCTAGAATTGCACTAAAGTATGTAATAAACATTTTTATCTGTTAATTTTAAAATTGTTTCTTTTATATAGAAATGAAGAAGATGCCGACATAAGTATTGTTTCTAGTGATCCTCTTCGACAAAAGTATTCTGTTGCTTGCCATCCTAGACTACCAATCATATTGTTTTCAGACGGTTATATGGCTACTGTCTTACAATTCTCTTCGAGTTTAACGAACAAAAATGCGCCAATTTTAATGTTGGACTATCTGTCTCCTCATCTGACCCAACTTCAAAAAAACATGAACCACTCAAATTCATGGCAAAGCGCGACTATAAAAATGCCGAAAATGGATGAAAAGTGCGCCTACAAATTTGAAATTGAACCAAAAAATATGACTGATGAACAGGCTGGCGGTGGATATAGCTTCTTATTAGAACAATCGGGAACAGCAGGTGATGTCTATTTTACTCTTATTTATGAATGTTATGAACATAATAAAGATTAAATTAACTTGATATCGTTAAAATTTTAGGAGCAATTAGATTTCCACATTTAGAAGAGTTAAACTCCACAAAATTCTTTAATGAAGAAGGATTGTCATTAAGGGAAATAGTTGAAAATATTAGAAATATTTGGAATTTTTTATTCAGTTTACCTGGCATGTGTGATGGTTTTGATAATTGTTTTTCATGTTTATCCGACGCTTTAATGGTTTGCTTAAAATGTTTGCTAAGTAGAAAAAAATCTGGCAAGAGAAAGATGCTAACAATCTTTAAAGTTTATAAACAATTGTTTACATTTGCTCAATTGGATTTCCTATATCAAAATTTTGCTTTAAATATCAGAAATTTTGTAAATATCTTCCTTTCTGAGATTTTGCTTAAAAATCTTAATAATTTTAACGATATTGGCAGTGGAATAAAAAATTATATATCTCTTTTGTTTTTTACGGATGCACAAACAAATAGGATATATGAAAGAATGCCAAATTACTCATTGGAAGAAAAATCTTCTAGGTTCGAATCTTTCAGTAAATCAAGGTCATACTGCATTTAATCAAATTTTATTGTTACAGCTACAAAAAATCTTGGTGGGAAAGCTTGAATGAATATTTTTTACAAATGAATAAAGAGTCATTAAGCAATGAAGATGTTCATCAGATTAAAAGAATTTTAAGTAAACAAATAGATTCAAGTAGCTTTCAGATACCAAAATCGGATGAAAATTGTTTAATTGGTTGTAGCGCTTTGGCTATGGATATTTGGGTTCAAAGTTTACATTCAGAGGGTAACATATTACAACATACGATATTTACTAACTTGTCTAAATAAGTTTGTTTAAAATAGATAGTTCAGATGAAAAACGTACTAAAGTCTTACATTCAATTCTTTATACATTACTCATTCAGGTAATCTAATTACAATAAAATTTGATTCAATACAAAATTGTTTCTTTACTGTTTAATAGGACGAATTAAGAGCTGCTGTAGAATTAGTAGAATTACTAATTAGGCAAAAGGATTTAAAATTGGCAGCAACCCTTTGTCAGTCGGACGAATTAAATCTAGAAGCATTAAGTATAGTCTTAAAGGTAAGTTTTAATACATACAATACAAGATATTTAAATAACAATTAATATTAATGAAATAAAAAAAGATACGATAGGACTATGTAAAGTCATTGTTTTATAGAAGAGTGTTTACTATTTTTGTAGAAAAACATAAAAAATACTTCCAGAAAAACTTTAAAGGTATCTCTTAAATCGGCTATGAAGCATCCCCAATATTATAAACGCATTTATCAATTTATTTAGTTATACAATTCTAACTTATAATTATTTATTTGCGAAAAGAGAGGGAAATGTAAAATATTTTTAATTTTATTCGATTAGTATTTAATCAATGATTTGATTTTGGCTATTGTATTTTGATTATTATGGTCATTTTTGTTTTTTTTATCTAATTATATTATATTAAAATATAAAAACATTTTTTTTTAATTATATTATTACTATTGCAGCAAAATGAACAAACAACTCCAATTGTTTATATTGAAAATGAAGCTGTTCTAAAAGTTTGTTCGTCATTGGCTCGTTTTATGGCTGCTTATTTTACAAATTCTGAATTGTATTTGTATCCCGCTCAAAATCCTAAGCCTATTTCATCATTATTGGCGAAAGGGAAAAGTAAATTTCTTTAGTCTTTATTAATTCTTCTTTTAGATAAATATTCGTTATTTTTTTTAATTTCTATTTAGGTTCTGATAGAACTCTGCCTATGTTTCATAGCGTTATCTCTTCTATAATAAGATCAGAAGAATTAAGTAATTTATGGACACCTCACAAAGTTATCGATTACATGCTTTTATGTGGTATGATACCAGAGGCTGTTTGGTTTGCTTCTAAAATGGGTGATTGGAAAACGTCATTTAGCCTTGGATTCGCTTTAGAAGAAAGAAAAAAGATATTAGAGATATGTTACGATAAGTATGTTTTAAAAGTTATTATTTTGTTATCATTTACACCCTTAATTATTAATATTTTGTCCAAATAGGCCTATATTGATCCTCCCAGAGTATCTAACACCGGAGAGCATTTTAAGAACTCATGTTACACCTCTTCTGAATAGGTCGAAAACTGAAAATATTTATGATAAAAATGTAGAATCCGCTTCTCAAAGTTTGGCATTAACACTATCCGATCATCTATTAGCCGCAACTCTCTGTCAAGTAGAATCTGTTGCATGGGTTCTGAAGAGTTTATGTCAAGAAATAGAAAACACCTTAGCGGAATTAGACTTAATGGTAGTTGAAGATTTTTATCTTCCAGCTCCGCCTCTCTTTAGTCTACAAAGATTTGAAGAGGTTTGTATTTTTATTACCTAAAGAAATAAAGCACAATAAAGAACACACAGAACATAGGTTTTATTTATGAATATATACAAAATAAATGATTAAGTAATAAGTCATATTTTAAGGGGAAAAAAACAGAACCTAAAGAGTTATAAGTCAAATAATTATTGTACCAATTGTAGAATGATGAACCTGAGTATACGTGTTATAATGTAAGTAAATATTATTACTAATATATACACGTCCTAAGTTGAGAGCTTCATCACAAACAGAGTTATTTGGAGAATCAAAGATTTTCTTCAGTTTAGAATTAAATTTTTTCACTCACAGTTATTTTTATTATATTTTATTTTTAGCAAATTGTTCTTAAATCTATCTTAATCAACCTATTCCACTAAGAAAGCTCTTCTGTTTTGTCTTTCCAGACATCGTCGTCAACTTATAAAACCGAAGCTGATCTTAGAGGGAAACTATCGAATATGATACACTTATTGAAACTTATGTTTTCATCGTCTAAAACATTTAAACATTGTTCTGTTTGGTATTATCAAAAAATATTTAACAATATTAAAAAATTTCCAAATGTCAAGGTTAGCTTTATTTATACCTGAGACGATTTAATCTGATATATATATATATATATATATATATATACATTTTAACAGTATCCGATCAAAGCGGAAACGAATATATTGCCAGCTGGAGAACAAAGATATCTACAATTCGATCATCTCTTAAATAAAAAACTTAAAGATGAGGAAATAAAGGCAGTCGTGCAATCTTTTGAGAAAATGTGCCAGTATTGTTGGCTTCTACATTGTAGGGACATGATGAATCTTTTACTTAGGAAAAAACTCAAATTATTTAACGAAATGGTAAATTATCATTTTTTATTAAATAACTACGAGATTTATTAATATATTTAATCATTAATAGACTAATGTTTCAACTGATAATAAAGAATATAGCAGTCAAAAGTTTGCTTGGAATTCGCTAATTCTAGATTGCCTTTGTTGGTCTGTTCACTTAGCTCATTTTTCTTCATTACTAAATAATGGGAGTCAAACGGAAGTTTTAAATGTAATTCTTTCTCTTATTCAAGAATTACCTACGTCAAAAAATTCTGCTGACCTTCTTATTCATTTTAATAATCTATTTGTAAACGCCGATGCAGAAATAGATGATAGAATGAAAGAAATACTTTTGAAAAATTGGCAAACATTTAGTCTAAATAGTAGCTTGACACTATCCGTCTATTATTATGAACAGCTATCCAGATCTACTAAACGTCCAAAGAATCAATTTGAATTCGAACCTGAATATCTAACATTTTTAGAAACATTATATGAAGTTGGTTTTGAAAAATATGTAAAAGAAGATGAACAAAATGAAATACCACTTCTTTTATTCTATGGAAAACAGCTGGAAGAAAGTGAATTACAATCTACTAGTCATAAAGTAGCAACAAGTTTATATAAGAGGCAAAACTTTTGTGATTCCGCTCCGTCTAGTGCTAGAGAAGCATCCGATAGTTCAAAGAGCAGTAAAAGAAGATCTAGTCTAAAAATTACACAGGCTGGTCTGTTTAAATGTCGTAGTCTAAACGATCTTGTTGCGAAGGAATGCGCTGAAATGGAATTTTCCTCGATACTTACACATGGAAATTTATATTCCACCTACGGAAATAGAGTTAGTTGTCTATCTATATATACTGCGAAACTAATAAACAATCTACTTTAACCAAAATATTGTTACATTTTTTAGGTATCACCATTGGACACTCCAAGGTCTGATAAAAGAGAAATGGAAAGCGAAAGTTCTAGCGATGTTTTAACTCAAAATATTCTAAGCTATGCTCAGCTGGAACGCTTTGAATTTGGGGATAAATTTTCCGATCTTGAAACAAAACTCGATTGGCTTATGCGTTGGACTGGAAGAAGTCATGTTACATGTGAAGAGAATAGGTTCTCTGTTCGTTTAAAAGTTCATCCACGAATGATATTATATGCTCTGTGGTTGCTTGAACGGGGAGGCTCGCAAGAGAATGAAATTGAACATAAAGTAAAAGAAGACCCTCTCATGAAAACTCAGGGATTTATTCCGTCATCAGACTATCGAACTGTTATGGCATATCCAGTTCACGGAGAACGCATTCCTAAATCACCGAGAAATAATAAACCCGGTAAAAAGTCTAAAACCAGAAGAACTAGTTCTGCTTCAACTGATGACGATTTGACAAGCGTTTCTGCTCTAGATACTGGCCGTTCTAATATAACAGATTTCCTAGACTCTGAGCGTGACACATCAAGGAATCTAACAAATGATGATGTACAAAACTTTATGACCAAAGAGACATCTGAATCAGACGTGAACAGTACGGACAGTGGAATGAAAGCACCACAAGCATCAGCAATAAAGGTAGCTCAAGGCTATTCTACAGGCCGCTTACCAGTTCGAAAGAAAAGTGTAAACAACGATAAGGTGACTCGAGAATTAAGCAAATTCTTGATGATTGAAGAAGATCCCGATAAAGTGGAAGTCTTGGAATCAAACTCACAGAGTACTACATCGATGCAAAGCTTGGATGACGATATACCTTTTGGGAGACGAACACAGAAAATGAAGGTTATCAATGAGTTAACTAATGATTCCGTGTCAGTTCCGGAAAGTTATACTCGAGAATCTGAAACTACTAGTGGTGAGCAATTAGAAGATGTAGAATCTTTTAGGGAGCACAAACAAGAAACAAGCAAAGCATCTAATGCCAATAGTCAATTTCAATTTATCCCAAATCAGCCTTCAATTGGTGAATTAAAATTTCCTGATCAACCAAATAGTTTCCAAATACGCCCTGAACCTCAAAACCAACAAGTTTATGAAAATTCAAATGCACAACCGCAATTTGGCAATTTGCATAAATCACAACATCAAGGTCATTTTGCTTCCAATATGTCACAGCATCAAGGTCAATTTACTTCTAATATGTCACAGCATCAAGGTCAATTTACTTCTAATATGCCACAGCAAACAGCTAATATAACGGAACAGATGCAATATATCGTAAGGAATGAGTTAGCTTCTTTCATCCACGCTCAGCAACAGAGTTTTATGCTTATGTTAAATGTAATGCAACCAGGCGCAAATAAAAGTCCTATACAAAAGCCTGTTGAACAACAAACTCAGACCGAGATAGATAGACCACTGGACGATAAACCTTTAAGAATTGAAGAATTAAATAGGTCTTCGAATAGCAAGAGTCAGCCAAAGATATCTATTCGGAGCGCATTAAGCGAACTTAACGAATTAAAGGAAATAAACCAAAATTTAGCACTTCCACTCCTATCAATATCTAAACAGAGCGAAGCAAAAAAAGAAGAAAAACCATTTCAAAATCTAATGAGTAGATTATCAGAATTTAATAGATCATTTGGACCAAGAGATCCAATATCTTTTTTGAGAATGCCAGCAGAAAAAGAATCTGATGCTTTACCGAAAGTTTGGAGTTCAAGCATGCCTAGAACTGACGCAAATGCGACAGAAATTCATCCTTATAAAAAGTTCTCCATGAGCGGACCGCTTCCTTTGCTTCGCATCGAAAAAACACCTACAAAAACCTTTACAAATATTGAAGATTCTAGAGGATTTCTTCGCCTGATTCCAATGAACGAGGTAGCTGCTTTTGAAAATCATAAGAGAATGGCTGAAGATATGAGATATAATAATCTTCACGAAAAAGGAAAAAAAGAATTATGGAAGAATTTACAAGCTGAAAAGCAAACAGAAAACACCGCATTTAGAATAGAAGATGTGTTACAAGAAGAGAGAATGCTCGAAGATGAAACTAAGATTAGCAAAGTAAATAGACAAGAAAAGCTTGTCCATAAAAAGAGACAAACCTCTCCTGTAAGTAACATTTTTATTGATTTGATCTGTTAGAGAAAAGAATGATTTTAGATAAGTTGATTAAGACTTGAAAATTTGTATTGTACTTTAATTAGCGACAAAAAATGATTCCCATAATTCAAATTCAACACGAAGATAAACAATCCGAAGAAATTGGAAGACAGTATGAATATGAAGACGAAGACGAAGATATAGAAGAAGAAGAAGATGAACTAGACGAAGAAGAAAGAGAAACTGAACAGGATTTAGAAATGCAACATACCGGCTATAGTGATTCAGAGTTTGATGAAGAGGGGGAAGCAACAGATTCTGCTGAACCTTCATTAGCTTTAGCTTTACCCAAAAAGATTGATGATTATGGAGAAGAAGAGGTTTCTTTATCTTTTTTTCTTGCATGAACTTGAGTTTACACTTTAGAGTTACTATTATTTCATGATAAATAGTTCTAACAATACCATACTGTTCTTTTAGCTCGAAAATGCGACTGAAAAACAGGTTCAAACTGAATACAACTTAGATCATGGTTACGCAATAACTCCTGGTAAAATTTTCACCACGTTTGTGCCTTTTATAATTAAGGTTTTTATCTATTTTAGGCCTATTCGATCGTCTAGTAACTGATGAAGAGCTTGAGAAAGCTGATTTAACTTATGCCGAAGCTCAATATAGAGCTGCAATGGAATTGAAAAAGTCAAAAGAGGTAAGTACGTGTAAAAGGGACGTTCTTTATTAGCTAATACTTTTTTCCTATTCTTTTAGATTTCCGGGAAAGGAATTGTTGCTCCCGAAGTTTTTATCGATTTAGAATTTCGCGAAGATAAAAAGAAATTTATAAATGTTGTTGACATAGGAGTTGATGTTATAGAAGAAATCAATAAAGACTTACCAGTTGTCAGGGAGCAAGAAGTTCAAGTTGATAATTTAAATAAAACTAAAAAGTCTGTGGAATATATTGAAGATTCACCAAAACAACATGATAAAGTTACTGAAAGAGTTTTAGGAGATTCTTCTGAAAATGGGTTAGTAGAAATCTCTTTAACAATTCATTTATTTAATTGCCAGATTCATGTCTGTAGAATTTGGAGCAGTGAAAATGTTGAGAAATTATCAAGGCTAAAGACTAAAGATCAGATTAAAAGACGACTAAGCCAGATGGATGAGAGAATTCAAGCTATCAATGTTATGTCGAAAAATATGGATCATGAATTTGAAAGAAACCGTGAGGTTCTAAAGACTTTAGATAGATATACGGATGAGTGGGAGCATCTTGATAAGAAGCAAGCTGTTATGGAAGATGATGACGAAGAAATAGATAGAAAATTTCAAGAACTTGCTGATGAATACGACGAAAGAAGTTCAAAGCTTCAAACATTAGAAGAAGGAGAGGTTCATTCCATAAAAGATTTAGCTGAATCTGTTGAGGTTCAAGAGATTTTGAAAGAGGTCTTTCACGATGAAGAGCCGGCTTCAGCTAGGTCTGCGGAACCAAAAGTAATACTTTCTTCAAGATCTGATAAATCGGAGAAGAAAAGGGGAGAGCTACTTGAATGGATGAAAGTAAAAAAGAAGGAAAAAGATAAAATGTTTCGCGAAAAAAGACAAGAACTTATTCAGAATGAAAAACATCCATTTAACCGAAAGCAAACTGCAACTCAGCCTATTCATAAAGAAGACGAGGAAATTAAGAAGCAAAGACTGAATGAAGCGAAATATAGAAGAATAATGGAGGCCGATGAACTCATGGAGAGTTTACTAAGGGAAAAAATACCGAGAAAAAAGGCTGAAACATCCGTTACACAAATCCTACAGGTGACAAATAAGAGGAAGGACATTCCTTCAGACAAACCTTCCAAGCAAGAGGGAAGAGAACGAGAGCGTGAGAAACAGCAAGACGAAGATCCAGATAGATTATCAATGGATCATTATATGAAATCAATCTATGAGTATGATCCTGTGAAGCAAAGGGCAGTTAAAAGAGTGACATCTATTGGAACTTTAATTTCCGACGAAAAATTTCATGAAAAGCTTCGTGAAAAGCGTCAAGAATTGATTGTCAGAGAAAAACAAGAAGATATTCAACGAAGAAAGCTTGAAATCGAACGAAGGAGGCAAGAGCGTCTGCGAATAGCGCGAGAAGCCGAAGAAGAAAGACAAAGACTTGATCATTTACAAGAAAGACAAGAAGAGGGTGAAGTAATACAAAGTTTCGAAGATTTTTTGAAAATGCAAGAATCTGAAAGAAGTATTCCCAATTCTGAACGAGACACGACAAGAAACACGATAACTTTTGCTGATGAGCCTCGAAGATATTCGGCTCCTGTGGGATCCCATCATCAAGTTCAAAAACAGTCAAGAATTACTAGGAGAGAAGGACCTAGAATAGTAAAAACATACACTCAAAGGCTGGCCGAATTGAGAGTCAGAAGCGATAAAAATTCAGGACGAAATAAATCTGCAAAAGTTAAAGTTCCAAACAGAACATATAGCTCTCTTAAACCGAAAGAACCGCGAAGAAAGCCAGTAAGCTATGTTGAACAGCTAAAGCAGTTACAGCCACAAAAAGGTAAATTTATTGTAATTCTATAAATTGATTATTAACAAATCATAAATTACATAAACTTATTCAGGTGCTCGAATATCGTCAAAACCAAGAAAACTTAAATCTTCAATTAAATGTAAGAAACCTCTTCGTCAACCAATAACATATCAAGATCAACTACAAGCTTTACAAAAGAATACAAAAACTGTAAGGCAAAGACCATACGATTCACCATACATTGATGACCCAGATAGCGATCTTAGTCAATGGAGTGTAAATTCAGATATGAAACGAATCTTATACGATGGAGATACAAGCGCAATTTCAAAGGTAAACAATAATATATTTAAAATTGATAAGATAATTAAACTATTCTTTCCAAATTCATAATAGACAACTGACAGTTACCAAGAAAGCGCTAGGTTAAAGGAACTAGTAGAAGCAGCATCTCTAGCAAGCGATAGTACAGGCTCGATTATCGATTGGGATCGTATTCAAAATATTTTGAATGATGAACAATTTAGTTAAAAAAGTCTTTTTACATTTATCATTATTTTCTTTATTTTATTCTCTTTTACTTCCGGTTCGTCCAAAAGTATTAGTTTTAAATAAAAATCTTTGTTAATAATTTTGAAAAGTATGGGAATGTGAAGATTTTACTTTCGTTTTCCATTTGTTTAGGAGAATAATAACTCAGGTACAACTTTTACAAAAGGATCTCAAAAGAATCTACATATTAGGCCTAATCATAAATATCTACCAGTAAAATTTGCTGAATTCATACTTTCTTTTTATTGTTAAGTCTAGCAAGAACTTTTACGTGAGGACAGTCGTCTGTAAACTTCGGAGATTAAACAATGAGTCTTCTTGAAACAAAGTTGAAAGAAATTGGGGCAGCAGGAAAGATACTGATTTTAATATTGCTAATTAATATTATAGTGCAGATAACTTCAATAGCTCTCCCTGATTGGCTTGAATTCACGAATTACCCAATCAAATATGGCTTATGGAAAGTATGTCATAAGCCCACGTCTATTTGTACCTCTGAAATTCCTGATGTTGATTATTGGACTGCTATGCAAGCTTTTGCAGTAATTGGAACATTGCTTATCTGTTTTGAATTAATTGTATTTCTGGCATCATTGTTTATTTCTTCTTTCACTGTAAGGAAATCATTTTTGACTATGATTGTTCTTAGCTTTCTCGGAAGTAAGTATCGATGAACTTCATAATGTATTAATAGTCATAACTCAAAACTTTAAATTGTTTTTAATTAGTTGCTTCCATCCTGATAACTGCTGGAGTTTGTCTTGGAAAGTTTCTTGAACTCGCAAAAAATCAAAAATTATCAACTGCTTTTTATTTGCACATTGCTTCTGCTGTCTTACAAATATTCTGCGTTACATTGGGTTTTATGGGTCTTAGATGAAAGCCAATCTTGCAGAAAGGAATTTTGATACATTGTATTCAAACACAGAATAGAATACATCATTATTAAAATAATAATAAATACATTATTTGAATTTCTATTATGGAATAGACGAATAGACGTACTTATTTACCTATATTAATTGAATTGTACAATACATAAACCTACACTAGTTTCAAACTTCAAAGAGTATAAATTTAAATAGAGTTGTTTTAATTTTTATTTTCACCAAATGACTAAAAAATAAAAGTTTCTTAGGCCATCATCGAAAATACCACTTAGCTATCATTATTCATATCTTAGTCATTTTAGTCCTAATTGTATAGTTATTTATTTACCGAATAAACTAGGCTGGATTCATACTTTCTTTTTAATGTTAAGTCTAGGAAGAAATTTTCAAAACCCAGAAAATATTTGGTGTTGTAATTTTCGTGTTCGAAAGAAAATCTACTTTTAAAATTATTAGTAATATATTCCTTCTTGGTTCAGATTAAAGTAAAAAAATGTTCTTACACTCAGATTGAATACTGTCCACTTAAATACAACTAGTCAGATGAGTTTATTCAATTAAATAGATTGACAAGTTGCGTAAATATTTAGAATTAGAAATAAAGTAAGAAAAGTTATGCCGACTGGCCAATAGTTATACTACTAAATTCCCGAAAAGAAATTAGGCTGATCAAGCAGCACGCTATCTGCAAAATCCAACCAAATACAACTAAGCCAAAGCCAGCATCTAAATGATCCTTTTTATCAGTATTCCCAACATAGATTCCCCAGGTAAGCATTGTAAAGAAAGCTGTGAAAAAAATTCATTAAAAATTACTATAATATCATCGGAACTAAGAGAGTAAATAGTAAATTGTAGGATAAAAAAAAGGTATTTAGCTTACCGGCTGAAGTGCATAGTGAACACATAAGTATAGTTGATGGGTTTTTCTCAAATATTTTTGTCGTTGTAATTACAGCTAAACAAACTAGTGCACCAACAAGACATAATGTTGAAATAATAGCAAAAGCACCAGATGAAGACAACCAATCAGGTTTGCAATTATGCTTCGTACAACTAGGATCGCAGTATTCCCACAAACCTTCTTTATAACCGCTAATTTTAACCCATTGAGGTATTGATATCCCAATAATATGGAACAATAAAGTTACAGGTAAAACTCCAACGAGAACAAATGCTGGTAATCTCTGATTTTTAAAATTTTCAATAATCTCTACCATATTTTCTTATAATATCATTATTTCTATTTTATACAGTATATACTAATAGTTATTTATATATCGTATATAGTACACCATCTAAGCATATTAGAAAATTAAATGTAATCTACATTACTTATATATACGTTTGTGAACTAGTTGATTATAAATACAAAAAAATAACACATCTGTTTAAAAATGTGCTGGAACATATCGTAATTTTACTGAATGTTATTGTTATTTTTAACAATAGCGTTCATTTCATATTTTTTTGGGTTAAATGAGTTTTTTTAAGGTTATTAATTCGCTCATTCACTTTTATAATTCATTGATATTTTTTTGTAACCTAATTCCTCTCTCTCTCTCTCTATTAATTACTATTATATGTGTATGAAACGGTCTGTATCTCCACACCTTAACGTCACAAATACGAATATAGTGAATTTGAGTGGTGTTGATGCGCTACAACATAAAATGAGGATCGTGAAGAGATCACAACATGCAAACCGCAAATCGAAAACTCACATTCCACTGCAACAATTACTTATTATAATAACAGTAGACGGTATAATGTTGTACTTATAGCAACTTTCGTTTCTGTAACCATACGAATGGTTGCTTTCAGCCAGAACAGAAAATGTCAATTTGCAGCGACATCTTCATTGTATTGTAGAATAAAAAATCATTCACTAATACTTTCGTTCTACATAGGTTTCAATGTAAAATTCGTTTATTTCAAAGAAAAATAATAAACTTCTAAAATGAAAGTTGATTTTTGATGATTTGAACTTCGGAAAACATTTCATAGTAGAATTAATAACAAAACTTATAATAGCACTTTCTGAGTAGGTTGTAAAGTATAAATCAAAGCTATTTCGGCATTACTGAATGCAAAACTAGTTCTATTAGTGATGAAAGCAGATCGAACAATACCTTGTATTTGAAACCAACGCTTAAATTTTTAAGTTGTTCATTTGTGTACAATAATACTAAAGTTCATCTCTTTTAATTTCTGTGTCTTCGAACAATAGTTCGAAGTTTTTAATGTTCTCAATAGGACACTGAAATACCTCTTCCCAATCTATTGCCGAATCGTGATTTGTATCGCAAATCTTAAGAAGCTATGAAGAAGAAAATTTGATAATACTTTGTTAAAATATTTATGAAATTATTTATGAAAAAGTATAAGAACCTCATTAAGATATTCTCTAGGTTCTTTTATATACTGTTTTGCTTCTTCCATAAATTCATCAAAGTGAGTTTCATTTATTACTTCGGCATGTATGAATGGTTCAAATAGAGATGAACGATATTCTTCTAATTTTCTTTGTCTTTGGGACTTAGGATCATCAGAATAAACTTTAGATAGTGGAGTATCGTCTTTGATGAAGTTATTATTGCAATCTTCATCGTCAAACCGTAAAAGATGAGCAAACCAGAAGTTAACAGCTAAATTTCTATTTCCAGTCGACCAAACAGTATGATACCATCCTTTTGGTATGAAAAGACAATCACCTTTTTCCATAATGGCGTGCCACCAAGGAATATTTCTAAAGTTTTCATATATATTCATATCAACCCTTTCAACATCAACTTTGCTGTAAGCACCATTTTTAACCCAATTGTTACTCTCATCCTCAACTTGAGATTTCAACTCCTAATAAAAAAAAGATATATTTTCATAATTCTATCATAATTATAAATAATATTAATAATAGATATTCGCCTTGTCAATCATCCTTAGCTCTTTAACACCATCAAACAGACAATTGATATTATCAATAGAATCGCTATGTAGAACTGATTTGGTTCCTCCGCTACTAAACCACATAACGAGTAATTGCAAATTTCTTAGAAAACCACCACATCTTAGAGACTTAGGAATAATGAGATCATCTGCTGGGACAAATATTTTTAGATATAGTAACTAAATTGGTATAATTATACCCATCATTATTCGAGGAACGTCATAAACCATGTAAATATCACTGTTTTTATACATATCTAGATAGACGGACATAGTTGGATTGATTAAATTTTCTGCTCTATCTTCTTTCTTTCCAATTTCAGCCGTTACATTCAAAAATCCATACTTAGATTTTAGATACTCGTCTGTCCATAGCTTAAATGCTGGTATTTTTGTTGCTCCTTTCTTAACGATAAATGGCTGAGAATCAATTACGTAGTCATCAAAAAAAGTTCCTGGATCAGGAAAATCGTCAAGTTCTATTAGCTTCCCAACTGGATCTTGATGACTTCCGAAAGGTTTATTATGACCTGCGTATTCGCAATTAAAACCGCAAATGATAGCTAAAATAAAGTAAAATTCAAGAAAGCACATGACAATTTTCTATTTTCTTTTTCTACACTGGAATGTATACCAGCTTTCAAAAGGCTGTTCTGGAAAGATTTTTAAATCCTTTATATTTATGCTATTCTATATAGTAGAGAAGTTTAAATGAGAATAAAGGAATATCCCACATTAAGAGTTCTCTTCTGAATATTTAAAGACAGGTATTAAATTTATCATTTGTATAGATAGGAAAGTAATATTTTTACCATGCAAGATATTTTTGTTCTTGTCCTTATATTATATGTTTGTATGAGTATATTATCTTAAAGAGAAAAAAGTCAAGGATAAATAAACGAAAATGTTTCCATTTTCATGATGTCTTTACGCTCCAATTATTACTTAATTGATTTATAAATAAAATAGGTTCTAAATTTTAATATTTACAGCAACTGTTTTGTTATAGAACAGCATGTTCAAATAGAATAAAGCCTAAAAACTTAATACTATGTCAACGTGTGAATTATTAGTTACCAATAACTTTTTATATAATTTACAGATGTCGCTGTGTAAGAAAATCTTTAGGGTTAAAGGAGGGAACTTGATTTGTTTACTTCCGACGCGCGTTACAAGAATCCGCAAGTTTAGTCCACCAAATCTGTTTGTTTTTATTAAATTCAATACATGAAGTAATCGCTCTACTGAATTTATCTACTTTAAAAACAGACTATAGTCTAATTAAGGTAATGCTTCTGAAAGAAGTCTTTAAAAGCAATTTTTTTTACAACAATTACAGGAAATCTAATATCGCTCATTCGCATTCCGATTCCCAAAAATTTCTACAAAAAATCTTTCTATTAATATGAGCCTAAAAAAAAAACTAAGAACAAAAATTGAATTTATTGAGTCCACAGTTTAATTACTCATTTCTTTGTGAGTTTGAAAGTTAAGTTTATAAAAATTAATCGCTTTAGGAAAATTATGGCCCTACCCCACTTGTACACTGCTAGACGACGTCAAATTCAAGATGATCGGCATCAAAATTGGGTTCGACATGCGGAGAGATTACAAAGCGCACATGTCTCTGTAAATAAACACTGCTCTTGGGAATCACCTAGTTCTTTTAACGCCAGGTAGATTGAACAATTATTGACAACACCTCTATAGTGTTATTCTGTAATAAATTGAATCGATTACAGTATGGAAGCGTGGGCAAGAAAACAAGAAAATGAAACAAAAGAAACAAAACTGCAATTTCGTCGTACACAGCTTGCAAAATTGCTTTCAAACGAAAGCGAAATGTATCAAGTAAGTTTTAATATATTTTTTTATGCATTTGTAAATATTATGGAAATTATTTTTAGAGAGAGCTAAGGGATTATTCGGGAAAGCGATTACCATTACATTTAATGAAAGAAAAGACTGAAGCTCTTAAATCTGCAAGAGAAGAAAAAAGGAGAGAGGTTGTAGAGCAGAAATTATACGACCACTGGAGAGAGAACAATCCTGAATTACGAGAAGTAATTAGCTTTAAATTTATACTTAGTAAAATTCTTAAATTATTATTAATTCTCTACCTCACAAGATTGAATCTGCCCGCTTAAGCGAACATGTTATTGATACTTGGCGTGAACAAATTGAAGAGCACGAAATTCTTAAAGAGGAAGAAGCGAGGATAGACGCTGAAGAAGAATTAGAGCGCAAGATTCAGTTGAAAGAAGCCAAAAAATTAGCTAGAGAAGAAGAATCAAGGAAAAAATTGAGAAATGAAGAATTAGCAGCGGCTTTAAAGTACCAAATGGAAGAATTAAGAGAGAGAGAACAAGAAGCTCAGAAGATTAAATTCGAAGAAGAAGAACTGATGAAAGAACGATTGGATGTGGAAGCCTTGAAGGAAGAACGATTAGAGACGGAAAGACAGCGTAAGAAAGCTGAAATAGGGTAAATCAATTTTCATTACATTCAATATCTGGAGCACATTAGCAGGGCAATTTTCAATTATATAATTTGTTACATTGGCAGACGTATATTGAAAAGGCAACACGCAGCCGCTCTCAAGAGAAAATCCAGAGAAGTGCAAAAACAGTTGGAAGAAGATCGAAATTTTATGGAAATTTTAGCTCGTCAAGAGCAAGAAAGATTTCAGCAACAGCAAGATAAACAGGAAAAAGCTCGGGCGGACGCTAAGTGGATGCAAGAAGTTTTAGAGAAGCAATTGCAAGAGGAACGAGAAAGAGAAGCTGCATTAAACTTGCTTTATCAGTAAAAAATTTTATTTATTATATTTTCTGCGGTTATGAGTTAATTATTCTATTTATTAATTCAATTAGAGAGGAAGCAGAGAAGCAATGGGCTCAAAGGGAAAGGCAGTGGGAGTTGGAAAGATTAGCTAGAGAGAAATTGATGAAAGAGGTTTTGGAAGAAAGAGGGAAACAGATTGAGGAACGTTTAGAGATTATTAAGGAGAAGCAAATGAATAGTTTACGTGAAAGAGAAATTCTTTTAGAAGATCTTGACGAATTAAATAATTTGAAAATTTCTGAAGACAACGAAAAGAAAGAAAAGATAGAGACAACTAGAAGAGAAATTGAAAATCAAGTTGCACAGAAGAGAGCGCTCAGTAGGATGGCAGACGATGAAATGGAAAGAGAATTACAGCAGAGTCGATTAGCCGAGAAAGCCTACAGTGAACTACTTGATCAGGAAGCTCAACAATTGAAGAATACGCCATTTACTCCCAGGGTAAGTAAAAAGCACGTTTTTATTTAATATTTGCTCATTCGAACAAATTCTTTTTTCTACAGTATCATGCTCGAGTGAAACAAGCTTGGAACTAAACTTTTGTCGAATTCATGGAGATAAATGACATAAGAATAGAGAGAAGATGATGTAGATTTAAATAGCTTTTGCGTTATTTATCACTTTTACAATACACCGTCCAATTTTTTTACATTTGCTCGCAAAACGATTTATTTGCTGAGACGTAAAGTCGATAAAAAAAATCCATCGAGGCTAGTCAGCATCTATAGCGTTCCCTAATACATATATATATATATCCTATTTAGAATAGTAGAATATATCTTGTACACATTTACAATGGATATGAATAGCCAGTAGATGTCGCAACTACCAGTACAGAAAAGTTATATTTGCAAAGAATTTTCAACCTACCGCAGTATACGTAGCTATAAGAAGAATATCTATACAATATTCAAATATTACTTTCAAATTAGCCATAAATAATTAATACGGCTAAGTTCAGTACTAATTAAATTGAGCTATTTATACCATACGACTATATACATAGAAAATCGCAGTATATCGTGTGTATTTTGTGGTAAATTGTATAAAATTCTTGTTCAAATCAATCAGCAAAATAACTTAAAAAAGAAAGAGAAAAAGTTGAAATATTCGTATCAACCAGTGTCTGTAACGTGTTACTATTAAACAATATATATATATATATATATATATATATATATATACTGTATATATTTATAAATATACTATATATTGGTAAACCTTTACAATGGATTATTTTTTAAAAGAATGACAAGTATTTATAGATTTTAAAAGATTAAGTGTCTTTTTTTTAACATGATTTACACATTTCTAGTAAAGAATCTATAAAGAAGAAGAAAAGAAGCTAATTTATGTATTTTCGTATTTTAATTTAATAAGGAAAAGAGAGAAAGAATGATATTATTGATATAAAATTTCAGTAAAAGAAAACAATTAGCACAATAATATTTACACCAGTTTTATACACGAAATATATACATATACTATATTGTTTATATCTATACTATATATTTTCTTTTAATTATTCTATGTACCAAAATATTTTAAATTCTTTATTTATCACGGGAAAACAACTCTGGTGGCTTAAGGCAATTATTATTGGAAGATTAAAGAAATCAGATATTGGATTTTTTCTTCCTTTCTTTCTTTCTATCGTTACGAATAGTATGCTAGGTTATTTAAATTTCTGGATTTCCTATAAAAATTCCTATAAATCGTTATTTATATGATATTTAAGAGACTTATTTCTCATTTAAAATTAGTCTAACTAACCAGCTATTGGGTTATGTTTACCGGCCGAAGATAGATCTTTCCTTTTCTTATGACCATATAGTTTTTCTCTCCTTATTAACTATCCTCTTATTAAAGACAATAAAATCTACTTTCTTATCTTTTATTTAAGAGAATATAAGTCAATTAATTTTGATTGACTAACCAAAGCTAATTAGGACATACAGTATATTTCTTTCTCCTTTTTTTTACAATGGTTTTTTCTTCTTCTATTTATAGTTCAGTTTATTTCAATTTAAAAAACTAGAAAGCTATAAAAAAAAGACTCCATTTATTTAACAATTCCATCCTTAAATAAAGAATAATTGTTTTACAAATAAGATAAAGGACATAAATTTTTGTATAACGTGGGACTAGAGTATTAATTGCTCTCCGGATATGGTAAAAGTTATTTAAGAACGTTAAAGACGACAAAATGACTGTCTAATTAATCAAATTAAAAAAATCATATGCACGAAATAAATGTCATCTGTATCAGTATTATCTGGCTTAAAATCATGATAAATTATGCACTTGTTATAGGCCGACACGTGGTGGCGCAGGCACCAACCGCACTTTATACTGTAGGGGCATTGGTTTCTCTCTGTAAAAATTTCTATCGATTTGGCCAAAAATTTCCTATATAATATGTCACTTTGCTAAAAGACAGCTGCCTCCAAGGTATGTTTTGATTTTATCGACGATATTTACATATTAAATGATTTTTATCTGCAGGCAGATAATATAGACAACGGATCAGTGTATTGAAAACAAGAGAAAGAGAGAGGGGGAGAGTGAGGAGTGAGAGAGAGCCAGAGAGCGAGTAAAAAGCGGAGAGAAAGATAGAGCGAGAAAGAGAAAGCAAGAGAGAGAGAGAGAGAGAGAGAGAAAAAAAGTCAGTGAATAAACGAGAGAAGAGAAAAAATTTAAACGATCAATGCTGTTTCTACAAACATGGTGAGTCTAGAGTTTTTGTTATTCTTTCTTTGTACAACATTTCATGTAGTATATGTGTACGTAACGTAGGGTGGGATCTCTAAATTCCCTAATCTATATATATATATATATATGTATTATCCACGATATCCCTATTTGAAAATACGAATGGTGATTGCTTCCTTTGTAAGCTTTACCGTTATATTTCTTACAAAAAATTAGTAATTTGTCGTTAGTGATAAGATCTACAAGGCCTTGATTTTGATTAATGGATGGTCATTGGCGGTGTGGAGCAGTAAAGAATTGAAAAAATTACCCATGTGGGTACAATTAGGCATGCACTGTCGGTTTTTAATTAATTTTTTTTTTCTTACCGCTTAAATCCTTCTTAATATTCTTATTAAAGTATCATATTTAGTACACTATTTAGTTGTCTATTATGTTTATTTTCTTTTCTTCCAGTCCTAAAGGCAAATTGTTTCCATCGTTCTACGTCAATTTAAATCCCTTTAAGTAACATTTTCCTTATCAATTAGTATAGAATTTTATACAGAATTTAGATAATGTAAATACATATATAAAGTAAGAATTAATGAAAGAGAGAAGAAAAAGGATAGAGAAAGAATTATTAAAAATGAATTAAATGAAAATATTAAGAGAGGAAGAGAGAGGAAAGGAAAAATAACCAAAAAAAAAATATGTCAAAATGTCAAAAAAGGAAAAACTGAAAAATTTTTGCTGCCAAAGTCAAAAAAAAAAGAAAAAGAAAAAAACTGCTGACACTATTGTGTTTACTCCATCGATATTCTAACCGTATAATTTAATTACGAAAGATCAGATTATCTCTTAAGACTTTCATTTGTAAGACTTTATTTATAAATATTGCTTAATAATTCTTATCTGCGTCATTTCTTTTATATTCATTATTCATTCGCATTAGTCTTCATGGTTAAACCTATATATTGTATTATATATATATATATATATATATATATATATACAGTATATATATTAGAATATACACGTACTGTATTTGTTTATTTATAGATATAGTTTAACAATACATAATGTATACTTTTAAGAGAGACTACTTTTAAGACAATCAATCGTTTTACAGTCAGTATTCAGAAAGATTCTCTCATCTGCCAACAAAACGAAGGGCATCAAACTCAGTGAGACTAGGCCTAACAACAAAGAATTTGAAGAAAAGGAATTGGAGGAGACGCGCCTCGAATGGCAAAAAGAATTAGAGGATATGTCGGATTTTCTTGTTATAAAACCGTCTCAAGAAGCGGACAGTGATAAAGCATTTATCGACGATGATAACGGACTACCAGTTTTCAAGGCGATTTTTGATGTAAATTCTTTCGATAAAAAAGATATTACCTTAAGAATCGAGGGTGATAAATTGCATTTAGAAGCAAAACATAGGGAAGAGAAAGATGATAGAGCATTCGTAAAAACAATGCTTAGAACTCTTGATTTACCCTCTCACGTTGACGATAAACTCATGAGAACAACAATTAATGATAAGGGTTTCCTTATCATAGAAATGCCCTTTCACCTTCCACCAAGGTTTGTACTATCAATAAAACAAACACTTTCTTCTCTTTTCTTTTCGTTTAGTATTAAAGTAAAAGCAAAATGTACATAAAGAGAATAATTCTATTTGATAAGGATATCATACTGACTTTTCACACGTTGGTTTGGTTGCTGTAAATAAAGTAGGCCTATATAATTACCAATTCGCTGTACGGGTTTGTTTTTATTACAAAGATAATTCATATCGTTTCCCATTATTCTTGTTGTAAATTTCCCATTTAAATTCCTTTTCATAGTTTTTGAGGTTATGAGAAAAGAATTTTTCTAAGAAGTAACATTTATTTTTGTTATTTCTACTTCAGCAGATCATTACAACAGAATAAGCCAGGTGTTCATCCTATTATTACTGATCCAGATGGAACAAGGAAAATAAGAGTTAGTACAACCTTGGGAAGGGAATTCACGCCAGACGACGTTAACGTTTTTATAGACGAGAATGATCCAGGAATAATTGCTGTAAGAGCGGCTTACGAAGAAAGAGCCGGCCAATACGGTGACAAAAATCGAATATTACGAAATATAAAAAGAGATATACGTCTCCCATCATATATGAAGGCCAAGAGCGTTAAAGCATCACTAGGACCCACAGGAAATCTATACATAGAAATTATACTTCTAGATCAGGAAAAAACCTATAGATGCTCTATTACTTCAGAAGACGTTACCGATGAGATTTCTGACACTTAGGGAAAAAAACCCAAATGCCTTAGGCCTACCTAAGAAATTTTAACTCTTACTGCTGCTGTAACTAGTTAAACTGCAATGGACCTAGACGAATTTCGTTTTTTCCTTTTTTTCTCATTCTATTTGATTAGGTTAAAAAAAGATTATAATTCAATCTCTATTATATAACTTTATCGCTATAAACTGTATCCTTTACTACTACTACGAATTATTAATAATAATATCAATGTAATCGCTGAGGTATAGAAAAATAGAATAACCATAAAAAGCCTTTTAATAAAATAGAAAGAAAACTATTATTAATTCAGGGGGAAAAAAGAGAGAAAAGGGAATTAAGCGAAGAAACGATGGACAGACTGATAGACAGCCAGTCCAGTCAGCTAGCCAGCCAACCAGACAGATGATATAGAATATGGGTGGAAATTTTTAGGTTAAAAGGGGGAGGGAAGTGATGTCGGGGGGGAGGGAGGACGAGTTTAAAAAGTGACATGGGAGATGAGAAATTATGGTTAAATATTGCTACTATTTTGAATTCTTTATTCGTACCTTCAGGAAATAATAAATAATCAATTAAGAGATAATTTATTAAATTATTATACGCTAGATTAGAGACGGAAATTTCTAAGTAACAACATTATTTAAAGTAGAACTGAGCTTCTTGATTAAGATACTGTAAAATAAAATAACAGTTACAGAACAAAAAAATAAAAGGACACAAGTATCAAAGAAATATAAATTATACAATCTTTAATTATGAATATTCATAATTGTTAATTATACCTGTTTTAAATTGTGTGAACATGTACTCATTGAAAGGAAAAGAATTTTGATTTATTGAACTATTCTCTCTGCATAAATATAAGGGAAAAACAAAACAAATATGTTCTATATATATATATATAAATTACTAGAAATGTTTTTATTCTTAATTTCGTTTTTGTTTGAAGAGACAAAGAAAAATACTTTGAAGTTGAAAGAATAAAAAGAAAAACACAATTCTAATCATGATATTTAATAGTTTGCAATTTGTATAATCGGGCTATAAAGGTAGAAATGAACCTATTCGTCTTTATGGGTCGGAATATCGCACAGCTGCCTGTAATAAATCTGTTTGTTAAAATCTCAAGAGGCGTTTTATTTATACAGAATGCGTTCTGTTATACGTCGTTAATTCACTTGAGGCTTTTTCTTACCCCGTAAAAATCGTCTTAGCGAATAAAGCGACTCGGTACAAAGTTTGCATTGAGAATATTTAACTCAATTGGCGGTTTGTTTATTTAACCTACTTTTAAAAGCAAACTTTATAATTCTTATATGAAGTATCATTTCCAGCATATTTCATTGATATTATCGACTTAAAAAAGTAGGAAATGGAAAGAGTCTAAGTTAATGGACTCTGAGTGGACTATTGATAGATTGAGGTGAATCAGTCAAGTTACGTGTTAATATGCAAAACAGAAATTTACTGTTTTTTTCAATACCTTGAAAAGACCTATAAAAATAATACAAGCATATTCTTTCAACAAATTTTATCTATATTACTTTTAACGGCTGGGAAATGGTATTTTATTTTTTTTCTTTTAGTGCTCTTTTTACTTTTGGTAATACAACTTCCTCAACAAATAGTAAACGATAAAATTTTTTTTTTTCTTTATTCAACCCTCGTATTAAACTACGAATTCTATATTTTTCCTATAACCCTTTTTTTTACCCAATTTCTCTTCTTGTCTTTTATTATCTTTTTTTGCTTGTGCCAGTGAATTTTTTACACTTTCAGGTAAAAAATTAAAAAGTATAAAAATTAGAATTTTTTCTTTTTCAATCGCTCTCTCTTTCTCTTTTTTTCCTCTTCTTCACGTCGAATATCTTCTAAATCTTCACGCTTTCCAATCTTTGCTCTAAAGGAAAATAAAACATATTCAATGTAAATCTAATTTTATTCTCTAGTCTTTAAAATGCCATTTCTGATTTTCCTACTCTAGTTTCATACTTAAGATGGTTATAAATTTACTATTACACAACAAAGGCTAACTTAACCTTTTAAAAAGATATACTATATTACAAGTGGTTTAGCGGTCCTTTGAAGGCTAGCACTACTGTTGAAAGGTCGATTCGTGCGTTTATGCACTTTTCGAATACCGATTATAGAGGAAAACATAAGCAAAGTTGCATTAAAAACAAGATACTGTTTGTATGCATTTCAGAGTAGATACGAGTTTTTCCTACATAAAACCAAGTGACGTGCTAAAAAGAGCATATAATCGCAAATTCATCTCTTATCAGATGTTAGAGTAATTTTAAACCAATCCTTCTGGCTACATGGGAGCCATCTAGTCGATAGTTTTGCAATTAAAAAAGAATTTTAACTCACGATCGTCTCTCTTCTGCGTCAATTTCTCCAAAATTTGACTCCATATTGTCAATGTCATCGAAATCATTTACTCTGTCATATTTTTTTTTATTTAAACCAAAAATTTTCCATATTTCATTTGAATTTACTCCATCACCATAGTCGTCGTCAATAAAATCATTCATTTCATCATCGTACTCTTCTTCATAGCCATAGTCGGAATTATAAAGTTCCTTAGGTATTTTTGGTACAGGTACCGGTGAAGGTTTTCTCTCTTTTTTCTTCTCGACCAGTTTTTGATTAATAGACGATCTAGAAACAGATTGCGTTTGAACAGTTGAAGCTCTGGATTGGTGAGGGACTGCTGGCTTTACGGCTGATCCTGAGGGAGATTAAAAATAAGTTATTTCGCTTTTATCAAGAAGTTTATTTTCCGCCTTTTTCATTGATATTTATTTATAAGACGTGCGTAAAGAAAGAAATAATAAATCCAAGCTTTTCTATCAAAAAAAACAAAAAGAACTCACTTGATGGGGGTTGTGGTGGTACTGCTCTCGAATTTTTTCTAGGACTCTTTTCAGGCACTAAAATTCTTAACTTTTCTCTTCTATCAATTTCTTTTTGCTTTTCTATAGCCTGTTTCCGCTGTTTTTGTTCCAACTCTATTTTTTTCCAATCAACAACCTTATCTGTGGGGAAAAATTGTCTTTGTTTTTATATAGTACAGCAAATAAAACTAGATCTAGTTGATCGATAAAATAGTATCAAACCTTTATTATCATTAGCCTGCTTTATTATTTCATCAAAACTCAGTGGTTTCATATTAGCCTGTCTAACGGAATGTTTAACTAATTTGGGTTTTTTTGACACAGGTTCTGCGACTTTTTCTTTTCTTTTAGAACGTGATTCATCTCTCTCTTTTTTCTTCTTCTTATGCTTCTTTTTTTCACTTTTATTGTCACTTGATATAACTCTTGTTGTATAATTAATATTATTCTTTGCAGCTAAAATGTCTTCCATCTTTTGCGACAAAGGTTTCAAGCCCAGCTGGGATGCAGGAATCAAATCACTTCTGGCAGGTCTAGAGGTGGAATCTTTAAGAGTTGTTGTCTGCCTTGGTTCAGTGGCTGAAAGCTTGTTTAACGGTTTGTGTAGCACTTTTCGAGCTTTTTCTTGCAGAGCAAGTCGATGCTCTCTTATTTCAGCATCAGTCATAGGTTTGGACTTGTTATTATGAGCCCTCCTTTCCAAAGACTTTTTGCTCTTTCCATCATTACTTTGGTGATTAGAAAGATCTTTATTCACTTTTTCCATAATTTTTCTTTTACGTTCAGCTTTCTCCTCAGCTTTATATAAAGATTCGATTTATATTTAATAATGCAACAATTTTGCTATCTACTTACAGTTTGTGTCCTTCTGCTTTCGTAAACGTTCATCTCTTTGCAAGTTTTTCAAAACTCTGTCCCGCTGCGTGTTTTTATCAACCTTTGTCTGTAAAAGAAAACAATAGCAATATTGAATAAAACAAAAACAACAAAACAAAAAAACAAATATTTTAAATTTAAATATGAAGATCTCTTTAGAAATATCAATAATTATCTACTTTTAAACTCAAGTAATTTTTATAGTAAATCGATAGACCGTATGAGATCTATGTAAAAAATTTTCATGGGCGATAATAGGCAAATTTAAAACCCTGGATGTATTACCTTATCTAGAAGGCGACTTTTTTCCTGAGCCGCCCTCATTATTTCGTCAAAGTCCATTATTATTAATAATCTAATCGAAACTACGAATAAAAAATGTTCCAATGACAAAATATAATGAATTCGTCACTGGAACTAAATTCAGTACAGTGAATGTTTATTTCCACTTCCGCTTACGAAATCGACTATACACAATATCCGCTTTGTCAGCTGTTTCCTTTTTAAAGTTTGTTAGTGAAATCAAAATTTTAGTAGAATAGAGAATAAATGAAAAGTAGTATGAAATATTTTAAAAAAGGATTATGTAGCTGATAAAAAAAATTTCAAATTTACAATACTTTTACATTGATATTTCGAAAAAAAAGTAAAACACTTATACAAAGTTGATATTGTATATGAATATTCTTTTTTATTTATTTAAAATAGTAATACTAAGATTAAAATAACTGAAGTTTTTTTCTTTTCTTTGTTCAACAATATTTATTTTATTAAATAAATATATATATATATATTAAAATGTTATCAGTTTGAAATATTAGAACTTGGTGCTTGTTTATGAGCTATATATAAGAATGCTATACTGCTTAGAGCACTAACTAAGAATATCACATCAAACCACCGGTGATAGAAGTTAAATTGTAAATCCCCCAATACTTGAGTTATAATTATTCTATGGAAAAAATATTTAGAATATCAAGGATTAATCATTAAGTTAGGCGTATATATATATTTACCTATATTCCAAAGGCATATTCATTCTCATAAGAAGAACGCACGATACAAAATACATGCCCTGTTGTTTATTTATTTTATGTTTAATTAATGAAATTTATTCAATATGCTAATTATTCTAAAAAAGTTGATATTATTTAATATGAATAAAAAATTAATTACCATTATTTGAGCCAGAGCTAAAACAATCACGTTCGATGATTTACTACTTGCAATTGCATAAAAAAACTTTAAAAAGAGAATTACATTAGCAAATATTTATTGTCTATATAGTATATTATATTTTAATCTGATAAATGAATGAGATATAAAGACCAACCTTTGTTAAAGTTATTAATAAACCTCGAATAGACGTTACTACAATTATTCCAACGAGAACGAAAGAAATTTGTTGCGACCAAAATTTTACGTCGAATTGAATGGCAAAATAATTAACAGCAATTTCAATACCCCTCGTTACAGGGTCAACTTTTCCAACACGGTCAAATACAATATTTATTGTGGCCATGAATATTTTCCAACAACAATATATAGAGAAGAAATGGCCTAATATATTAAAATATCTCCCTTTAAATGTTGTCGAATACTGAATTCGTTCTTGTTCGTTATGTAAATCGACTGACTCCAGAAAAAGTTGCCTACTTAATTCTTCTAATGCTTCTGCTTCTTGCTTAAGAATTTTTATATCTAGATAATAATAAAAGGAAATATGTATATACTGTATATAGATCATTTTGATTATTATTGCATTCCTTTTAACTGAATCTTGTCACATACTTTCGTTATTTTGCGATGAAGTTACTTGCTTTATCATACTCCAAAATCCTCTTCTTTCTTGTGAAACAGCCGATCGTCTCATATTTTCTCTCTTTTCTAACGCAATCCTTAAATATTAAATTAAGGGTTAGATAGTTAGTCAATGCAATTACATATATAAAGTATATAATATTAGTATATACCTCTTTTTCTTCATTAATATCATATCCATAGTTTGCATAATTCTTTTCTCAACACTCTGAATATCAGTATTACTTACTTGTCTAAAAGATAGAAATAAAATAAAAATCAAGTTCAAAAGACCTTAGGAAATAAGGCATAGAATTACTAAGTTGTACAACTATACCTGACAAAATATGACATATAAGTATACGGACAATTTACAGCACCGAAACCAGATAGTATAGCCATTAATGTTACACCAACAACACCTACACGACCAATACATTGCTCTATTGATATTATCCCTGAAGATATAATTTGATATTCATTATTAAATGTAAAATATATATATATAAATATATATATACATATTTATTGTATATATACTGTATATTGTATTTTACCATGTTTTGGACTATGTATTGGAAAAGGATCACCTAATTTCCAAAAGAAATAGATAAAAGCTAGCCAACAAAAAACAGCTAAAGCTACTTTGGTTCTTCGTTTTCTTGGTACTGTTTGTAAAAATAACAAAAATTTAATTTAATAGGTTTTACTTTATCTATTTAAGAAAATAACCTAATGGAATGTTTCCAACTATAAAATAGGCTATATAGAACGGTAGAACTGCTATTACTATTACTAACATGCAGAAAAGTATTAATTTCCAAAAGAAGAATCTTGAACTGTTCAAATAATATCAAACACAAACATATTAATGAAATAGCTAAAAAGTTTATTATTTTTTCACAAATTTTTAATAATACTTACTTCGAATTTAGAAAGCCCAAAATTTCAAATATAATGAGCTCAAACATAGTACATGATAGGGCGAAAGTTATTGAGAAGACTAGTAATACTACCCAATGATGAACCTAGAATTGAGAATAATGAAAGTTCATACTGTTAGTTGAACAATTGTTTTCTTTTTTAATAAACTATATATTAACCTCATAATCGCGGAAAAGTTGCTTTAGGAAAAAAACCCAACCACCGCCAAAGAATAACGACTGAAAATAGATTTTTAAATTATTTGATACACGATATTGAAGAGAGATATCATTAGATTGATTTTGTACCAACCAAAGAGAAAAGAATGATACATGAATCAAGGATTAATGACATTTTTAATATTTATTTTTACAAATAATATTTGAAAACTGATTAGTTTTTATAGTTCGATAACTTATAATGAACAATTTTTTCGACTATAAGCCCCGCATCGAGTGTTTTTCTAAGTTTACCAGTTTTTCTATAATTGGAAATCCACGTGATCACTTGTTTACAACATGGCGTCTACTGTAGGTGAACCGTCTCTAAATTTGGAAAAAGGTATGATCTTATCATTTTACAATTGAAATTTGTTATCTTTAAAATTTCTTTTACATTCATCATTAGTTGTATAATCTGGACGAATTAATAATTCGTATATTTTCGAATAGGTTATCTATTTTTTCACCTAGTCTCAATGGCTTACTACGAACTCGTTCTATATCTGTTGACTAATTGCCATGTTAAATCACAGTATACTGAAAAGAATCTAAAATATATGTGTTTTTTTTCCAGATGTTGCAAGAGCAGTAGAATTACTGGAACAGTTGCAAAAGAGTAAGTATTACTTGTTGTAGTAGTTTTATTGAGAAATGGTCCGGGTAAAAAAATCGAAAATTGTAAATTACTATCATTTCATATGACGATTGAAGCGTGCAGTTCTCATTTCGGGGGTCTTTCCATAGTTAATCCCGTTTCAGAGTCTACAATAATTTAATATATTCTAGGCACGTTTATTAACTTTGTCAGAGGCTAATTGATCGACTTAAAAGTAGAGTAGCTGTTACTATTCACATACCGTCATAGAAACTGAAAGCTAACGTTAAACGTTATATTTACTATATATTCACTGTTATATTTTTCTAATTTTCCGCCTTTCTTCTTTTTAAAAATATAGCCGAAGTTGCGAGTCCCAAGTTAGCTGCCCTTCAAAAAGTACTACAAAGTGATTTTCTCCACGCTGTTCGAGAGGTTTACGAGAATGTTTACGAAACGGTAGACGTTCACGCTAGCCCGGAGGTTGATTTTATTTTGTTTTCCTTAATCAAATAATTAAGTATATTTTTAAACTTCGAAATAGGTTCGAGCAAATGCTACAGCTAAAGCAACAGTTGCAGCGTTTGCTGCCTCTGAAGGACACGCTCATCCAAGAGTTGTCGAATTGCCGAAAACTGACGAAGGTTTAGGATTTAATGTAATGGGAGGAAAGGAACAAAATTCACCAATTTATATATCGAGAATCATTCCAAATGGTATTGCCGATAAAATAGGTGGATTAAAAAGAGGCGATCAACTATTATCCGTAAATGGAGTTGTAAGTAATTTATTATTTGTCCACGACAAGAGGTAAATCAAATTTGTAATTTGATAGAGTGTTGAAGGCGAACCACACGAAAAAGCAGTCGAACTATTGAAAGCTGCCTCTGGTAAGTTTTTTATTATGAATTGTTTTCCCATAATTTATCTATTTATACATATATATGACAAAGAAAGAGGTAATTAATTAATAATCATTTCTTTTTTCTCTAGGAACGGTTAAGTTAGTTGTCAGATTTACACCAAGAGTTTTGGATGAAATGGAGGCTCGTTTTGATAAGCAAAGAACTCAAAGAAGACGCCAACAACCTAGCTAAATTATCATTTGATTAAGGCGTTTAGTCCACTTTTTTAAGTAGTATGTCTATCTCATAAAATTTCCTTTATTTTTATTTATAATTCAACTTTTCTTCACCTTACAACATTCAGGTTAACTTAGTTCTAGAATAATAGAATATTTTGATTACAGTGCAACTTTGTTTTCAATATTTTGAACGATTGAATGACAATTTCTCTAATATAAATGCTAAAAAAGCGATTTATGGTGATTTTAAGCTTGATTAACCAACGAAATATAAGATAAAAAAAGATTCTTTTCAAAATAGTTTGTTGTTGGTTCATATTTATAATTTTTTAAAATAAAAAAGTGCACTGTTTCTTTGTCATTTGTATAAAAAATTATAGACATATTCAATTATTGGTAGCGTATAAACATCTTGAATGGAAAGAACACGCAATAAATATTATTTTTTTTGTCAATTTTTTTCTTTCTTTCTAACTATTTCTTATCGATCTATTGAACTTGTAAGAGGAGGAGGTATAAGAAAATACATAAAAGATAATTTATTGATAGAAAAGGAAGGAAGTTAGTCAGTTAGGTTTTTTTTTCTCTTAGATTTATTCGTTTTCCTTTCTTCTTTTTGTACTTTTCCTCTGATTGAATCATAATTGATATTCATTTATGCAAAAAGTATATATAGGTGTATTGAATAGTCTTATTTTTATAATCTGTAAAAAGTTTATAATGCTTTCGCTTGCCTATCCGATAAATTCTTCTGGACAATGGATATATGTCTGTTTTTTATTTCCTCTTTTTGTTCTTGAATTTCTTCTTTTTCCTTTTCCTGCAAAGAGAGATGTTAGGAAATGTGACGAAACAATATATAGTATCTTTACGGATTGATGCCATTTTATAACCAATGCTCTTCGTCCATCTTTCATTGGTCTTGAATAATTGATCAACTGTTTTTTCCTTTCGGATGTTGTTACAGTTTGTTCAATTACAAGAATAATTTTGGCCCACTATAGAAAACAATAATAGCAAGTATTGGCAGGGGTATATACTCTAACAATAAAATAATACCTGTCTAAGCCATTCTTTTTGGGTTTCGGAGACAACTTGATACGTATTAGCCATCATAGCGATTAACATATTTACCAGAAGTAAAGTAACGAGTACCATATAGACAACAAATATTAACTGTAGAAATTTCATATTAAAATTATAAGAGGTATAGGAATGCAATACTTTCTAACTAATATAAAAAGTATATAGAATAAGTTGAAACAACATTAACCAAACTTAATAAAAGCAAGAAAAGAAATATTTTAACATGGAAATTGAAAAAAAAATGTGAATGATTGATTTAATGGCAATATATATAAATATATATATATACTGTGTATAAAAATATATATAATATATACTAATATACAGTATATACAGTATATATACTTTATATATATACAGAAAAAGCACATATACAGTATATATTAATATAATTTTCTTTTATTTGATTTATTTTTTTTTTTTAAAAAAAAAGAAATAAAATATAAAGAGACACCGAGGTAAGAGACACTGAATTCTTTTGGAAATGATTAAAAGTAGAAGACGGTAAGAATAGGGTTTTTTTCAACATTTAACAACGCTAGGAACCTGGGACATTGTATTGGATGGTGTACTAGAAAAAGCTTCATAAATGTCGGCAAATTCGCCGAGAGACATAATAAACATGCCCATCATTGCTTCTATGGGATGTAGGAAGATATTACTTGGGGTACTTCTAAACATAACGAACATTCCTGCATGCAACTGTCATTTAGGATTTTCTACGACACAGCTAAAAAACTGATATATGATATTTGATTACCCTATTCGTCACTATCAATAATCTTAAATAATTTATAAGACAAGAATTGGTAATCAAGTATCGATATATTACATGTTAGAATAAAATATGAATAAATAAATAAATGTACATTCATCTAATTTATATTCATGAAGACGATAAATAGACTTTAGAATATTTGCAATTATTTATAATGGTTAATCAGATGTCTATTCACGTCTTAACGATTAACTTGTAAAGACTATTAATCGTTATGAATAGTTTGAAAAATTATAGGGGAAGGTTATTTTATATTAATGGTTAATTGTGCCAATGTACTAAACTTAAAATTAAACATTATAAAAAGCTGTATCTATTAGAAAATGTCACATATTTACTGTTTTTCTTTAATCATTTATAATATGACGAATAAATGCTTAACATGCAAAATAAATTAATTAACTTGTAGGATTTTTAATAATCTTTGTTATGTTTCTTTTCCCTACTTGATTTTTATTTATTCTTGAAAATTCTCTATAAAACCTTTCTTTTCTCATGCAAATTATATCATGTTATGAATAGAGTAAACAACTAACTAATTCTTTGTCAATGACAAAGGTTGAATCAAGTACAAATCGAAAGATAGACATGAAGAATTAATTAGCTGAATTAGCAAGAAAATTTTGTTCTTTTTTCCTTTATTTTTTAAACAACTATACTTAAAAAGATAAAAGGCACCTTAGGAACGACGTCATATAATTTGAATTGGTGAAAAGATGAATATATCTCCTTAAATTCACCCAAAGACATAACAAACATTCCCATAAACGATTCAATAGGATCGTGAAAATATGAATATTGTTGAGTATTTCTAAATATGATATAGTAGGCTGTTTTATAATAAATTTTAATTAAACAATTGGAATATATTATATCTTTGCGAATTAATTAGTTAAATTTTAAATTGGTTAATCAATAAATTCTGTCATTTTCTCTCTTTCTCCTTCTCTTTCTCTTCCTCTATTACGTTTTAAATTTAGTAGTATAATTATAAATTTTTAAACCATAAATAAACTTATAAGGATTGTTAGTAAAATTATAACAAATTTGGATAAACTATATGTAGGTATTGGTGAAAAAATTGTGACAAGTTGACTAACTAACTACATATTCAAAGAGTAGCACCATGCACATTTCCACATATACGTGTATATATATATATATATATGTATATATATACAGTATATATATACAGTATATAAATATCGTGGTTTTCTTGGTGCTGTTTTTAGGTGATGGTAAACAAGCGAAGGGTTTAAATATGTACTTATAAAAATATACTAAAACCTACTGTTTATGTATATTTTTATATGCTACATACATAATTTGTTTAATAACTACTTTATACAATTCTTTTCACACCTTCGGTATATAATGCAATTCTTCAAATTCTGAGAATGAGTCGTATAGATCAAGGAACTGTGCTAAATTCATTATAAACATTGCCATAACGGCTTCAAAAGGTTCAGAGAACATCGTCCAAGCTTTATCGCGGTATAAAATGTAGTAGGCTATAGTAAAAACATTCATGTATGTATATGAGGTTGTATGAATAGTATATTTTTTATATTTTGCATCAACCTTTTTGTTTTGTTTGTAAATTCTTTTAAACTAAAGAAACAAACTAATAAAAATCTATGGAGAAACAATTTTAACTAAAAGTTTTTTATGGATAAAAACTTAATACAAGAATTTAAAAAAGAAACGATTTAACCTAGTTTTTATTGGCCATATTTTTTTTTAAATTTATTTCTACCTTTGGAAAAATTCCAAGAAATATTCCAAAATCCGACATACTTTCATAAGTATCAGCAAACTGGGCCAATGACATAATAAACAAACCCATGATTGCCTCGGCCGGGTTATTGAACACTGTATTTTCTCGATTTCGGTACAGTATATAGTAGGCTTAAATAATCAATTATAATTTGTTTTTTTTTTATTTACAGCTTCGAAAGGCTATGCTAACCTAAAAATTATATAGTTAAATATATATATATATATATAAATTTATATATACTAATATATATATATATATATATATATATAATACATTTTATATCAATGCTTATATAGTATGAAAAAGTTTTTCCCTATCAAGAATGGATACAGAATAGTTAATAGTGATAATATAGCAATAAAGATAAAACTAGATATTAAAAAGATATAAATCTTTACCCACCTTGAGAGAATCCAATAACAAATATCAAGTATATCGTAAAGAACCTTAACAAATCAGTTCTAATCATTTTGTAGATCATTACGACGAATGGTCCCACAAGCTTAAAACCGCTAATCAAATGAAAAGAAAACGTTGAAACTAAAGGCGATGATTGATTTACTCTCTTATGACTTACCGACAAAAAAATAAAAAATACGGAGCTGTACACAATATAGCTAGAACCCCCATTACATCTTCGTATGTAAATGCGCATGCGGCTCTTCCAGGAAGCATAAGGAGAACGAAAAAGTTTGCCATAAGAAACATAGCTTTGGCTGGAGCTGACTTTAACGTTTGAAAGAATATCTTATAGCCTTGATGATAGACTTCTTTCAAACTCAATAATATATATATTGTCGCTCCTAAAACCATTATTGATTCTAATACTAATCGAGTGTAATCTTCCCATGTTTTTGTTCTTTGGAGATAGCAAGGATTCTTTATAGTATTGTTTACTAAAAATGTTTGACCGGCTGAGTTGGTTCGATTTTCTGGGCGAATTTTAGGATCAGTATCTGTTCCGGGTCTTAGAGAAAAAGCCACAACAAAAACGGCAAAGTACATTGTGAAAACTATGAATCTTCTCAGGAATCTAAATTTTGCAAATGTCTTCCATTTCTGATCCAATAAATTACCTATAAGTCCTTCTATCATATCTATATGCTCTTGTTTATCTCCATATATTACGTGGTACATTGCAGAGTTGGTATTAATTTCTCCAGTAGATGAAATAGTATCAATATGGTCAAGGGGGTATGCAGCGCAAGTAACATCACCAAATGTCCAATAAACTTCTCTTTCAATTTTAAGAATATGTTCGTACATCTGTTATGATTTTAATACGAAAAGTACTACAACAGACCATTCTTAAATAAAAACAATAAACGAGAATTTATTACACTATAAACGAAAAAAAACTCTTAATAAATTTATGCTTTCTTTATTCTAGATGACGCTTTTAATCCTTCGAAATCATTTATTACTTAACTAAATAACAGATAATATCCTTTATTCTTTTTCATAAATAAATCCCTATAATTTATTATTCATACCTCTTTTTTTGCTAATTTCGCAGCTAAAGTTAGAGGAGTTAACTCTTGATGATTTCTTATATTCAATTTTCCTCCGAGTTCAACTAATAAATCAAACATTTCCTGAAAAGGATTAATTAGAATAAAAACTAAAGTTGAAAAGAATAGATATGCATCTATATATATATATATATAATTAATATATAGATGCATATTAACTTTCGTTAAATATACAAGTTTCTTTAAATTTCTAATAGTAAAAGAAAAAAAAGAAAAGAATAGTCTTTTTTTTTCTTTAAAAAAACAAAAGATACTTTTAATAAAAATAAATAAAAAAAAACTTTATAAACACCTAATTAGTTACAATATTTATGTATATAGAATATACGATATATGAAATGTCTGTATAATTATTAGTTTATATTTGCATATATTGTATATATATTTACAAATACATAACATATAATCTACATACTGAATATTTGTATTCACAACATATTCATGCATATACTATAAAGAAACATATAAACATGTAAATATGCTATGCATAATACATTAGATAGAAAAACAGATATAGAATAAAGAAATGGTTCAAGTGTATTTGTATTATATACTATTCAACATATATATATATATATATATATATATATATATATATATATATATTTCGTATACTGTATATAATACATAAATGAGCCCTTTACATATTATATAAATGAATAACTAACAATTGAAAAATAATTTAGGCTATTTTATTTTATTTTCATTATTTCTTTATATAAACTAAAAGATAATAAAATATTATATTCGTTTTATATTCTTTCTTTTCCATTTTTCCAGTATTTTTCTTTAAGTAAGAAGAAAAATTTGTGTATTTTTTTTTTAAAAAAAAAAAAAGCAAAGTATAAAAAAATATATAAAATTTTTTTCTACAAGAAAAAGAAACTTTTTTTTCTGATTTTTTAAAAAAAAATAAAATAATTGTTTTTTTAAAAAAACAATAATATTAAACTTTCTCTTTAAAGAGTGTTTTGGTAATTTTTTTCCCTTTTCTTTTTGTTTTTTGTTACAAACCTGGGCATTTGTATATTCCTGTATATTTTTTTTTAGAGGTGTACAAAAAAAAAAATCAGGGGTTAAATAAATATATTGACTAAGGGTTTGATTAAGGAATAAGGTAGTGTAGAATTTTTTTTATAAAAAAAAAATTTGCCACTAATTTCACTAGGATCTAAATAGGTTTAATATGATGAAAAGAGGAATTTTTGTTTTTTATCTTTTTCTCAATTAAATATAAATATATATATATATACTGTTTATATAGATAAATTTGTTAATATTAACAAAAAAAAATTAATCACCAAAATTCATTCAATACAAAAACTACATTATAAAAAATAATAAGACATTAAGTTAGTCACAGAACATTCTACTGGTTTAGTAAATAACTGTCGACAATAAAGCCTAAATACTGCAAAAAATGTATGAATACTTTTTACTTTTCAAATTATTAATATTCATTGATTATTGCTTTTCCTTTGTTCTTATTATACGATAATGCTATGTTAAATCAAAATGAATCAAACAATTGCTAATTACAAAATTTAAAGGGAGAATCTTTTACATTTAACTTTATACATTTATATCTAAATATATACATTGTATATATAAATTTATATATCTTTTTATATACACATATATATATATATAATTATATAAATGTATGGGAATAGGTAAAATTCAATAAATATAACAAATAACTTAAACCAGAATAAACTTAATCATCTTTTTTTTTGTTTTGTAAAAAGAAATTCAAACCTCTGGTTGGCAGTACTGCAAATTTTTACCAGGGAAAATTTTATGGTGGTTTGTTTTTTTAAAAAAAAAACAAATATTATTATAATTATTTTTTTAGTTATCCTATTTTAAAAAGAAACAACAAAATTAAACATTCTCACTTTCTTTCATACATTTCCTATATTTAGACAATATATATATTTATATATAGCTATATATATACTGTATATCAATATTTTTTTTTTCAAGTTCTTTTCATAATTTATCTATATTTACCGATAATGTTAGTAAAATTATCTATCACATCTAAAGAATTCTAGGTCTTTTCGTGTTGTTAAGCCTATATAAATGTTAAGAGAAGTGAAAGAGTTTGTATTAATATCTCCCCTAAATCAGAATGATAAGACTAGGATAATCTGTTAGGTTTAGTTAAAAAGGAACGAGGAAAAAAGATTAGAATTCTTTATTTTTTAAAAGGCAATTATGTTTATGATCATTTCCTTCCGATATTATCGACGTCAATCAACCCTTTAATGGCTCTATTAAACGATATTGAAATAAAACAGAGTGCTTTTATTGTATCTTATTTTAAACTATTCAATGAACGAGAACCAAAAAAACAAACGCTTTCAAAAAAATTCAACTCTTTTTTCTTTCCTTTCCTTTTCAACTTTTTCTATTTATAAATTTAAAAACTAAGCCTATGATGAAATATACAAAGAAGGTAAAAAAAAAAGAGATGCCGTTGATACCTTTACCTTACACTTAACTGGTAAAGCATAAATTAAGTATTACGTAATGATGTTTGTTTGAATTTTAATTGATTATTATGAAAAAAGGTTTCTTATATACAGTTTTAGATAAAATACATAGTTTGTATAAGAAAGACTATTAGAAAATTGAACGTATGAATATAAATGAACTTCTCTTAGATTTTAGTAATTCTGAGTGCGAATTATCGACTTGGAAATGTAAATATATAAATGGAACGCAAAAAATCAGTAAATGTCGTTCATTATTAAAATCATAGCTGTCATTAACCGAACTGACGGCGTTATAATTCCGCAATTGCATTGAACAAACACGTCGATAAATCAATGTTTTCAGGATGTGACAGCCAAACATTACAATCATGCTAGACGCTATATTGATTTTTATATCACTTTTTTTCCTCTCTTTCTTCACTAACCGCTTTTAAAAACAGTATTACAAAACAGACTTTATGTTACATACCTTTCCAGTCATTGCTCGTTCCCTCATCTTTTTTTATACATTTAGTTCAATTTTTTAATCAGTTTTAGGACAATATTATTAAATAATATTATATATTACAAGTCTTTACAGTACAGAAAATATAAAAATAAACTTTTTTTATATTATAAAAGTATTTAAACTAATAAAGGTAAAAGTTTAAAGGTCAAAAAATATACTACTTACCTTTTGATCGTGTATAACTAAAAGGTGAAGAACTGTATTCCCATTTGAATCAACAAGATTAGGGTCAGCTCCATTTGCTACTAGTAACCTTACACATTCCTCTTGACCTAGGCAAGCGGCAAATCCAATAGGATATTCACCCCAATACGTATAACCATAATAATTGGTATCGGTTGGTAGATCGTACCATTCGTGTAGCCAGGAATGGGTTTTATAAACTTTTTGGTCTTCCGGAAGGAAAAAGTTACCACAACATCTCTGATGTATATCAGCCTCGTGGTCTAGAAGGAATTTAACCATGGCAGGATCCTCATTTACAATAGCCATATGAAGGACATTCTCTCCGTAATATTCGTCACTCAGGTACATATCCTATTGATAACAATTTCATTGTTAATAAAAAATAGAGGACACAATTGAATTCTATAAACAAAATACGTATATGCTGTAAATATACAAATATATTCGATCGGCTAACCTTGTACTAAAGAAAAACAATGATTATTTACCTTAATCAACTTTGGAAAATGTTTTAATAAACGTTTTGCTAAATCAGCGTGTGACGCTGTAGAACTTAATAAACAAGTATGTAATATTGTTTCCCCAACTGCTCCAAGTTTATCCAATTTCCAACAGATTTCTTTTGTCTGATAGCCATTAGCCTTTATAAATTCGGTGTCCGACATTTCAAAATTGATTTCTGGAGAGGCTTTACAACTTCTATACGCTAAAATCTCTCTTATATCAACAATTTTTCCACGACCTTCATTATATAAAAATGGTTTTACACCCTCAATAATCCTTCTATCCAATTCTTTATAATTTCGACTTTTGTTTGCATCCTTCATTAAATCGATAAGTTCACCGCCTCCTTTGACGTTGACCAAAGAATATAAATCAAAAGTTATACCGGCTGCTTGGGCTTTTACTCCTGATGTGACTTTGGTATTAGTACTTCCCATTGTCTAAAAGAATTAAAGAATATATTAAAAATTATACTAAAGAAATAATGGGTTTGTATACTGTAGAACGATAATTAACATATTGATGAATGTTATAACAACAGTATAGATATAAAATTCAAATGAAAAGAAAAAGTAACCTTATCAAATTACTAAATTTTTATGAAGGAACAATAAGATATTGATCTTTATCTTTTTTTCCTTTATGTATATGTCTCTCTTTTTCTTTCTCTCTATCTCGGTCTCTCTCTGTCTATCTATCTCTCTCTCTCTCCCTTTCACTCTCTATGTCTTTTTTTCTTTTTGTTTTGCAAACTTTTTTTTACCTTTGCCGTATAATTTATTGGATTAATTACTACTCTAGTCAGTCTCCGATATGGATATCCAACATTTATTCTTTCTATTAATTTAATTGCAGTTTATCTAAAGTAGATTGCAAATAAACGCCAGTTGAATAAATATATCAACCTCTTATCTAATAGCAATCTATTTTTAAGCATTTAAAACAAATGATATACTATCCGGGTCATTACTTTTATATAAGATATTAGATAAGAAATTAGACCCACCTGAATAAATGTCAAAAAAAGTACTCTTTTACTTATTCTTATTTCGTTCAGTTGAAGACAGCCAATTGAATATTGGCGGGCGAAAACGGTCTATAGGTGATCAATACGTCCAACACCTGCTAAGCAACGCTACCTGTGCCTTGACAACCCGATTGGACGAAAGTTTGATTGGTTTTTTTTTCCGCCTGTTTCTAACAATTATTCGAATTAGAGAAGAAACCGAATAAAATAAGATGGCTACTATACAATACGGTGGCGGACCGACTTTAGAACAGAGAAGATCCTTCGCTGGATTGAAGGACGGAACGCAATTGCCTGGGTAAAGTGTTTGTCTTTTCTTATTGGCCGTTTGTGGTTAGAATTGTACAAACATTAGAAAACGGTTGAAGAATGTTTGTCATAAGTAATTAGCGTGTTTATTCTTCTTTTTATCCTTTAGGTATCGGGGTTTTATTCCACAGTTAAAATATAGGAATGGAAAAACTTATGGACAAGACACTCACGAATTGCTTACGGTTAGTTGAATTCCCTATTCAATTCCATTGCTTTCTTTTCCTATGTACCCTATTTTATATATTGAATGGGATAATTAAGCCTCCGTTACCAACGTCAATTAGCCTTGTTTAAAATGTCCACTAAGAGCAGAAATTGAACGAAAACTGTCACTAGCATTGTCAAATGGCAAACCCTTTTAACTGGTTTTATCACCTAGCAACAATTCATTAAGCTCTAATTGTTGAAATAAATTCTCACGTAATTTACTTGGTGAAGGAATGACGACGTTAATCATTAAATAAATAACGAACTGAGAAAAAGAGAGAGAAAGCTTAATTTAATTTCTTCCTATCTTTCTTTGAAATTCTCGCCAACGGTTAAAGATAAAAAATCAATTTTTTTGCTAATTCTAAGATTATCGTAGTAATCGACTTAATATTGAATTTTATCGTAATTTCTTCTCTTCTATTATAAATCTAGGCTTTCTTCAATATCCAAGTCCGTTTATGAAAGCCTACGCTAAATTCTACTCTATTTAAATATTTTATACTTGACCTACAAGTCTATAAAGTTATATAGTGAAATATAACGGTTAATTATCGTCCTATATTTGCCTATCTTATATGCTTGATAACAGAATAAAGATGCTAGACCGGAATTGGAACCAATTCCGCCAAGACACCTACGTCTGCCTAAACCTTCGGGAGACAACAAATTAACCGAAGAAATGATTCCCGGCTATACGGGATATATTCCGAGGAAGCCTTTTAAATTTGGCGATACTTATAAAGTCGACTGCGACTATTGTATCGATGAGCACTTAAGAAATTATGAGAAAACTAGTAATGACGCTCATTCTTTGAGAATGAGTTCCAGCTGCAGGCCTGTTCTACAGGCAAAAGCTTTTGACCCCGAGGTCAGGGACCATTTGAACACTTATCGTGATACTCACCCAAGGCGTCCAGTAATGGCTGAGGATAAGAGGTTACCGACAGAACCTCCAGTACCTGGATATTTGGGATTTGTGCCTAGAATCGATGTTACAGAATTGGGACTTGGTGCAAGGTAAATTTACTTTGGTTTCTCTTATAGGGAACTTCATTAATGATGAAAAGGTCGTAAGATGGCGCTTCATAATATAATATTTACAGATATAATCGTACTACGAAACTAGGACTGGAAAATTTTTACGGAGAGACAGAAAGAGCAGCATTAAGCCGATCAACGCCTGTTAGTTTGTACAAAGCTGCTCCCGTACCAGCAGCAGGTCCAGGAGCCATGTACTCTAAGAGGATCTTTGTACAGCCTGGAATGATACCTAAGTATACAGGCCACTGTCACCGTATGTTTACTTAAATCAAAACAACTTGAGCAAACATTGAACATAAACTACTATTTTCCTCTATAGAGAGAAGATATCATTTTGGTAATACTTACGGTGACACTACACGTTCGTTAGAAGTTTGTCAACACGATCAAACTTGTTACGGAGATCATATGAAAACTAAGCTACTAACAGCAACTCCATCAGTTGATACCGTAGCATAAAAATTCAACAGAATTAACAAATAAGAAAGAAAAATAAAGAAAAATGAGAAAGAAATATAGAAGAACAATATAAATGTGATGAATGAAAAATTTATATTTTACAGAGTATTATTATACGTATGCCAAATGGAAGATTGTTTTTTCTTTTAATAGAAAAGCCTTTTAATGGGAATGAGTATTATTTTTAAAGATATCAAGAATTTTTCATTTTCTTTTCTATTTAAAGAAATATCTACTAACAATAATTATTGAATGCTCAATACATGAACGCATTTTTTTGAACAAAAAATTACTAAAACATTACTAAGCAGCATTAAACATTCTTCGTATTATCATATTTTTTATCATCTTTTATTTATTTCTCATTCTCTCCCCATTCTCTTTCTCCCTCTCCCTCTCCCTCTCTCTCTCTCTCTCTTCCTAATAAATTATACTAAAACTTGAGTATATTTTTTTAATACCATTTATTCGTTTATTAGTCATTGTAACATGTATTACTCATAGCTATAGAAACTAAATTTTTAATTTAATCTACCTTCTAAATACGGAATTAATCAATAGAGAAGTTAAAAAGATAAAAAAAGGAAATACAAAATCGAATATTAAAAAAAAAGGTCACAATTGATTCAAAAAAAAATATTACTAATATAATAAATAAGAAATTTTAAATAGGATCGAATCATTAGAACGAAATCCATTTCCGATTCATATAATCCTTCTTATAGGTAGGTCTTGTGACTAGAATAATAGAAAGAAGTTTAACCACTCTCTCTCTGTCTGTCTGTCTCTCTCTCTCTCTTTTCTTTCTTTCTCTCCGTCATTCATTCTTTTCTTTTCAATATTGTGTATTATTGGTAAAACGAATTTGAAATATTCAATAAATTTACAAATAAAATATCTTAAATTACAATAGTTTTATCCATTAACTCTTTTAATTACTACTCAAGTACCATTTTAAAAAAATCTACTTTACAGGAATTATATACTAATTAGGTTCAACAGAAACCAAAATCCATAAACATAGTGGTTCTTTAGTAAAATCAGCTTGAATTTTTTTTTCATTTTGCCCCTCCCACCCCTCTCCTTTCTTTTTATTGATATTATTGCTTTGAAAGGTAAAAATAGGTAACATTTTTTTTTTTCAATTAATAAATCGGATTTTTTTTTCAAATTTGTTAATAGACGCGTAAAAGAAACGCTATTAAACAAAAAAAAAGGGAAAATAGAATAACGCGCTAAAGCAATACCAATACAATCGTGATAGGGATTGGTTGATTATATGGAAACAAAAATAAATAACGACCTCATAAATTAAACGTTATAGTTAGAAGAGATTAGTTACTGCAAGGACGTCTAAATACCTTTTTTTAAGCCTATAATTCGATATGTTATATAAAGAATAAAAATTTTGATCAATTTGATATTCTGACGTTTCTTTTTTTATCTTAAATAATAAAAGCGTTAAAAGATGTTTACCATTAAAACAACAAAGAGTTTAAACATCTTTTATTTTATATTCTTTATTTGGCAATCGTAGCTAACTAAGAAATCAAAGAGGGGATTGGACGCTCAAAGAAGCCTCGTGAAGTAATCGTTTCGCTGCCGTTTATTATTCGATATTGTATGAGAACTTTAGAATTTATATTTACAAGGTTTACAGTACGCTTGGAAAAAAAAAGCGTCTACGCAATTGAAACGATTCGACGTCGCGGTGCTTTGAACAAAAGAAATATTAAAGAGATTCAATAATAATGAATATTTTAATAGATCAAATTCAACAATATTAAATATGATTTTTCTATCTGTGCTACTTAATTTTTTTCTAATAATAACTCTTTAAAATTTAATAGTTAGGCCTAAAAAATTCATTTCTAAACACTATGCGACTCAATTACCTTTTAAGAAAAGAGAAGAAAGAGAATAAAGGTAATAATTAACTTCCTTTCTTTTATGTTTATTCTTTCAATTTTTTGTGTGTATAGTTTAAATATTATTGTACGTGTATTAAAAGAATTGTAGAAAAGAGAGAGAGAGAGAGAGAGAGAGGAATAAAAAGGGAGTGAAAGAAAAGAAAAAGAGCTAAATGAACGCTATACTTTAGGTGTATATTTCATTTTTTTTATCTTTCTTTTTTATAAAGCGTTGACTAAACAAACACCTGGTAAGATTACGCAACCTCTATAATGCTAAAACTACCTTTCCCGTTAAAAAAAAGTACAGAGATATTAATAAACTTCATGAATCTAGGAAAGAGAGAGAATTATTGTTTTTATTGTTGGATTTAACCTTCCTGTTTTATATCCTCTTCATCTTCATCTTCTTCGTCATATTCTGTTTCTTCCGCCGACGCTTCTTGGTATTGTTGATATTCAGATACTAAATCATTCATATTGGACTCGGCTTCCGTAAATTCCATTTCGTCCATACCTTCTCCAGTATACCAATGGAGGAAAGCTTTCCTTCTGAACATAGCTGTAAATTGCTCAGAAATTCTTTTAAACAGTTGTTGGATAGCTGTGCTATTTCCTACGAATGTTGCTGACATCTTTAAACCTCTAGGTGGGATATCGCATACCGCTGTTTTTACATTATTTGGAATCCATTCGACAAAATATGTGCTATTCTTGTTTTGCATGTTCAACATCTGTTCATCAACTTCTTTCATCGACATTCTTCCTCGGAACATGGCGGCAATAGTTAAGTATCGTCCGTGACGTGGATCGCATGCGGCCATCATATTTTTAGCGTCGAACATTTGTTGTGTAAGTTCGGGAACCGTCAATGCTCTATACATTTGACTGCCACGAGAAGTTAAAGGGGCAAAGCCTGGCATGAAGAAATGCAACCGAGGAAATGGTACCATATTAACAGCCAACTTTCTAAGGTCAGCATTCAACTGGCCTGGAAATCTTAAACACGTCGTTACTCCTGACATTGTTGCGGAAACAAGGTGATTTAAATCACCGTATGTAGGCGTGGTTAATTTAAGGGTTCTAAAGCAAATATCGTAAAGGGCTTCATTGTCTATGCAATAAGTCTCATCGGTGTTTTCTACTAGTTGATGAACAGATAATGTTGCATTATACGGTTCGACCACAGTATCAGACACCTTGGGTGATGGAACAACAGAAAAAGTATTCATTATTCTATCGGGATATTCTTCCCTAATTTTTGAAATGAGAAGTGTACCCATTCCAGAACCAGTTCCCCCGCCCAATGAATGACATAGTTGAAATCCTTGAAGGCAATCGCAACATTCGGCCTCCTTTCTGACCACGTCTAGTACAGCATCAATTAATTCCGCACCCTCTGTATAATGGCCCTTTGCCCAGTTATTACCAGCCCCACTTTGACCAAACACAAAATTATCTGGGCGGAATATTTCTCCAAATGGCCCAGATCTCACTGAATCCATTGTCCCTGGTTCGAGATCAACTAGAACAGCGCGTGGAACGTATTTGCCACCTGCGTTAAAAGAACATGTGTTTCTTTTCGATTATTTTTTTCTACGGATTAACCACACTAATAATAAAAAAGAAAGCCGCTTTTCTTTTTAACGTGTACCAAAAACAAGAGCCAGAAATATGGACAATGAATTTACTTACCGGTTCCCTCGCTATAATAGACGTTTACTCTTTCTAATTGAACGTCGCTTTCGCCACTATAGGTGCCCGATGGATCAATTCCATGTTCATCCGATATAACCTCCCAAAACTGTAAATTTAGTTTTTTCGTCTTCGTTTAATTATTTCTTTTGAACAATTAAAAAGTCTAACCTTTGAACCGATTTGATTTCCACATTGTCCTGCTTGAATATGCACAATCTCTCTCATAATTGATACTTTTCAATTAGACGAACAAAAGAAGGAAAATTAAATAATGAGGGAAGATATGAAAAGTTTTGTTTAAACTCTTATTCAGACTTTGGAAATAGTCTTATAAGTGTTGGGTAAACCCCGTCAGCAGTTATAATATATACAACCGTAAAACACAGGCTGTTGCACTTTTTTAATTTCTTTTAAGCCTATCACCTTTCTTTCGATTCTTGTTTTAAACGATTTTTTTCTAAATGATAGAATTTGCATCTGTAATAAAAATTATTAAACTTTTGCTCTTTCTCCGCGTTCTCTACAGCTCGCTCTCTCTCATTTTCTCTTCTTGTCGGCTACAAAAAATTTAGCCTAATCATTTAGAACGAATAAATAGGCAGGAAATTAGATTTTCATCACTTTTCTCCCATTACCCATAATTCCCTATTATTTACAGTTTGTAATGTGCTCGAAGTATTAGATACCATATAGCAATGTAAAAAATTTATAGTTGTTATACAGTATATATATATATATATATATACATATATATATTGTCTTTTCTCCTTTACAATATAGTGAATAATATAATAAGCAATCTATTAAATGCAATACAAACAGACTATATATAATTCTTATAAAAGTAAAATGTAAATACGAAAGGTATTTATTTTAATGTTTGATAGGGCTATTTTCATCATTTCCATCAGTTAATATTTATTATTGGTTGTCAATATATCAGATCGATTACGTAAATACTCAATAGATTAAAATATTCTAGGAAAAGTTTTACTGTTTCAGTGCATTTATTTCAAATTGTCTAGAAAAAACGATAAAAATATATATACATATATAAATTATTCCAAAAAGCGTGTATATATCGTATATATATATATATATATGTATGTATGTATACATCATAATTTATATAAACTATATATATATATAATATGAATATCTCTATTCATTAATAATTTTATTGTTTATTGTATTGCATATATTTATGTTTATGTGAACTTAAGATACAGATATATATATATACATATATATATATATATATATAACATATCCTGTATATATAAGTTAAAAATTTTGGAAGATTTAAAAAGAAAAGGTCATTTTTTGCTGTTGTTTGTTGTTTGTTGTTGGTTTGTTTGGTGGATAAAAAAATGTGCATATTTCATGCAAGAAAAATGACAATAGAATTAAGGGGAAGCGCAACTTTTTGTTGTTTCTTTTTTTTTTCTTGTTTCTCTCACTCATTCATGCATGTATGCGTCACTGATTCTACCTAATTCTCTATCATGCATCAAGACTTTCATTCATTAGTACTTTTCAATATCTTCTCCTTTCTTTTCAAGATAGTAAACAAGCACGACTCTTTTGGGCTAATCTTGCTTTTGCGACCATTCGAGTTACTTGTACAGCTGGTCCTAATTTTGTTCCATTAGCCTGTTTTGCCACTGCAATAGAGCTCCTTCTAGTTTCCGAATGACTTATTTGTCTCGATGGTAGACTACCCAAAAGTTCTCGACTAGACTCCGTCAAAGGATCGGCTATCGTCAAGGATACTAATGCTCCATCAACAGCCCCTAGAACTAGACTCAATCCGCCTTTCGAGCTTACCATAGTTTTGATTTCAGCATGAGCTTTATAATCAGCGATCTGTTTGCCATCTTTAACCCTAAAGACTCGGATTGACCTCCTGCCGGCGTGATAATATGCAACGTGTAAATCATTGGAAGTGAAAAGTGTTGATATCGAATGAACCCCCTCGGCAATTCTTGGAATTAAAACTTTAGAAGTTGTTCCTTTCTTTAATTCGAGTAGCTCAAGACCTCCTCGGTTAGGAGCGTATAAACCAAGTTTTCCATTGCTAGAACATACTCCATTCCATCTCATGATAGAACGAACAAAGCTCTTTTTCTTAATATCCCATAAATTACCCTTGTCACTATCAATCAACGCCACCTGGTGAGGGTCATGAGGCATAGCTACGATGTGCGTAAAATCTTTAAAATTCTGATATTTTGGCTGCATATCATACATTTTTGTTCCAGTTTTCGCGTGAAATACACTTAGAACTTCGTGTCCTCCTTTAGCGGCCATGGAAACAACAACAAGAAATAAGCCGTCGCACGTAACAACGGCATCCTTAAATTTTTTTACATTATACTCAAATTCAAAAATAACATCATGCGAAGGAATAGCACGACATATGCATTTTGCCTTAGAAACTCCAGCTTTAGACACTATAATTGACTTGGTGTCTTCATCAGTTAAAAACAACTGTTGAACATCCCTTTGGGGTGTGGATTGCGTTACCGTACCGGTTTCCACATCCCACATTAAAACTTGGCCAGACTCGGCGCTCACCAGATATTTACCGCAGGACGTTATACTAGCATGAGTAACAATTGACGAATGGGCACTATTAGATAAAGTTTTTAAAAGTTTTCCAGATTCTAAGCTCCATATTCCAACGCAATTTCTAGTTACGCAGGCAGCAATATAAGCGTCATGAGCCAAAGAGACGTTATCGATCGGCTTTTCGTGTCTATTTTTTTTTTGTAACATTTTAATAATTGATATTTCTTAAAGATTTTTTTATGGAATCATATTCACCTGTCTAATGAATGAACGTCTTCCAAAATGTTGTCAAAGTTCCACACTTTAATAGTTTTATCTATAGACGCTGAAACAACTTTATTTTCTTTTTGTACGCAATCTAAAGCGATTATTCGTCCGAAATGGGCGTCTAAAGTCTTTTTAAAAACAACAATAAATTATAAATAGATTAAAGTATACAATATCAAATTGAACGAATGATACCTTTGTTAACTCTCCAGTTCTAGTTGACCAAACATAGATATTCTTTCGAACTGCTCCAACTGCAAATTTATTATTTTTTGTAAAGAGAACCAAAGAAGTTTGATTCTTTGTTGGAATATTTCTAATGCCGCTGGGCAACTGTTCAATACATTTTGAATTGAATTTAGATAACCGTTTACTTATTTGTTTTATTTACTTTTAAATCCAATAATTTGTCTCGAGGCATATTCCATAACTTGAATCCGAAGGCATGAGAGGCGATAAGATATTTTTCATCATCGCTAAGTGATAAAGTAAATAACGGAACTTTATTCTCCGCTAACGTTTTATCGTAGTCCCATTTTCCATTCGAGCGTTTATAGACGGCTACAGCGTGATCGCTTATCTCTATACAAGCGTATAAGGTGGTAAAATCATTCGATAAGGCGATAGCATTATGAAAGTCGAAGCCATTGTCGACTTCGCCATCTTGATTTTGTTGCAATTCAAATATCATATCTTCGTTATTTTCATCTCCAGATTTCCAAATTACGTAACGATTACTGATAATTAAAAAATCATTATAAAAATTTCAATAAATAATTCAATAGAAAAGGTTTTTTATATCAGTTTGTGTGTGTTTTACCTAAAAGAATCCAATTTAACATTTATTATACCAATTTTTATTCTGTCGGTGCTACTCTTGAAGAGAATCTCGTCGGTTTTATCAATTGAAAACATGTATAGGGTTTTGGAAGTCCAAATAACAATATGATTGTCATTCATAGTAGAACCGATTAACGAATCTGAATTTTCTGCGATTTTCTCTACTGTTTTATACTCTCCAGTGATTATGTTACAAACAATGATTTGGTTGTTGTTTGTATAGCTTGTAGCAAATTTATTATTTGGGGAAATATTTAAATTTTGCATTATTCCTTGTAATCCTGGATTTATTTGTCTGAACACATCTCCGGTACTTAAATCCCATATTATGAACACATTCGAAACGGATACTAAATATCTATTGATTTTACATTATATATATAGTATTCATTATTAACTTATATATTTTAATAACCTACCTGGCGTCTGAGGTTATACAAACTCCAAAGGGAGCAAAAGGATGTCCTTCAAGGGAGTACTGCAAAGGACCTCCGGGTGTATGCATACAATGATATATCGGTACAAGAGCATTTCTTTCAATACCATCCGTATCGCATTGTTCAATTAGACTTCTAACTTTTTCGTATTGGCTAACATATGGAAGGAGACGGCCGACAATTTGTGGGCCCACCATACCGGGATAACGCGATAGGACAGAGGCACTTAGCCTCAAAGTGTCCGATACCAGCTTTACCTCTCGGTCATATTTGGTTTGGAGGGCGTCCTCGAAATCATTTAGAATAACAGTTAACGGCATAGAACTTAGCTTAGCATGAAGCCAATTATAGTTGAAAAGGACCTCCTTATACAAAAGATCGATACGGTTCGACCTTATCAAATGATAAGGCAATTCACTCAACTTTCTTAAATTATATCTAACAATATTGCCTTGTTCATCCGTGAAGAAAAGGGGTTGTTCAGGTACTTTCCTATCACTTTTACCACTTTTTTCCGTAAGAAAGAACCTTTGCCTTTGAAGTTCTGAATATTCGTAAGGTTTTTCAACACCACCCCAAATTCCTCGAAAATAATCGGCAATGTTGGAATGAACTTCACGTAAAAAGTTAACATTACGAAAGTAGCGTTCACGAGATGCTTCTATAAATTGGCGATGATACCAATCGATTACATTAACTCCATCAGCTTCTCTCTCCGAAAAATAATTCGGTAGATCACTCCTAAGTCTAGTCCATAAAAGAGGAGGTATCCTCCTAACGGGTGGAAGATGATACTGATAGACATCATTCAAAACCTTCAGGATAAAACACATGAGAATCATCGATTTCAGACTTAAACGCACACACAAATAAATTGAAAAAAAGATTTTACTTTTTCATCGAGAGATAGTAAGTCTTCTAGTTCAGCCTCTGAAACTCCACTCTTAGCAGCCGTTAAATAGCCTAAAGCGTGAGATACTAGTAACTTTCCATGCTGATTTTCAATCCGATCGAGAAGCATCATTACCGAATCGTGTATTGTGAATTTTAATTGAGTGAAACGAGGCTGAAAAAATAATCAAAGATCGGAACCAAATGATCAGATTAAGAAAAGGAAAAATAGCTTCTTACCTGAGTGTAGCTTTTCCATCTGCAAACTTCATCGTAAACAAGCCTAACAAAGAGAGGTAGATTACATTTTGATATTGCTTCCATAACAATTTTCCACTGCTGTTCACTAACAGTCCTTTTTCTTTGGTTCAACCATAATTCTAAAATACCCATTGCCAATTCTTCACCACACGGTTCAATTTTACAATAGTTTTTTTCAGTTTGCATCATCTTTTCCATATTTTTTAATATACTTCCAATTAAAGTTGATATGACAATCTTACAATTTGGTGGTAAAACTGTAGGTAACCAGGGCAATTCGTGGGCGCCATCTTGCGCCGATAAGAGGTCCAAAGAGTCTAAAAATATTATCAAAGGGCTATCAGCAGTTGCGTTACTTAATAATTTTTTAAAATAGTGAGAAAGTGGAGACATTTCATCAGGCATATCATTTCTCGGTAGGTTCCTAATTAAACAGATTTGATTAGATAAACTCTTAAGTAATGGAAGAATACTAGAAGAATCCGGAGAAGTTCCTAAAAATCTAAGGATCAACTGTGGATATTGAGCATTTAACCATAGAGGAAGTTGGCTGTAGGCCTTGGCTAGAATCGATGTCTTTCCGCATCCACTGTCTCCAAACAGAACAAAAGGTTCATGGGATTCGGACTGAACGTAGTCCTTAATTCTATTTAGAATTTCGTCTCGGCCCAAGAAGAACTGACAAGAGTTGGCGCAAGTGTGTAAGTGTTGCAACTGTTCACCATAGACGGCTTCAGATGATAAAGATTGAGAATTTTCAACAGCACTCTCTATAAGCCTTGTTACGTTCCTGTTTGTTAAATGAGTATTTTTGTATTTTTTATAAATATCAACTTTGTTTTGATGGTTTCTTAGTTACAGTTTCTTTTTTGTTAGAATAGTAAATCATTAATAAATTTCAAAAAATAAGCCTACTTGTAAAAGTGATCACAAAATTCATTCAAATAATCCTGATGAGTTTCCCTTTCAATGCCTTCTTTACCGCTCCATTCAACGCTAAAATCGGCAATATTCTCTTTAACTAATTTTTGAGGTAACCTAACATCTCTCAAAGTTGATAACAATTTTTGAGCTTCGCCATCCTTATCTTTTCCAATCATATCAATAAAATTCCTAGCATATTTGATCATATTCAAGTTCAAATTATTAATTCTTCTAAGGTAGGCTAAACAATGGGCATGAGTATCTTTAGCGGTAAGAATTCCATTAATAACTTCTCTGTCGGTAACGGACATGTAATAATTATGAAGTTCTTCTTTAGATATTTGTTTGGCGGCAAATAAAACTTGAACGGCTTTTCTCAAGATTTTTTGCAATTTAGCTAAAATTTCCCACCAAGCATTTTGGTCTGCTTCCATTAATTTTTGTAGTCTTTTATTGTTGAAATTCGTCAATATAGAACTAATTGGCTAAAAGAATAGAATAATATAAAAATATAATTAAATAGACTAACAATTATTAATTATTATATTAATTTCTCTTAGCTTTTTTGTACTTTTTTTTATCTATTCAGCAATAATATATATGTCGTCACCTGCAAAATGTACTCCGGTGGAACGCAATTATTATCAACTTTGTACCATTTATCCATTAATTCCAATTCCTCCGGTTCTCCGCTAGATGAAATTACGCTGCGTATCTTCTCGAAATCCTTTGACTTTATCAACGTTGGTATAGGCCTATAGCCGTACTTTTGCCCGAGGAAAACCTTTTATGGAAACGGAATAAAAAAGAATCGAATCAATCGATACGAAATTTATAGTCCGAATCGATATTGGCAAAAAAATTTTTGTTTTAATGGTTATCGATTTTTTTTGTTCACAATATATTCTACTTACGACGAAATTTGGTCCCATCGATAATCTTTGACAATTTTCTATCTCTTTCATACACAATTCGGTTGTCATATGATCGTCTGTTGCCTCATCTCTAACTCCCCACCTCATATCAACAACTTGAAATTCTAAACCATATTTCTCTCTACAAAGATCCTTTAACTTTGGATAGACGTTTGCCATAAGAGCATTCCTTTCCGTCGTCGTATCTGTAAACATTTACATAAATATATATATATATATATATATATATAAGGTGCGAATGTATTATCTATATTTATATATTATTATACATTTATTATATATATATATATATTTATTATTATATAAATGATATACAATTTCACACTCTTCTTTGTCATTATTATCAATATGATTATAGTAATTATCATCATCATAGTCATTTATCATTTGTATCATTATCATTTTCACAATAATTAAAGGTGTAATACATTAACAATTATTACAAACAAACAAACAAACAAATCAGAAAAAAGATGAGATTTCTTCTGTAATTTGCTCAAATTAAATTAAAAAGTAACCAATCTCTCTTAAAAGGAAAAACTAAATTATGTAGGCCTTATGGAAAAAGAGAAGCAAAACAATTGTTAAAAGATGGATAAGAAAAGATAGAGATAAATAGTGTTTATATACATTTACTTTGAATTATTTAAAATGATAATGAATAAATAGTCTTTTAAAAGTTCTAGTAAAAATTTATCGATTGCTGGTAATAAAGATACTAGTTTAATAAAATATGGTTTTAGATGGATGAAAAATGAAAAAACTTTCAGAGGTCAGTGGATTGGCTGGGGGTGGAGAAGAAAAACACATAGATATTTTAACATAGATTGATACTGTAAAATGTATGAATAATTAGTTATTTGTATAGATAGATAGATAGATTTATAGACTGAATAGATGAATTCTATAAATAAATACAATATTTAAAAAATAAATTAAATTATATACATGTATATAAACTTTTTTTGTTCTTTCTCCTTTTAGTTTCTATTATTCAAATATGAAGAAATGTTAATTAAAATTATTAATTTTTTTTTATAAAAAAAAAAGGGAAAGAGAAAAAGAGTTGATTTAATTTTTTTTCTTTAATCTTTTTTTTCTTTTTTTTTTAAAAAAAAATAAACAAAAGAAAAAATAGGATTGTTTCATTTTTTTTTCTCTTTGCATAGAAAATATTGTTTTGTTTTTTTTTTTATAAAAACAATAAAAAAAAAGTTTTTAAGAAAAATATTTAGGTGATAAATTAAAGAATCACGTTAAGTGTTTTACTAGAATACGTTTATAACATAGAAATTCTTCCAACCTTTGCTCAGAGTGATGAATAAAGCAACCTACAACTAAATAGTACAATTGTTTAGCTATTGTCTAGATATATAATTAAAACACCCGACTGTATCAATATACCAGTAAAAGTAGACGAGGTGAAAATTCGAACAATCCTATTTGCTAGGGATGGTAGATTTTCCAGCCTTCCTAAAAGAACCATTTTTACTCTCTCGTCCAATTTCTCTTCCTCCTCTCCATCCACTTTCGGGTTAGAAAAGTCCTCATCAGCCACCGAAACTTCATCTTGAGCCGACATCCTCCTTGTGAACACTGGCCGTCTATTTCTTCTTAATAAGAGGACGCCTTACCCGGCCAATCAGCGACCTAAGCGTTCTTTTTTCTAGTTCAAGAAAAAAGTACAAGCGTCTAGTAGTGACGGCGCGCGATAATATTGAACTGCGTTCTCGGGCCGTTGTAGAGCTATCGATAGGCGCGACGTCACCGGGCGTTACCTTGGCTTAAGAAACGTCGTAATAGGCCTATTGGATTCTTTACGGTTTCGTTATTTGTATAGGCGAGAGATACGACGTTTTCAATAGGCCTGTAACATTTGAAGAGTTGACAAACCCTTTAGGCCTATTTATAATTATGGATTTCTCATTGCATTACAGTAAACTGTATGGAGTTATAGTTCGATAAAAGAGCTTAGTAATTGTCTCTTGGCGTTTGGTGATATTGGCGTTGGAATTCCAGGCCGATTTAGTTTGTTTAAACTCAAATATAATGATCGAAACAGATTTTCTTTTATGATGTTTGAATTAATCTCATCATTCTTTCCCTATTAACTTTAATTTATTCAATGAATCAATTTAAAATTCACTTGAATCATAGGCAATTTTTATTATAATAAACAAAAATACTCATTATTTTTCCTTTTAAAACTTTTATTATCTCGAAAAGAAACTGTTAGTAGAGCTGAAGTGAGGAAACTGTAAAGTAATGGGGTTATAAGTCTACTTTTTCAATTCGAGGAGTTTTCATACGCTTATTAGCAATGAAATTTAGTTGAACTTTCTGACGTCGCATCCGGTAATCAATAAGAAAATGACAAATTTTTATTATTGCTATCGATATCCTTTCTTTATTATTCCTAAAATAGGCTCCTTTTTTCTATTACATACTCTTCTTAATTATAATGTTTTCTTTTTTTTGTTTTGTCAATGATACACTGTATATAAATATATAAATTAAATGAATAAGATAATAATGCAAGAAAAGGAGAAGAGGAGCAAAGAATTAGAATGAAAAATAAACATTCTCTCTCATTCTCTTTCTTTCTCTTTCGTATTAGAAAAAAAAAACATAATCGAAAAACAAAACTAATAAAGCAATTTTAAACTAATTCGAAACTTCCATGTCACCATGCAGAGCAGGTGATCGAACATCGATTTCGTCAATAAAAATAGAATGAAAATTGTGCAAATTTTCACATCGTAAACACAAACAGTCGTATGTTTTTTTTTTCTCTATCAAATAAAAAAAAATGAAAGAAAGAATCTCGTTGCCGATTTTTATTAGCCAAAAAAAAAACTAATCGATATTGAATAGTTTGATTGAAGAGCGAAAATTTTTTTTCAATTTGTTCCTTTCCATTTTTCATGAGTATTTCAACGATTGATGCGTGACGAATATTTCCTAAAATATTGATTTTTTTTTTTTTTCTTCTTTTTTTTTTGTTTTTTGCTGTTGGCGCCTCAATAATTATAACGTGTTTAATTAAACTGGGACGAATTGAAAAAATCGACAAGAGGAAATCGGTCCGTGATTGTTGGACTACTAATTTATTCATACCTTTTCGTTTGTTTAAATGTTTGCCATGTGACTGTCAACTAGATATATGTTAACAATCATCAGGAGAGTTTATGTTCATACTCTTTCAAATATTAATTTTTCCCGCCTTCGTTAGCGACGCCATCTGTTAATTTAATTGGATTAATCATTTAAACTGATTTTCTTTCGAATATCGAATAAAAAATTAAACAAAAAACTATTGAAATAAATAATTTCCAGTAGGAAAGAGCATATCAAAATTTAATAACCTAATTAATAGCCTTTCCAATAAGACCTTAACAGCGCCATCTATAGGTCGATAAATTAAAAATATAATCATTACTTATTATTATCAAAGTATCTAACATAAAGTTCTCTCTATATACGATATAAAATTTAATTAATTATATATAAAAAATTGCGGTGAAGAGCGAAGAAAAAAGGTAGGCCTCGGCGAGATTCGAACTCGCGACCCCTGGTTTACCTTGTCTCGCTGACTTGTTACGAGACCAGTGCTCTAACCACTGAGCTACGAAGCCTGTACGGTAGGAAGCGCAATTTTTAACCATTTCAATGCAGTCTTGAAATAAAGTTGTCAAATCGATGAAAAATTACCTATTATTACGTCCAATTGCTAAGTATTTATACATAAACATACCAGAGACATTTTTAATTTTTTAAAATTCTTAAATACAAGTTGTAAAACAATAGAACATTAAAAATCAATGAAATAGAGATAAAGTACAAAACTATGAAAGCTGTAACTATGAAAAGTAATTGTTGAAAATTGTCTAGCGTTTAAAGAAACAAAAACTATTCAAAACTAGTTAAACATTCGAGAAATGATAGGAAAATGTGAGATATCTCTTGTAAATAAATTTTCTAAGGTGCTCACACTCGTTTCTATTTTCTAATTTTCTTTCTATTACATCATATCCAACTATAAAAGGAAGAAAGAACGTATAATTTATTAAGTATAATTGTTATTGTTATTAATCAACTTACTAATTCATCGGCATCCTCTTTCGGCGGTGCTTCCTCCTTAATTTTTTCTTCAACAACTTCGGTTAGGAAATCATCACCTTCAGCTTTGGTGACGGAACTTTCTTCCGACTCTAATTTGGTTACCAGTCCGAGTTTTTCTATTATTAATGAATAAATCGAATAAAATATTTTTTCAATAGGTAAAAATTAAATTATCTACCTTCGATCATTAATTTCCAAAATGCCTTTTTATTTTTCTGAAATAAACTCTCTTTTAGGCTAAAGAGGAACTTGTTGAAATCTCTTGGCTCGGAATGTTTTAAAGTTTGAGCTCTATACGCCCTTAAACAATCTATAGCTTTAGAAAACAGTTGAGATCCAAATGAATCGAAGACTAATTGTATTATTCTTTCTCTGATCATTTCGCATGCTTCGTCATAACGATCTCGATCTTTTTGAGATAGAATAGCTAAGAAATCTTCAACTGGTGTTACAGTTCCAATCTATTTTTTAAAACATATAATCAAAGCTTTATAAATATCCTTAAATTTCTATTTAAGATAATTACCTTATCAACTTTTTCTTTCTGTAGATCTGATAGTTCAACATCGTCCATTCTTGGTTTCTTTTCAGATGATTCACCCTCAGCATCTTTCTCTCTGGAGGAAATTTTAGAATATTTTAATACATGAATATGTTTCATATTATATCAATCCATATAATATTTACTCAATATTAAAGACATTATCGGCGGTATCTTTTCCTTTTGCTTTAGCAACTCTCTTTAACGGGAATGTTTCCTTTACTTTCTTCAATTGATTATTTGATGCTTCCTTTACTCTCTCAGACATTTCTAAACTTTCTACCAATCTATCACTTGGTCCGGGTAAAGCTTCAGTTGTGTCATTAGCTCTATGATTTAAGCAATGATAGAGTCTCTGTAAATAGGGATTAAAGAGATTCTTAGGTTTCTTCTCTTCGATCTTCTCTCCGTCCTCATCTTTAACGACAAGCATCATAGAATCAATAAGGCCATCGACAACGTCTAACTGATCATCCGAAGGTTTAAACTTGTCGTTATAATCTGTTATGGTCTCTTCCGAATATGGAAGAGTAGACATCGTAAATCGACGAACATCTTCAGCAAATGGGAGGTCGTGGTAAAAAAATCTTTCCCTATTCTTCTTTTCATCGATATCTGGTTCCAAAACACCAATTTTAGGTGATGAACTAGCACTATAGCATCTTCTAACAATAACGACCTTATTCATTTGTTGACACGCTTTTATTAATGAACTAAGAGCGGCGGCAGCCACTTCGTCTCCTTTCTCCGGATGAACAATCATTGTGCTATCACCCATAAACATATACCTGTTGACCTGTCAAAGGAAATCATTCAACTGAAGAGATCAGTCTGATGAAAATTTACTTAAAATCCGCTTACATTTTCCCGAGAAGTGAATCCTAAAACCTGAAAGCACTTTTCACTTCTAAATTTCATAGCCTGGAGATCTTCATCCGAAAAAGGCACTAATGTACTACCATAGCGATGTCCTTGAACCATATCTTTCCTTTCCACCTCTGTTTCCTCTTCGTCGTTTAAGTGATGTGTACTCTCCCTTATAATAGTGGACTCGGGATCTTTTGCATAAACTGTTTTAAAGCCTTTTGACTTTGCTTCTTTTACTCGGATATAAGCATTTATCGGAATTTTCACATTTTCTGCAATATCAAGTTGACATTTCCAGGCAGTTGGACGGACAGATTTACTTTGATAATTACTCAAAAACTCCCATGTTTCACTGTAAAAGTAAAATTTTATTAAATTATTGAAATAAGTGAATATATTGTTAAATAAACCTGAATGTATAGCATTCTCCGTCAACAGCCTCTAAAATATGATTGACAATTTTTTCACCTAACTTTTGTTGAGGAGTTTTGGGTTTTCTATGAGGAGCAGTCGAGGGTCCTGCACCCCCTTGCGGTGGTTTTCTATCCTCGTCACTTTCATCTTCATCAGGATCTACTCCACTAAAAGTATAAATAGATGTTATTCTACTTAGCAAAAGGAAATTTAACCCAACATACATAACGTTTAAAGCTATATCCGCGGATTTGAGAGATTTAGTGATTGCATCTAGTTGATTGTCAGCCACAGGACCAGCAAGATCAGAAAATAATATTATTTTAGAGCTCACAAATCCTCTTTTACCCCTTTAATTATAAAAAATATAATGCGAACTTGATTCAAAAGATCTACCAATTAAAACTTACATAGTCTGAGAGCGTAAATGATCAGCTGCAACAACAATACCATCCAAAACTAGAAAAAAAGAAATTAATTAAGGAAAAGCTATTTAGTAAAAATCATTTCTTTTAAGGATACAATCGGTTTCATTATCCGTTGGGGAAATGTCATTCTGCACGAATTCCAAAAAAGGCCATGTAACTGTTGCCAAAGGCCTGGCAACTGATATATTATTGTAGCTATCATCATCAGCTAACTCATTTGCCGTTTCATCTGACCCGATAAGAATTAACGAAACTTCGTCTTTTGATTCGGAAAATAACTAAAATAATTGCGTGAAAAATTGTTTAAGTTATGTAATAAATCACGGCCTACTTTTCTTTGAAGAATCATATGAATACAATCTATGGATTCCTGAAGTTTCGTTCTATCGCCCTCTGCTGCTGAATCCATGGATGGTCCAACATCCAAGACGATAGCGATTGCCTCCTAAACGAAATAAAGGTATCATATCAAATGAGGACTAAAACTTGAATTTGAAACTTATTGTTGTAAGACAAGGCAAGTCAAGCCCATAGTATATTATATTAACGTAGAAATATACAAATAATGAATAAATTAGAAATATAATAAAAGCTAAAGAAAGATATTTTACTTTTTCAGATGCCATAATCGATACCGGTTACCGGTTGTTAACTATTTGCAGCACTAACCAAAGTTAGATCAATTAACGATTTTTCTGTTTGGAGTACTTTATAATATTAAATAAACTAGAAAAAATTAACTTATTCAATTCTATCAAGAAATGATCACAAAAACTTGTATAAATGTCAATATGGTGAAGGAAAATATTTTGCTGATTTATCTTTAATTCAATTGCCCAATTTCTCCCTACAATTAAGAAATTATTTCAATAAATTTTGGAAAAAAATGCCTTCATGTTAGAAGACGAAATATTTCTATAATTAAAAACTTTTTGGGAAAAATAAACTTCAAACAGTATCAGAGCGTTATCCTAAGAAAATCATGTGACCAACCACATGACACTTCATAATAAATATGGCGGCTAATGGAACAACCGATACACCCACAAATGTATATTTTTGCCATTCTCTTTTATTTCATAAAATGTTTTTTCGTTAAATTTTTACTATTTAAAATCAAAGACCTATCTTTATTAAATTGAAGAGTTTTAATTACTTTAGCTTGTTCAAATGCTTAATATTATATTCAAATATTTTCCACAAGCAGCCGAATTCGGAGGCCGCGCAAAAATGGGAACGACCATTGAATATATCCGATATAAAAAATGAAGCCAAAAATTGGACACTGGCATCCGATGCTTCTGTACGTAGTCCATAAATTTTGTTAAAATGACGGTTTTACGAAGCATATTAACTTAATACATTCTTTTCAATTCAGATGCTACTTTCCTTACAAAATTATTCGCAAAAACTAGTTTCACGAACTCATGAAGTTGAAAAACTACTTAATACTTTAATTCATGAAACAAAGGTTATATTGTTTAATTTTTTTCTTTAATAATCTGGCTGTTCCTAAAACAGATGACGAATGTTCGATTAGACAATACTTTCAATGACTTTACAATGCTAGCAAACACCCAATTTGTTGAAAATGTATGTAGAATTCATTGAACAAAATAAAAACTATTTAACTTCTAAATTTCGTAAATTAATAATTTACTTTCCAAATATAAAGCGAGTATATGATGAGGAAGTACAAACTGAAGAGAAAAAGGAGGAGACTGCTAAGAAAGAAGTAATTAAAATATAAATATATACAATTTTGTCGATTCAAGCGAATTTTTACTTTTAGCCGAGTCGAGAAGAGGTGCTAGACAGAGTAAAAACTGCTTTGAATCTTGGTTTAAGTGTCTTAGATACTCATTTTGAGAAGCTACAGGCCTTAGGTAATAGTGACTCTGAATCTGGTAGTGATGATGGTAACTATATACTAATACATCCATTTGACCACTTGTTAATAACTTTCTTATTATATAATCAAACAATAGAGTCATCAAGAAATCCTTATTTTCTTGAGGCCAAGGATCCATATATTCATAGAACATTGCCACATCTTATTGCATCTCAGTCTTTCTTTAAAGATGAAAATGTAGGCTTGACCACAACTTATTCTGATGATGAAACGGATAAAGAAGGAAACGATTATGGTTCCGTGTCAGAAAGCGAGGACAGCAGTAGTGAGGATAACGAGCCAGCAGAAGATGAAAGTGAAGATGAGGTATCACAAGACAAAAACAAGGTAAGCTGATTAATGACTCTATAACTTTTTACTTAATTTAATTGATGGAGAAAGTCTGAATCGTATTGTTTTATTAGTCTTTCGAACCGGAATCTGAAGATAATGACGAAGAAGGAATATTCAAAGCTGTCGAAAAGAATGACTTTGCAAAAGAATCTGATGACGACGAAGAAGATGAGGAGGAGGACGAAGAAGAAAAAGAAATGACCAATCCAAGAAAACTTCAAAAAGAACTTTCAAAAACTCTTATTGGAACCCAATCTCAGAATATACTAGAGAAGAAAAAGAAAGAAAAAAATAAAAACAATAAAATAAAATCGATGAAAAAAGAACGTATGAGAGCACTTTTGTTATCATTACTTAGTATTAACAAAGATTTTTATCCTTTTTTAGCCGTTAATTTGTTCAGTGATGAACCACCACCTTTCGAAGATGAAGATTCACCGTTTGCCCCAAGTAAAGGGTTATTCTCAACAAAGGCAGGCTTATTCGATAATGTCGAAGATGAAGATGAAGATAAAGATGATATTACCTCAGGAATAAACTCTAAAATACAAAATAAGAATAAAATAGCAAAATCCAGTCAATTATTTGATGAGAGCGATCAGGAGGAAGATGACTTGTTTATAAACAAAACTAAGAAAAAATCTACTGCCAACCACAGTGCCTTAACTGATACAAAAAGTAGCAACTTAAAGAAAAAAGTAACATTATCGGATGATGACGATGGCGACGATAGCTTGTTTTCAGATAAGAAATCTACTAAAATCATTCCACAAAAACAACAATCTAAGAAAATAGGTCTATTTGATGATGATGATGAAGATGACGAAATATTTAAACCTACAATTTCATCCGAAAAATCACAAGTTGGAAAAAAAACAGTTAAGAACCTATTTGACGATGAAGATGATGATGACGAATTTAGCGTTAGTGCAAATGTTAAAGATAACAAGTCGGAAAATCCCAAATCAATAAAATCTGATACAGCAAGTAAGAAAGCAAGAGATAAAGAAAATAGTCTCTTCAATGTGAGTAATGACGAGGATGACGACATGTTTAATACAAAAACAGTAGGTAAAGCAGAACCCAAAATTGTTACTAAGACTAAAAAGGAAAAAATTGAAGAAGCCCTATCCAAACCTAAAAGAACTGCCACTAAAAAACCAGAGCCACTTAATCTATTCGATGATGATGAAGACGATGACCTGTTTGCTGCTCAGAAGCCAAAAGCAGCTACAACAACGCAAGCTGTTCAAAAGAAGAAGACACCTAATGTAGCATTATTTCAAGATGAAAATAATGATGATGATGAAGACGATCTTTTTTCTTCCAAGCCTTCTGCTAAAAAAACAAAATCAATGGAGAAGAAAAGCTTGTTTTTAACAGATTCCGAAGAGGAAGATACACCGCCTGAAAAACCGAAAGAGGAGTTGAAGAAAAAGATTCCTGTAGGGGGCATTTCGGTATTCGGAAATACTGACATGTTAAAAGCAGCCCAAAAGAAACTAGCAAACAATGAAGAAATTGCTGAGTGAGTAAAAGTTAGAGTAAATTTTTCACTAAATTAAAAATGTTTGAACAATCAGATCAAATAATAAAAAAGAAGATAGCTTCTCCGAAGAAAGCAGTGACCTCTTCACATCCAAAGTGGATAAGCATGAACAAGAGAAACAAGAAGAGAAACCAGAAAAATCTAGAGATATAAAAGAGGAAAATGAAATAGAAAATCCATTGACAAAAAATGACAATAAAAACAAGCCATTTGGTGGAATATCTGTTTTTGGTAATTCTCAATTATTAAATGAAGCTAAATCGAAAATAGAAAAAGAAGATAAAAAAGAAAAATCTGATGTTAAATCAAAAAAGGCACCACAAAAAGGTTTATTTGATGAGGATAACGAAGACGATGACGATGACCTATTTTCTGGCAAAAAATCAGGCAATGCTAAGAAAGTAGAGAAAACTAAGTTATTCTGTACAGATTCTGAGGACGATGATATATTAAAATCAACACCTACAATCGTTAAGTCTAACACAGAAAATATTAACAAAACCACTAATGACAATAAAAAGTTAATAGAAAATTTAGAAGGATCGGAAGTACCAAAAAAGGCATTAAATACACAGGCGAATACTAGGTATATAATTAAATATAAAGGATACTTGTAATTAGAGTTGTTATCAGTATTTAGGAAATGGCCTGGTAATTTTTATAAATTGCATTGGCCTTTAATAGTATTTAGAACAATAGAGCAAATATGCATAAACATAACACATTTAATATTCTATCGGTGGTGCTACAGGGACGAGAAAACTGAAGTCAATACAAAACAACCCAGCCCTAAAATCAAGAAGTAAGCTGTTATTTACATTTGTTATTCATTATTCATCGATATACGGTATTTTAGATCGAAACCCAAGCAAAAATCGCTTTTTGACGACGATTCTGAGGACGATCTCTTTATTCCTAAGGTTTAGAAATCTTAAAATACTTTGGATATTTAATCTCTAAACTTACAAATGTCGCTTGTTTACAGCGTAGCACCAAATCTAATACAAAATTACAAGGCGATCTATTCGACGACTCAGAGGAAGAACTGTTTAAACCGAAAATGTCTAATAAGTCCGCAGAATTATTTGACTCATCTGCGGATGATGATATTAACAATAGCAAAAGTATCGCCAAGTCAGATTTACTACCACCCCTACCTGCTAAACCTCAAAAACAAAAAATTCATGAGACATTAGAAGATCCTCCACCTCTTCCACCTAGATCTCCAATAAGTTCAAGGAGTGTTACTTCAGATGAGGAAAGAAGAAAGCCGATTCCTCGAGCAAATAAATCCGCTGCAAATAAACTACCAATACAACCCGTGCCTTCCATTACAGTGAGTAGCACGGACGAAGATATACCACCTCCACGTCCACCGAGACCAGCTAAATTCCCAGTATCTAAATCCAGTAGTACTTCCCACAAAACGTCTGACAATGATTCGGAGGGAGCAACACCTCCCCTACCAGAGAGGCGCTCTAATTCCCCTGTGCCTCCAAAGGTTACACCAAGAAAGAAGAAAAATAAGCAAAGTGATACAAGTAATTCTAGTGAAAAAAGCGATAAAAACGAGAGTACAGCAGGAAGTTCAGTTGAAAATGATCCTCTAAGCGGGATAGAAGTAAAATCACCAAATCCGCTACCTAAACCTGCTAAAAAACCCCAAATGCCTAAAAAGGAGGTTAACGAATCAAAAACGGATCCGTTCGCCGCCAAGCAACAAAACATCTCCAGGCAATTAGAAGCTTTGCGCGGGGGTAAAAAACCACCACGTGGAGCGGTTTCAATGTTTGGTCCTGCAGTTATTGTACCTAGGCGTGACCCGAATCCGGTTGAAACTTCAAGCAGTCCAAAAGAAAGTTCTGTTAGTATAAAATATAATACTTTGATTAATAAAGAAATCCTAATAGAATTCGCCTTTTCATATTTCTATATAAGCCTTTTTTTTCATTTTCGTTTAGTCTCCAAAATTACTAGGAGCTGAAAATAGAGATAGAATAAGAGTCCGACCGAAAGATAGGAGACCTCCTTCTAGATATATAATAATGAACGATGATAGTCTTAAGGATGTTAAGGAAATAAACAAAGAAGAGAAAAAAGAAGATAATAATATTAAAACGATAAAAACTGAAATTTTATCGAAAAGCGATACAGAAGACGAAACCGACATTTTTGACAAAAAATCGAATGAAATAGATAATAAAAAGGACGTTAACTTAAACTTAAGTAACGATGAAGGAGATATATTTAAGAAATCTTTAGAAAAGTCATTGTCGCCTCCTTCTCGTCCGTTAAACATAGTGAAACAAGAGAGCGACGGTTATGAGAGCGACGAATTGTTTGGAGCTAAAGTTAGGAATATACCAGCCGTTCAAGTGCCAAAATCGAAATCAACTAATGAGTCACAACCTAAAAAGAGAGAAATTCCCAAGAAACCTCTCAAATTGGATGATAGTGACGATGATATATTCAAACCCAAGAATAGTAAAACCTTAATTAAAAAAGATAGTGGAGATAATCTATTCGAAGATTCAGGTAAAAAGAATACAAAGAATTTGTTCGAAAGTGATGATTCAGATTTAGACATCTTCAAACGTTCGCCCCCTAAAACTGTGCCTACTATGGATGATGATAATGAAGACGATGACGGTTTGTATTAAAGATTTAATAACCAACGTTGAACCCAAAGTAGGCTTCCCCTGGAGCACGCACAAAGCTCTTCAATATTTAATTTCATCGACAGATGGCGTACTATTAGCATATCAACATTTTTGTTTATCCCTTTGAGAATACCATAGCAAAGAAAGAGCGGGAAAAATAGCGTTTTTTTTAGTTGTCTAAAATTTTATTCGATAAACAAAATGTTTAACTCAATTAAGATAACTCTAACTTTTTTCAGACATATTCTCCTCTCGCGCTTGACATGGATTTCGGCCATTTTGTTTACATATACATTGTTAACAATGTACAAAAAATACAGTTACATGAGATTCATGCACTTTGGTAAAAGATTTGTGGCCCTTAAAAGGGCCGTTTTCTTAATTTTGAAAAATGTTTAGGTTGACGACTTCGTCTATTTCGCAGCAGCCTTCTTGGTTTTTTTGGCAGCGGGCTTCTTTGCTGCAGGTTTCTTGGCTGCTGGCTTCTTAGGAGACTTTTTAGGCTTGGCGGCAGGCTTTTTCTTTTCCGCGGTCTTTTTGGGGGCTGCTTTCTTGACGGTTTTCGGTTTAGCGTCCTTTTTCGGTGTGGCCTTCTTTTTCGGTTTGTCGGCTTTCGGTTTATCGGCCTTCTTCTCGGCTTTGGGCTTCTTTACAACAGCTTTTTTGGTTGTTGTTTTCTTTTCGTCATCTTTGCCAGGTAGACGGAAAGAACCAGAAGCACCCTTGCCTTTTGTTTGCTTCAGCTTACCATCGGCAACAGCTTTCTTCAGGTATCTCTTGACGAAAGGACCCAATTTCTTCATGTCAACTTTATATGTTGTTTCGATGTATTTCTTGATAGCTGGAAGAGATGTTCCTTTTCTATCTTTCATACTCTTGATGGCATTGTTGACCATAGACGCAACCGGGGGATGGGTTGGTGTAGTTCGGGGTTTGGCAGCCTTGGAGGCTTTTTCCTTCTTTTCCTTTTTCGGGGAGTCGGACATTGTGATATCTGTTCTTCGGACTTCGAACAAAGACTGAATGTTCCTCAGAATGCCATAGCCCTATTTATAGGCAGAAAGCGCGCGTAAAATACTTGGCGCTGATTGGTCGAAAATTTTCTCGTAATCTTTTCGCTTCACGCCAATCTGTGTGCTACGTTGTGTTCGTTTTATTAAAGGAAATGGAAGATTACTCTATAATGCTTAATTACATTTGCTTACATTTTACACATCACATAGATTACAATGCCATGGACATATACACGAAAAATTATTTAAAAATTTTCAGTAGATTTCGAGAAAATCAACTCTAAAGCATAAAATCGTGCATCAACTTGTTACATTTCTGGAAACAATCATTAATTATACAACAACATTTGCTTCAATTATTTTCCAAATTTATAAAATGGTTCCTAATAATGTATTTAACAAATGTACCAAGTTGTAAAAAATTATCTTGAGTCTGAACAGAATAATATCAATTTTGGTTGTGGAAAGTTGACACAGATTTTTCTGTTAACAAGTGTTAATGAAAAAGTTTCAACGCTAATTTCTCTTAAATTACGCATTATTAGTTAATAATTTTTGTAAAGCAGCTAAATGACAATACAGGGTATGATTTTATGTAAAAATATTATAATAAAATAAAAGATTTCAACGTAAAATTTGATATTAAAATGCTCGCGTACATTGTATAGGAAAACGTATGGCTGTCGATGTTTATGCATACTCTATACTATTCCAATATCAGACAGTATTTTTTCGTTTATATTTTTTTGGACATAAGTAAAAATTGAATTTTTCTCTACGTGAAAAGAATCAAATTATAATATCTGGTCGTAATTTTTAATTTATCACTGTGATCAATTGATATTATCGATGAATACATGAATATTATACAGTATACTTGTGTAGATATATGTATATGCAATACAACATACATATACAGTATATGTTATAGAATTTTAACGATTATTAAGCTTCTTTTTTATCTAAATCTCCATCGTTCTCTGATTGATTTTTTAAAGACTTTATTTGGAGGTTTCTTGCATGGTGATTTCTAGTTTTTTAATGACCTCAGTATCAACCTTGACATTCATTACTTTTTAATATGATAAGATTTTAGAATGCCTTTTATAAATTCTTTATATATATATATATAGCGTTTGCTATCTTGGTCTTTTTTATAATTCACTTTCTCTCTTTGCCATTGTTTCACTGTCCCCTTTCGTCTGAATATATCATTTCATTTAATCTTTCTTATGCTACGAAAATCACTCGACCAATTTTCTTCACAATAAATTTCATAGTGAAATGAGTAGCTAATTTGGATTGCATAGAAAGTTAATATGAAAATAATACTTTACCAAAACATACTGCTTTGCATGTTCAAAGACCAAAATATGACTACTAATGAATATGTTATGTATGCAATACAAATTATCAAACTCATTTTTTTAATATCATTAAATAAAATACAATGTATACAGAAAGATAGAGAGATGTGTAGACGCGCAGAGAAAGGGAAGTAAAGGGAAAACTAGGGTATGGCGGAGAAGAAAGAATACAGTGCAAGAGGGAGAGTTTTCTTTTTATTCTTTTCAAAACAAAAGGAAATAAACGGACAGGAAACTGTAAGTGTTTTCCATTGAGCTGTGACAAAAAATTTAGTATGAATTTATAGACTAACGTAATTTCATAATTAACAAGTAATTAAAGAAATTACTCGATCAGTTCCTCCTGATTGTTCACTGTTACGCCTTTATAATGTTATCATTGATTTTTTTCTTTGTATAGTTTGAAGAGGTATCAGCCCTTTTATAACATAGTGAATTTAATTTATGCCATTGAATAAATTCTCATTTAATTAGTTAAACTAATTATCATCTAGTCAGAATATTAAAAACAACTATATTTTGGATATAAAGCATCGTAAATGTATAGAAAATAGGTAAAAAGGTATTTGTATTGGACAATAGCCAGCCTATACCATATATGCACAACTTTTCATTCTAATGTACAAAAGAGATTAAATGGTACGCGTCGTCTAGGTGTGCCTTTTCTCCTGAATCCCTTCACCCACCCTATATGCACATAATGGAAAAAGGAAACTTTCCTACTCCTTTCTTCAATATGATTTCTGCTTTGTATATTTTATAGATGTTAACAAATATTTAACATAATCTTTTTTTTTTAGAAAACAATGTATTATTGTTATTGTTAAAGAAGAAAGAGAAATCTGTATATATTTATATTTTCATATTTGAAAAGAAAACTTAATTTTTTTTCTTTTTTGTGTTATTGCTAAAAAAAAAACTTATTATATTAAACGTTTATACACTACATATTTACAAATATATTCAAACTGCTTTAAAAATGACGTAGGATATTGTAAGTTTCTTTTTATCTCAAATAAAAACAAATATAATTATATTTTTTAGCACATTTCTTCTTTTTTTTTCTTTAGGCTTTTCATAAATCATATAGATTCTATTTATCAATTTGAACTTAAACACATGTAATTATTTATACTGTATATATATAATTTTTTTTTAGATACATACGGTATAAAGACATACATCTACCATGCATTACTCATTTGTTGGCTTCTTTTTTAGTATTAGAACAGATCGTTACTTGTAAAGTCGTAATATGGAAAAAAAAAAACAAAAAAAAAAAGAAAGAAACAATATTTGATAGAAAGAAATGATAATATAATGTATAATTATAAATAATGCCTTGCTTTAAAGCATTTCATTTGAATTTGGTTCCGTAGAAATCTCGTTCTGTACAGTTTCACTATCGGCTCTTTCATGACTTGAATCGAAATCCATTTTTGAAGATTTCTTTTTAATATCTGCATTCCCCATGCGAGCAAATTCGCTACCTCTTTTTTGTCCCCGTTTTTCAATACGTTTTTGAAAGTAGCGCAGCAGAAGGTTGCATTTTTCGTTTCTAATTACTGTGTTGAAGAACATAAAAGATCAAAAATAACATTATTAATCCTTTTTCAATTGGTATTATATATAATACAACGTAAAAAATATCTCAAATACAATTATAACGTTCTACTAATTATCATATCTCTACACTCTTCAACGATCTGACCTACGTGCATACTGTTAAAAGATTTTTATCAGCAACTTTCATTTATTACATAATATAACTTATGTTTAAATGTTTTATGAATAAATGTAATGGATAATTACGTAATATTTTACACTAAGACCTTCAGCGGGTATTTTCTTCTAATATTTAAATGAGACTGTAACTCTATCCCCACAAAATTCTGGAAACGTTTATCGCTTGACAAAGGAATTCAGATAACATATTAGAAAAAACAGATTTTAAAATTCAATAACGAAATTATAATTAGCTCTTATCGCTAAAGAGCTCTTTTTCCCCTATCTATTTACACAATTGAGTATAATCCTAATCAGGGATAGACAAAAGAAACAGAAAGAGAGGTTTAATATAAAGAACACCAATAGATATAAATAATAGCTTGTTTTAGTTGTGTTCTATCTTTCTTAAACTTTTTTTTAACTTTATTACTAAAAATGATAATAAAAAAAAAACATATGGCTTTCCCAAAACCGAGCAGGTGCTTAAGCCACAACTTTCACATTTGTATAACGACGCTCAAGATGACGTAATATTACATAGGAGAATATTTGCTCTGAATAAGCCGAATCTAGTTCATCGTTATAGCAAAACAGAAATCACCATCTAATATAAATAACCAGATTTATATTAGTGCCTTTATAAAGTTAAATATTTGCTACATCAATCAGCCGAATTGTAGCATCTTCAACAGAAAATAATGCTTTGTCAGTATTCATTGGAAGTGGGACAAGATTGATCTGTTTTCCGAATTTAATTATTTCGGTTGATTAGGCATTAATTTTTTTTTTGGTTTAACATTAAATCACTATAATATAAATAGAATCATATAAAAACTCTTACATCACTCTCACTAATATCAATTAATGTTACTTTTTAATACTGCTTTTCCTAAATATCAAATATCAGAAACTTAATTTGTCTTCCTAATTTTCATATTATTTTATATGTTGCGAGTCTATAGTTATACTTACATTTCGCATTAGGGTTATCTTTTGCTACTATGATGCTACCTTTTTTCCTTTCCTGAAATATACGTTTATTATTTTCAAGTTTTGCGCGAAATAACAAATACATACTATTCGAGATGATGGTTGGAATTTAGAGAAGTTCTCTGGGTTGAACGTTGGAAGATTATCCAGAAAATGTTGAGACTGCAAAGAGCGATAATATGTCAACAAGTATCAATTACATGATGTTTTGTATAATAAACAACATTTCACAACGAAGGTCGAGTTCAGCATTTAATACCTATCATAAATATTCCAAGATAATATCACTTACCATAACTGATTGTTTAAATTGTCGACGAGTGTCGACTTCAACTAATTTCCACAGATAGAATACAATGCGGAATTACCGTACTAGGAGCCAGTTTATTTTCCGAAATTTCCTATTTCGTGCAGCTCATTCCAGCTCGATATTTCTTATTCCGGGACCTTTGGTTGAAATTTACGGTTTTTTCCACCATTATTCGATAAAAATTTGTAATTAAAATCATGTCTGATAATGATGATTATGATATGGATGATAATGATGACTACGGATTGGTGAGACAGCAATTTTTTGACATTTTTTATTAATTCATTACGCGTCCAGCTTACGCCAGAGAGTTAAACCTGTCTTTGGATATTATACTTAAGAACGTCATATCATTACAACTTTAAAATTCCTTGAATAACTTGAGTTTATAACAGCTTTTGTTAAATGTAACTACTCAGCTAGCCTGTTTTAATAGTCTCTCATCAGTTCACTGCCATATCACGATTGTAGATTACATAAAATCGTTTTTGATTGCTTTAGGATTACTCCGATGAAAATGAATCTGAACCAGATGTCGATCTAGAAAACCAGTATTATAACTCTAAAGCACTTAAGGAGGACAACCCGGAAGCTGCCATAGAGAGTTTTCAAAAGGTTGGTTTTCTAATGTATAAGCACGTTTGGAAGCTAATCACCTATCAATCAGGTTTTAGAAATCGAAGAAAAAGAAAAAGAAAAAGGAGAATGGGGCTTTAAAGCCCTAAAACAGATGATAAAGATTCATTTTAAGTTGGTAAGGGAGGACATTAATTTTATACTAAGTGATATGGTCTTATATAATTATTTTGATGTTTCAGGGAAATTTTGAAGAAATGATGAAGCGTTACAAACAATTACTAACATATATAAAAAGTGCCGTGACAAGAAATTATTCTGAGAAATCTATCAACTCTATTTTAGATTATATATCAACATCAAAACAGGTAATATATTCTCATTAATCTTATTGCTCATTACTTTTTAGTAACAACTTTTTCAAATTTGCATTTTACAGATGGACCTTCTACATAATTTTTACATTACTACTTTAGACGCTTTGAAAGAGGCAAAAAATGAACGTCTGTGGTTCAAGACGAATACAAAGTTGGGAAAATTATATTTTGATCGAGAAGAATATCCAGCCCTTCAAAAAATATTGAAACAATTGCATTTAAGTTGTCGAACTGCGGATGGCGAAGATGATCTAAAAAAGGGAACGCAACTTCTAGAAATATACGCCTTAGAAATTCAAATGTATACTGAACAGAAAAATAATAAAAAGTTGAAGGTAATGTCATTCACCAGTTTATACTCTTTAAACTTAAATTGCTTCCATTCAATTTAGCTATACTATATCTAATTGTTATAATTTTCAATTAACAGGCTCTTTATGAGCAATCGCTTAAAATAAAGTCTGCTATACCTCATCCTCTTATTATGGGTGTTATAAGAGAATGTGGTGGCAAAATGCATCTACGTGAAGGAGAATACGGAAAAGCACATACAGATTTTTTTGAAGCGTTTAAAAATTATGACGAAAGTGGAAGTGCTAGAAGAACAACTTGCTTAAAATATTTAGTGTTGGCTAATATGCTTATGAAGTCCGGTATAAATCCCTTTGATTCACAAGAAGCTCAACCATACAAGAATGATCCAGAGATAACAGCTATGACAAGTCTCGTTAGTGCCTATCAAAATGATGATATTAATGGTTTTGAGACAATTTTGAAGGACAATCGCACTACTATTATGGAGGATCCATTCATTAGAGAGCATGTAGAAGGTAAGCAATAATTTTTCAATTCCCATCCCCAGTGATAAATTTATTGATTAGTCTAAATCTAGAATAATCTATATTTTTTTCCAGATTTGCTTAGAAATATCAGAACTCAAGTTTTGATAAAATTGATTAAGCCATATACCAGGATTCACATACCTTTCATTTCAAAGCAATTGAATATAGACGCATCGGAAGTAGAGAGTCTGTTAGTTGCCTGCATCCTGGATAAGTAAGTATTTGTCCTGATAGTAATATTTATCAATATATATGTATAAATAGTATCTGTTAGTATAGGCCAACAAAAAATTTGTATATAAACATGTTTTTCTCCTTGTCAATGACAGAATTTATAATAATGTAAAAACCCCCTCTACTCTTTTTAGCTCGGTGAATGGTCGAATAGATCAAGTTGCCCAAGTTTTGGAATTGGATGCTGAAGTAAACTCATGCAAGTATTCGGCAATCGATAAGTGGTCTGATCATGTCGACTCGCTACACATGAATATTTGTAACAGAATAATTTGATGACTTAAACAACGGAAATCATTTAATCGTTTCTTATTTTTGAATAAAGATATACTTTTTATATAATTATCCTTGAATTCAACGCAATTTCTATAAATAGAATACTACGCCTTTCAAGACAAAAGTGTTATCATTATAAGACAAGAACATAAATAATTACAAAGGTGTGGCCAATACCAACCTATAGGCATCTGCCATTAAATTTAGCGACTTGCCTCCCCGCCGCAGTTATAATATAGCAGAATAGAGCTGTTATAAAATGTGAATTGTTCGAAAAAATTGAGAACTTACTTTTTAAAATTATTGCGTTTATTATTCGGAAGATAAGAAACTTTATTATCAGAACATAATGAATTAAGAGTTAAACAGCAATAATATATTCAACAGGGGGTAAAATTTATTGTCTCATAACAAAAAATTAGAAAATAAATCCAGATCAAACTGGTATAAACTGAAACGAAGTATATAAGACAAGGACATCAGTTTCACTCAAGGTCCTGAATAGTGAAGAACGTCGATATATTGGCAAGTTTAAACAACGAATATTCATCTACTTGGGTAAGTAAGACAATGAATAATATTTGTAATCTATTTACTCAAAATATCAAAGATTGTGCTTGTAACACTCCGTAATAATATTCAATTATATATATATACCTATAATCTGATAAGTGAAAGCATATATATATATATATATATATATTTGATATATTTACTGAATTATAACATTTGGGCCCAAATTAGACAATTATCACATGTCAAGAGCATGTTTTCTAGCCAATGAGCAATCGGTTGTGAACCCTCTCACGTGACTATTCTATTTGTGGTAGGTCAGGGCAATAGTCCAGCAATTTTGATGATGAAAGCTTTTTCTTTTAATAAAAATAATAAAAATTTAAAAGTAAAATTTACAATTGAAAAAATTCAACTGAGAAATAGGATATGTAATATTGCGTAAGCCATTTACGAATATGATTCTTTTGGTTTCTTTTCGTAAAAATTTCAAAATTTTCTAAAATTCTGACAGATGGCCCAAATTCAAGCGAATTGGAGTTGGAAATCTGGATCTGAAAAAGTCAAATTATCTCCCTCTAAACTTATTGCTTATATAAATAATGATTTCGTCGATGGTGCTAAGGGGACATCTGTTGTTCGCAGTGATCGCCCACTTCTTGATGGTATTCACTATTGGGAGATATTATTTCACGAACCTCCCTGTGGTGCTTGGGTAGTTGTTGGTGTTTGTAGTGAGAACTCTCCTACATACTCACCTGAAGTCAAAAATCTCCTCGGCGGAACTGATGATCAGGCCTGGGGTTTAAATTATAAAGGCACTCTCCATCACAATAAAAGAAAAATTTCCTGTTGTCAACCATTTTATTCCGAAAACACAACTATTGGTGTCGAATTAAACGTTTATACCGGAAAATTATCTTTCTATAAGGATGGAGAGCTGTTGAACGGAGGCTATAAACAACTTTGGAAGGCGAAAACACTCTATCCAGCCGTTTGCAGTACAGCTGCTGGTACTGTTGTTGAAGTTGTACAACGATCTTATATGTATGGCAATCTTCAAGATATGTGTATCCTAGTTTTATTAAGAAACATAAGTTCATCTGGTGACGTTGACAAACTACCTCTTCCACCTATTATTAAGGGACGATTACAGAATTTATTTTAATTATAAACTGATACCTTTTATGACTGAAAAGTCAGCTTTATTTGGAAATCTATTATCAGTTAGTTTAGCTCTCTTTATGGTGACACAGTTCGATTAGTTCTTGCAAAATATTGTCGCTTATAGATCTAATTGAGTATTTTTTTTTCTACATATAATTAAAAGACTTTTTTAAAAAGCTCCAAATTTACCACTTGATAAACTTTTATATGCATATCTGCGGATGAAACGAGTTAAGTCAGTGTTCTTTTTCTTTCTGCTGGTTTAATTATGCAAAAAAAAGAAATGAAAAATTATTGCTATCTTTGTCAAGGTTATATCTGCAAGGATTTGTTGATTTATTTTTACTATTTAATAACTTAGTATTATGTGTTATATATGTATAAAAATGTATATATATATACCTTATAAACCTAAGTTGATTTTACCTACATTGTTATTAAAGCTTAATAAAGTTGTTTACATGCAACAGTATGTTATTTAGCTGGCGAAAAAAATTAGAAATAAGAAAATCTTATCTGTTGTTTATGTGTTCTACATTTTCGCCTGATATTCACTTTTAACGTCCGATAACGTTTATTACACAGAGAGAGAGAGAGCGAGTGATACAAAACACATTATATAAATTTTTTGCATTTACATGTCATCGTGTCCTGGTATTGGAAATTTTAGAGCAAACGATTCAACAGCTTCCTTTAGACTTGAAATCTGTTTAGTATATTTCTCAGTAGCAATGATCTCTTTAAATGATTTTAGCGTCGGTTCACTTTCCTTATTTGCTTCAATAGCGATCTTAACAGCTGTGATAAGTGTTATATAGATAATTAGAAAATTTTACTTCGCAAGATAATTTTTATAGATTAAATAGTTAAAATATTTCAATACCTCTATCGAAAAATTCAACAACTTTTTCAAAGTCCGCCTCGGTCAAATTTCTAGAGGTTAGAGCAGCAGTTCCAAGTCTAAGCCCACTAGGCTTTAAGGCGCTCTTATCGCCTGGACAAGTGTTCTTGTTAACGGCTATAGACACATCTTCCAAAACTTTTTCGGCTCTAGCGCCATCAACGCCATTAGGTCTTAAATCAACAAGGCACAAATGATTGTCAGAGCCTCCGGATACAATTGTATAGCCCAATTCCATAAGTTTCTTGCACATTCTCTGGCAATTGAGAACAACTTGTTTGGAATATTTTTTAAAGTCATCAGTATCGGCTTGCTTTAGAGCAATACCTACTCCAGCAATGGCATGATTGTGGGGACCACCTTGAAGTCCTGGGAAAACGGCTTCATTAATTTTCTTTTCGATATCCCACATAATCTTTTCTCCTGATTTTGAGATCTTTCTTACACCTCGTCTGTAGAAGATCATGCCAGATCGTGGTCCTCTCAAAGTTTTGTGAGTTGTTGTTGTAACAATATCACAATATTCGAAAGGAGATGGAACAACTCCAGCAGCAACTAGACCAGATATATGAGCCATATCTGCCATCAATAAGGAATTATTTTCATCTGCTATTTCTCTAAACCTCTTATAATCTAAATTTCTAGAATAACAGCTAATTCCAGCAATTATCATTCTTGGTTTAAATAGTTTTGCATTTTCTTGCAGCTTGTCATAATCGATCAAACCGGTGTTTTGATCAAGACGATATGGCATAGATTCGAAAAAGATGGATGTAGCCGAAATCTTTTTTGTGGGGGTATAGAAACCATGAGTCAAGTGACCGCCATCGGGGAGATCAAGACCCATAATACGGCCATGGGGTTCAACTAAGGCAGTGTAAACAGCAAAATTGGCAGGACTTCCGGAAAGTGGTTGAACGTTGACACCCCATTCACTAGCATCAAGATTGAACGCTTTTAAAGCTCTTTTTTGGGTTAATCTTTCCATATCATCAATATGTTCATTACCGCCATAATATCTGTAAATTTAAAAACGAAACAAATTATTTACTAATACCAACGCCATCTATCGGTAATTACTAAATGCAATCTTAGATAACATTAATGATAATTATCTGATAACTTAAAGAAACAGAAAGAAACGCCGGTGCTAGCAGTTAGCGTAGTTTGGTAGTAAAATATTTTTTCCCGTTATATAGCTCAAAAGAACTTCAGTTAAAAAAAAAAGCGAATATAAAGAACTCTTAAAATTTTTTACTCGATTAAAATATCATCGAAAACTAGTGCAATTTCAACCTAAAGAATCCAAAAAGGTCACTCTTAATTGATACCAAACCTAAAGTTAAATTTAAAACCTGAATATGAGACAACGCACGCGATTTTATTCAAAACGCTTTAAACAATTAATACAATAGCTTTACCTCTGGCCTGGTTGACCTTCAGAGTACTTATTATTTAAACAACTTCCCAGAGCTTGAAGAGAAGCTCTACTTGCGAAATTCTCTGATGCAATTAATTCCAGGCCTCTTCTTTGTCTTTCTTTCTCCTTCACGATGATTTCATACATTTCCGGGTCATTAGTACGAATATCTTCGCAAAGTGAATATGAAGTTTTTCCATTTGATGCCATTATATCTTTGTATGTTGAATTTTAGTCGCTAAACTATAGCTTTCACGTTGAATAGATATTGTTCAACTGTTCTTGCTATCTGGTAGCTTTGAAAGAAGTGAGGAAGAACACTTGGCGCGAAAGCAATTTATTAGTTTTCGTAAACCAATCACCAGCCTTGTATCGTTAGCCAATCCCAGTCGCTGTTATTTATATTTTTGGATAGCACTAGTTAATAATACTTTGAAGTCTTTTTCATTTTGAAAATTCAGTACTGTCATCTTTATTTACTGATAAAAGGGAAATTTTTTGTAATGGGAGATATTCCTGAAAATGCACCTGATCGTTCGTAATTTACTTAGTTTATTTGAAATCTTTATTCGTATATTTGAATCGTTCTCTTTAAGGTAGTTAAGTAATTTAAGAGCGATCTTAGAGGATTTTAGGCAGCATGATTGCAGAAGTCCTTAAGAAATTCTATCAATTTCAGATTGTCCTGGAACGGAAAGTGATCAGGCCGGAACAGCTTCTGCATGTGCAGGTTGTCCAAACCAAAAAATATGCGCAGCCGGTCCACCACCAGAAGATCCTGGTAATTCAATTCCACAGTGTTTTTTTTGTTTGAACTACTTATTTTTAATAATTCAATAGCAATCCAGGAAATTAGAGAAGTGTTAAAGAATGTAAAAAACAAGATATTAATATTGTCGGGTAAGGGTGGAGTTGGCAAAAGTACATTTACTGCTAATTTGGCCAGAGCATTTGCAAGAAATGAAAATATTCAAGTAATATTTCAAAATATTAGATTACGTAATTCAATTATTGAAAGATAATATTTAATTACGTAGGTTGGAGTTTTGGACATTGATATTTGTGGTCCTTCTATGCCTGTTATTTTAGGTTGTCAAGGAGAACAAGTGCATCAAAGTGGCTCCGGATGGTCTCCCGTTGTAAGTTTCGAAGTTTATATCTTTTGCGATATATTATTTAATGCCCTTATTTATTGCAGTATGTAGAAGAAAACTTAGGAATAATATCTGTAGGATTTCTATTGAACTCTCCTGACGAGGCAGTTATATGGAGAGGACCAAAGAAGAACACGCTTATAAAACAATTTTTAAGAGATGTTGATTGGGGAGAACTCGACTATTTGTTAATTGACACTCCCCCAGGAACAAGCGATGAACATTTATCTGTAGTTTCTTACATGAAAGAGGCTGGTGTAACTGGTGCTGTTGTCGTAACGACTCCACAAGATGTTGCTATTTTGGACGTTCGAAAGGAAATAAACTTTTGTCAAAAGTTGAATGTTCCAATTTTGGGTATTGTAGAAAATATGAGTTCGTTTGTTTGCCCTCGATGCAATGTAAATATGACTATTTTTCTTACATTTTCATTATATTGATTTAAAATTTCTTTTCAGAAAGCTAACGAAATATTTCCACCAACAAACGGTGGAGGTCAACGATTAGCTGAGGAAGTTAATGTTAAGTTTCTAGGTAGAATTCCACTCGATCCAGAATTAGCAAAGAGTGCCGATCAAGGACAGTCGTTATTCGAAAGTGCTCCTCAATCAATGGTAGCTCAAGCTTTAGAATCCGTTGTGACAAGTAAGAAACACAATTTTTAAAAATATTTTCTATCTCTTTCATTGAAAAAAAATAATATTAAAATTCATCATTTCTGTTTCAGATATTAAATTGTTATGCGAATTAAAACAGGATTCAGAGACAGGCGAGCATCAGAGATGAGAGGTTTCTAAAGATGATAATACAAGAAAAAATAAGCAAATGTTACAAGGGAACCTCGACTGTTTTAGTATTAAAAAAGAAAAAAAGAAAAAAAATAAGAAAAAGATTTGATTTAGTATACGTAAAATAATTAAGGCTTAAATATGTTTTTTTTTTGTTTTTTTGAAATTAAAAATTTTTTAGGATCATATAGAAACTTCAGATGAAAAATTCAAAAATATATTATCCAATAAAATGTTTCATGATTAAATGACGTCTTTATTGTTTAGGAAGTCCACACATTTCACAGGCTTCTTTTCCTATCGTATTATGAAAAGTGCAATGAGTACAGGCCCATTGATCATCTGGCTGGGGTGATCGTATTGGTGGAAGAGGCTGTGCATTTGGACCGACGTAATTTTGATTCGGTACAGGAGTTGGAGCTTGGGCCGTCCTCAATGTTTCGACGGTTTGCCATTCTTCTCTCGCAAGCCAAGATCCTAATCTATCCATATCTCTTTCTTTGAGAATGGCACTTAGTTCTTCAACTGCACCTTTTAATGGTATCATATCACAAGTCGACAAATATACCAAAAGGTGTAAATCATTCAAAGCGTCAAAAAGTCGCTCTGCTGGATATTTGTCCAGGTATGATGATAAAGTATTAAAATCTTGAGAAGCCCCAATGCTCTGTCGGTTTGCAACAGGGAAAGTATCTCTGCCACCATTCAACGTATAAGAAGGTTCTAGAGGGAAGGCAACTTGCAAATCGACTAGTAGATATTCGACAGGAAGGGGCCGAGCTAAAGAGGTGACCTCATTACCAAAAGAATCTTTGAGCTTGTAAAATACATCTGGTACATATTGTTCGTTAGACGATTCTTTTACATAACCTAATTCTGGGGCGTCTATTGTTGGTATAAAGCATCCATCTCTTACTAAAGCCATACATTGATTCGAGACTTGATATCCTTCAAAATGAATTTGATTATCTGCGTCACCTGGTTGAGACGATTTAAAAAAAAAATTGATTAATAATTGAAGAGTTTCAGTTATTATAATTTTACCTGTTACTACGACAGTAACAAATTTCGAACCAAAAAATGTATCTCTGGCATATCTACATTTATTCGGATGCGCATTTTGGAAAGTCGCAGCCAACATACATTCCTGAGCGGAGAGAAAGAATGAATCAATTGTTCCCCGATGATGCTCTACTGTTCCCATTTGTAAATCTTTAGCAGATAAATCGGTAAATATCCATCTGACAACGAAAGGTGTTTATTGCTAAAAATTAATTCAGCTGTTGAAATACAAACCCTACTCTCTGTAACCCTAAACGACCTGCGATGTCTTCAACAGTGGATTCCAGCGGATCCGACATATTCAATTTAACGCTTTGTTTTGAGGATATTTGAGCTGGTTCGTATATAGCGCAAACGACAGCTTTTATTCCTAGAGGAACATCCTTGTGTTGTTCGTATCTGTGTTGAAACATTTACTAAAATAGAGAAGAAACTTAATTTTAATAGTAACTACCTTCCGTACAAGTATCCAATTCTTTGATTACCACTCTTTCTCCAAAAATCTAAGAACCTATCCATTATTTGGGGATTCTCAAACTGCACATAATCTACGTGCCGATAACTCTGTCTATTTAGAGTGACAGCGTTAGGCTGACATTTTGTGCATATACCACCAGGCCAAGGAGGATGTTCCAAACATCCTGGTTTAATTTTGCAGCTTATGTTTTCTAACATGACAAATTTCCCCCTATTTCATTAAATTACATGAAATTACAAAACGTATTTAATATATAAAGTATCATATTTACTTATCAACACCGGATCGTAATTTCCTCAGGTATGAATGAAAAGACAAAAACTTAATTGGAGGATCAGCATTTCGTAAGTATTCCTCATCAAAGGGCTACAAAAAAAGGAAATAAAATACACGATAAAACAAGAATTGATGACTCATGATAATCTTTCAAAAAAAAAATAGCCAGCTATTTATACATATGTTTAATTTCAAAATATTACGTTATGTTAAGCATATCTAGTAAAATTTACCTCCAATGGTACGCAATGAACACACTTTCCAGTAGGTCCGTGTCTGCAGAGTTGCTCATTCCTTGCTCTGAACGTTCTACCATCTTCTTTTTCTAATTCTAAATCTACGTCATCTTCCTTAAAGGGGGGAACACTTTTTTCTGCGTTATATTTGACTTGATTTGTACCATTAATACAACTATCTTGCTGTTGCTGTTTTTCGTCCCATTCAATCAACAAAATATCCCCATGTACTAATCCATAAGATTGTAAACTTCTTTTTTCAGATCGGATAATTTTTTCAGACTTCTTTCTATCTTTGTAAAGGTTGAACTCTTCTTTTATATTAAATAACTCTTGAAGCTAATCATTAAAAGAGAATATTAAGCTACATAAATGAAGAATGTATACTTACTTTCTCAAATAGCCTAGTAACTTTGTCGGATGTCTTACAATTGACTCTTTTAACTCCCTCAGCAGATTGAATTCGTAAGACCTGTTTTGAGATTATAGAGTGACAGCTGATCTCGAATTGTAAGATATTTATATTGAATTACTGTAATTTCTGTTTGAAATGAAAAAACAGCGAAAAAGCACTACTCACGATGTTAGACATGATGTATCGTAGTTGTTAAATACTATGCCCGTAACACTTTATATATTTATTAAACTCGTTGATTCGGTAAACTAGTTGCTTGTCATCATGGACGTTTTTGTTTCTTAACTGAGAACCGGTAACTGACCGGTAAATGACGTAGCATATATGAAAATTTTGTAATAATAAATCGAAGTTGAGCAGGGAACCTAGAAAAAACCGGTAAGACTTTCAAAATGGCGTTCTCCATGAGAGTGTGCGGTGCAAGTTTATTATCACAAACTTTAAAGAAATCTATCAATTCTCGAATAGCAATCAACAACTGGAAAGTGAAAAAATTTGAACTTTCAACACTTTCAAAGAATAATAAAGAAGTCACCGATGATTTTAGCAAACTATTTCGCAATTATAAACACACGAATCAAAGGTTCTCTACTAAAAGACAGCTTAATTTGAATTCTTTTTCTAGAATTCAGTCACGCAATTGTCATATTTTAAGAGCCCAACGAATAACTACAAATAATGTAGTAGCTCGGGGTAGCCGACTATTTTCTAGTCAAGCAAGTTCAGGAGATGGTAAAGTTCCTCCTCCAGAGGAAAATCCTAAAGTTGATGAAGAGCCTGTACGAATAGAAGCTAAAGAAGGAGGCTTAAGCCCAACTGCAGTACCTGAAATTCCAGAAGTTCCTCTAGTTGCAATAAATAAAAACCCAGTGTTTCCTCAATTTATCAAAATGGTTGAGGTTAGCTATTTCAACAATTAATAAGATTCTATTTGGTAATTACTACTAAAGATTACAGATCGAAACCTCATGAATTTGATTCGAATGAAGATGAAAATGAACAGGCCATATGCGGGTATATTTTTAAGAAAGGACGAAAAGTTTGTAGTGTACACATTTTTGTTAGGCATATCCTAAATATTTTTATAACAGTAACGCTTCGGATATTGTTAAGTCAATCGATGAAATTTATAACACTGGAATTTTTGTTAAAATCCATGAAATTGAGGAACATAAGGAATTCATGAGGATGATCATTCAAGGTGAAAAAAGGTAAGGTTAAGTTATTCTTGCAAGCTATTGCGTCATAGTAACTTGTCTTTGTTATCTAGAATCTATATACAAAAAGTTCTCCCCTTCCCTACTGGTAAGCTTCAGATGGTTATTTTTAGCATTTAGAATAATTTTTACTTTGCATTTTAAGAGGAAGTCAAAGGTCGTCGCAGACTAAGGAAAAAGATCGTAGAACCTTCTACTGGGGACACCGATGCAAAATCCGCAGCGGTTACTTCAGATACACCTTCAGAAACTTCTCAAGAGTCTACCGATAGTATCCCTGTTGATGATTTGGAGAAGAACACGAACCAGTATGCTGATGCCGAAACAGATTTGGCGAAGGAATCGGAAAACGATGTAAACGAGGCAACAGAAGAGCATACAGCTCAAACCCCAATTTCTCCTCCCAGTGGAATAATGATGGTCGAAGTGAAAAACGTTAAAGAACTGCCGTTTAAACAAAATGATGAATTTAAGGTTGATAAATAACGTTTTCTTATATATTATAAATCATAAATTTACAACTCTTTTAGGCTGTAACTGCTGAGGTTGTCAAAACTATCAGAGATATTATTGGAATGAATCCATTACATAGGGAGACAGTTGCACATTTACTTCAGGGAGCTGGTCGAGTCATTGACAATCCAGTATATATATGCGATCTTGGTTAGATTTATAGAATAAGTCTTGATTTGTAATAAAGTGAAAATCTTGGTTTTAGGTGTATCCTTAACTTCTGCTAATCCATCTGAAATGCAAGAAGTCTTAGAAGAGAAAGATGTTCTAAAACGACTAAAACTTACACTAGACTTACTAAAAAAAGAGCATGAGCTAAGTAAATTACAACAGAAAATAGGCAAAGAGGTAATAAAATATGTCTAATATATTCATATTGTAACATCAACATGAAGAGTATATATAGTATTTCTGTTCTTGAATTACTGCGAATAGGTTGAAGACAAACTATCAAAAGAACACAGAAAACATATGTTGAAACAGCAATTACAGCATATAAAAAAAGAATTAGGAATTGTTAAAGAAGATAAGGATGATCTTATCGAAAAATTCAAAGCAAGACTTAAGGTATTTAGCGTCTGTTTACAATATTGTTCAATAAAATTTACATAGTTAATTGAATAAAACAATAGGATCTTATCGTTCCTGAAAATGTACAAGAAGTAGTAGATGAAGAAATTCAAAAAATGGGATATTTAGAAAATCATTCAGCTGAATACACGTAAGTCTTAATAAGATATTAGCATATTAACTTAATGATTAATCAATTCTTTATAATTGTTATTTTTTTGTTTTATTTAATTTTAGAACTACAAGAAATTATTTAGATTGGTTAACGACTATTCCATGGGGAAAATTCACTGAAGAAAATCTTGATTTAGATAGAGCGAGAAATATATTACAAGAAGATCACTATGGATTGGATGATGTAAAAAATCGTATTTTAGAATTTATAGCAGTGAGCAATTTAAAAGGCTCAACGCAAGGGAAAATTCTCTGCTTCCATGGTCCACCCGGAGTAGGCAAGACCAGCATTGCTCGTTCTATTGCTAGAGCTTTAAATAGAGAGGTAATTAATTTTAATCATTTCAATTTAAAGATAATCTTAGATGTGGGATCGTTTTTAATTGTTTTGATTATAGTATTTTAGATTTAGCGTTGGTGGACTTGACGACGTAAGTGAGATAAAAGGACACAGAAGAACGTATGTAGCGTCGATGCCAGGAAAAATTATTCAATGTCTAAAGCGTACAAAGACTCTTAATCCTTTAATTTTACTGGATGAAGTAGACAAAATAGGAATGGGACGAAAAGGGGATCCCGCGTCAACTCTCCTTGAATTATTGGATCCAGAACAGAATTCAGCGTTTTTAGATCACTATTTAGATGTTACGATAGACTTGTCGAAAGTTTTATTTATTTGTACGGCAAACGTTATCGATACGATTCCACCTCCGCTGAGAGATCGTATGGAAATGATAGAAGTTTCTGGGTACGTTGCCGAAGAGAAATTAGCTATTGCAGAACGTTATCTTTTACCCCAAGCAGAAAAATTATGTGGGTTAGACTCAAAGAGAGTTGAAGTTTCTAACAATGCCTTGGTGACTCTTATAAAGAATTATTGTAGAGAAAGCGGTGTTAGATTTCTACAGCAACAAATTGAAAAAATGCTAAGAAAAGCAGCTTATAAAATTGTCAGTAAGGAAGTGACTGGAAATATAAAAGTTGATGACAATAATCTAACTGATTATGTTGGTAAACCAATTTTTACCAGCGACAGATTATATGAAAATACACCACCTGGAGTTGTCATGGGTTTGGCTTGGACTGCCATGGGTGGATCAACTTTGTTTATAGAAACTCGTTCAAAGTCTTCTGTTGCTGCGAAAGTTCTGAATGACAGTGAAAATAAACCAGCTCCAGCTCCAACAGGCACCTTATTTCTAACAGGCCATTTGGGTGAAGTAATGAAGGAGTCTTCATCGATTGCTCACACCTACTCACTTTCGTTTCTTGCTAAGCATAGACCAGAAAATTCATTTTTATCTACATCACATATACATTTACATGTCCCTGAAGGTGCAACACCTAAAGATGGTCCGTCTGCAGGAGTAACAATGGTTACAGCTTTGCTAAGTTTATCATTGAATGTCCCTATTCGACAAAATGTTGCCATGACAGGAGAACTTTCATTAACTGGTAAGGTTCTTCCGGTTGGAGGGATAAAAGAAAAAACTATTGCTGTAAGTACTTGTGATAGCTTTTAGATATTGACGAAATTCTCTTTACTCTCTTTTATTTAGGCGCGCAGAGTCGGTGTCGATTGTATTATTTTACCATCTGAGAATAAGAAAGACTATAACGAACTTGCCAGCTTTATAACGGAAGGCCTCGAAGTACATTTTGTTGATAATTACGAGGATGTTTTTAAAATTGTTTTTCCCTCTGAGAAATTATAGAATTTATTATTTTAATTATTGATTTCAAGGCAAGCCCGGCTGTTCATCAATCGACTTCTTCATCTTTTTTCAAATGATATAGAAAATAAATATAAAACAAAAAGCTTAAAAAAATAGTATTCTTTTTATATTTGGTTATAATTTGACGAAGCCCTAACTGAAGGATTACAAGTGCGTGACGTAATACAATCTTTAGTAAAACAGCATCCATCTCTTACAAGTCCTGGAACAGTTTTCCAAAATTCAACATTTGGGATTTGTTCAATCCCCTGGGCCCCGGTAATAAAACGTTTAAAGCAAAATCCACCAATTAAGTAGATAATGACGCCGATAAAAAATCTATTGTCAAGTGAAAATAAAAACACTTTAAACTTGAATGACTTGAGATAAAATTCCACTTACAATATACATAAGACACTTCCGAAACTTATTCCTGTGTTCTTGTCTTCAGATTTCTTAGCACATAGGGTTGGTCCGAAAAGACTAAAGGCCTGTATAAATTCGAAGATAATAGGCAAGTAATAGACAAGATAAGATTAGAGAAAGAAACACTTACATATTTATCATCCGTTGGATGATCATTAATCTTAAATTCTTCTGTTTTACCGCATTCCAATTGAACAAGAACAAGTTTTGAATTTTCTTGTTTGTATCTTAAGAAGATGGCGCCATCTTTTTCTAGTATTGTGTAGTTTTTAGAAGCTAAGGACTGATATTTCGATGAATTATGTTCACACATCTGTTGCAGACAAGATGACACGTCTTATATAAGATTATCTATTTGGATTATAGTTTTATTTATATTTCTAATCATTCTCACATGAACATTTTGACAAGGTTTTGTCAAATTGAAAGATTGGCAGGGTGTATAGTAAAAAGTCTCATTTGTCGTCGTGTTCGTTACATTATATCTTCATAAAAAAAAGAAGTATTTTAACTTTTTCATCCTTTTTATAATCGGAATTTACTAGATTTTTGTAGGTAAAGGTCAAAAAATAACTATTAACCTAGGTTTTTTTTCTTGGTTGATGTTTTTCAACTTCGAAAAATCTATAAGATGTGTACCATTACTCAATATACATTCATTTGTCTTTACCCATAATCCAAAACATATAGTTAAATAAGCGAAAAGACAGAAAAGAGACAAATAATGTTGTCGATACATGCAGAATTTCCTTGATTTTTGTTTATAGGTTTAATTGACCTTCACCTTAATCATTTTATAAAAGGCGGGATATTTAAAAGTATATTTATGACTTATATGGTAGAAGAAAGAAGAGACAAAAAGAAACGTTTATATTTGACGTTTCTCCTATTCTTATCGAAGAGATATTTGCAATTTTATTAAAAATAGAGATATTATTGAAAAAATATTAATATTCAATTGCCAGCAATGAAATATTAAATTAGAAAACTTATAATAAAAAGGCAGCGCAAAGTCCAGCAATAGCCGCTATACCAGTTAACGTCAAAACGCCTAGAACGATAATTTTTAATAAGTGTTTGTTTCTTATTCTGCGATTAGAACTATCCACAGCCTGAAAATATTGAGAGTAAGATAAATAGGAAAAAGAACAACAAAACTACTTATGAATATTCATCATAATCTACTAACAGAAACGGCTGTTAATTCAGTCATGGAAGTTGCTTGGAAACTTGTAGCCCTTTCTTTTGGAGTAAAATTGAAATTAATGAATATGTTTAAAAATATATATGATAAATATTGATACAAATTATTTACCTGCCCAAGGTGTTGTATCCAATTTTGTTATTACTTCTGTAAGACGAGCTGAAGTTGATTGAACTCTTCTATATATATTTAGAAAAAAATGAAATATAAGAAAATAGAGGATAAAGGATGATAAATGAGCGGAAAAAAAGAAGAATGAGAAGGAGATAAAGAGAGACGAATAATAATAATAATAATATTTAAAGAGATAAGAGATTATTTATAAAATACTAATAACTTTTTAAAACATTCAAATCTTTCCTGTTCAACAGTGAATTTATCAACTTTACTTTCGTCCAGATATTGTATATTTGCCGAATTTGATTGTTTTATACTGTAAAGTTGATTTTTAATCTCATGAATTCCAGTTTTAATAAATTTGGAATTTTTTGAAAACAGTGGATAATCCGTTTGTAATCCAAGAGAATTTTGCATAACTCCAATAACGAACTCTAGGCATGCAGTTCCAATTGAAATTGTCGAGTTTTCGTCTGAATTTTTAAAACTTTTAAGAAAGTTGGAGTTGAGTGCTATTTCACATATTCTTCCCCATGTTTTGGCTAATTCATCTCTTAGATATTCACCATCGCCGCTTCCTCCAATGTCCCGTGAGAGGTAGGAGAGTCTAGCCGTTTCTCTGCAAAGTTTACGCAGAGGTGTCTCCATTTTTTGAGCGTCTTTCATACTCATCTTACAGCAAATGTTACTAAACTAGATTAAATAACAAACGAGTGATGAAAATTTCGTCCTTCATTAGTTCTATCATAAATACATGCAAAATTACTGATTATATCTGTTCTCACCTGTTTCTCTATCGTCATTAAGTAAAGTGTGTCAGTGATTTTCGAGTGGGAAATTGATTGATTCACTAGGCTTAGTTTTTCGTCTACGTCCCTTCGTCCAATATATAACGCTTATATCAGCGTTTTAGATTGTAATTTATAGCTTTTTATTATTGCATTGTTAATTAATTGTTAATTATCATTTATTAATATATTTATTTTAATTATATAAACTATATATTACCTGTTCTACAAGCTTTATTCTATATATCTTATTGTCTGGAGCTTTTGGTCAGCTTTGATAACACCTTTTAACATAATTTATATATATACATATAATTTTATCTGCACTCTTCTACTTCTCTTCTCCCATAATTCTTATCACATGCACACCGTTAAACCTAACATACAATACATACATACATCTTTTTATTCTGTCTCTCTTTCTATATATATATATAGAGTATATATATATAAAATACAAGTGCTATTACCTATTAAAAATAGGCCTATTATTTATTATAATTAGAAAGCACCAAATTCAACGTGCACCGAGACTTAGTTGTATAGAAAACAATTTATTCTCTATTTATATTGTTTTACAATATTGATTTAGTAAGATTGTCAATTTACGAAACTTGAAAAGGAAAACTAGTGTAATGTACAGTAAAAATAACAAAAAACAACTGTACAGCAAAACTGCAAAGAAAAAAGTCAAATGATAAAAAAAAGGACTAATTTTTTACGTAAATTTCCAATTTGCAAAAGTTATTAAATAAGGAATAAAATTTAAAGAGAAATGATCCTGTTTAGCATAATAATTGTCTAAAATATTCAATAATTAACATATTCATTTGCATAAATTGGAAAATAGGAAAATTCAAAAGTACTGAGAGCTCATTAAGAGTTTTTTTTAGTATATCGAAGACCAAGACCAATATCAATTTTTTTATAAATCGATTTCCATGCAATAAGCATTAGGTTCTAGACGATAAATATAAGTTGAATTTGAAAGAGACCAATGAATAAGGTCATTTAGTCTAAATTTAAAAGGATATAAAATATTTAATGTACTACGAACTGGAAACTGTACAATCAGAACAACTATGAATAAATTATAGCAAGAGCCATCTACATTGGTCCAGACTAAAAGAGAATACAAGAGCACAACTAACAACCGTTCATACTATTAAGACATTAGTGAATGTTTCGTAAATGGTTTAAATTGAACCTTAGCTGCAAACAGAATGATAAAGTAGAATTCGGGTCAGTAACAAAAATAAAAATACCGAATTGGCCAATAAAAGTGTGAGTAATTTCAATTTGGGCGTCTTAAAACTACCCAAGGAAAAAGTCATTCTCGATATAAATGCCGAAAGCTAATTCAGGTAGAAAGATCCACAGTAAAACTGTTAAATTTAATAATCAGAGGATATAGAATGATAACCTGCAACAGGAAAGTGATGAAATAAAGCAATCATTGCTGCCAGTAAGACTTATAATGATTGAGAAGATTTAACTATTTCCTTTTTAAAAAAATAAAGATGTATGGTAAAGCAGACTTTATAATTAAATACGATACCAATTTTAATAGTAAGGAACCCATTCCATAATTAATTGCTGCTGTTCTTATCCCGAAAGTAATCGAAGATACCTGGTAAAGGCAAATAAAATTTCCAGTCTGTTATTTTATGCGTTCCTTAAAAAGTATTTTAATAATTGGTAGATTCTATTAGAAGTGAAACAACTCAAGAAGAAGAAAAACAAAAAGGGAGAGTAGGGAAGCAAGACGAGAATATTTGACGCGGATCTAGAAACCTGCTAAAGATATTAAGAGGTTCGTGAGAAAAGCTGTTTTTTTTAGCGTAGTGAAGAAGATAAATAAACAAAATGAAAAAAGATATTTTCCATTATATTTACATAGAAAAGAAATCATCAAAAACTAAACAATAGATATTTCAGATAAATATAGGAATAATGGTAAATTCCTAGAATTCATATCTGTACAAATTCAACAAAAGCACATATGTAATAAATTCTTTTTCTTCAGACACGCAATGTTATAATTAATATTGTAAAATTATTAATTTTAGAAATAATAATAAGCTATTCTATTTTAGACGCTGATTTATGCTACACGAAGGTTAGGAGAGCGTGTTTTTTAGATTTATTTATAAATGTATTTATAAGCATTTTGAAACTAATACAATGCTTGTAGATTCGGAAAAGCACTTTTTATTCTCCTTTCTGTTATTACTATTCGCTGGAAACCAAAAGCGGAAGTAATAACTTCGTTGCGGGAATCTTGTAGTCATTCTCGAATATTCTACAGACAAAGGCAATTAACATCCTCTATACCTCCAATAAACAATGACAAATGTCATATTCATGAGGGAGAATGAATGCGGATTCTTTGTTCACTTTTCCGTGTATAATTAACATCTGGGAATTGTTTCATGCGACTTTGACATAGTATTGTTTACTTTGATTTAGGGTATTTGTACAAGAGAGGAAGAGAAATAAAGATAAGAAAGGGAAATCGAAATAAAGATGGATTTTGGAAGCTATTCAAATAATCACAGATTTTCGTTAGCTTAAGCTATCACAGTAAAACTATCTTTAAGCTTTTTTTTCAGGGAAAAGCTCGTAATTAAAGACATGAGTGGAAATTATAATGCATTCTGACAGAGGTAGACAAGAGCTAGAGTTGAATTCAGTAATATTTCAGTGAATGATTCAACGCCAGATGGATTACGAATAATTCATTTAAATCATTCTGTATTAAATGTAATCGCATTTAGGCAAATCATTTAAATGAGTCAAATGACTTTATTCTACACTTGGTCGTTTTGTTATGCTATCAGTTCAAAATTTCCCTTAGAATCTATCTATTCCGTTAAGATTATACGCATTTACATATGTACACTAGTTTACATATATACACTGTATACATTTGTATACTAATATTATTCACCTAATCTTAAAATTATAACGAGTTCGATGAATTTATTCTTTTAATAGTTTTTTTCTAAATTTATTTAGGTCATTGGGAAGCTTAATAACACAAAATTACTCTGAATCAAATCCAAGTAATTTCATTTTGTAAAGGTTTCCTTTGCCTTTTAAGCAGTATACTGCATAAACATCTAGAAATTGAGTGATTTTGATTTAATTCAAGCTAAAACAAATGTGTTGCTCAGAATAATATCTTTCACGTACAATTATTACATATTTATTTTTATTGGTAAAAATATGCAAAAATATATCATACAATGTACTTTACCGCGGAGACCGTTTATTTTCTTATATAAACAAACTTCGGGCCAGTGAGATAATTGGTTACCAATAATACAGTTCAAAATTCTGGACAAAATAATATTCAATCGACGACACCGTAATAAGAGTTTTGTATATTAGAACGTTGACTTGAGTACCAGACTGTATTAAATTTCCCTAAAATGTTTTCTTAGCACCAAACTAAATTAGCGGAACCTAAGCACCGCACTGTCGTGTTGGGGGTTCAACCTATCGGGATTTAGTGACTAAGCTTGAGGATGAAAAAATTGAGTCTAAAAACATTGTAATTCAATAAATCGGGAATTACAATGGAGTCCGTCTGCAGTGGTTAAAAAGAAACTGCTCTTCTGATTTTTGATGTTGTTTCTCTGCTATATAAACTAGTTTGGCGAATTAAGTTGTTTTACTTGGTTCTCTTTGAAAATTTTTACGAATTGAGTATAAGCTAGCACTTTATTAAGTATACGATCTTTTTTTAATTTTTTAAGTAGAATAAAAAAATCTCTAGTAACTGGTAAATCTGAAAAATAAGTTAAAGGTTTCCTTCAAAAATACTTTCCAAATTAGTATCCCAAATACTTTCGATGTTTAAGGATATTTAAAACTGTTTAAGATAAAAGTGTCATTTTATCAATGACCTACTTTCAAATGCATTCTAAAATACAGTCAAGAAACCCAAGTCTTTCTAAACTCTTAACATCAAATGGTGAGTATGTAGAATGAATACAATACAAGAACATTTCCGAGATTAGTTTTACAGAATCAGTACTTCTTTAAAAATTCCTTAAAAATTACCTTGTCCGAAATTTACGGGTGTTTGTGGTTGTCTTGTCACTGCTCTTCCTTCTGGCCTCGCTCTTGCACTAGGTAACTGTGGTCTATAGTTGGGAATCGGTGTTCTGGAATTGCTAGGAATTGGCGCTCTTGCGCTGCTGGGTAGAGCTGCTCTTGTTCCACTTTGAAAAGTTCTTCTGTCGGGAGGACCTTTATTTTCTGTTCCTCTGCTCTCTGTACCTCTGCTATTTCCGCCCTGAAAAGTACGATTAAGGGATAGTAAAATTGCAATTAAATAAACATAAACTTGAAAAAAGTCAATGTCGAGGACTGGTGAAATTTTATATTACCAACAGGCCTAAGCAGTACAAAATATTTTGTTTGATCTTACGAGAGCTTGTACTATGAAGCCATTGTTCGTTAGTTTAGGCGTTAAGGCAATTTTTTTTACAAAATATTCGCAATTTGATCTTTAAACCAATATTAGAGACAATCGTAGCCTTCGTAATATCCATGAAGACATGTAAACATGATTGGTATTGTGATTTAAATGTTCAGGGTGACTATTTAAAAAATTTCGCCTACATGAGAATAGAAGTGTTGGCAGAGTTTCAGTCAACATGAGAATCTTACAATGAAAGGGCGTTCCATGTGGATACTTTTATTATTGGTTGTTAGAGCGATAGAATTTAAATAGACTTAAAATTTCGCTTAAAATTCCTTTAAGTTAAACGATAAAATTTTAGGGAAAGTTTTTGTGCTCAAAAGATAGCCTTCATACTTTCGATATAAAATAAACTAGTCTCTTAGTCCTAAGGATTACTTACAAATTTTAACATATTCCAATCGAATACATAATCATAAGTGAATCCCTGTCTGTGGAAAAGATTTCGAAATAATTGACGTAAATAGCTGTAATCTGGCTTGTCATCGAATCGTAATGACCTGTAATCGAATATAAATTTGAAATATCTTATTACGGAAAACTCCAGCTTTACGACAAATTGTACCTGCAAAAATTTAAATAGGTTGCAAATTCTCCTGGGAAGCTTTTACACAACTCCTCCACAGGTGTTGACATTTTCTTTTCTGAAATTCTTTCATATTTTTGTCTCTTTGTAGCTGCCTTTAAACCTTGCCAGGGAAGAGATCCCCTCAAAAAATACATAAAAACATATCCCAACGATTCCATATCATCCCGCCGACTTTGTTCAATACCCAAATGTGTGTTGATGCTGGCATATCGAGCAGTACCCGTGAGATTTTTGTTTTCTCTATAAGCGATATGCTGGTGCGTTCGGGCATCTCTATACTTTTTTGCCAGACCAAAATCGATAATATACACAAGGTTACCCTTTTTTCCAAGACCCATCAGAAAATTGTCAGGCTTAACGTCACGATGGATGAAATTTTTCGAGTGGATATATTCTATTCTACTTATCTGTTGAGAGGTATTAGTATTTAGTAAAATAAAATATGATGGATCTGTCATTTTTCAAATGAAAAAATATTTTTGGAATAAAGATATAAATTATTTGCTTTCAATTTTGTGAACAAAATTTAAAAATGTAACTTGTATGAATGCTTTAAACTAATCATGATAATCTATTTGTGTCAGCTGTTTTGGTTTTTTTCGGGGAAAATTTTCCCACTAAAATAGCACTAATTACCAATTGGTCCGCCAGTAAAAGTACTGTTTTCAGGCTAAATTTTCTTGTGCAGAAATTAAAAAGATCTTCTAAACTAGGTCCCAGTAGCTCCATAACCATGACGTTGTAGTCTCCTTCGGCTCCGCACCATTTAATGGTGGGAATTCCAACTGAGGGAATAATAAAATCAATTAAAATTCACTTTAGAAAACAAATTTTTTGCCGAAAGAGTCAATAATATTTGCTCTTTTCGACCTTTCAAGCTTTCTGCTATTTACACAACTTAAAACAAAGAGGCTATCATATTGTTAACTCAGTAATACGATCACATTTAGGAACAAACGATAATACAAATTGTGTGTAGAGAAATCTAATTTTAAGAAGTCTTCTTGTTTATTCAAAGAGAGCTAGCTAACAGAGTAACGATAAAAGTAAAACTTTGCTAACGGGGGAAATGCTTTCCACCGACTTTTCTGAATCATCACGCTGGAAGCGTAACATAATTCACTTAATACTGAACTAAAGGGAATAGCATAAAAAATTATTAACAGATACTGTTTTCTTTATGTTATGTTTGTAGGTGTGAAAACTCTGATAAAAGCTGTTCTAGAGAAGACTGCGGAAATTATAAATTCTAAAAAAGGTTGTATGAAATAAACAATGAAGAATTTTTGTTTGACCAAAATGTCAAGCTAGGTTTAACACTTAAGCTGCTTAAAGTTTAAAATAGCTGAAAAAATATATCTTAAACTATTAATTGGGATTGATTTTAAGGTTTAATAGTATATTACAGTGACTCACAATGACTTCAAGAGAAACTAATGAATACATTTAACATTTTTACTCACCGCCTCCTTGCATCATTTTATATATTTTGCTTTCGATGTGTAATTGTGGATGCTTTGTTTTCACACATTCTAGTTTAATAGCGACTTCCTCGGCATTGGTTATGTCAGTGCCTATGAAAAAATTGCCTTATATAAGAAAAGAATGTATGTAAACAAAAATATACCTAGATATATGTCTCCGAACGATCCGCTTCCAATTTTTCTGCCCAGACGATACTTATTACCTACTCGCAATTCCATTTTTTTGTAATAAACGCCCTACAACATTTAGAAAGCGAATAAATCATAAAATAACATTAAAAATTTTTAGAGGATAGAAACAAAAAAATATACCCTATCTTACCGGGCTAAAAGAATAAAATCGAAAATGTTCTGTAGATTATAGATTTTTCTTTAATTTTCTTTAGGCGATCCACTTTTACCTAATGATTTAACAGTGATATTCAAAGATATTTCTTGCTGGATCTCTCTTGTCTCTGATCGTTCTTTTTTGACACTGACGCATGCGCAATCAAAGCTATTGCCATAGATATGCAAAACGTCACTTCCGCCCGCGAATTTCGTTTTAAGGTTTTTTTATAGAGCAATTTCGCTCTATAATGTTCTCAGAAATTTCTTAATCAATAAATGTATAGAATTGGGGATAAAATCAAAAAAGTATTTGATATTTCTATCTAAAATTAATAAAGGCTTTACAAGGGGTTGTCTTCGTAAATAATAAAAAAAAGAAAAACAACGAAAAACTCTTACGTCAATCAAGATAATAAAGCTTAAAAATAGTTTGTGAAAGAAAAAAGAATGATGTACCTAGTTTAATGAACAAAAAATCTTTTATTTTACAAGGTAAGTAAATTAAAAAAAAATTAAGAAAAAAACAGGGTTGATGACAAGAACGAAGTCCATTTTTAGCGCGTCTAAGAGATTCACTTTCTGATTTTTGGATAGAAAGGCCATTTAAGAATACTTAATTATTACATGAAATATGCTACAAGCGACTCTATTTCAGTGTTAAATAAATGTAACTATTTGCGTTATACACATGGAATTTTTAATTAGTGATTATAATAATTACAGTGTCATTAAATATTCTATGTTATTATATACATACACGTTTCATATGTACTGATATGCTTGTTATACATGCAGAGTATATGTTTTATATATGCATGTTTCTTGTATATACCACCATATTTCACATATACACAGTATCTATAATTAACTAATTTAATTCATTACCTGAACTAAAACACATCAGGGTTATAGGTTTACAACGCTAATTGAACGCAATTACTCTCTTAGTTTGCTTATATCCTTTATTTATCAGTCAATAGATAACGTAGATGTATTCAGTGAGTTTATATATTAAAGGTTTGAATAGATTCTTTTGTTTACTTTGGTACTTGGGAATTTCAAGTATCTCCTAGCATTTTCGTATACGACACTTATTCTCATATTATATATTTTAGATATTGTATGCTATAAATAATGCCCAACTGTTTTATAAACTTTATCAAAAATGGCTTTGGACATAATATATATATTGTTTTATTATTCTTGTTTTATATTCTACATTGATATATTTATAAAAATTTGTTAAATTTAACTTACCAGTTTCCGTATCTAGGAGCGAAATTCAAATAAAAATGTAGAAAATTTCCCCTCCCTCTTTACTCCATGACGAGCTCGTCAAGAATGGTCAATAGACGTAGATCACAATGTTGAATGATACGTATGCAATTATATAAAAAAGGATTAATCGAAAGGAAAAAAATTAATCGATAATCCTGTTCATGTTTCTAAGGAAAATAATATTTAATGACATTTAAGGGATATTGAACAATCCTACAATCCTACAAACCTACACAAAAGAAGACATTTCTATATCTCACAGTTAAATGATATTTAGGTATTAAAACAGATGAATGAACGTGAGCCCCAGTGGCGCAATCGGTTAGCGCGCCGTACTTATAAGATCAGTACAGGCCATGCGGAGGTTGTGAGTTCGATCCTCACCTGGGGCAACTAATTTTTATTAAATTTTTATAAATCTCTTTCTTTCCAGCAATTGATTTTGTCTCGCTAAAATTATTTTTAACACTTTTTATTTGATAAAATGAATTCTTTTCGTATTTAATGGAATACTAACGACAATTTTTTTTAAAAGGGAGATAAAGAATATTTTGTATTATGAAGATAGATATGAAATTTCAAAAGTAATAATATTAACACCATTCCTATATTATATAATTCACTTTTCGTACTTTTCATACTAGATTGGAAAGAATAAAGAACATTTTTTATATAATAAATTAACTTGTATACGCATAGAGAGAGAGAGTTGTATTGCGGAAAAAATTTGCTTTTTGATACTCTACAGATGGCTCTACCGTTAATTGACTCCATCTGTGTATTTGAGAATAAATAAATATTTGGGATTTATTTCTCTAAAAGTAGAAAACTATTATGCAATAAGTATAAATACACACACAGACACACACGCGGGCATATGTATATTAACATTTTGAATATTCAAAAGAGTATTAGTAAATTCAGTAATCTAATATTGAAAAGAAAGTTTACTACTCATTATATAATTTTTACTTGAAATAAAGTCTTTTCAGATTTGCTTATTTTCCTTTAAACTGTGTATGAGACTAAAACAACTTCCTGTGCAATTTATCGCAAGCGAAATGAGAACAAAAGAGTGAGAGCGGACTTGTAAAATGTTTAATTATTTTTACTATTATCAAATAGTTACTTTCTTTCGAGGTTTTCTTTATTTAATTTCTCTATTATTTTTCTGGGTGGTAGAAAAAGGCCAGTAAGTTTAATCTGTAGTCTTTCAGTCCAGTGTATATTTTTGGGTTACTTAACCTAAAACCTGCTTGAACTCTGTAGTATTTTGGTTTTGTGTTACTATTTTCGATCGTCTATTCTTCTATCAGGGTAATTAATCTCTAACATCTAAATCTATCTTTTCTGATTTGATCAATACACTTAAAAAGAGGTGAATACAATCAAGAATCTATTTTATTTAACTGTCAAAAATCTTTATATAAAGTGTAATCTTAAACACATTTATCAAGAATTTTTAGTGCGGTTTTTACTTTTTGTTTGACAGTTAAGGACTGAGTAGATGTTTTGAAATATAATTCTAATTAAAAGTAATTCTTCAAGTTATGTCCTTCATTGATCATTCATAACGTACTTTAATCTTTGAACAGCTTCTTAAAGTGTTTCAAATTCCAAAAATCAAGATTCTTTTCCCCGGTTTAAGATCAATTATATTTAAGTATGTTATATGAATATTCATAAGGTTAAATACTAAAATAGACAATTGTAAGATATTAAAAGATTAGGCAGACTAACATTTATAATTATCATAAGTTATTAATAGTAAGAAATCCTTTAAAAAGATATTTGTCAGGTCTACGATTAGTAAAAGGAAAGAATAGAGGGCAATTAGATGAAATATCGTCAACTATTTTTCAAATTATTCCAATGAACAAATATTATAAAAATATCTTCCATATTTTTAATGTCAATCCCCTTTCCCTCTAGCTCAAGTAAAGAAAATAACCAAGAAAACTATACTTGACTGTCAGATTAGTGCTTATTTTTGTCAATTACAGTATCAAATTCCATATAATTTTCTTTAAACTCTTGAGATATTTAAAGGTGTATAGTAAATGAATATACTTTGCGTAAATAAATTATAAACATAAATATATGTTGATATTATAAAATTTGTTCTCTATCCACTATTGGCTTTATACAGTTTTTAAATGCTTTTTTTTTTTACAATTACATAACCATTGAACACGTAGGAAAATATAGACATGGAACATTTAGTGCTAAAGTCTATTAAATATAAATAATCTTATTACAGTTAAAGTTATTCTATTTTAATAATTATTATTTTTTCATATAAATAAAATTTTTAAGAATATATAATGGAATGTTATTTTCGAGAAAATTTTTGCCTTTAACCGAATAAAGGCGATCGCGCCGTAGCACATACGCGAGAATTCGCGGCTTGGCTTTTTTCTAAGAAGAAATTCGGACTATGATTTCAGAAATAATAACTTTCTTTTAAGTTAATTTTTTTCCTACTATTTTTTCGTTGATTACGTAAGTTTTGTGAATTTTTTCGATTGAAATAAGAGAGATATTTTTAAAACTTGATGGCCGCTCACAAAGAACCCGCCATCTTTCATACTGGATTTTTCGCTCTCTAGATTTCTTATTTTAATATTTAGTAGAATCCTATTATTAGTGTTTTTCTTAAAGATTCCATACGATTATAATGTAAATATTATGTTTTGTAGAAAATAACAAGCTTCTTACGTTATTTGTATTACCGAATATTTTAAGAAAGTCATGCCTTCAGATTCAGAGGGAAATCACAATAATTCAAGTGATTTTATCTATCTGAGAAAGAGTAAGATTTCGAAAAGTAATCCAAATTTGTCAAAATTACAAGTAAGTATCTAAACTAAATAGCTAAAAGAATAGTACTTCGATCACTTATCAGCCTTATAATTAACAGGTCAATCAATTACAAGGAAAGACGATGGACAGTTCTGGCGATGAAGATCACGAAAATAAATTTTCTCCAAGGAAACTTAGAACAAGGGGCAATCTAAGCTCTAACTCAACTGCTCGGTAATTTGCATTCTTAATTACTAGGTATTTCTTTAATACCTATAAGTTAAACCTAAACACTTAAAATGTTTTCAAAATTAAACATTTCTTTTCCAAAATATAATACTTAGTTTCATGGTTATATAAGAAATAGCGCAAATTTCTGCAAATAAAAAATTAACTTTCTCTTTGTAGATTCTTATAAATATAAGAAAAGTTACCTTGTTAATTGTTACCTTACCAAATCTTATATCCTTTTAAAAGGATACTTTCATTGATATATTTTAAAATACTATCGTTTACTATTTTAATTAATTTTTTTAAATGATAATGAAAGCAGCATTGTAATAAAACTCAGTATTGAGTTTGTTCGATTTGTGATATATTGCTAAACTTTGTACATTATAGTTACGGTAGCGGCTCGCATTCGGATGATGGTGGTTATAGACGATCCAGTCTAAAACGGAATAAATTACTTCATTTGGATACTGGATCGGAATCGGAAAAAGACGCTGATTATTCTATTAAGAAAACTAGAACGAACAGTAAGACAATTTATTGTCTAATTTTTTTTTATTTTACTAATTGGTTTTTATCAGAATTGTCAGAATCAAAAATATTGAATTCTTGTAAGCAAGTCCGAAAGCGAAGTTCTTATGAGGAATCTCTTTACTTCCGTAGTAATATACGACATTCCTCACCGATGTACATACGTCGAAGTAGTCGAAACAAAAAGGCTGTTTACTCAACTTTAAATCAGTCATTGATTGGAGATCCAGGAATTTCAGATTATGAAACTAAGCATAAGAGAGCAAGAAGCTCAGATGAAGATAATGTGGGTTATTACTCAAAGAGTTAAAAATTTTACACAAAACCTTTATTTTGTAGATGTTTAGGGGTTACGGATTGAGGAAGAGAATAAAAAGAGATATGTATGGACTACCTGTCAATTTTAACGATGAATATGACGATGAAAATGGTGCAGCTGCTAACATAAGCTCAAGGTCATTACGATTGAAGAAAAGAGAAGAAAGAAGAAAAGAGGTAGAAATTGTAAACAATTCAAATGTAGATCAAAATGATGAAGTGGTAGAAGACAACGATAAAGAGAAAGACGATGAAGAATTAGAAGAAGACGATGATGAAGCGGGAGAAGTTAAAAAGTTGGTATATAAATTGAAAAAGTATTGATTTCAATATTTATTTATATATTTTTAGGAAAAAGTCTGAAAGAGTAGTAGAAAATATTGAAGTCGGTGGAGAGGAGGAGGAGGAGGAGGAAGAAGAAGAAGAAGAAGAAGAAGTAGAAGATGAAGAAGAAGGCGATGATAATAACAAGTCTCTAGGCGATATAAAACCACGACAATATTTCCTGAGAGAACGACGACAAACTGAAGAAATTGAATCGCATCGTAAAAGTAATATTTTAAGTAAATTATCAAATTTGTATTATAACGCTGGATTTCTCGTGTGAAAAGCTCCCAATTTACGAAGACGGAAAAATGGAATGAAGGATTCGGTATATTACAATTCCCCAGCAGTCCGAAGACATAAAAGGTCAGTTGTTAAAAATGTTATAATATTTAACGTTTCTAAAATATTTCATTATTGATTTCTCCCGTAAACCTCAGTCACCGTCAATTACGAGATAGGAAGAACATTGACTTTCGTCATTTTTTTAATCCTACGTCTACACCTTCTTCAATATCAAAGCACCACCATTCAGCGCATCATAGTTCGTCTAATACTTCTAGTGAAACAGATGATGATAGAGAGTTTGAAAGAAGGAAAGCAAAAAGTATGGCAAGAGCAAGAAATAGATGTTTGCCAATGAATTTCAAACAAGCAGATATCACTTCAGTCGTCATGAAATCGCGTGTAAGGATTGGCTCTTCCTTGGCAGATGTTAATCCGATGAACATAGATAAAGATGTTTCTTTCGAACAAGTTTGTTAAAATAATTAAATTCAATATAATAATACGTAATGTATATTATTAATTAACATCCTAGGTTAAAGGATTATCAAAATATATTCAACATTTGAAAGAAATGATTTTATTCCCATTGTTATATCCTGAATTCTTTGAAACTTTTGGTACTGAATCTCCTAAAGGTGTACTATTCTATGGTCCTCCTGGAACTGGAAAAACTTTAGTTGCTAGAGCCTTAGCAAATGAATGCTCAAAACCAGGAAAAAAGGTTGCCTTTTTCATGAGAAAAGGTGCCGATTGTCTCAGTAAATGGGTTGGAGAGAGTGAAAGGCAGTTACGATTATTATTTGATCAGGTATTTGTATTTAGTAGTTTTACGGGAAAATCTTATCTTTTTCCGTGATCAGGCATATCAGATGAGGCCCTCCATTATATTTTTTGATGAGATTGATGGTTTGGCTCCTGTGCGTTCTTCGAAACAAGACCAAATACACTCATCCATAGTTTCAACTCTTTTAGCATTGATGGATGGATTGGATTCACGTGGCGAGGTTAGTCTAATAAACTATTATTTATAAAAGGTTCATGCATTAACTGTCAAATTACAGATTGTTATTATTGGGGCGACTAATAGAATAGATTCCATTGACCCCGCACTTAGGCGTCCTGGTAGATTTGATCGAGAATTTCATTTTCCACTGCCAGCTTTCAAAGCTCGTAAGGACATTCTAAAGGTTCACACTTGCAAATGGGAGCCAAAAATTAGCGACTCGTTTCTCATGCAAATTGCTGCAAAAAGTCACGGCTTTAGTGGAGCCGATCTAAAGGCTGTTTGTACCGAAGCTTCTTTGAGGGCTCTTAAGAGAACCTTTCCTCAAGTTTATAACTCTCACGAAAAATTGGCATTGGATGTTAAAGGAATCAGAGTTGACGCATCTGACTTTGCTAATGCTTTAAAGTCGATTGTCCCAACAAGTGCCCGATCTGTTCAACCTGTCGGCAGAAATCTACCTGGGAGAGTGAGGGCTATTTTACAAGATTCAGTAGATCATGTTTTGAATAAGATCAGATATGTATTTCCTGAAGAAGTCACTAAGAACAAGTTGTATGATGAAAGTGATGATGAAATGGTGGTAGTTGGCACTGGTATACTGATTTTCATTTTTTTTACATATGGACTAAATAATATTTTTGCAGGAAATATTTATGAGGATGAGCCTAACTGTATTCAACACTTAGAATCTACCTTGGATCGATTAACATGTATTTACAGACCGAGAGTACTTGTCACGGGTAAAGAAGGGAGCGGTTTATACACATACATAGCTCCAGCTATTCTAAACGCTTTAGAACTGCCAGTTTATACAATAGATATACTAGCTCTGAGTCATGATAATTATAGAACCCCAGAAGACGCTTGTGGTCATATCATAAAACAAGCCAAAAGTACCTGCCCTTCTGTTGTCTATTTACCAAAAGTCAACGAATTTTGGGATTTGTTAACGGAATCAACAAAATTAACATTTCTAAATTTAATCAGGGATTTAGATCCGTCTCTTCCTGTTCTTATTTTTGCCACTAATTCTGATGACGGGGATATTATCGAGGAACTCTTTACAACGACTGAAAGTCGTATAAAATTGCCTATAATCTCTTCAGAAAAAATACGTTTATATTTCTCATCTTTGATTATGAATGAAATCCTACAGATTCCTCCCACAAAAATTAGTAAAAGCAGTTTACAGCCTCTTCCTCCAGTTCCAATAAATGAACATAAGCAGTTAACTGAAAAAGAATTGCGTATGGTTCTTAAGCAAGAAGAATCTGTTCTTCGAGAGCTGCGATTATTTTTAAGGGATGTTATAAATAAGCTATCTCGCGATCGAAAGTTTAACGTCTTTACAAAACCGGTGGACAAAGAAGAAGTACCAGACTATTATGATATTATAGAGCATCCTATGGACTTGAGCAAGATGATGTCAAAGATAGATAGAGAGGAATATAAAACTGTAAAGCAATTTTTGGAAGATATAGATTTAATATGCTTTAATGCTTTAGAGTATAATCCCCCGTTGGATGCCCAAAGTCGATCTATTAGGCATCGAGCTTGTGCTTTAAAAGATACAGCTAGAGGTATCCTAGAAGCTGATTTAGCATCAGATTTCGAGAAAATGTGCGATGATATTTACGAAGCAAGACAACAGAGGGAAAGTGAAGAAAAAAAGCAAGCACCTCATGTAATTATTAACGAAGTTGACAACGAAAAAGAAGAAAGAGATCAAGAAAGAGATCAAGAAAAGGAAAAAGAAAAGAAAAGACACTCCTCTTCTCCTCTTAATAAATCGCCAGGGCGAAGTTCGCCCCAACGTACTCATAATCTTAATAGTAATTTAGTATCATTCGATGATATACCAGAATGTATTCCTCAGCCATCTCCTGGTCATAAAATTTTTATGAAGCGAGTCAGGAAAGCTAGATCATCGAAACATGTTCTCTCGCCTTTTTGTAAACCAACTAAAATTAAGTATGTTAAAGTTTTCATTAAAACTGATGAGAATGGAATAGAAATTGCAAGATATGATAAGCATGGAAAAGAAATTGAAACTGTCAAATTAAATGATCATTGTAACGTTGAGGAAGAGGTTATGGATGGTATTGAAGATGAGAGCCTAGAGAAAGAAGAAATAATAAAAAAAGAAGAGGTTATTGAAAATTCTCGTCATGAGAATGTAATGGAAGTTTCTGAAAAGGTAATTCAAAATTCCTTAATAAATATTGTTTCTTATAAAAATTTTAGCATCTAATACTGTTGAATTTTAGGAGCAGGAGGTCGAAAAGAAATTGGATATCTGTAAGAGTGAGTTAGAAGTTATTCTTGAAGAATGCGTTCAAATATGTTCAGGGAAAAATGTTGAAGAAATAGAGTATTTATATTCCAATCTTGCCAGAGTAGCTAGACATTATGTGGATAAATGGGAAAGAAAACAGTTAATTCAGGTAATTTGATAAAACTTCTACTTTTTTTCAAATTATTAAGCATTTATCAAAAACAGGAACTGCAGTGTGTATTAGCTATGGAAAATAATAAACACAAAAATTGGTAGCATAGAAAAGAACTTAGATAGTGGCAAACGATCATTAGAAAAGTTTTATATGACTCTAGTTACGGCATTTGTGCTTTTTTTTATTTTTTTATGAATTTTTCGGATTTGTATTTTAATCTTATTTTTTCTCTTAACAAACAAGTCTTGATCTTAACGTAAAATATTTTCTTTGTGCAATTCCTCAATAAAAAGAAGTACAGCCTTTCGTTTCTAAGGTCTAAATACCAATTGATTTTATTTGGATATGAAATAATGTATTGAGATTATTCACACAATTCTCTTTAAAACAAATTTACAAAAAAATAATAATTAAGCAGTACTTTGTGTGACAAAATTTATTAACTCGTCAACTTGTAAGTTGTCATCGTCTCCAGGTGCTTCTGGAAGAGAATCTTCGAGGCCCTCAACTGGTGTCAAGTTCTTATCCAATAGAGATGCAATTGAAAATTTATTTGTTGGATTTTTACCATTTTCACCGTTTTGACTTAAATGTTCAGAAGTTTGATCTGTTGGTACTGTTTCTTCTTCTAACTCTTCCTCTGTTTCTGAAGACGAAGCTATTTTCGATAACCGTCTTTTTGGCTTTTCATCTTCATCGCTACTCTCTCTCCACGCTTCTGATTCTACAGAATCCTCTGTAGTATCGCCAGTTGGCTCTTCCTCCACTTCCTCTTCTGTTTCGCTTTCGCTTTGTAGAGAAGTCCTTTTCTTCGTTTTTTCAAATTGTTTCATTGCCATTGACTTCTCTAATTTTCGAGATGTTGCGGATGTTTTTCCTTTCTCTGGATCTTCCTCAGGCTCAAGAGAATTCAACTTTCTCTTTCGGTGTCTTTTCGGATCATAATCTTCATCAGACTCGTCCTCCTCCTCGTCCTCTTCTTCAGAACTTTCGAGAGCTCTTCTCGATCTTCCTGTCTTGCTTGATCTTTTCTTTTTATTGCTCCAAACAAACTCATCGAAATCGCTGACTTCATCGTCATCCACCACTACATTAAAAACACATTTAGAATTATTTTTATCTAACAAATACTTGTATATTTCGACATATTTTAAAGTTATTTTACCGAAATCTTCCATTTCTCTCTTTCTTCGACTTCTTGAACTTGTCCAACCAATAGAAGCACCACTTTTTCTTTTCTTTCCACCGTAATATTCATCTTCAGAATACGTTGCATCACTTTGACCAGGACTATACTCAGATCCAACACTATCTCTGCTTTAAAATTATAAGATAGGTACTCAGTTACAAAAATGATATCCTATATAATATATTATTTATTTGTATATTAAATACAAACTCTGAGGCTTTGTAATCGTCAGATTCATCGTCTTCTCCTCCACCTCCTTCATCTGAATCTAATGCTGTCAATTTCCTCCTTGATTTCTTTTTCTTATACATTTGTCTGGCTGCCATAACACCCATTGGTTTACCATCGTTATCGTCAGCAGCCGCAGCCGCTTCTATATTAGCAATATCTTTTCCTCGTCCATAATTACCAGCACCATAAGTTTCGCGAACTTCCTCGCCTATAGCCTTAGAAATAGTTTCATCGTAATCTGTGAAAGTATAATTGACACGTTTCTTTGTGTTGCGACTTGCTCTAAGCTGTTCTCCGTCAGAATAACAAGAACTTTCTGCTGAAGAATATGACTGACTTTGTTCTTCTTCACTATATGAACTCATTCGTTTATTTCGCTGAGGGGGTTTCCGCGGATTTTGATTTTGTTCCTTTTTATAATAAATTAATAATAAATATATAGGTTTTCAGCGTATATAAAGTGTAAATAAAAACTAACTTTTATGACATTATCCAACGAAATATTTACATAGGCCAGCCTTTGCTTTCGCCTCCTGGAAGCTTCTTGTTTTTTCCACTCTACTTCTAATATTTGTAATTGACTTTTTAATTTTTCTATTAATTTAGCCTGTAGATAATTAATTATATTAATAATTTAAAAATATAGAAAAAACACTTACATGTTCACAAACAGGACAATGCCAATCGCCATCAGGTATTTTCATTAACGGTGGCCTTAAGCACATGGCATGATATCCCAGATCGCAAGTGTCACACAATAGAATCTAAATAAAAACAAATGTAGAGTAAAAATTAAACAGTAATAAAAGCAAGGTGTTCTTACCCATTCAGGTTGATCGTACTTCTTACAAACTTGACATGGTGTATCGTCATTTATTACCTGTTTTTCTGAGAAAAATCACAGGCAATTTATCCAAAGTTCTTAAAATATAAAATTAGGTACCTTTAATGGCCTTTGATCGTTTGGCATTTCTTCCGGTTGGAATATACTCTTCATCACCTTCCGCTATATCTTCATCGCATTCATCTGCTGAAGAATCAGTACTAAATAGAGACACTTCTTCTTCATTCTCTCGGAAAAGTTCGTCTTCAGAACTATGAGTTGTTAATCTTTTCTTAGTTTTTTTCTTCTTTTTCTTTTTCTTTGAACCATCTTTTTTCCAAGGTTTGAAATCATCATCAGATTCATCATAATCTTCTTTCTTATTTTCTCCATTCTCTTTACTTTCTTCTGATTTTTTCTTTTTCTTTTTTCTCTCTTTACCTGATTTACTACTATTTGCGCCATTTTCTGAATCTGAAGATGGAAATTCCCTCATTTCTTCTTCTAATTCCAGAAGTTTTAATTTTCTCTTTGTCGGAGGAGCTTCGATTACATAAAGTTCTTTAGGTTTTTGCCCCTTAGTCGATCTAGATGATCGGCGAAGCGGCGTATCACGATCTTCGTCAAATTTCTTTTTCGTTTTCGATCCTAAGATTAATTAAATAAATTTATCAGAAAAAGATACAAAATTATTATGCAAATTACTTACCTGGTTTTCGGCCTGGTTTTTTGACTTTAGGAGCATCTTCTTTGACATCGTCTAGTGTATCATTTTGTTCTTCTGGTATTTCCTCTTTTTCTTCATCGTTGCTCTTTTCTTTATCCTGAGGTGCTTTTTCTTCATCTTCATCAGTTGAAGGCTCTGGTGATTGCCCTGCTCGCTTTCTTGGATGTTTCGGACATACTTTAACTCTTGGTTTTTGCTTTTTATTTGGTGGAGCTTCTGGATTACTTTCATTAGATGACGAATCTGAAACTTCTGAATTTACATTTTCTTCTCCTTCTAGCGACGCTCGCTTTCTTTTTCGATTTTCGGGAAGCACTTCAGGACTATCTTGGTTAGAAGGCGGTATTGCATTTGATGCTGGACTTTCTTCTTGTTGACTTTTTGGGGGTTCGGGCTTTTCGATATTTTCATCCTTGGTTTCGAGGACATTAGCTTGAGCGGCTGTAGTATTATCCGTTGGCGATTCAGATTGTTCTTCCTTTTGCTCCTTTTCAGTTTTTATTGCATCTTGAACAGTTTTTTCGACATTGGTATCGTTTGTGGTTTCAAGGTTTTCTTTGTTCATTTGATCTTTCACCTCAATATCAGGTTCGCTAGCAACTTCAAGTTTTGGCTCTACTTTAATTTTTATTTCAGTTTCTATCGGAGATTCTTCTTTAACGCTTTCCTGTTTAACTTCCCCAGTGACCTCTTTAACTTCATCTTTCTTCTCACTTTCAACTTTTTCATTAATAGCATTTTCAGTTTCTTGAGACATTGAAGGTTCAATTTCTTCTTTCGTAACTTTAACAGATTCTTTACTCTCATCCACTTCAACCGTTTCTGATTTAGGAATAGGAGTAGTTGATTTAATTTCTTGTTCTGTTATAAAATGAAGGATAGAGCTTTATTAGTTGCGTTCCAATATAATTATGCTATATAATTAAATTTTAGTAAGGTAATAAAACGAAATATGTTAAAAATTGAATTAAAAAATATTATAAAATCTAAATAATATTTATGAGATATCAAAACCTTTACAATAACCCAAAATAACGTTCCTTTAACTATACTAAACATAATGTAATTCAATTTATTTTATTAATTCTCTTAAAATTACATATTTAGTTTGATTTTGTTGTTTGCCATAAAGCAAACAATGAAAAGAAAGGATAAAAAAAATACAAACTTTTTTCATTTAATAATTTACCTGATGAGAGAATACTAGCTGGAGTAGCTGATCTACTATTCTCTTGCGAATTATTTGTTGGAATATCACCAACTTCGAGTTTTGTTATTAATTCGCTTAAGTCATCCTTGTTCCTTACTAAAACAGTCCAAGTAGAATTATCTGTATCGTCCACTTCTTCGCAATAGACTCGGACGTTGCATTCATCATCGACAAGATACCAATATTGATATCCTCTTTTATCTCTTCCTATTGGTATTTGTCGAAGTTCTGTTGGTTTTTTCTCGTTGATTTTTTCCTTAAACTTTGCATGGCAATCAAATTGCGCTTCCATCAATGTTTTAACTGCTCTTAACTTAGTGTCTAATTTGCATTCTTGAAATACGTATTCCGTAAATTCCCATGCATCCGCATCGGAATACGACGATGCAAACTGTCGGTTTTAAATAATGATTAAATAGCAGTAAAGGCGGATGAAACTTCAAAATAATTACCTTGACCAAAGACCGCTGCCATTTATCAACTTTAACTGATTTTTTGGCTCTTCTTAGTAATTTGAGTATTAGATCCAATAGTTTATCAGAAACTAGAAATATAAAAACATATATTTTTTGAATTAAACTCTGATAAATAATTGTATTAATGAGACTTTGTTTATAAACAAATGGCACGAAATAAGGTTAAGCGTCAAAAATATCTAAATAATTAAGAAAATACATACGTTTTGATGTGTTTTTTATATCATTTTGTAGGTCTTGATAAGGGTAATCGGGAAGACCTAATAAATCCTTAAAGTTATCGAGAAAATTACAAATAACAGCAAAATTGGGGTCTTTGTCGCAGGCAACGCTTACATCATCCGCCATTTTGAATGCAGTTAATGTGGTGTAAATTTGCAAGAAATATAATCGCTTTCATTCTCTTATGTAGAAATGTTATAATTACTAAAAAGAATAAAAAGCGCTCAAAAATAATTTTATTTTAATTATTATAGTTGAAAAAGAATATTTGCGGAGTGAACAGACTGATCTAATTTGGACACCGTTCTGAATCGGAAGTAGTTTACGGGGATTGGTACCATGCCAAACAATGAAGTTAATTCACGTGCTTGCCAACACTTCCGGCACGTGAGAATTCAAGGTTACTTTTGTATTAACAAGATCTCCATCCTCAAAATAGAGCTAGTCATATTCCTCTACACTTATTCTCGTCAAATCTTTAACTTTGAGACTTACTTTACTATAATGGCACCTCTAGCTATGGCTCAAATTGCTGAGAATCTCGCTACTAACCAGGTACTGTACTATTTATCTATATAATTAGAAATTACAGAGTTAAATAGAAATTATTAAAGTAAATTGTAAAATTCGACAATTTTTTAGAATTCATACCGAAGGGTGGGTGAACAAATAGAAAGATCAGCACTTCACGCCGTCTCATCCGGTGTTATAAGTAAGAAATTCTCTTAGTTACCGTCTTGTTATTTTTTTAATTAAGCATTTGGAAATTACAATCCCTCATTGATAAAAAATTTTTCTTTATTAAAAACAAACAGGTAGCTCGGGAACGTTAGCAGTATGTGCTTCAATATGTCGAGTATTACCAAGAGCAGCAATAGTCTCAGTACCAATTGGAGTTGGCGTTGCTACGTCATTAACTGTTTACAATAAATTGGTAAAAGCAGCACTTTCCACTGTGAAGACACGAAAGTGATAAGAAAATATAGAAGTGAAAAAGTGGAGAATATTTTTACAGAACACAAAAAATAAACTGCTTCGTTCTATTGTTGTTTTTATCAAATAATTCAACACAAAGAAGAAAATCTTACATTTCCTTCCTCAAATTCTTTTCCAGAGTATTCTTATATCTAACAAGATGACTTCAGAGAGTATAAATAAATATATAAATATGTTATTTATATTTGTTTGTGTCTTTTTCGGGCATACAAAACTTGATTTTATAGATGCATATATGCAAAATAGATAAATAAAAAGGAGGACAAAAGTGAAAATACTGAGTTTTTAAAAGCATTATTATTATTATTATTATTATTGTTATAAATAGGAATAGAAATGTTTATTTATTTTTTTAATGTCCTTAAAGTCGTTCAAAAAGTAACTTTAATTTCTTATATACAAAAGTTATTAAAGAATTATTAACATTTAGAAAGTTAAAATTTAATTTGTTTTTTTAAAAAAACAAATTATAAATCCTTTCCACGAAATATCATTTCATAACTTTCTTATCTATTAAGTTTATCATTTGAGAGTGTTTAAATATTAATAAATTACGCATAGTGAATAATCTATGACGAAATAATACGATTATATAGATTTTTTACCAGTGTTTTAGTTGAAAAAGCTTTAACATACTTTATAGGTGATAAGTCTATATGTTATAAACTTATAACTACGTCAAAAGAATAGAGGTAATGCTAGGAAGAGAAAAGAACCGTTATGAATACTTGACTCTAGTTAACATAGATTATCATCTATGAGTTAACCTTGAATTTTACGAAAATTTCCATCATCAACGCTTTAAAAAAAAAACAAGAAAAAAAAAAGTTAAAATTCTCAAGGTGACCTTCAATATTATTAATTAGCACTTTTGTTTAGGCAATCATTATTCGATAATTTGATTTATTTATTTAAAAATATAGGGCTAATTAACTATTAGAGTCTTTATTAAATATAAATTGATTTTTAAAGAAAATAATCTATCTTCTCTGACAAACAAAAAATTCTTGCACGTAGGCGAAAAAGGGGAAGAAAGCGAAAAAGGTAGGCTCTTTTTTATGGATTAGGCAACGATAAGTAAAAAAAATATTGTTCAAATATTAAAGAACCGAATGAAAACAATGTAGAAAAGAAATTTGAATTAGTTTCTCTATTTGCAATTTATTTTTACTTTGTCAGACATTAGTCGTGCTCTAGTTTCTCGAGAAAGAAAAGTCTATTTTCACAGGTCTACCTTTGTAAATAAACTTGGGCCTAGAGAGAAGGTGACCCGCTTCCAATAATAATAATAATAAAACTAATATTAATTATTATTATTATCAATATTTTTATCTTTTACAGTCATATTTATTGATTTTCAAAGCATAGAATGACCAGAGGATATTGATTTAAAGAACACTGGAAATGAATGTCTACTAATTCGATGGTCAGATTCAGATGTAGTGCAAAATCCTTTACTCATTGATGATAGACTTTGAATCGAGTTAATAAAAGTTTCTTGATCAAGAGACGGTTTGGAATAGATATTTGGATTTTTGTAAACATCAATAAATTCTATCTTCGTGTCTTGTTTGCTTTGTTCTACTCTTCTACTACTGTTGCTGTCGTAAGAGATTTCCTCCAATTTCATAGTCCTATTTGCAATGTTATAAAATAATAAAACTGTTATTATCGTTGAATTGAACTGAAGGATAATAATCCACCAAAAAAGTTCCTTTCCAACTGATTTAAAATGTTCTATTCTCAATTTCGTAGCATTAAAGCAAGTTTCTGTACGGATATTTTCAATTTTTCCGCTATTGTATTGATCTATACAATCATTGTGAGTTACATTTCCATAACAACAACTATACGGAATGGGAAATCCTATTTATAGGCAAAATGTTAAACGATTTTTTTTTTATAAAAAAAAAAAGATTTTAAGCTTTCCTGTAAAATTGTGATAGAAACTATGAAAATAATCATTAATTGACATAATTCCACAACAGTTATATGCTTTTTGCCCTTCGTCTAGATAATCTGAAAACTTTTTCCATTTCTCTTCAGAGCTATTGCGATAGTTTGTCTTAATAAACGATGCTAAGCTCGAAGCTTGTTTTTGATAGTTTGTCGTTGCGCTAAGAATTAACAAACCCAATGCTTGCATAAATATAAGTAATATCATACATACAATATAAATTACTACTAGATTCTTTTTTAAAGATAATCCACTAATAATACCAAGAAAACCAATTAAACACATTGAAATCCCTGTCATCATAACAAAAGTTGGGATAATGATTAATAAACTGTCTGATAAATTTAACAAATCGTATAATCTGACAAACTGATCAGTTATAAAAGTTTGTTTTTGTGTTTGTCTCATAGTATGGGTAATAGCAATACCAATAATAAAAATTGTCAAACTAAATATAAATGTAGTCGACTTTGCAATCAGAATTAATCTATTTATTGAAACAGACATAATTCTCTCTATTTAAATCATTTCATTTGAATATTTAATGACTCTAATTCTTTTATTTTGTTCTCCTTTATTTTACAGCGTCATCTAGCGGTTTACAGCTGGTGTTACTTTTTGTACACTTCCAATCTCTAACCTCCAGCCTCTATTCTTAATACTTTTGTAGTCAGTCAGTCTTTCTTTCAATGACAAGTTTGTGTTTTTATAAGGAGGGAATCAAATAGAAAATTTCCTCTATTAAATTACTCAAGTATATTTTCCTCCCTTTGACATAACAAGAATTTGGCTTTTGTACCAATTTCTATTTTATCACGTGCCTTCCTCTATTGTTTACGTCTATAATCATTCGTAACCCACGTGATAATGAAAGTACAACAGCCAAATTTTTTAAAGAGATCTCTAGTAGACAATAGTACAATGTTCACCAAGAATTTTGCGTTATTTATAAAGTTGGTGAAAAAATAGAAATGTTGTTGTTATTTTTTTTTAAGTATATAGCCCTATCGTTGTAACGTTATGTTTGTTTGTTAATGAACTACAGGTTAATTTATATTCTACAGTAAATTATGTTCTTTTCATTAGGGAAAAGTGCTTATTTTTCAGAATAACAAGAGACGAAAGAGAAAATAAAGAAAACCTTGAAGAAATAGGAAGAGAGTAATTAATCGTGATTGTTAATTAAAAAGGCTTTTGCAGCTGCTAATTAACTTATCAATTCTTGGACACTTCTTAGAGGAAACTGTAAAAAAGAGTCAATCTGAATTGAGAAGATGATAGTGAAGCCTAAAAGTCTAAAAATATACATTATATATGGAATATTTTCTATATTTAAAGAAGGATGCATCACTAGATGATGAATTGGAAAAAATCGAAAATAATAGAATATTCTTGATTCTATCTAAAGATAGACTTATACAAGTATATATACTGTATATATGCTGTATATATATATATATATATATATATACTTTATAGTCTGCTGTATACTACGAAATGAATATTTTCTTTATATTTACTTCGAATTTAGTGAGCTTTATCAAAAATGAAACGAAAATATCAAATTTCTTATCTTTTCCATTACTATGTTAGAAATGTAGTAAGTTTAGCCTACGTAAGGGAAGTAAACGCAGTGGAAACCTTATTCCCTTTTTATATACTTGAATATAAACAATATATATATTACAGTGCAGGTGTAGACTCTAATATGTTTTTTATAGCATAGGCGGCTGGATCTTATCGTCTTTTAAGAGATTAAGTGATTATCTGTGTATAAACTGCAAAAAGGTATTTACACATTTCCTTTTAACTTATAAGAAATTACGAAAGTGAAATAAATAGAATAAACGAAAGAGTCACGTAACAAACTAATAAATTGATTAGGTTTGTAGGAAAACAAAATATTAGATTATTATTAAATTGATTCAAACATTAATTAAATTGATGTTAAAAAGTAAAATTTTCTTTAGTTTTCATTTAAATTAATTATAGAGTATTATTAGAAAAGGAGAGAGGGAAAAGAACACGAAAGAGAAAGAGAGAGAGAGAGAATTCCTGTATTAAAACCAATTAATATAAATTTTTAACTATTTACAAATAGACTAAGCTTAGAAAGACTAATACCATACATTTTAAATTAGATAGAGTTTAGAAGAAAAAAATAGCTGCTCAATTAAGAAATTTGAAAACTATTTAGGAAGTATACAAGCACTGGTATTTTCTGAAAAGTAAATCTAATATAATAGTATCAAAGAAGACGTTCAGTTTCGATAAAATTCCACTCTTTCATCTCTACATTAGTGAAAACGGAAAAAAATTGTACGTCTAGGAAACTTAAGCTATTTGAAATCGAAGAGCAAAGTATTTCACTCCCATTTTTAACTGTCAATCCTTGATCTTCCCTTATCCCTCTATCCTTTTTAAACATATAAAGCTCTTTAAGGAACCTCTCGGTAGATTAAAAAAAAATATCGAAATGATTGCGCATTTGTATCTTTTTATGGAGTTGAGAGGATAGCACCGAAAGGAGTGGGTGGAGGATACTTTGAGAGGGATAAAAAAGAAATAGTTCGATAAACTCTATAAAAGGAAAAAAGTAGGTATATATACAAAGAACGTTTTTCTGCGTAATTAAAGAAATAAACCTGGTAGAATTCTATTCAATATCTACTTTCGTAGGTCATTTGATAAAGTACAGTGTTTTTTCAAGTAGAAATTTCTTTATTTTGAAGTAAAGTAACTATTACATTTCAAAGTAGAATAAGGATTTTCATCGAAAACATTCGTTTGTACAAGATTATTTAAACAAGATTTGTTTAATTTTCTTACACATTTGTTTATTATCCCAATTTTCCCTCTAGTTGGACTATCTTTGATAGAATTGCGGAGAAATGATAACGAGAATTTCATGACCGTTTCTTTACATGCTAATATTATCTGGTTAATTCATTTTTTTTATAAGTATTAAATATATATAGTCCGATAAACGTATTATGGATTTCTACTAAATTTCGATCTTTGAACTGATTCTATAACCTTTTATAAAAAGAATTTTAGCTTATTTTCATATTATAACATCAGGAATAACGAACTCAACAGTGACATCTTGCGCATCTTCCTTCTTTTAAAAACTATAATGCTATTATTGACATCTATCGGTAGATTGATCGTAATTAGTAGTATTCATGAAAAGATTTTTTCATAGTAAAAAAAATCTAATGTTTATAGAATGTATTGACAATTGTTGGCGTTGGAAATTAGACGCTAATGAAGCACGAATAACATGAAACGTCTCGTTACTTCCTTAATATTTGATCTGCAACTGTTAATCAATTAGACGCCTGGTTGTTGACTCGATGTTTATAAATATTTTTTTTTCGCCAGTTTCAATAACATTCTTAAAGGATTAGAGTCACCGAAAGCATTTGTATTAACAATTTAGACGCTTACTATATATGAAAAAGGAATCGCGTTATCCCTACCAGCTTTAAAAATACTTTATCAAATTCAGTAATAGGAGGAGGGATTTTTTCTTGCTAAAGGAAAACATACGTTTTTTTGTTCTCTATAAAAGGAATAGAAATTAGAGTGATTTAGATAAATATCAGTTAAGAAAAAAAAAAGGGTTCCAGTAATTTTAGAGCAGATCAAAGAGTGTTGGATTTTCGTTATCACAAAAGAATTATGAACTTGAGAAAGTGTAGTTTTTAAGATATATAAACTATATAGAATGCGTAGTATACAGTATATAAAGATAGAAACAGTTACAGTATAATTATCAAGGACATTTAGTTACTCTTCTTGTAAAATAATAATTATAAACAGAGTTTTATTAGTGGAAACAACGCTGTATTTGATAAATTCATTATTAATAAGATTAGTTTTTATTTTAGATGAATGGTTTTTTCTGTTTTTTTTTAAAACAAAAAAACGTCGTATACTATATAAAAAATTCAACTATTAATAGAATATTAATGATATTTACCCGCATTATAGTCAGTTATCAAATGTAATGTTACACGTCAATTGATTCTACGTTAAATACTCTTTCTCTACCCTCATCTCTCCTCCCCTCCCCTCCCCCCCTCTTTCTGTTTCTCCCCTAGGGTCTCTCCCTCTCTCTCTCATCGTTGAAATACTTTCACTGTTTGTTTTATTTCAAGGCATACTAGTAGTTAAATTTACTAGAACTTCAAAGGTCATGTGACCCAACATTTAGAAACCTCGTTTCTACACCGTCAAGATTCTAAATATTTAATGATTCTTGAAGAGGATTGAAAGATGAGAGAGAGAGAGAGAGAAAAAGAGAAAGAGAAAGAGAAAGAAAAGAAGGAGAGGTAAAGAAAGAGGGATAGAACAGAAAGCAAAAAGAGATGAGATAAATGGCCTTAAACGAAGAGAAGAGAAAGAGAAAAAGCAAAAGAGAAACTAGAGTTAATTATTCATTACAAATCATTCTTTTTCAAGTGTTTTAATCTTTTTTTTCTTTACTTAAAAGTTACTTATTAAAGAAAAAACAACAGATAAAAGATAAATTATTCAGTAATTTGCAACTTGACTCCTTTCAGGAAAAACTTCCACAGTTGGATTACAGAATACTAATTCCCAATCGGTTTATAAATTGATAATTTCCCAATACTAGGCTTTTTAGTGTATTACTTTCTAGAAACTATATTTACTTACATAATTAATTATATAAAACGATTAAAAATGAGGACAAAGAGATAGTATGATGAAATTATAATAGGGAAAAATTGGGTTATTACTCTAAGAAAGGAAGGAAGAATAGACAGAAAGAGAAGAAATTTCCTAGTCAATTCTGTTTAAAATCTACTATATAGAAAGTCATATACAATTATTCAAAAGGTTATATTATTAGTGTAGATATATTAACTCTTTTGTCATTCCTTTAGCTGCTTTTATTATATATGGCAGTAGAGCATCCTTCTATAATCTTTTAGTTAGCATTAAGTTGTCTCTGGTATGCCGAAACGCTCCGAAATATTGATTAGTTTCACCTTATCGGCGGTATCTTGTTGAACCACCCCAGTGAGTTTACGATCTATCAAAAATTTCATTCTCTGTGTGCTGGAAATATTGGATATTCTATATATAGATATATAAAGAAAGGAAATACTATAAATACACATAGTAAAAACTGTTCTGTATATATATATATATATTTCTAGAAAGTATACTGAGATCTTGTTCGTGACAAACGTTTGAAACTACTCTTTAATTAAATTTTTTGAGGAAGACTTCTTATTCTTGTCTTCTGAATGGAAAGGATCTTCAACTAACAATCCTATATATATATATATAAATTTATATATATATATATATCTTGATACTTTCTATGCTTTAAGATTTATGAATGGTATATTATCCATACAGTACAAAACGGTTTTATCAAATTTACTACTACATCAATTGAAAGGTCACAAGTCGTAAGCTTGATATATTTCGTCTATCAGTATCTAGTCGAATTCTCACTCGTGAACGTTGACGCTCGCTAAACGTCTCCTGAGAGTGACGTCCCCTATTAATCAATTGTAGTCGTATCACGTGACTGGGATCGAACACGATTTAACCGCCAACAAACAGTCCGAAAGACATGATTCGAATTTTAGATCTATTTAATATTCATAAGACCCTCCTCAGTCCTACTAATCTAACCTAATTAAGCTTTCAACATTTTTTCTCGGGCAGTGAGGCGCTATTGCTGTCTATTGCAGTAGAAATATCCAGTCTATCGTTTTTTTGCAGTAGCGCGACGGTCGTCGTTGGGATAGCATTACTTTGCAGTTTTTCTCCGACATCCTTTGCGAAAGGTTCGTATTTTGAACATAGTTTTATTTTTTGCTTTTTTGTCGTAGGAAACTTAATTAAAAGTTTTAAAAGGAAAATAAATTTGAAAAGCTACTGCAAAATGGGAAAACTCTCATTCTTTTTTTTTTTAGCTTAATATTTTCTTTTTCTCATTCGCTGTAATATTTACATAAGACTGACAACTTATTACAAATAGAACGTTTTTTCGGTTGGTTTTCAATAGATTTTATAAAGCCTGTATATTCCTCGATTTGCCCTTTTCCCAGGTTTTGTATATATTTGTTATCTCGTTAATTTGTTACAATTTGTTTATTCCTTGCAAGCCCGCTCTAATTCGCTTAGTTCATAGGCCTAGTCGTCCAAAACTACCACTTTCCCTAATTATTTTTCAATTTCTTCTACATTTTTTTCCACTTAATCGATCAATATAAACTATAATTTGTCAAGATTTTCGTACAATTAACAATATAAGCTAACGTACGATGAAGGGTAATCTGTATACTAAGGGAAAAAAAGAGGGAGGAGAAGTAGGAGTTGAAAGTATGTGTAAGAGAGAAAGAGAAATAGGGGAAGAAAGACGTAAGTTTATAGAGAGAGAGAGAGAGAGAGAGAGAGAGAGAGAGACGGCAGATAGTGAACAAGAGGGGGAAAAGCGGAGAGAAGGGGTAAGATAAGAGATAAATTAATAGATGTATATAGTATGTCTTGTATATATATATATATTAGTGTTAAAAAAAGAGAAATGTATTTAACAATTGACTGAGTTTATTGCATAATAAATTATATTTATATTTATTATGTATGATAATCAATAATGTGAAAATTCATAAATTTATATATATATATATATTCTTTCCACTCTTGTATAGTTTCTTTAATCCTTTATTTATTTGTATTGCTGTTTCTTTCACTTTTCTTCTCTATCCTTTTTTAGTTCTCTCTCTCTCTACGTATAGTATTTTTAATCGAAAGTTTTGATGAGATGTACTTTGCGCTAGCCTGTCTTAATTATTTCTTTCATCTCATCAAACTGATAATGAAAAGAAGAAAAGAAATAGGCCTTAACGGTTCCTTGGTTGGAGAGCTCCGCTCCCTTTTCCCTTATCTTGTACTGATATCTTTTGGCGCCAATTCGTATTTGAATTGTTAGAAGCTGTAGATTGATGCGGTGCGTTACTGCAATAAATAAACGTTATTTATTACCGTAAAACTAGGTCTAATTTACTGAAAAAAATCTGTGTACAAAAGTTAAATAATATAAAAAAGTGAATAATCTTTGATCGATCGTTTTTATGGACACGCCTTGAGTATTCAACAGCGATAGAATAACCCAACAATATGAATAATCCCTACATCAATCATAGCTAATACGTAAATCATAAAATTGTAAGAATTAAATAAGATGATAGTAAAAGATATATTGCAATCTTTATAGATAAAAGCTTAAAAATACTCTTATTCTTGTCTTTGTTATGGGGAAAAACTGAAAATCAAACAGAGAAAGAGAGTGAGAGAAGAGGGAAGGGGAAGGGGCAGTGAGAAGGAGGATAGAGAGAGAGGGGGGACGATGAGAGATAGGAAGATAGAGTGAGCAGCAAAGATTGAATGTAAAAAGGAGAAGAGAGAGAGGGGAATGAAGGTGAAGAATGATAGGAAAAGAATGGATAAGAATAGAAAGTAGGGGGTGGGAAACAAAAATTTTTACTCTTCGCATTGAAACGATCAATGTAATAAAACCTTTCGTATATGAAAAATATCGAATAGCATATAAAGAAAATATAACGAATCGATAAACCAATATCAGATTATGTAATCTGTAGGAAATCGGGCAATACAGATAAAACTGCAGTAAAGCACTTGGTTCTTCTTTACAGCTGCATCGAGCAATTTAGTTGAATTTGTAGTTAGGGATATAACACTTAGCAATACTTTGCCTAAAGAATAAGAGAAATTTGGAAATTTAAAACAAATTAAATACATCTGGTCATTCCCTTTCTACGTCTATCTATATTTAGTAATTATTAAAATATACAGCAGTGATATACTTATTTAAATATAAAAGAAAATATATACATGATATATATATATAATTTATATGTATATTAAAAAAAGAACCACAGCATGTCTATTTTAATCAATAAGCCAATAAACTAAATGAATAGATTTAATATGTACATACAGTACGTATTATACACTATATAAAATATACACACACGTATATATATACTGTATGTATATATTGTATGTTCAGGCATGTATACATATAAAAAGTAGCCCATATAGAATATTGCATAGAACAAGAACGAATTTTATAGGAACCTAATCAATGGGCTAGTGAAATACCGACTGACTAAGAAAAAATTAGACAAGAATAAGTGCTTTTTTAATACTTGATTACAATGATAATAAATTGTTCTTTGGTGTATTTCAATAGGAAATCTCTTAAACTTCGAAGTATAAAATTAAGACTTCCCCCTCTCCTCCTACTTCTCTTCCTCTCTCTTTATAATAGCTGCTTTTATTACTACTTTTCACCCCCTTCTACTCCTCCTCCCCTCCCCTTCTTCTTCTTCTCCTTCTTTATTCTCCTCTCTTTAAGTAAATCTTAATCAAATGGAAAAAGTGTAAAAATAATAAAGGAAATGTAAAGAATCAATAATTGCAATTAAGAGCAATTTAAGCGATATTTGTATGTGTTAATTTTAAAATATAGACGTGGGAAATTATTCACTCTATCCCTAGTTATTAAACAGAATAAGAGAGATAGAAATAGACAGATAGAGAGAGAAAGAGAAAGAGAGAAATGCAAAAATTCTCCTCCAGGCAGAATCGTTCTAATTTGGAAGGGAATTTTTTTCTGTTATATATCTATTACATAGCCGGCAAACGCCGTAATGAGACGCCAGAGGGGCTCTTAAAGGGCGAATTTCGTCTTGTTTCTTAAAAATAAATGCTTTTTTTTTGCATCTTTCAGTAAATGAAATTTGTCGCATTTCTTCTTCTATAGCATTTTTTCTTTTATATATAATGTACATATAGATTTTCATACATTTTATATAAGTATACATGAATAAATAGGTGTTGATTGCCTGTATTTATTAGCCGTATTTATAAATTGTTACAAGCAATAAATTGGTTGCAGATAAGTAAGTATAAACTAAATAAAAGTATTATAAACAAAAATAAAAGTTTGGCTCTTCTTTACCAAAGACAATATCCAATTCTTTCACTCGCTTTCTCTTCCCCTCCCTTCTCTCTTCTGCCATGAAACCTTTGATTTTTTTCTCTTCTATTAATTATTCACAATATACTTTACTTAATTTCCAAAAAAAAAACCCCGATTCAATTGAATAAAACTTAATTTCTGATTAGTTTGAAAGTCGTTAGTAGGATTTCCTGCCCAGATAATTAGCTGTGCGAAGGAATGGAGAAAATATAGTAAAATTAATAATGCAAAAGAAGCTTTGTTTAGATAAAAAAAATACACCCCAGGGCTCGATTTGGCCAAAATCCTTCATTTTTTGTAATCTTTCATATATTCTATAGAAACAGTTAATAGGCTATACTTGGCTATCGTTCAAAAATACCAGTTTTGTTTGTTAATTTACTATCGGAAATTATGCTTTAAATAGAAAATTACACATATATTTCTCTTTCCTTTGAATAGACTTTATAGGTTGTTTTTCCCTTTATTCCCTTTCAGTTCAATCTTTCTCTCTCTCTCTCTCTGTAATAGAGCACGTATGTTATTTCAATAATTATACGTTCAGAGATAATATATTGTATTACCTTTTTATATTAATCATTTGTTAATTATTTAATCTAGTAGGGTAATTAATATTGGCTGGACGTTTTATTTTCTAGCAGTGTTGTTTTTTTTTTATCCATTTTAAAGAAAGTAATTTCTTTTCTGAAATAACTCCCGAGACTCCGTCTTACCGTAGATTTACGACTTTGATTATCATTTTTGAAAAGATAATTAAAAAATTTCTCCAAGGAAAATAAGCTTCATTTATTTTTACTTTGGTTTTATTTTTTCTTCTTCTATTACTCTTCTTTATATAAATTTAAATCCTTTAAGGTCTTTAGGCTCTTAATATTTCTCATTACCTGTCGATAAGTGGAATCTACGTAAAAGCCCCTAACCCCGCCCACTTCCGCCCTTTTGCAGCAGTTAAGCTCCTAAAAGCGAGCAAATTTTCACTAACGAGAACATCGCCTCCGGTACATTAATGAAGCTGACATAACAAGGTACTTAGACGTCTTAAGTAGACATTAACTTTTTCAGATGTCCGTGCAGCAAAAACTTCGCTCCGTCGTCTCTGGATTGAAGAATGTTCTGGATAATATTAAAGCCGTTGTAACGGATGTTAAAACTCTTATCAAAAGAATAGATTCCGTTACATCGAAAATAGACGCATGCGAAATAGAAGATGTTGTCCCGAAGAAACATTCTTGGGCCTCACTCTCATCTCCTAGGGATTCGGGTCGATTCTCAGCCGAGGATAGCTTTGATAGCGTTGATGACAACTATGACGGCGTTTATGAAAAAGAATTAGACGATGTACTGGAAAAAGATGCGGGCGATTTTTCCGATGCCTTAGAGAAATTGGAGGCCTCGGGGAGGAGAGATTCCGAGATTAACGAATGGATAGTGTTAACGTTCGATCATAGGCCGACCAAACCTTTCTCTAATCCTCTCACGCCTTGTTCGTCGTTTGAGTCTGGATTATCAAGATTATCGGTTAATCTAACTGACGATTTGGATATATGTTTTTGATACTACCGCCTATATATTTTACTAGGATTGTTATTGGTGTATATAAAAAGAAACATGTCATTGCACTGCATTATACTGCAAAATAATACTAAAAAGAAATAGCCTACTTTTACATCAACATCTGTACATATTGGAAGTTTTACTGCACAATTTATCAACATCTATTATTGTTTATTATATCGTTTATATTAAATATTATACGAATGAAGTTGTTGAATAAATAATCCAGTATTACAAAGCTATTTTGTCATATTTCTATGACAGAATAAAAACATAAAAATTATTAAATACCGTATATTCCAAATCAAAACGGTAATTTGCCGCCAATTCTTTACAAAACAAAAAATAAATATTGCTATTGATTAGCAAGATATTTAGTGTTATTGCGCAATAAATACATTATATATTGTATACTTATAAATAAACATGTATATATATATATATATATATATATAATATAAATATAGAAATATATAATATACAGCACCCTATATTTTATATAATTTTTATTTATTCTTAGGAAAATACAATAAAAAAGACTTAACTCCACTCAGCTTGTCTGCATGATTTATTACACAAAGTTATTATGGGTGAGATAGTGTTTATTGGATAGTAAAGAGACTTTTAAAACCATCCAAACAAAACATCAGGTTTAATGATGAGTTTTTTTCCTATTCTCCCTCTCTCTTTCTTTCTCTCTCTCTCTCTCTCTCTCTCTCTCTCTAACTGTTACTATTCTTAGTCTTTTTTTATTTTTATTAAAAATTAATGAAAGTTCTATTAAATTATTAAGAAAAACAATTTAGGTTATTTTAATGAAACTAAATATTTCGTCTTAACTCTCCCCCACACTCCTCCCATCACTTCTTCACTCTGTCTTTCTAGCTTTATCTTTTCTTCTTCGTTAATCATCTGGGAATAAAAACAGTGACGACCTGAGAAATTACATTAAAGAGGAAAGATTTAGCGTCGATTTCTCACTTAGACGTATAATTAGACAGATTTAAAAACGAGGAAATATTCATAAGAAAACTAAATTCAAAAGCGCTTTCAGACGTCTCATTTAATACGTTACTGTTGGATTGAGCGTCACGCTGTTAGTAGAAAATGACCATTAGGTGATAAATATATATATGCAAGTCTATTTTTAACCTGCTATATAGTGTTTATGTGTGGGCTACAGCGTACTCTTCACCCTAAAATGTAGGCATGTTTGTATTAATCTTTGTTTGTCATTCGAAAATTGACACATGTCACTGTTGCTTAACATCCCATATAGTTTTACACTTGGTTGCCTTTTCCTACACAATAAGCTGCAACCAAGTAATCTACAGTAACGAAATATAAAACCGTCGCTAGTAGAATAAATTAGGCCTATTAGACGAAATAGAATGCACTAGAAAACTCTAGAAATGAACAATTTTTCTCCAATGCTATAATTATGTAACGTCCATAAGATTTATAACGCTTAAGTCGTGAAAGAACTATTGAGTTGCGGAATTTTACCAATCACCAGGGGGAGTTGCTGATAATAAAATATGTAATGATTACGATAAACGTTCCTTACATAAATTTCTTCAAGATATCCTTTTGATAATGATGTTAATGTACCAAGATGCCACTAAGACGTTGAAAATACAAAGGCGTCTCCTTTATAAGAATACATTGTAAATTTCCGCCCATCTCACACCATCACGATTTATTCGACATTATCCAATAATTCTACGGCCGCTTCGTTAAGCTCAACAAGGGCATTTTGTGCATAAAATTAACATAAATTAACGTCTAATGAAGCTATAGAACGGGAATCTTTTACAAAACGATGTATCCGCCTTAAGGGAATTAGATGTATCAAAAAAGAAGTAATCGCCAATGTTGAATAAGTAAAAGCTGTATAGTAACATGAAAAATCATCAAAAACCATGCTAGTCAATTTAATAGACGCCTGCGACGCCAAAATCCGTTGGGAAAACGAGATAGGTGCCTAAAAGTGGCACTGTAGTTAATATTCGATGGCTAGTAGATTATCGACGCCTTATTTACCCCAATGCTCTCTCAGTTTTCTTTTTCCTTCGCTCCTTACATATTTAGAATAGACGTATAAATATGTATAATTTTATATATACAGTATACATTATAATATAGGCTATTCACTGAAATTCTGCATTTTATATTTCTCAAATCGTGATGTTATCAAATTATAATAAAATAACAAAGATCAAATCGTGTAGTTGGTAATTTTTTCTAATTTAATTGATAGCCATACTTACAAGAAGAGAGAATGACTGAATGCATACAATCATATAGAATTTATTAATTCGTTCGTTGTAATTAGATAATCTAGGTTAGTTTAAGGAATAATTTCATTTTGCTATTAATTTATTAGCTTTCAATTGCCCGTGTGAAAATTGTTCGCTCCCCATTTTTGCCTGAAACGAGATAGTTGTGTATAACTGTAGAATGTTGAAATTCGAATGTAGGCAAAATGGAAGTTTCGTTAAAGAAGCAAAAGAGATAGAAGATGCAAAGGGAGAACTACATACGCTTTACCCTTTGCACTCGAACCAATAGATTCTGATATGGTGCAATATGGTGTTCAGATAACCGATTCACCCTATGTGGTATCACGCATGTGAATAATGAGTAAAATTTCTCATGTGCTTCATGATAAGATCTGTCAGGAGAGGAGGAGAGCAGGCATTACGCAAGAAGCTCACATAGTGCTAGTGTGCTTTTGTTTGCATAGATTATGAGTTTTTTGTTAATTATTTATTTCACACCAACGATTAATCCTCTTAGTTACACTCTTCTTGTTTTTATTTTGGCACGATATAGGCCTACATAGTTAAGAATTTCCTAACAAGTAATAATTAGAGTTACTCTTCCTCGGAAATAATGAGGAAGGAAGTAGAAAAGAATGATTTAAAAACAAAAAAACAGTTAACCTGTAGATGGCGATCATTTACAGGATTTTCAACTGAATACATATATACTGTATATAATTCTGAACGAACTTTTTCGTTTATTAGGTTGTCATGGAAGTAAATCAGATGGCATTGAAAATACATGACCTTGTGACCCTGAGAAATCTACATATTTCATCATATCAGGACTAAACCAAAGCTTTCGGTTGGTTTCCGTAGTGGATTTGGTGACAACTTTATCATGCCTAAAAAGTACCTTATTCTTCGAATAGCCTCCAAACTTGGATTATAGGAAGGATGGTTAGCATAGGACATGATAATCGTGTCCTTGACCTCTCCCCAGGGAAAAGAATGTTTTATAGCCGGCGGCTTTTCTTCGTCGTTTGGAAAAGACTAATATGGCAATGATGCAACCTTCTGATGGCTTTAACAAGAAATGGAAAATTAAATGCATCAGGGATGACATTGCTTAGATAAAATTCGATTCCGGGCGAAATCTTCGGGCTGTTAGCCCATAAATAGATTTTTCGGAGTTGCCCCTGGAACTTCTTCAAAAACGAATCCCCTCGCCTTGGCTGCATGCAAAAAAGATGCTATTTTTACAAACACCGGTATTACTGATGATAAAAGGCCATATTGGAAAGGCTTAGATGGGATCGAAAACGGAGCTGAAGTTAAAACATATCTTAACAAGGATGGTAAAGTTGGAGAAATTGCTCGAATAGCTCATGCAATTTCAAGATTGTACTGTTAAAAGAAAAATTTCACCATGATCCATGAGGACTATAATGAACCCGCAAGTTTTTCAATTGACTCTATACACTTTGGCACCAGACAGCTAGAAGGTAGCCCATTAGTTTACGAATCTCTCGATTGGCAGCTTGGCGTTTATGTTGGAGCTTCTTTCAAGTCTCAACATACCCGTTCTGGGCTATTCGAAAGAGGTAGTCTCATAAACGATCCAATGGCCATGAGACGCATTTTTTACACAGCTTAAGGTTATATCTACAACACTGATACTCTATAGAAAAACCTGGAAGAAAAATGCCAAAAGTCTTTCATGTTAATTGGTTTAGGGAAGATCCAAAATCTCATTCACTATTGTGGCCTGGATTTGGCGAGAACATACGAGTACTTGATTGGATTTGTCGGAGAGTCGATGGTGAAGACATTTGCAGGGATAGTCCAATTGGAAAAATTTCTATCAAAGGATCGATAAAGATCACAAATTTAGAAAATGTTGACGAAGACAAATTACATGACCTAAACAAGGAATAACGGGTGATATAAGACTTTAACAAGAATATTTCAGAATACCAAACATAACCTCTTTTAGGCTAAAATTATAATACAACTTAATAGTAATTTAAACACCATATCTGTTATCATATCTCTTAGCTTTTAGGTTTCAAACTCATATTGATATAAATATTGACAGTATACCAGAACTTTTCACACTAATACATATTTATTAGATATTGAGGATTTATGCCAGAAAAACAAAGGAAAAAAACTAATTCAATACATTTCAATGTAGATTAAGACTAGAGGGAATAAGTTAATATTTGCACTAAACTCAAGGGGTATCTTAATGTTTCCTCATATGACTAAGAACATTGCTGAAATGATGATTAATAGCACAAGTAATTCTAAAGTTCGTAATACTAATATCGCAAACTTATATGTCTGGAATAAATAACATACTTTCGTCATGAAACGTAACCATTTAAATGATTTTATGCTAAAGACAATATGATATAAAACAAAAGATCATAGAATAGATGTGAAGTTCTACTGTACATGTAGAATTATTTAATGCACTATATAAAAGCTTCTTTTTTGATATTTTACAGAGAAGTTTATTAAAGTTTTATCAAAAGATCTTGTTCTTTTAACAAAGTATTATTTTTAGAAAGAAACATCTTTATCTTAGAGATATAGTTATTATTATAAATCTTAGTTACTAATGAAAATAGTCTAAACGATTATAATATAAGTTTCTGACTCGTTAATTTGAAATATTTTAATGTTACACTGCTGCATTTATAGTTTGTTTATCTTTCTATAAACTAAAAGTCTAAGTGTTTTAATTATTATGATTAATAACTTTCTAAAGACATTGAACCTTTGATTCTGTTGGTCTATATTTATTCAACTTTTACTCATCTATAATATGTCGCACTTTTTGACCTATATTTACTAGATAAATATTTCTTGCTAATTTATTTCTTGATTTAATAGGACACTCAGGTATCCATTATACAAGTCAACAACTCTTGTACAATCCTATCTCTACCAAAAAAAAACTCTTCAAGTCCTCTAGTATGACTATATATAACCATTCGTATTGTATCTTCTCAAAGTTTTCAATTCCTAAACTTTCTAAAGAATTTTTCCTTTGAGATATTTTCTGGGATATTTGTTAAAAGTCTTTTTAAGAGAGGATAATTCTTGATGGATAAAGAAGAATATATTGGTTCTACTAACAATTTTAGCATAACTATGTGTCTATTTCGATAATGAAAAATGAAACAACCAAAGACTCATATATTTATTAGGTATATAAAAAAATAATAATAAAATAACCAATCTAATGGAATAGATGGTTTATGACAGACCGCACGTACTATTAGACTAGTCAGTATATTCTATAAATATTGAATTTATACCTACAAAAGGAACGATTATAGTTTCGTATAATATACCAATTGCTGTAATCAAACTTCTACAGGCGTATTAAATAGAGAAAATTGACATTTCCAATTCCCTCGAAAGGGTAGAGGAGGACAAAAAAAATATTTTACAATCAATGCTTACACAGTAATAAATACAATTTTTTTTTACGTATATACTATATATCTAAAGAATATATTACTGTCCAATATAGTATATATAAGCCTATAAACGTTTTTCTTTCACAAAAGAATGACAGATAAATTTGCTTTCAAGGAAGAAAATGAAAAACGTTGGAAACGCTAATGGAACCTTAAATCGAACTGAATCAACTTGTGGAAAATATTTTACCTTTGCAAATGGATATACAGTATATATATATATTGTATATATCGCCTTTGTTTCTCTGTACCATTTGTGACATTGTTTGAACAATTATGTCAGTTATCTATGATTAGTCTATTAAAAATTGAAAACCGAATTGCGTCGATATAGAAACCATTTAAACCTATTCCGGGTAATAAAATATGTAATTATCATTTTTAATTTTTGCACTTTTTATACATGTTGATAATTAGCTACTGATATCAAGGTAATCGATAAGAAGTAAGCGTTTTATATGATAATCTGTAAAAGCATGTATAATATATATTCAAATAAATTATATACTATTTATAATTTACAATAAAAACATGACTTTTTATATTCTATAGCTTAAATATAATTAAAAAGTGCTTAATAAGAAGATTTCCTTAGATGCAATAATTAAGAAAAACTTGATTAAACTTAGTCTTCTATAGACAGTTTTATCTCCTATTTCAAGTGGATTAAAAAAATTAAGCAACGCATAGTCATCATGAACAAAAACTAGATAATCTCAAGTATGGTTTTGAATTGGCTTACAAATTTAATTGATAAAGAAAAATGCGTTTAAAAGAATTTATTTAATGCGAAAATGACCTACAGTCAAGGAATAATACTTCTTTTATCATTGATTACCTTTTCAACTGCTCATAAAGGTTTCTATATACTATATATGTATATATAATAAATAAAGTACTATGATTATATATACTAGATCTATTTTATAGATATTTCGAAATGCTTAGATAAGTGGAAAGAATTTAATAATTATTGCTATAAATTAAATGAAGAGAAAACTAATTGGTTTAAAGCAGAAGAAAATTGTAATGCTCAAGGAGGAAATTTAATTAGTATACTAAGCGAAGATGAACAGTTGTTCGTCAACGATAATTTAACAGTAAAACACACCAGTGTATTCAATTTTCTGTTCAAACTGTTAATAAAAATCTTTTATTCTTAGAAAACTGACTCTGGAGAAATAGAGCAGGTCTTCATTGGTCTTAATATATTAAATCGAAAGAAATTCGAGTTTGTACTCTTTATTACTATACATTAATTATTTAACATTTTACACATGTTTACTTCTTTTCATGACTTACTGTAGATGGTCTGATGGTAAAAAATATGATTATAAAAACTTTAAAGAACCCGAACAACCTAAAGAGCCTGATAATTTTCGATGTGTTCAAAATTACAGGAATAGATGTAAGCATAAAATTTAATTAATTTGGGTTTATTAATTTTTTTATACATGTTTAAAAAATATATTCTGATTGTAGTTAGTTTGAATCCACCTGAATGGAAAACACTTAATTGTGGAAGTCATAGACCATATATTTGCAAGGTTAAAAAGGGAGAAAAGCCTACACCTAAACCAACGACAAATCCCACACCTCTGAAAGGATATTGTCCAAAAAGTTGGATAGGATCTTCTGAAAAGTGTTTTAGAATAGTATTTTTGGATGAAAACAATGGACTATCTTGGAATGAAGCTCAGAATAAATGTAGAACGTTAAACCCGGCATCCGACTTAGCAACAATCAATAGTTTCGAAGAGAATCTTTTAATTACTTCAAAAATGATAAATACAGATCTTAACAACGGCATATGGTTTGGTTTACACGAGCCAATAGGTACAGGCAATGCAGAATGGGTTTGGTCTGACAATTCTCCAAGACGTACAGATGATGATTATGGTAATTGGTACGATGGTGAACCAACGCTGTATAAGGTCTGTTTTATTTACAATTAAGAAATAATTAATATATGAAATGTAAATTAAAAGGGTAATTGTAATATTGTAGTATTACGCTTACTTATCAACTTTTGGACCGGATGATTCAAGTTTGAAAGAAGGTATGTGGCAAACAAGTTCGGGTAGATCGGATAAAAAAGGCTATGTATGCAGCATGAAAAAAAGTAAATTCAGTTACATCAAATTGTAATTATTACTTCTATATTATATAAATCATCTTTTAACATCTATCAGCTCAGAGTGATTTATTATCAACTCCCATCGTTAAGACAAAGTGTGAAAAAGGAAAATTTCTAGGTGATGGCTGTTATAATATGCAAAATAAAGTTCATACTTGGGCACAAGCATTGAACTCTTGTAAAAATCAGGTCTTTTAATTTTTATTTATCTCTTTTAAAATTATAAAAAAATTGAAATAATAATAGAAAATGAACTTGGCATCTATTCACTCGGAGATGTTGAATGCTGCATTAACTTTTCACATTGTTCATAGTGATAAATATTATTGGATTGGAATGAATAGTGTTAATTCTAATGGTACTTTTCTCTGGAGCGATGGTTCAGTTGTTGTTTATACGAAATGGGAGGAAACCCCTGAAAATAAAGAGAAGTGCGTTGCTATTTCATCTACTGGGAAGTGGAAATCATTGAGCTGCAATGAAAAATTGCCAAGCATTTGCAAAACACCCTATGGCTTAATGTTGACGACGCCTTCCTACGTCAATGGATTGTGCCCTGATCCAAATCAGGGAACTTGGATTGGTCGTGGCAGCTATTGCTATTTATTTTCAGAGAGAAATTGGGAGGCTAGAAGCTTTCTAGAGGCAAAACAAAGATGTGTCAGACTAGGCTCCCGTCATGCTAGCCTAATGAGCGTTCATGATATAACGGAGCAAGCTTGGTTAACTGAAACGATTAAGGCAAAATATAGTAGAGATGAATCACTATGGTTGGGAATACATCGTAGATCCCCGAACCATCCATACAAATGGTCTGATTACACTCCTTTGTCTTATGAAAACTGGGCTGATAATCATCCTACAAGCGAAAACTGTGCTGTTCTTAAGGTTGAAAAAGATAAAAGAATTACTGGCTTCTGGGAGAGTACACCTTGTAAAAGTCGTTCCAAAATTAAGTATGCATGCAAAGTTAGAAAACTTCTATATCCAACTACTCCTGTGCCTGTAAAAGGAAGATGCCCTCAGAAGCCTTCTAACGAGGATGTCTGGGAAATATTTGGTGATAAATGCTTACTTTTTGGAAAATCTCATATGGTAGATTACAAAGAAGCGTTAAGGGATTGTACAAGAGCTGGCGCTACTTTAGCAGAGATTGAATCATTTGAGGAAAATTATTTTATTAAACAATATGCTGAAAAACATATACCTTCTTTCCAAGAGGGTGTATGGATTGGTATGAGGAGACGAAACAGAAGTGGATATATTTGGGAATCAGGTAAACTACCAGCCTTTGAGTTTTGGTATCACAATGACAGAAAGAAAAGAGATTGTGTTACTTTAAACTTGACTAAACACGGTTATTGGACTAGTCAGAGTTGCACTGGGCGTTATTTTCCTTATGTTTGCCAAACACAGCTTTTATTAGGTATATTCTTTGTAATATTATGTCAATTATATGAAAGGAACATTATTTTATCTGCAGATCCAACTCAAAAACCAACTGTGTCTCTATCAACTGCGTCAAAAATAGGACTTGGTATAGGGATAACGATTGCTCTCGGTCTTGTTGTTAGCGTGTTTGCTGCTATTATTTACAAATGGAAAAGTTATAGAGAAACACCATATCAAGCTAGAACAAACAGTTTCGCTAGTACAAATGAAATAACACTTGAAAATAAAAAACAGTATGATGCATAATGAATTCGGTATATACAGTATATAGATAGGTAATAAAAGGCATTTATCTTTATTTATAAATAAATATTTTTAACAAGTGGAGAAAAGATCAATGGAATAAATAAAAGAAAAAATGATTCTCTTTCTGTGGATTACAATTATTAAATATATATTTTTTAATAAATATTAAATCCAAATCATTGTCTGACTCTTTAAATATCTACAGTAATATAGGGAATGGACTGAAGATTGAGTACAAGTTAAAATTAATTAATAATAATTTTAACGTTAGATTGTAAAAAAGATTAAGTTTTAAAGATATAAGACTTGATTTAACCTCAATTTCAATATAAGTCTTATATATTTAAATCACTTCACTATTGCTCTATGCCCCTTATCAGCTAGTTAACAGATAAGAGGTTTCTCTTGGTAAAAATTATGTGCAGATGTAAATAAGCGTATATTTCTAAAAGTAACTCTTTTGGGGAAACTAAACAGTTAATGTCGGGAAAAATTTAGGAAAAAACAAGAGGCAGGAAATTTTCATTAATTAAATCCTGTTTGTTTGTTTTATAGACAAACTGGCTCAATTACTTTCCAGAAAAAATGTTGACATTTCATTCTTAGGAATATATTCTATCAAATCATGCATTGGCATGAAGAAAGAATTTAGCTGAAGAACAAATCGTACTCTGTGATTTAACAATGAGAGTATAATGAAAACAAAGCTGAGATAATTTTACGGTAGGTAAGTAAAAGAATCTTATTATCAATTAAAGGCTTTATATACACTATTGTGTACAGCGTGTATAGTATGAATATATTATATTTGTTTGTCATAGTCGTTTCCAAATGTCTAGTTAATTAAATAGACTTCAATGATTTTTGTTACAAATTGTATGAAGAGAAAACAAATTGGTTTAAAGCTGCAGAAAATTACATGCTTTTTCAGAGAATTTTTTTTAGTGTATTAAGTGATGACGAATACATGCTGTATGACTTATTAGCACCATTATATGAACACTCATAGATGATGTCACTTCTAAGTATCTTTTTACTGAATGTCATAAACTATACAATTGTAAGAATCAAATGGAAAGAAAACTGTAAAAAAGAATTATTGTAAAATGTCAAACAATGAAGATGAAACTGTTTCATTAGTATCGAATATTCAAGTAATTGCATACGAGACTTAATCATAATATACAAGTCATAAAAAATATTTAAATTCACTGCCTGGAAACAGTATACATCACTTCTAATTGTTATCTTAATTGTTTATAAAGCATCTTTATTTAAACTTCAATTCCGGAAGTTTGAAATGCAAACATAATCTGGTTCCTTGTTCCGCTCAGTTTTGTACGTGAAGATATGAGAAGTTGAACTGATGCAAGCTGGTATACGTTTTTGAAATGTAACATCATTGCTGATTGGATGCTTTTCAATGACGTCATTGATTCGAAAGGCCTCAAATATCCGTCTAATTAAACATTGGATAACCAGAAAGTATATTACTTTTCACTCACAAGTTTAATTTTTGTCCACTTCTTTAAAAAAATTGACTTTTTTTCACTATGATACGCAACATACATACGACATTAAGTACAGCGAATAGTCGGCGATCTGACAGCGCTTGCACAGCGTCCTAGCGTACAGACGGTTAAAAATTGTGGATTGTTGGCTTAAAACTCATTTTCGAGCAAATTTAACACCTGAACGTATTAAGTAACTTTGTGCAAAGGTAGTAATTGAAAAAATATAGCTATTAAAAGCGAAACAACGAAGGACGGTGATAGGTTAGATGAATACATCACGTGACTACAATAACTAAGATGGCTGCTGTGAAGAGTTTGCACGAAAACATTCGAAAGCCGGTAATTTGAAAAGAAAAGTACTGTTTTCGTTAGGAAATCTGTCATTCCTGAGCCTGTTGGATCAAAATTGTAAATTCGGATGCCTCGAGCTAAAGGTAGAGGCCGCGGAAAAGGTCGTAAAAGTACCACTCGCGCGAAAAACGTTGTAAAACCACGAAAACCCCGATGGTACGCGCCAAGCGACGATGATGAACATCCGGAAGAGGACGACCTTCACACTGGGGTTTTAACGAGAAATCGCTCAAAGCGAAAATTTGAAGAAATTTATAAGGATGTTTTGGAAGAGCCTGAAAGCGAAGATGAACTCTCTAGCTTAGGAGTAACTTCCCCACTAGAAGAGGAGGAGGAAGATGAAGAAATAAACTTTGATTCAATTCCTCCCTCTCCCGTCAGAACACCAATTCCAATTCCAGATGATGAGAATCTACCTGAGTTGGTACTGCCAGAGTCTTGTACAGACCTTTTACTTGAAGTAGATGATGTTACTACATGCCTAGAAGTATATGAAGTTCTGTGGAGATTTAAAACTATATTGAGGCTCTCTCCATTTCGATTAGAAGATTTCTGCATGGCTTTATCTGTGTCTGAGAATAGTATGATTTTAAGCGAAGTGCATATTACACTTTTTAAAGCAATCATGAGAGAAGAAGATAGCACTAATACCACTTTTGGGCCTCAGGATGCCAAAGACTCAATTAACGTTTGTTTTTTTTTCAATGACTCTATAACCTGGTGTGAGGCTGTGAGATCTTACTTGAATTCAAGAAAAGATGTTCCAAGTTCCGCGGAAGAGATACTAAGCAAGCAACATTACTCCCTAACGAACGTCAAGGAACGTTTAATTGTTCTAAAAACTCTTGTCGATATCTTTTTAACAACGAGTGCTGTTCGAAATGAAATTTCGAAAACACCTGAAGATATTCGACACGAAGAACATTGCAGATTGTGTTATAAAGGAGGAGATTTAATTTGCTGTGATAGATGTCCGGCTGTATATCATTTGGAATGTGCAGATCCTCCACTAGCTCAAGTTCCTCAGGATGAGTGGTTGTGTGGCATATGTAGGGCATCATTGGTAACAGGAGTTACTGATTGTTTACCTTTAGAACATTTACGACAGGAAGCTCTAGGATTTGATAGACACGGAAGAAGATATTGGCTCCTTTCTAGACGCCTTATTGTAGAATCTACGGATAAAATTTATTATTTCTCTTCTGTTCAAGGCTTAAAAGAAATCATTGAAAAATTGGACGGAGAGAAGTATGAGAAGAGGCTCAAATCTGAATTATTGAGTCACGAGGCTCTATTAACAGAACATATGGAAATAACAAAAACTTTGACAGATAAATATAGAATACCAAAGGGCTGTCAAACTGTTTTAGAAGAAGAATCTAAAGCATTTAAATCTCTAGCAGATGAAAGAACTGAATCAATTAATGGCGTTAAAGGTGAATTGGAGGAAGCAGATATTGTAAACGATATACAAGATACAGGTAGTCCCAGTGAAAACATTCCAAATGGTGAAGATCTGGAAATGACGGAAACAAAGTCTGAAACAGATATTAAAGAAGAACAACCATTAAATAATGAAATAAAAGATGAGATTAAGGAAGAAACAACGGTATTTTTACTTTTATTTGTTATCATTATGTTCGAAGGTAATTTACCATTGTTATTCTAGAATTCTCCTGAAGCTACATCTGAACGAAGTGGAGAAGATATAGAAGATACACTGGAATCTAATGGTAAGATATATATATTATATATATATTAAAGAAAAAAGACTGATACTCTTAATTAATTCTAAACTAACTCTGTCATCTAACAACTCTTTTGCAGAGCGTCGTGGTATTGTAACACGTTCTAAAACAGGATCACTAACCCCTCGTGTTTTTACTGACTCTGTATCGGGGACCAGGGCTCCTCGCCAGCAGCGTCAGTTTGAAATGCCACCACTTCCTGCCCGTCCTCCTGACTCTCTATATAAATTAGGGATGGAGGGAAATTATAGACAATATGTTAACCATATGAATTCATCTGAACTCGGACTTACAAAGCAACAAAATCAAGAAGAACGAGATAGAAGACGGCATCTGTCTCATAAATTCTCTTTAACTACCGTGTCTCACTTTTCCTGGAATGGTACAACATTCGGCAATCATGAAAGTATTGTTAGAACTCTAAGATCAAGTGTCGAACAATTAGAAAATGCAATTCCACCTGTTTTCATGCATCATAATTGGCCATCACATAGGCATAACTGGCTGAGAGCTATCAACATGTGTATGTCTCCCAAAGATTTTTCGTTAGCCCTTGCTATTTTAGAGGCTTGCATAAAATCTGTAGTATTAAATCCTATTTGGAACGAACATGTTGGCCATTATAGATTGATACGTCAAACCCAAGCTGCAAGAGATGAAAGAAAAAAGAAAAAGAAGGATGATGAAGAGTATGTTGCCAAAACTGCCTGGATAAAGAATAGCAAAGGATTTAGGCATCAGGTGTGGAAACAAAAAGGTGAAGAATACAGATTATATTGGGGTTGCTTCGGTTGGCTATGGGTTTCAATAACTCGTAAACATAGGATTATCGATATGAGTTCAGTCGGATTGCGTGGGATTGCAAACAGAAACAGGAATAAGATTGAGGAAGAAAGTAATGAGGGAAAGGAAAAAATGGATACGAATGAGAATGAGACAAAATTTGACACTGAAAATGAATTACAGCCATCTGCAGAAGAAATAGACAATAAGAGTAAATCGGACGAGAAAGAATTACAGCAACAAGATGGCGTGATAGATGTGTCTAAAGGTTTAGCGGATAGGACGTGGTTTCCGAAAATGACAGATAAAGCAGCTAAATTAGATGCTTTATTAGAAAGAAGATCACGACAAGTTGTTAATACTATAAAACACCGTAGATCTCTTCTAATAGCGCTCAATGCATATAAAAAGGCGCAAGAAGGAGGAAATTTAAAAAAGAGAGGGACATCAACGACATGTTATTCCCCAAGTTGTGATCAGAATTGCTATTCTCCAACTTGTATTGGCCGTCAACTTAAAGTTACTGAAGGCAGAATAGATAAGAATGATATGGTTGCTTACGTTACTACACCAAGTGGAAATACTATAGCTGTAGATTCCAAAT